GTTTTTTAACTGATGCAGGAATAAATGAATCGAGCGAAGATGCAAATTCATATTCACTTGCTGGAACAATCTGTACATTTGCACCGCCGTAATAAACGTTGTTAAATTGAGATAGTGCTTCTTCAGCGTCTTCGATCGAACGAAACTGAACTACTGATTCACCTGAATAGAAAAAAATTATCATGACAATTTTGAAAGGAAGAATATGTATCTGGTTTTACCTGTTCGCTCGCCATTTTGATCATTAATCATTTTAATATCTTCTAAACGCAATTTGTAATCGGCAAACAGTAGTTTAACATCGCGATATGAATATTTTCTCGAGAGATTTTTGACACGTAGATAGGGTTCCCGCAGTTTGGTTCGTTGTTGTGCTAAACGTGAGTTATTTGATGTATACGATGATGGATATTGATTACCACCCAAATTTGAATTAAAATCTGGCTGTTGTCTTGAACGCATTTGTTGATCATCTTGCATATGAGGATGATTAAGTAACGGACGTTGCTGCAATCCGAAAGTTGCAGTCTGACCAGCAGCAGGCTGCATCCATGGTGGAAGTGGAAAATTGGCTGGCAACGAATTATTGCCGGATTGAAAGGGTGTTTGCTGTTGAGCACTGAGAAGAGCTGTTAGAGCATTGGGTGGTATAACTCCTGGAGGAAAGAGGTTCAGAGGTGGAGGAGCTCCTTGAGGAAATGCGTTGGTATTTGCTACCGAAGCATTATCATGAAGTGATGCTTGCTGAAGACCATGATGTGCAACAGGTGGATTGGTCGAATTAGTTTGAGCTGCATTATAAATCGGCGAATTTGTATTCGTTTGCATTGGCGAACCTTGTTGTTGTGCAGCTGCTTGCAGCGCAGCAAGTTGTTGTAAAACCTGATTCGGCTGTGCACCTAAACCTAGAAGAAGATGAATATTAATGATGTACAATGCCAAATGAATGATTTTCACCTTGGCCAGCAAGTTGTCCTTGCACTTGAGCTAGAACATTTGGTGGTAAATTGCTTAGATTCGATTGCAATAGCTGAAGAACAAGGTTCGCTGGAGCAAGGCCCGAACCAGCTGGAGCATTTGCAGATGGTGTTGGTAAAACGGATGCAGCTGAAGGTAAAGCTGCTGATGCTGTATTAGACTTTTGTTGTTGTTGTATTTTACTAACCACGTCCAGAAATGATGACATTGGATCATTCGAAACATTTGCCTGTGCTATCGATGTCTGTGCTTGTTGTTGATGTTGATTTTCGTCAATATCATGTGTGAATTGTTGTGAAAGAGGGTCTGTACGTTTTGGCTGAGAAACATTTGCTTGTTGACTCGGCTGATTCGAATTCGACACGGGCATCGATGGTACCGATGGTTTACCACGTGCGGCTGCAATAACATTCTGCATTTCTATTTTCGAGCTTAAAAATAATTTAACTGGCTGCTGACAGATCAGACCGCCATCCTTCTGCATTGCTTGCCGAGCATCATCATCCGAGTTAAAGGCAATAAATGCATCACCTCGCTCACCTCCTACAATATGTACACCACCTAAACAAAACAAAATTACATCGATTATGATGGATTTCGAAGTGATGTACCATCTGGAATTTGAAGTCCTTGGAAAAAACGACGAATATCGATTGAACGCGCCTCCCATGGAAGGTTTTCCAAACGTATAATGACGGACATAGTCAAGTGTTATCTTAGATTTATGTCAATATACTGAAATAAATAAAAAGGCAATAGTAGAAATCGAATTAATAGGCTTTGGAATTTCAGCTGCACTTCAATTTTTATAGTGCACAATGAAACTTGGTCGTTTCCGCACTTAAGTAAACGATTAGAGAAATAAAGAAATTGAGGTCATAATTCAACAACACAATTAATAAGGGAGAAAAAGAAAGTGATTTCAAAATTCGAGATTTGAATGGGTTGGACAGTTTCATTAATGCCAACAAGGAACAGGAAACAAGATTGATTGTTGCACAAACATTATGAAGAGGATTTCCAAAGAATTTTTCGAAAAACAAAATAGAAGTGACGCACAAATATGTTTTAGAATTTTCTATGTACCTATCACACGTAAAACTACTTGCTCGATAAAATGTACATCATTTCGAAGTACTTTTCGTAGGTAATCAGGTTACACTTCATTCGTTCTTTAATGCGATACTTCTCTCTAATTATCAAACAGTAGAACAAAACCTTTGATGAGATGACAAGCCATTACGAAATTGAATACTCTCTAGTTCCATAGACACGTATGATTAACGTCGATAGAAACTTATAAATTCTACAAACATCAAGTGAGAAGGTATCGATCTATCCTAGTACCAAGTTTTTTTTTATTGTACCATTCTTCGTTCTTTCGATCGTGGGGAAATATTCGCACTACTCTTCTCAAATTGTCTAACGAAAAACTACAATGATGACGACCAGATCCTTGTGCTTCGAACTCTCTCAACGATCATAATTCCTATGGGCATAAGAATAGAAAGTACAATTCTCGAGCATGGTATAGTTCCAGGTGATACACTGAATGGTTGCTTGAAATGGCGGACACCGTCGATATTGTAACGCAATACATTGACACTTGACCTAATCTTATCATGTGTATGTGTGTGTTTGTGTTTTGTGCATGTGTATTCATTCGAAAAATGAAACGAGCATTTGTTGAGAAACACCAATATCTGATCTTTATCAACGTGCTCTTCGGCGATATTTAAATTTCAGTCGATTACGAGAAGATTGATGTTCAAATGGGTAAAAGCACACTACATTCTAGTCAATTCAATATATATATATATAATCAAGAACATACCATCACGTTCAAATACGATATAGATTATGATATCATCATTCATTCTAATTATTGTTCACCGATAGAAAATACGAGTAGAGCCTAATGTTCACCGGTCATTTACGAGAATTAGCACAAGTCAATAATGATTGATGATAAACTCGAACTCACATATCTTATCTATTTTCTCACACTGGAAGTGATCACGTGCTTGGACTAGGTCAAACACACTCACAGGACAGAACGTTTTTAGTTCCTAGAACAATTGTATGACGTATACCAGTGCGGTTAACACGTATCCGATAAAACCTGCTTTTGAGGTTCGTTCAGTTCATAGAAATACGATTTAGTCGTATGCGGAAAAATCTAACTCAAATTCTATCTGAATATCAGTCATCTCCCTCTCTCTCTCTGTCTGTTGTGTCGAAACAATATCGATCTGCTGCACTTAATTGTTCATCTCTTCATGAAACATTTTCACAAATATAAACTTGTCGAAGGAACTATTTGATTCCATTTGGATAACATATCCTAGTCAGCATATTTGTTCTCCTTATTGAGTGAATGCAATAGACAAGCAATCTATCAGTTCTTTCTTCTATAACCTAACCCGGCAAGGTTTCCTTTTTTTTTTCATGTAAGCCTACTTCAATCTTGAGATATTTGGCAGAATCGACGAACGCGACGAGCAGTTGTTGTAAAACTTGCTTTATCAATAAACGCCTATTGTTCAATAAGACTTGATTGTAATATACACATGTGTGCAAATGCATTGTTTTCATAATAATGCCAACTTTTTTGATTCGTAAATCAAGTTTGATCACGTTTGAAAAGAGAAGCCAGAAGAGAAATGAATATATATGCGCACTATCCTCTATTTTTTCAAGCAGGCCAATACTGTTGGAAAGAAACTAGGCGAACGCTCAATGACTATCATCTCCGTGCTGATACAACAGAAATGCATTATCTTGAAAATGAATCAAGTAGACAGAGAAATTTCATTCGGATTTTTATATCAACTGAATTTAGTGCCTATTCATCACAAATAGAAATGACTGGACGAAGAGCAGCTGATTTCTTTGATGGAGAATAATCGAGTTTTCCTTGTAGACCACGTATACAAATATCCAGTGTGCAATAGTTGAAAATAAGAAAAGATGTTTTTCAATTTAGTTACCGTTTTTAATAAGATGATGTCGATGGACAGACTTGGGTTTTGATATGATGACAAATCCGTGCGTTCTGGTGAGCAATCAATCAATATTTATTTTATCAAATACACTAAACAATTGAATGTGTGCGTGTGTGATAGATTTCGCCGACTGTTAATATGCAACTGCCAAATAGTCCGACTTGTTGAGATGTATGAAGGAAAAGAGAAAAGAAGACAAATGATAGATTCGAATGAAGAGATAAATTGAGAGGTTTTTTTCTAAAATGAAAATACAAAAGGACGAATTGTGCTTTGTCGAGGGCAAATTTCATCGTCAGAGAAAAAAACATGATTGGAGTTTGTCTTTCTCTGTTCTACACGAACCAAATGAAGGAAAAGAAAAAGAACGAGCATACGTCGGTATACATCCGTCGATAGGCAGTACTAACTAAGAAGAAAAGTCGACGATTGACGTGTTTTTTTTTCTCTCCCGCGCGCGCCGTCTTAGATGCACACGTTCGTCGCCCATTTCCGACCGTTGTCAATAGAGACGGTCGGCGAGCAAGAATCAACGAATAGAAACAGACACAACCGAACGGAGATGGCAAGGTGACAAATTTTTGTTTTTTCGCAAATAATTATCATCATTGTCATTCCGTAGAACAGAATCCTTGTCCTAGGAGAAGAGATAAAAATTGGAGTTTTGGAAATGATCTATGAAAATTGTTTGTCGATCTCTGGAGAGTTTCGGGAGACAGTACGTTTGTGTGAAACAATTCGATAAAATAAAAAAAATATTTTCTTTACCTTGGAAAGATATTATCGAAAAATATATATACTCTTAAATGATATATCATTAAAAAAAATAGTTACTTGCTGTTTTTTATTTCAATTTGGAAACGATTGTGTGTGCGCTCGACTGATTTGTTTTGAAAAACAGACCGAGTCTATATATATATATATATGAATTAATATTCTGCTAACGAGCAAAACTATTTACGCGATCAATAAGTGAAGTGATATTCAGCAAAGATGAGAAAACCACGTATTATCATAATGCGACATTCTGAACGGTTAGATTATGTTTTACAAAATCGTGATTGGCCAGCGGAAGCTTTCATTACTGGAGTCTACGTTCCTCATGTGAGACAATTACCAACTGTATTACCACATCGCGCCGATCCCTATGAACACGTTCTCGATACCCCATTGAGTAGATATGGAAAGGATCATGCGAAACGTACAGGAGAGTTCTTTCGTTCGTTAAATCTAATCCCTGATCAAGTTTATACATCACCAGCAATGCGTTGCATTCAAACCGCTGATTCTGTTCTTCAAGGTTGTGGCAATCGGCGAGATATACCATTGAAAATCGACCTTGCTCTCCATGAACCAGTACGACGAGAATTACCATTACAATCGGCGAATTTCTTTGCATCAGCAGGTTTTAACGTCGATCTACATTATCGGCCGACGTTTCCATCGAACGACAGTCGTCTCATATATGGTGAAACACGTTTAGATTATTTTCGTCGAACGCATTTTGTATTGAAAAGAATTATCGATAGATTATTGACTAGAGGTAGAAAAGGTTTATCCTTCTCACCGCCAACTGTACTCATCGTTACCCATCGTGCTAGTGTGACATTACTTGCATCTATGCTCAATCTCGATGATGTAGATGATAAATTAACATATCTTAATGAACTAGAAAATAATAAACGTAACGAAGTAAATTTTCTGTCGATGATCGTAGCGGAATATGATGCATCAATTGGTCTATGGACATTCATATCTGACTTTGCTCAAATGCGTAAAACTCGACGTAGTAAAAGCTTCTTTTTTTGAAGAGAAATGCTCTTTTTTTTCACATTTTATGCAATATAAATCGATGTTATATTACGAACAAAATGACAACAATTCTTTGTTTGTCGACAGAAATTGAAAACATGAAGTAACTTACATCATCTCTGAAACGTTTTGCGACACACGAAAGATTCAATAGGAAATGTCATGTCTGTAGTGTTTATCACGAGCGAGAAAGATACATTAATGAATAATATTTTTGTTGGTTTGAATGGATAGTCATCGTTGAGGCTGAACATCGATACATATGGCGGCGGTTCAGAGAAATGATGTCGCTAACTATTCATTTTCTTTTTCTTTATGCTCTCGACATTTGTCTGTTCTTTTCTTCTTCGTGTATCTTCAATGGTTTGATTAATATTTCTCTTTGTATCGATTTGATTATTTTAAGATTACTACGAATAATTTATTAGACTGTTCATTCATGAAACGTTCCATATAGATTGTTACTGGATCCCTTCAGGTAAGATTAGCTGAATTTTTTGCTAAGTGAAGTTAATTGTTCTGTCTATTATCTTCTTTCGAGCTTCAAGACCACTTATAGATATTCTCTTCTGTGTCGAAGATCTACTCTTTGTTAGTAAAAACTTGGATAGTTGTTCAATTTACGCCGCTATTCGTCCTTTGTCTATAAGCTAGACAACAAATTGCATTTCTTCTTTTCTTGCTCGCATTTCTCATATGGTCAACACACATTGTCGGTCATTCTGTGTACACACATACATACATATATATATATGCATGTCTCGTGCACCCTATGTCCGAGTACGTAGTAGTAAAGAGTTATTGCTATTTTGATTTCTGACTGTCTATATTATATGTGTATGAAATACGAGAGAATAAACTATATGAAATCTATCTCGGAAGAGAGAGGATGAAGTAAAATAGCTGATGATGGTAAGCGATTCTCTCTTCTGTCCCATTTGTTGATTATATTTGTTCATTCAAGGCTTTTTCTGATTACATTGAAACAAATAGAAAAGATTGTACTCGTCACAATGACTTTCCGGCTTTTTCTTTCCCAACTAGTCAAGTATTTATATATACATGGGAGATCGAAGGAGAATAGAAACGAGTTCCATTTGTTAAATAGATGAATAAATTGCATTCCTTTTTTTAGATACCATATGTCTTATGTCTCGTAGAGTATGACAGAAATGAAAATCTATTACATGCTATTTGCACGAGTGAGTTAGATTTATCTACTGGCTAGATAAAATACAATCATAGAACATAACGAATGAGATACTTTACAGTTTATATGTGTACCTTCAGGACAATAGAAGAGTTGATGTAACTAAAAAATGAATTGAAGAGATTTTATAACAGAACATATATTGTCCTGGAGGGATTTATACTCTACTTAGCTCATGATGATTGACTTCGTTGTAAAAATGTTTCATTCTCTTCTTTTCTTCGACAGAAATCGATAAGATTTCATACTAATACGTATGAACGATATGCGAATTTTGTTCTTTTTTTGCATATGACCTTTAGTTTTCTTTGCTGGACATGACAGAATCGATTTGTAATTAATCTTCCATATGTTTGATCTAGAAATATAGACATTAACTGAATTCTTTTCCCATAATCTCAATCTCTCTTCTTCTTTAGTTATAATCAATCATTACTTATATCTCCATTATGCCTGGCGAAACTAAATTAGACGATCTTCAACATGAACGTCATGTTTATTCGTATACGTATACATCCGATGGTGACGATAATGACAATAATCCTCAAACAAATATCGTTAAAGTAACAACAACAGTCGAAGAAGAGACAACACCCGATGGAACAAAAGTTATCCGAAAACGCGAAGAATCACAGCAAGTTTCGAAAGTAACAAAAGTCGAAAAGATCACTCGGGTTCATCATCATTTAATTGAGCCATCGAATGGTGAGTCGAATCGAGCAACTGATTCAAAACATCACATCTCGATGAAACATGATATGAGTGGTGGATTCCTTCCCAATTCATCCTATTCTCAATATGAGAGTATAGCAAAGGAGATAACAAATGGAATGAAACATTTTGATCTTAATAATCATAATAATGAGCCTTATTCAAATGGACGAAATGGTTCTCAACAACCTTTCAACGGTAATGGTTACAATGAACCAGAAAACAATAAAAGTATACTTCACACAGTTGTTGTTTTTAATCTCTTTAATATCTGTTCTTGTTCTTTTTCTAGTCAATACAGATGAAAAAAGCATGGGTTATGACCCAAATGATCCAAATCTAGTTGATGAACCCGACCTTGACGTCGAAAATCCTTATGAAGGTTTAGGACCGGGTCGACCTGATCCAGTCAGCCGTGTGCTAATGCCCACCGCTGGTCGACAATCACCCGATAGTCTCGGACACGGTAATTCATTGTTTGACCGCAGCTTTTTGCTATTGTTGCTTGCTGTATGTATATGCATTTTGCTTAAAATACGCTTTTTTTCAGCTCCTCCTGGTTACGGAGAAGATTATGGAACATTAAGTCGTATGTATGCACCGTTTGGCTTAAACGAAGATAACGATTCGTCAAAACGACGATCGCCTTCAGTTGATACAGAATTTCGAGGTAAAATTTCTTGATTTCCCTGCTTAGCTTGGCATTTCTATATTGTTTATTTTCTCGAACTTTTGATAAATATACAATATTCTGCATATTATATAGAACAACATTGGCGTGATCCTGATCTTGAAGAAGTTATCGAATATCTGACTCATTCAAGTGACGTTATCAAAGAAAATGCCGCTGCTTATTTACAACATCTATGCTACAATGATGATAATATTAAATCGAAAACTAGATCATTGAATGGTATAACTTATTTGGTTGCTCTGTTAAACCATGATAAAGTGGAAATTCAAAAAAATGCGTGTGGAGCATTGAGAAATCTATGCTATGGAAAACGAAACGATGAGAATAAGGTTTGAAGACGTTTCTCTTCTTCCATGTACAAATTCTCTTTTTCCTGAATAGATCGAATTGAAAAATCGCGATGGTATACCCGCATTGATTCATCTTCTACGTCGAACACCCTATGAAGATGTTCGTGAATCGGTTACAGCTGTTCTTTGGAATGCGTCATCATCTCCGCACTTGAAAGGACAAATCGTTGATGAAGGTTTAAGTGTCCTTGTGAAAAATATTCTTATCCCATTCTCAGGCTGGGATGCCGATATCAATCGACGATTGAATCCACAAGGCAAATTTCCACCTGTGTTCAAGAATACAACTGGAATACTCCGGTAATGAACGTGCTTTTCGATTAGCATTGCTTGCTGACTAAACATCATGCATATTTTATTCGAGAAAGGAATTGATTTATTAACTCAGTTCCGTTCTTTCTTTGTTCTAGGAATTGTTCATCAGCTGACTATGAAGGTCGTCGTAAGATGCGTGAATGTGAAGGATTTATACCATCACTGCTTCACGCCGTTAACTCCAGTCTTCAATCTTTGAATGAAATTGACAATAAATCAATTGAAAATTGTATGTGTGTCTTACGTAATTTATCTTATAAATTGCAAGAGGTTGTCGATCGAGACTACGATCGAAATTACCCAGCGAATATGAATACAACATCGACGTGGAGTATGACACCGGGACAATCCAATGAGAAGATCAAGACGGGCTGTATGAGTTCGAAACAGAAGAAAAGCAAGCAAATCTATGAACAAACAGGAAACAATATATATGCTGTTATGCCACCAAGACAAGGTCGACCTGTGGAAATGCTTTGGCAACCAGAAGTGATTGTTACATATGTTCATCTCTTACGGAATAGTAGTAACCCAGACACATTAGAGGCAACAGCTGGTTGTATTCAAAATTTAAGTGAGTATTTGCTCTTTTATGCTTTATTGAAATGTTCATTATCTGCGTTGTTTAGCTGCTTGTTATTGGAAACCATCGATTGATTTACGTGCGGAGGTTCGAAAAGCGCGTGGTCTTGTCGAATTGGTTGATCTGTTACGTGTTGTCGAATGTGATTCTGTTGTTAATGCATCAGCTATTGCTCTGCGCAATCTAGCTATTGATCCAAAAAATTGTGATGTTTTGGGTGGATGGGCTATTAAAGAGCTTGTTGCTGTTCTACCTGATCCATCGGAACAAACAGCAGGTCGACGTCGACACTCAGACGAAACATTCGCATCTGTCCTAGCTGCGTTGAATGAAATCATTCGTACGAATGAAGTCAATGCAAAAATTCTCTTCCAAGAAGGTGGCGTAGCAAAAATGAAAGGTATTATGAACGCAAAAGCAACTACCTACAGTTCAAAAGTTGTTAAATATACTGCCCACGTTCTTAATACAATGTATAAGCATAAATCTTTACATGAATTCTATAAGCAAAATAGTTATAAAGAAAATGATTTTCTCCAGCATCGATCAATCAATTCGAAATCGTTAACATCAAGTCCACAATCGACCTTACATCGGCCAAGAGGTGATATGGGTCAACCAACTCATTTTACAGCGAAGGGAAAACAAATCGTGCGTCCTCAAAGTAAGACTCACGAAAATGATCGATTGATACGATGAAAAAACTGTTGATTCATAGGAACAGAAGAATATCGAATGCAAAAAATGAATCAAAGTGTTGACAATCTATCGAGAACATACGGAAATGGGGTAAGTGGTGAAAGCGTAATCTAATCCAACAATTTTATCCTCTCTACTTTAGATGACTCCCATTCATATGGATCCACATGCTGATCTCTACGCTACAGTTCATAAAACTCGCTCACAACAAGTTCAACCAGCAACATGGAATCAACTAAGTCATCCATCTGCATCACCTGATTCATGGGTATAATCTCAATTGATTCGTAAGCAAACTTTGTCAGATGTAAATTTGCCAACGACTATTACAAGCTAAACGGAGCGGTTTTGGTCTTCTTTTTATGATGCATTTTGTGCAATCTTTTCGTTAATGTTCAGAGAAAAAATGAATCATGTTTTTTTTTGTCTTATTACGCGAGTTAATCGACACATTTAATGTATAAAAGTGTTATTTTCTCTTTAATCAAGTTTGTGTGTGTATACGTTTATTCTGTCATTTCTCTTTTCTTCCCTCGAACACAATCTCTTTTATAAAATAAAATCAAGAAATAATCAGATAAAGATTTAAAAAAAGACTCAAATTCAGCGTTTGAATATTAACTATTCTTTTTCTCTGTTGGAATAATATATGGTTCTTTCAAACGAGGATCTTCTTGGAGTTTATTTTCCAATTGCATGTACTTCTCAGTTGTTAATTGTCTATGTCTAACAAAAAGAGAAAGATATGCAATCATGATCGAAAGATGACATTTGAACAAACCGATCTAATCGTTCTTCGAGTATATGCAAACGAAATTGTGCTTCTTGACATAAACGTTGGTACTCGAGTTCATCTTCTTTCGTCATACCAATTTGATGTTTTTGGTACCATTGCTGTTTAGTAAACAGTTCCTGGATTTCACTTTCATATCGTGCTTGCATGAGATTCGCTTTACGAATTGAACGTTCTTTAAAGTCACGTATCGCAGCAGTACGTAATTGATTGGCAATTTGTGCATTGATTCGACTTGGATTACCTATCAACAAATCGATCGGAAAGTGTACGAAAGAAGATTTACGAACTACGAACCAATGGCAGCAAGAAATGGTGCAAGATAGTTTATTTCAGGTATCTTCTTTTTGTCACTTTCTTCTTTCGCTTTTTTCTCCTAAAGAAATACAATCACGAAGGACTTATTTGCCGAAATCGATGAGTCATTTACCAATGCTTCTCGATATTGTTTCGCTTTATTGTTTCGATCGGTGTCATAAACACTAACTTCGAGATCGCTTAATAGTTCTTCTTGTTGACGACGATTTTGCAGATCACGTGTCTGTTCAAAAGATCGATTAATTGATGTATGTGTGTTTAGTGGGAAAAACAGTTTACTTCGTCTTCGGCTTTTCGAACGCGTCGAATAACTTCTTCTTCTTGTTCTAACAGCTGAAGCACTTTATGATACAAATCACGTTTCGACAATTGCTTGAAATCTTCATCAGCCTGGTAAGCTTCTAATTGATCATCACTCCATTTCAATGTTACGGTTTTATCATTCCAATTAGGCTAAATCGAGTTTTATAGGCCTCATCTCATTCATCCTGTGAAGCACTTACTGGTTTGATGAACGTTCTATAAATAAATAAAAAAAAACAAAGTTATCTATTGTAATCACACACAAGGTTGCAATTCTCAACCTACCTCGTCGATGGTGTAATGTGAATATCATCGCGATGATAAGTAATGATGAATTTCTCATCTTTAATCGCATAGACTATTTCACGAACATCGTCATTGGCATTCAATTCTAAATTTCGACCGTATTGTTCGGTAATCGACTAAAGCGGATGCGGACAAGGAGGAAATCTACATCAATGCTCAAAATAAATTTACTCACAAGAATTGGCCGATTAGTATCCTTATCAGCTGGACCGAATTTTTTCGGTCGAGGTTCGAATACAGCTTTCCGATATTCAAGAAAGTCATCGCGATTAACAAAATAATCTGTTAATTCAAGTGTAGTTTCGTGTCGTTTAGCTAAGCCATCTATACGTGCTTTGTCATAATAGATCATTATACGTTCAAATTCAGGCCCAAAACCGTATGTATGCTCTAAACAGTGATCAAAATGAAGTACTTACGACATTCAATGTTAGAATTTACCTTTTAAATGATCAGATCGACCTGGTAAATAGTCTTCGTAGACTATATTACTTCGAACATCATGTCTACGTTCTTCCAGTTTATCCTGACGATGAGCATATCTTTGTGTAACATAAATGAGGTCTTTGACTAAATTTCATCAATTGAGATATTGTTGCTTTGAATTGTTCAATGAAACTTACAGTCATAATCAGCAAATTCGGATACTTTAAGAATAATACCATCTTTCATATGATATGGTGCATATTTTTCTACTCGAGTCTTCTTATAGAAATATGTTTTACGGCAATGTGGATATCGCTCTTGAAATTCTATTAAAGATATCATTTGTCAAACTTTGAACTTCTCAAATGGTCATACCTTTCTTCGTTAAAACAAGATGATCAACCCATGATGGAGGTAGTTCGATATCCTTTTGCGTGACTTCAGTACTTGGCTATGAAATAGATTCGAGTATGTATGTGAACTTTCCTAAAGGCAAACAAAGGTTTCAACTTACTTTCTCGTCTTCTTCATCGAGAATTGCTGAATTGCCTACAGTATTTAACGTAGCTGTTAATGTGCCACGTAAATTTGCCGAATATGTAAACATAAATTCCCATCGTGCTTGATCATTCAAATCGAATTGAAGTGACTGAAAACATTTTCAATCATTTATTCTCTGATACAATTGCAATATCAAAACAAACCAACCTCGCAACCATTGGAACAATCTTGAACATTGACCCAATAGTTTTGATGATTCCAAACACTCTCGATACCTAAGTACTCCACATCGTTTGTTGCTTTGCCATAGCCTGTTGTTGGTTCAATAAAAAATGCTTCGGGTACTTCACGTTTACCGGAGAGAACTAAGACCCAAGCATGTACTCGAATACCATAGAGTGGATCAGGTAATGGTTTTTCAATTTCCTGTAAATGGAACAATCTTTTACAAAACATCAATGAATTTCTTTGTAAAAATTACCGCAATTCGTCGATTTTCTTCTTCTTGTTTGCGATCTTTTTCTGCTTGAATTTGATCCAGTTTTCGTTGACGCATATAAGCATCGTATTTCGATGTTAAATCTTTGGGCGGTTTAACTGTATATTTTTTATATGGAGGTTTGACTTTTTCTACACGTTTCTAAAGAAGTTCACCATGAGAAATTCGAAGGAAAAAGTGAATTCAATATACTTCTTCTTTCTTTTTCATATAAGGATTTGGCAGTCGAGTTGTATCCATGTAGCAAACTTCTCTTGTTGCGTAACCACTGACGACGTAAGCATCGTATCCAGCACCGATTAATAATGAGCAGAGAAGAGTGGCATAATCAAAACAATTACCACGTTGATCCAAAAGAATTTTTGTTGGTGACCAAAGTGTTTTAGGCTGGAAAGAAACAGATAATGTCGAAAGGTCGATTGAATGAAAAACTCGATTCTCAACATACAATTTCGTGTGGTGGTTCGAGTAATTCATAGTTGAGATGATCAGCGACGAATTCTGCTGCTGCATCCCATTGAAATAATGTTGAAAATGAAAGTAACGTTGGTTGAACTGTTGTGCAAACAAATTTCTACGGAAAATTGATTTTATTCATAAAATTAGAAGTAGACGTTAAATTATTAGAGTACATACTTGTACACCACATTCATTGTATGGATTTAAAAAAAGTGGTTTGCGATCGCGATAAAGATGATGATATTGTCGACGAAAATTTTCAATGAATGTCAAGATCAATTGTTCTTTTTTCGAGTTCGATCGATATGATACAGGATAATTCTCAGGATGATCACAAACAACAACTGGTCTGCAAGCAAAAACATGTTTAAGTTACGAAAAGTTGCTGTTTTAGACAAAGAACGAACGGAGGAAACATATCAGGCGCAATGATCGGTTGTAATTGAACTTTTGGTGGTGAATTATCTTCGTGTTGACCGTTTTCTTCATCGATAAGTTGATCTGTTGTTTCTTCATTCGCATCTGGTGTGTTTTCTCCATCTTGATCATGCTCTGCGCGTGACTATGAACACATAAAAAGGGAGTTGAGTACTTCTTTTATCAATAAGAGAACTTTCTAACTTCGTGTCCATCAGTTTTAATCAAATGCTCGGAAACTGTATGGTCCGTCATCGTTGACAAGTAAAACACCTTTTCTACGGTTAACTAGAAACTGTTTCTACATCACCATTTTGTTGTTTAACTCCATTGACAACCAACCTTTCTATGCTATTGGTTATTTTCAACCAATCGAGGCAAGTCTGCCATGCTTTCTATTTTTTCTCAAGTGTTCATCTGCCGCTTTAGCTTTTGGGGAGACAGATGTTCATACGGCTATGAGACGATAATTTATCGCTGAGACAAATGACAGTTACGACATGAATTGCGTTACCTGACATTTTCTGTTTGGTATGCATTCAGACAGGTCTTCTTCGATTGTGTATAGTATGTTTTTATTTTTGACTCTTGATATCTTGTGATGATCACTATATGGACGACTCATTTTGAAATTTTAAGGAATAATAAGGTTGATTTTTATTGTAGGACGCGAGGAAAAGAGCCTGTTTTATAAACAAGTAGTCAATAAATTTAGAGAAGTCAGATTACATTATTCTACGATACAATACAAAAAAAAGATTAGAGAAAAATTGTTCTGTGAATTTAGTTTTTTCTTTGGCCTGTTGTTTCATTCGATCTTTAACGAAGTGAAAATGGAAGAAGATTAGAGTGAATACCACCAGAGAGTAATTTGTAAAGAAAGAGACCATAAGCTGTGAATGTAGCAACGGCATTGATTGTGTAACCAAATGTACGTGCGGGATGATTGATCGCTGCATCAAATGTATAGCGACTAGAAATAGATGTAAATACATATTTGATTAACAAAATTTGTGAGTCCACTTACCCAAGAATAAACAAGCCTGATAAAGCAGGAATTATACGAAGATTGTTTGCTTCGAGCACAGATGCTAAAGCGAGTTTAGCTGCAGTAAATGCAAGAAATGATTCAGTTGTATTCGTTAGAATTCGTTGTGTCATTTGTAAGTGATGATTGCCTTCTGAGGATGTTGGTTCAATTCCATCTGAAGAAAATCAATATTGTTTCTACATCGACATCAAAGTCCACTTACATTTAGAACGAACGCCAATAACGCACCATATAGCGGTGACCATTGAAATACCCTACGAAGAAAGAAGTTTTGTCGTAATACAAATGTTCAAATTCAGAACTCATTTTACCTCAAGACCTGTCCAGCGGAGGGCATCTAAAGAGAGAAAACAAAACGAAATGCATTTCAAACATTGAGATTTCTGTCGAATATAACATACAAGCGACACGGTCAGCAGCTGATGATAAAATTGGAATACCAAGAGCCGGAATATTTCGGTTAGCTAAAAGAAGAAGACCACCGCTGACACCTAAGCCAGCTAAGATGTAGGGACCATTTTGTTTAAGCTCGAATTCAATTGTACGAGCTGTTTCCTTGACACGTGATGACGAAGACTAAAAATAAAACCTTGAATATGTCACTAATTTTTACATAACATTTTACATACAGAATTAGCCATTTCTTATCGATTTAATCAAATGAAATGTTGATCTATAATGAAAAGACGGCTTATGGATTAGTCGACATTTAACTCGAAACTTTAGACGATGTGAATGATTTCTGAATTTATTTCTCTCTCTCACACTTTCTACTCTTTTCTCTTTCTATCGTCCTTTATTTTTCAACAATACCACAATATTGTAAGAGCATGTACGGTGGTAGATTGGATAGAAAAAGGAGGAAAACGGCGATGATGGCGAACGCCATAAGTAATACTTCGTCGGTCGAGAAAAGAAAAAAGAATGCGGAGCAAATGTGTTCGTCTAGCTGACGTAAATTGTCTGCCTAGTTGATGCAACAGACGGCGAGGATGAGGGAACTAAAAGGAAAAAAAAACAGAGAAAAGAAAAAACGTGACGAATCGACAGAAAAAATCGAGCCGACCAATGTACTCAAATCTTATGTAATACAGCAACCAGTTTGACCTTATAACTCTGAAACAATCCGATGACAGAAATAGCAACTATCCCAAAGTGAAAATCGAAAGAATCTGTTTCATCGATGGATCATTATTGAACCATCTGTTCAATGTAAAATATCACAATTTATTTATGAGTTGATATTTTAAAAACTAGGAAGTTAAATTCAATTATTTGCATGACAATCACCATTGATTCCCATATAAGCTGGCCAAATTTGTTGCTTATATGGTAGAAGGTTATTATTTTCATTGATCACTTGACAATTCGAGGAATTATTTCGTTCACATTCCATATTCTGAAAATGAAGTCGAAAACGATAAACAGTTAATTGTCCTAGTTGTTTTTTGAATGGATTTGACATCGATGTTTGCACTTGATCGATTAAATCCGGAGATATTTTCAGTATGGTCTCACGTAAGCGAGTTTTGTTTGTACAAATTTCTTCTATATAATGTTCATATGCATCGTGATCCATTCCGTATACAATTGCTACAAGATAAACAATAGAAAAACGTTTATTGGTGCAGAAGGATTGGTTTACGATTTGTTGGTTTTAGTCGATCTTCTTCTTTCGCCATGCCTTCTTCGATACAAGCCCGTTCATCTGCGTGCAATAGTATAGATGTATCAGAATGAATCCAATAGGTTGCGAAAATCAAATCGATCGTTGATTTGGAATTCAATTGGAATGAAGGTGCCAACGTTCCTGAAAACAAGATTTCATGTGGATGAATTCAAATCGATGCTTTTGCTTTCTACCAGTCGAAATCGTTCGTTGTAGTCCGCCATTATCGTGTGGACCCACATGCCGCTTGTATCTCTTTCGAATTAAACGAAAATCAGTATTTTCCTTATTATCGTCATTCGATGCAAATTCATCATTAATCTCATCAGATGCAGACGGTTGACTTGGATCTTCCGTTGGTTTTCCCTTTTCAGAAAAATACCATGAGAACACAAACTTAAGTTTCTATGTCTAACCTCCATGTAATTATCCAATCGTACCCACGATCGATATGTCGATGCGTGTTCAGGATGTTGTCGAAGAAATCTCTTTATATCGATTGAATTTGGTCGAGCAGTACTTCGTTCAATAGCTACATGATGATCTAAATACACAAAGACTCAAAACGTTTTTATTTACAATCCACTTTTGTTTACTTGAATTGTAGATCAAAACACCAGGTGGTTTCATAGATTGTGTTAAACCATGAAGCGCAGTAAAACTTGTTGTTTGGTATCTCAATTTACACATATCAGCATGTGAAAGAAGAGCACTCGGTGTATCTATATTCAAAGAATCAATTTCCGCTTCTCGCAAAATAATCGTCGTACTTTTATCATAGTCTATTTTTCTGTCATCATCATTATTATCGATCCCGTCGCATTCACCCATCCAATAAATGAACATGTCATGTCCATGTTGTTTGAAACTAACTAGAATAGCAGTGTATAAGAGTAGTTTTCGAAGTCAATAAGAAGAAGAAAACTCAACTAGTTAATGGAGAACTTTGTACGCCGATAGTTTGTTCGATTGGTTTATCGAGTATTGTTTTGCCTGTCAAGCCATCAAGAATAGTTGTCTAATTAAACAAAAGAAACGTTTCTTCATGGAAATCAACTTTGTTGCCATACCTGTGCACTATAGTACAATGGATATCCAGGTCCGGTTTGATAATGAATCATTATATCTGGTGTATCATCATCATTGAAATATCCAACTGCAGGTGAGCTGAAACAAGAATATGAAAATGAAATGATATGAACGAAAATATGTACTTCATCTACCTGTACGTTTCCGAACTGAGAAACGTTCGTTTCCACAGCTGTTTGAACGTTTTCCCATCAAATGCAAATAGAGTTGAATTATACAAAGGAATAATAATATCTTCGATTTTATCGTCATTCACATCAATTAGAACCGGAGGTGTCATCACGCCTTTAAACCTATCCCTAATGATTTCAGTGTACTAAATAGAAGAAATATGATTGCGGATTTAACGAAATCTTTGATAGGCACCGGTGTTGCACAATATTCTGTAAAACATTTCAGATCGAATGCATATAGAGCTCCACCATGTGTTTCTCCACCGGTTCCGATAAGAATATATTCTTCCTTGACAGATCTTTTCAATAATTGAGGAGAATAATAAGATTCCATTCGATCAGGAACGATCGACATATTTAATAGTTTACCAGTTTTTGTACTAATCAGAAGCACTTCGCCTGCTAATCTAACTACATCGTCTAACAGAGAAAAATCGGCAATATTTTCAAACGATTATTTCATATTAGAACTAACGTGGTTTTCGTATGGGATCACCACCATGCACAGTAATAACATCATTGACACCATCATTATCAAAATCCTTTTCTAAATACAATGGTGTATAAAAGTTCATCGTTGCATTGCGTATATCATTATCAAATGTCCATATCAATGAACCTGTCTTGCTACTGATAGCTTCGAACGTCTAAAAATAAAAACGTTTAAAGAAGAGATGTTAAAATATGGTTCAAAGCTGTTGAACTTACTCCTCCTCGTCCGCCAGTTAAACAATCCGGAATATAATCACCATCGATATCTCGTTGACAATTCAACGCAAACACTTCGTGATTGGATTTGTTGTAACTCCATAAAAGTTGTCCATTACGACCATCTAAAGCCTAATGGGACTATGTTTTCAACTAATTATGATCAAATCGTATTCGGTACTTTCACACCCCCATTACATGGAGAAATTCCATCGAAATAAAGATCACACAGCAATTGATTATCGGCTAAAGTATCCACACCTGTGCCGTAACCGAAGATAACATCGAGTATACCGTCAGAATTGCAATCGACTAGACGAAAAGCTGTTTCGGTTAACAATTTTGGAAAACCGCTGGTCCAAATCAGTTCGATTTCGACGTTCTCTTTTGATTGGGTTTTTACATTGAAAGGATGGAATATATAAGAACTGAATAGGACAAGTATCGTCGCAAACAAAAGTGAAGAAAACAATATACAACAAAAGCAAAGTCGTAAACATCTTCCAGGTTTTTTATGCCTAGATTACAGAAAACAAGTCAAAGTCCATCTAATAAGAAAACATTATTTTTATTCTACTGACCTGACTGCTAACTTGTAATCACTTTCATCCTTCTGCTCATTATTCAGTAGTGCTCCTTGAACATCTTCTGCTACTACCATTTCTTCGAGCTCATAACTTTCCATAATAGTTGTATTCATAGTTGTGAGCGAATTAAAAGTATGTAGTATGTTGCTGAGCACGTTTTCTTTTTCTTTTCTTCTTTCCAATATTAATGAGTTTCTATCTAAATATTCCTTTTTTCTCCGATTCTTCTTCTTTTTTCGTTCCGTTCTCAACAGTTTTCTTTGTAACAAGAGACACAACAAACGTTCTCTTTCTGCTTTTTCCTCTTTCTCTTAACCATAATCCAACAATGAACTATTAGCTCGACATTCTATTCGAAGCTGTGTCTATTCAGCATATCAGAGCTCATCTCGATACCGTGCAACAATCAGTTCTATTTTGGTTCGTGGATCAATTAAAAAGATTGCAAACAATCAATGCAGTCATGTAACTGATAAGCCTATTGAGAATCTTGATAGCGAATATGAACGCACGTGAGGTATATATAGTTTCAATAACGTTGAAAAATCAGAAATGCATGAATACGTGGAAAATATAAATTAACAATGATTTATAATTTATGACGAATAAGCTTGATTTGATTGAAGCAATAAATACGATTAACTGTTATGCAAAAAAACATACAGTAGACTGTTGCTGTAGCAAATATAAAACCAGATTCAACAAACAAATGATATTCTATTTTATCTTCGCTGAGTACATCGGCGTGATCGATGCTAGAGGGTAGAAAACAATCGTTTGGATCAAGCTTTTTTCGTCGCGGATTATTGCATATGCGAAATGTCCTTTTTAAAATCCGTTCAATTCAATGTATTTTTAACAGATTCCTGACATCTGATCAAACAGAAGAATAGTTCAAACAAATATTTTCAGTAAGATGCGATTGATCATAACGGCAGCTTGTACGTATCTATATAAATGAATGGCAATGTTTCATACAAGCACTAACAATTTTCGATTCGAACTTCACCGAATTTGCACTCATTGCTATGATGAAATATATTTTGTGTTCCTCTCTGTTCACTGCTTTAGTATCATTGTCACATTAATCGGATAAGTGTTCAGTAGACTCTTTATATTCCTCAATCGTAGAATATCTATCTCGTCGTATTACAGCTCTTTCGCAATCATTGAAACGATGCCGTGGTGATACAACGTGTGTGTTCATATCTGAAGTTACCGAATGTCCCTACTATTGGAACACAACACTCATGAGACAAAACATATTGTAATTTCTACAGTTTCATCTTCATCTCCATTATCACATTTATCTCTTGCAGAGAAGACCGCGACGGAATTCCACTTCGTATTCAAATCCTGGTCAACGACGTCAACACCTGCACACCCATTGCTAACGCGGCTGTCACCATGTGGCACTGTGATGCAGGTGGCATCTACTCACATTACATCCAAGCCAGTCAAAACGTTCAAAATCCACAAAAAGACAATTCTACATTTCTTCGAGGTACCGTCCTTCTTGCTCTCTCACTCTTTTCATTTCAATCACCATGTTTAAACATGTAGGTATCCTGCTGACCGATGTGAATGGTCTTGTAACATTTGACACGATCTATCCAGGATGGTACATTGGCAGATCAATTCATATCCATGTGAAAGTGCATCTTGGTGGAACTTATGTGAATGAATCGAGTTACTATTCTGGTGCGAAGTATGTTCATACTGGTCAATTGTTTTTCAATGATTCGTTCAGTGATCTGGTGAATCAACAGGCACCGTACACCAATCACACAGGTAGTCGCACGTTGAACAGCCAGGATGGTATCTATGCATTGACAAATGTGTACACGTTGCTGAATGTTCAATATATGAATTCAGACGGTGGCTTCAGTAGTGGTTTATTCACTTCAATAACTCTTGGTGTTACATCACTTGACAGTGAATCAACCACATTATCATCAGTACCAACAACAACAACAACAGCAGCAGCAGCAGAATCAGAAAAAGACTGATACAACTTAAGAAACAGCAAGCGAAACAACTTTAGTCACCACCACCACGTCACGTACAACAACTACTACTAAGCGTGGAAGACATCCAGATCGACACCCTCCAAGTAATCAGCAACCAGACCACGCGCCAAATCGTCCCAAACCTTGGTTCTCAACACGGTTTACAAAACCATCCACAACGTGGCCCAAGCCGTCATTGAACGAAGGGCGATTGGAATTTACCAGGAGTACAGACGTTTTTTAAGAATTTTTCTCTGTACTAACTAGCATCTGCTGTGTTAACCCAGCATTCGTTTTGTTTGAATAGAAGTTTAATCAGTTTATGAACGTTAAAAAGATGCATACATAACGGACAAGAAACATTCGAAACTGATTATAGCACTGATGGGTGTACGCACTAATACAGTAGAAGACTTTTGGAGAAAATATAGAGATCGAGTGGCAGACGTCACTTGATCTAATGGTATCAAGATTGTGTAAGAAGACGACATTAGAAAAAATTTCAAAACGTTCTATAAATTTCGTGTTTTTATCCATTTCTTGATTTGGCTATCTACTCTAAACATCAGGTGAAATCGACGAAGCATCACTCTGATACTATACAAGGTTATTGTGGAGAATCTTATAAATTTTCTCTAGGAGTCCGTTTCATATCAGTTGAATGGGTTCTTCAAGTATCTCACTTATCCTATAAAATAATTATAAATGTAGTATTTTTAATGTTGTTTAATAGTAAGACTTCCTTTAGTAACTTTCTACCTAATGAAGAGAAAAGTTTAACATTACTACGTCTTCTAGATGTACTTTTTCTCCTTCCTTTCGTCTCGATCACAATCAATATGAAAAAAGTTTTGTCCTATTATCTTGTTTTTCAATTTTCTCCTTTCGAAACTAACATGATTCATGCACTGGAATACCTGAATAATTTCTCAGTCATGAGATGAAAGATAATGTTTCTCAAAAGAGTTTCAGTTCAAAATACGATTTCAAAAATAATCACACAGCCGAATGTACTTTTTTAACATTATCTTACAGATTTTTTACTGACGATGTACTTTTAAAAGACTCAAAACAACCCACCATGTCATACACACCGTTTTATAGACTCTTCACTTTCAATGGTAATATTATATGGCTAGTCATCGGCTCGTTATATAAATGGATAGAATTCTGACGACAAAATTAATTGCGAATATTTGTCACAGAAACATCTCTATTTTCTATAGCTTTACACATTTTTCATTGTCATTATACGGATACTAACATATTCTTGACACAACGATGGCAAAATTCTTCGCCTTGTTCACCAAATTAACTGTTTTAATAACATTACTTCATCAATCCAGTAACTTTATCAGTATTTTGTTATATAAATTCATGTTTCTTGAGTATAGTCGCATCAGAATCGCTACAACGATGTCGTCGCGAGTCCACCTGTATTCTCACACCTGAAGTTACTGAAGGTCCCTACTATTGGAACACAACACTCATGAGACAAAACATATTGTAATTTCTACAGTTTCATCTTCATCTCCGTTATCACATTTATCTCTTGCAGAGAAGACCGCGACGGAATTCCACTTCGTATTCAAATCCTGGTCAACGACGTCAACACCTGCACACCCATTGCTAACGCGGCTGTCACCATGTGGCACTGTGATGCAGGTGGCATCTACTCACATTACATCCAAGCCAGTCAAAACGTTCAAAATCCACAAAAAGACAATTCTACATTTCTTCGAGGTACCGTCCTTCTTGCTCTCTCACTCTTTTCATTTCAATCACCATGTTTAAACATGTAGGTATCCTGCTGACCGATGTGAATGGTCTTGTAACATTTGACACGATCTATCCAGGATGGTACATTGGCAGATCAATTCATATCCATGTGAAAGTGCATCTTGGTGGAACTTATGTGAATGAATCGAGTTACTATTCTGGTGCGAAGTATGTTCATACTGGTCAATTGTTTTTCAATGATTCGTTCAGTGATCTGGTGAATCAACAGGCACCGTACACCAATCACACAGGTAGTCGCACGTTGAACAGCCAGGATGGTATCTATGCATCGACAAATGGATATACATTGATGGCTGTTCAATACGTCAATTCAAATAACGGATTTAGTAGTGGTCTGACTACAGCAGTAACACTTGCAGTCCAAGGATTGTCTTCGGCAACTACGACCACAGTAGCCTCCACTACTGATGATAGTCAGGAATCTACAACTTCGGATTCCTTAAGTAGTTCTTGCAATGGGCGCGCTGGCGGTCGTCCCTTTTGGCTATGGTAGAACAAATTCAAAGACATGTATGAACTGTGATGCTTATTACCATTCTATACCTTTTGTGAATGATTTTTAAGCGTTTTAATTATCAATAAATCATGGCATTATACCAGAAAGCTATGCTTTAGGAACCACTAGGAGAAGTCATTGGTTTTGCTTGTTGATTATGAATAGTTTATTACAGACTATGGCCATGCACTTTACAAAAACTGAATTAAACAAGGAATGGAAATGTTCAGAAATATTGCTAGGAATGAATGCTGGAGTAGGGAAAAGTCCATTGTGTTCAACTTCATTGCTTGGTCATTGATACTGACACTTCACGTTCTGAGCGTAATCACATCGATCAGCTTGAAAATTAAACCGAAGTGATACTGGACAACTTCGGCTCAATAACATGCCATACGGATTTGCACTAGCTCCTAAATTACATACACAAATGAAAAGTGTAGCTCAGGGAACTACTGCTATGATCAAAAGAAAAAACCTTCTTGAAAATGGATACATTCGAAATATTTTCCTTGAGCACAATTATATAAATCAACAAAACGACCGTTTGATTGACATTGAAAATATTCTATCGGGGAGTAAAACAAAAATGATTACTTAGTTAATCAATGCAGTGGATTCAAAAGAACTACCAACCAGTTTCACAATATCGTCCAGTAAATCCGTTTTTACATAAACAACGGGTAGAATCTGATGTGCTGCCGTAGCACGTGCCACCATTGATACATTGAACACCGTTACAATTGGGAACTGCAGCAACGGCTATTATAAGTGACTATATGTTGTGAAAACTACTCTTGTTGAACATTTTCACTTACTTGACATATGTTCACAGAATCGTCCAGCATACCCGATTGGACAAACGCAAATCTGAGAGCCGATTCTGCTACATACTCCACCATTTTGGCACGGACACAATAGTGTACGAGCAGTACTAGTTGTTACTGACAAAGAAACATAGTGTTGTGTTATCTTTCGACTAATTTTACTATTCAGATCTGAGCAGATGGTATCGACTTACTAGCTCTAGGTAAACATCGCGAACGAAAACTTCCATCTTGACAATAACATATGTATGACGCTTGTAAATCGTAACAAACACCTCCATACTGACCTAACCATCAGAATAACTCATTTTCAATACACATATTTGCAGGTTACTCACAAGGATTTGACGCGCATTCATTGATATCTGAAACATTTCCTCGATAACCGTAGTGATACAAAGCTTGCACGGTTGTTGACTTACTCATGTCACAAAAGACACCAGTATAACCTGGCTTACAAAGACAACGATAATTGTTAGCTGCTTGCAAACATCGTCCACCATTCATGCAAGATCGACTATCATATGGATCGCACGTGAATGGCGACTTTATCGTTGTTCTCATTGTTGTTCTTGTGGTTGTCGTTGTTGTTGTTGTTGTTGTTGTTGTGATGGCGGTAGTGAATATTCGAGCGGTGGAAGGTAAATATCCAAACACTAAAAAGAAGTGAGTAGTTTTCAGAGTTAGAAATTTTTCTTTCAATCTATTGAAGTAAAATATTTACTACGACATGATAAACCAAACTGCCCATTTGGACATAAACAAACAAACGGAATACTTGGCTCATTGAGTTGAAGACATTTGCCTGGATTGCACGGATTTTTCGAACATGGTGATGTTATTTGTTCTACAATCAAAGTAATAGACACATGTTATTTGCAAAATATTTCGGCTCAATACCATCGCACAATTTTCCAGTCCAAGTAGGTAAACAATTACAAAAATAACTAGCCAAACCTTCAATGCACAAACCATTGATACACGGATTAGAATAACAACCACTCCGAGTGACTAAACACATGCCGATCAAATGGTTTCCAATGGATTATTAGAATTCGATCATTTCTTACCATTGCAGCTTGTCAGCGATATTGCATCGCCAGCACATCGACATAAATATCCATGAAGTAAACTTGGCACTGCTTCGCAAGTGCCTGACCCGCATGGATTTCTTGAGCATGGATCTACCAATGAATATTCATATATCATTGTTGACTTCCTCAAAAACAAAAAGTATCAACAAACTTTCACTTGGACATGGTAAGATTGTATTTGTACCACCTGGACATCGGCAAAAATAAGGCAATGCTGGATTTTGTGTTTGAATACAAATACCCGATCCACAATTAACATTTTGACAAATATCTACAATTAAGATACCGGTACTTAATCTAATCAATTCAATGTAATTACCTTCACCAGATACAAAATGTAGAAGAAGGAGAAAACAAACGTTGAGGTAAATCATTTTTTTCTTTTAACCGTTTGTCTTGCGACTACCAACGATGAATGCAATAGAATAGATCCGTGACAATCAGACATTTTCGAAAATAAGATCATCTCGTCTTTTTTTCTTTTATTCTCAAATTTCTCTAGTTCTTCACATACATTCGATGACGTTGTTTTTCGAAAGTGAGGTCATTTGATCACGTCGTCTGTCTCGTCATTTGTACAAAGAGACAAAAGCAGTCGTCTTCACTAACATATATATATATATATACATTCTTTTAGACCTTGGGAAGAAGACGGACACAACACATACGTTAATCGGCTGAGAGGGTAATCTGAGCACGTTGATTGAACAAAGGCGCGACATTTGATGAGAATGCATGAGTGAAACAAAAATCACTTGTTCTTCTTTTCGTGTCGAAGGACAGAACGAAACTTTTGATTTCTTTGTCTGAGTCGAGTCTATTAAACAAGTAATCGGTGTTTTCATATCGACGTCACTAAATTTAACTTTTATTTTAACGTATTCTTTCTATATAAATCTCATTCGACCGGCAAAAAGCTCTCATTCATGCACACACAAACACATACATCTTACATTAAAAGGATTCGCATTCTTTTATGACAGTATAAACACATGTGCGCGAAAGAATAAGAAGAAGAAGAGGAAAAAATGAAACGAAGAAAAGTTATTTAAAACCATTTGTTTCATTAATCGACATTGGAAAAAAGAAAACATGAGTTACGGATCAAATCTCTTAGCAGAATATCCAGCATCATACAATCAAACAGTATTACCCAATATTGAGTCAAATACACGTGCAGCTTTTGCAAATTCCTACCAAACAGAGAATTCCTATCGAAATAATGATTTGAGGTCCAGCCAGGAAAGAATGACGCATCAACGATCGTCCATTTCTCAAAGTTCTTCAATAGCGAATTCACGAAAACCAGCTCCGCCCAATCAACCTGTTCCTTCACTGAATGAAATGCCTGAGTATGAAGAAAGTCTCGGCACAGCATCAAGCGTAGCTCGTTCAATCAATAAATTTCCTAATGTTCAACAGAATCATCAACTATATACAAATAATACCGATCCAAATCCATCATCTCAATCGAATCAACCTACATTACAAACGAAAACGCCAAAACAATCAACATTACGTACTCAACCTATTAAAGATGTAAATAGAAAACCGACAAAGAATGAGGCTTATGAGGATGAAAGAGCAAATCTATCGGTGCCTGTTGACGGATGGGTAAATGATGCAAAGAAGAAATCAGTAGCAGACGGCAAATCAACTAAACAAGCTTGGGCAGTGAAAACTGAACATACGGGCCCAACCCAATCTGATAAATCCATACGTTCAAAACCGATCGAAAACAAAGTCAATCGAAATAAATCGAAATCATTCACTCAGCCAATTAGTCGGGACAAGACCTATGAAATTCAAAACGATCCATATTTTGACGAAATCGACCGTGAAGATTCATCCCCACATCAGCCAACACCAACTAAACCATATCGTAAGTTATTCATTTACGAAATATTTGCACTTATTCGAAATTTCGCTATCAAGATCAACAAAGTCCAACAAATCCGAAAACATCTTTATATGAATCACCATCTTCAAAACGTTTACCAGGCGTCACGACAGCAAAATCTTGGAAACGACCAGATCAAACACAAGTAGTCAACTTCGATATGGTTCTCTCCAATGTGTACTTTCCTTCGTTTAGTTCTCAATGGATTCACCACATTTCGATTATACTCAAAGTGAATTAAGTGATCGCGACAATCTTCACAAGAATGCAGATGAACGTTTTCGTGAAGCTCTGCAAAAGTTACGTTCTGATCGTGCTAAGCAACAAAAAGAATTAGTAAAAACAAACAACATGTCTCTTTGACATTTCACTCCTTACAAAACATATTTTCTCCTAGAGTGAAACAACAGCAAAACGCCTCCAGTACGGTGATTATATTCGTCATTCGACCCGGGATGAATTACTTCAAAGTGTGGTGAAATCGCCATCGTCGACCGGTTTTCTCGAATTGCGAAAAGGAAATTTATTATCGATCTTCAAAGAAGAAAAAGTTGAGCAGTCGAGTCGATGAAACCTGAATATTTTCTTTGTATGAATAGAAAGAACTCTACGATCAATCACGGTCGTATGCCGAGCGCGTCCGCTATCGAAATTATGATAAATGGCAAGAAAATGAAATCGCTAAATCTCTTCAGCAAAACGCTCTTCACAAAGATGCTTCTCAAGTTACTTTCAATCATTTTCCTTTTCTCTTCAAACTCCTCTCTGTATTTATCTAGGAATCCGAATCAAGTAATCTAACTCCTCGTCAAAAAATGAAAAATGGTAGAACAAAATCTATTGATCGTTCGCTGCAACGACACCAATCAGAAATAACAACACAAACCAAACAAAAAGATGCTCGCGACGTTAATCAAATAAAAACAAGCGAAAGAGTTCGAAATGCGCTCCGCACTCGTCGATCGGATGATGACTATGAAAATCTTGTTGATTTCAATGCCAATCGAAAGAAAACCGATCCCGAACGAAAGAAGAAAAAAGTGAGCTATGCAAAATATGATTCCGTTGGACGAGAAACAAGTGGCATAGAAGATAATGACGATGATTTTCCTAATCGAACACCACGGATAATGCAGTTAAAACTGCGACAAGTTACCAGCAATTTATACACGTTGGAAGAAGAAAAATCACTGGGCGATCTTCGTCAACGAAAACGTTAAAATATGCATCTCTCATCGTTTTTTAATGACCAATTAGTGAATCCCGAACGCATAAGTTCATGTTTTTTCTATCTGTGAATAAATAATACATAAAAATTCTCATTTTCATTCAACAACAAAGAGTAAAGAGAAGTTTTTTTTTTCTTTCTCGACAAGTTTTTTTACGTCGCTATGATGACTTTTTTTCCAGATCAATATAATTTAAATTTTAACGTTATTTGTCGATCGTTCTGTTTGATTGTTGTTGTCGTACACCTTCGCTGTCCTTCTTCTTCTCAACGCTTGTTCGAAATAAAAACTACTTATTGATCAAGGCAAGAGAAAGATCAAGTTCAGTTTTTTTTGCCAAACAAGAGTAGATGATTATTGAATTAGACATTTCATCTACTCGATATAACTCACCACTTTTTCTTCTTCTCATTTCAAAATCCAATTAGAAACGAAAACAACTGAAGAGAGCACGAGACATTTCATTGCGTTGACAAAGTAAACATTCAAACTACACGAGAGTCATGTTTAAGTGCCTATATAATGTTGTAGAGACACGCAGAAATGAATGCACTCGAATCCGAGTACTCATTTTTGGCACCAACATGGAAGTTACCGCCTGTTGCAACTCCGTCTATATATTCGCGAATCCATGGTAGTGCATTTCTATCGCATGAACCAACTTACGATCTAGATTGGGTTCGTGTGTATTTACAACGATGTTCGAAAACCTTTGCAATTCAATTTTTTTAGATCCTCTGGAAAAATACATTGTACAATTCACGACCAATTCCATCGTATCTCCTTTCATCGCGATCTAATTACGACTATACCATGCCAACGAATCAACAACGACCTACACTTCCTGCTGTTTCTTCTTCCCAAGCAGAAGAAGAACAACAACAACGGTATTATCATCAAGTAGCCAATGCACGTCCGAAATTATCCCAATCATTCCAATATCAACCACCAAATAATGCCTCTCAACATAAACCCAATCTTAATGAATCTCAAACTTTCGAAACGAATGCAAATCGGGAATTGACTTATTCCACGCCCGCTCCAAGTAATCGTACGCAAGCATCAACACAAAAACGCCGTGTACAGATAACTGATCGGAATAATTATCAACCGCCATCCACAGCCATTAACAATCATACATCTGGGAGAAATAGTTATAATTCTAATCACAGTCAAACAAAATCGAAATCATCTGGAACGAATCAAGAGAATCGTTTTGGCTATACTGGAAATAATTTTAATATTCATGAGTATCTGTACGGTTTATCGGCACCTGATCCGGGTTAGTGGAAAGAATTGTTAATTATTCAAGAGAAGCCTCTGCAAACTTTTGTTTATTTCAGGTAGCTACGTCGATGCTTTTCGACAGCATCAACGTCGTTTGCAAGACGAAAAATCAACTCGGAGATACATTTTGAAGGACTACAGAAACTTCGTTCAAAATGGCGGTTTTGGTCCGATGTTCGGAAATACGGACCATCGAACATTCACAGAAAAAGTTCTTATTTAGATTACACTCTTCATCAAACTTCGTTTACTTGTGATTAGGTAAACAAACAGGACCGAAGAAATGTCTATTCAAAAGCTGTTCGAGAAACTAATCATAACAAAATCGAAACTCAAAGGCAATTACAAACTAGTTACTCTCAACAACGAAACCCAACTTCATCGACACCACGATACCAACGGGTAAGAACGAGTCAATAGTCTTCAACTTTTCAACTAACTTGATATGAATTGACAAATCATTCTTTATCTTATACATATGAATATATACACTCGTACACTTTTTGCAGCACGATGCCACTAAATCTTACTTTTCGTCTATGCGAGAGGTGAGAGACTTTGAACGTCAAATCAGACGTGAACACAATAAAACATGCAAATGCTCTTTGCACAAAAAATTCGCCTATACGAATGCTTAATGTACACATAGACTCAGACTGCCAACTGATGTAAATCGTTTTTAATCGTGTTCTGACTTTTGCAACTATAACTCATCTACCTGCTTTTTTAGTATGTCTAACCTGTGTGTTTGCAGTGATTGTGATGGATTCGAATGATGATATTCTATATTTCTAGGCGAGAGAGTATGCCGACAAAATCGAAAAGCCTCAACATACGAAACCATTGGTGCGTTTGCGTGACCCTATCTCCGGCAATATTATTATTCCTGATGCTTTACATGAACCTCGTCAAAACCTAATCACTTAACCTATACATTTATCCTCTATTTTGCTTTGTGTGTCAGAAGTTCCTTTCTCTATTATTTGTACATATCTTTCGAGAATTAACGCACTGCAGTTTGTGAAGTACCTGCTTATGTTTGATCTGTATATCTATTGCTCTTGATTGAAGTGCCGTAATTTGAAAAGGAAAACTTGTGCTTCGAAGACTTCCACCAAACAAATAATTGTGGAAAAGAACGATAAATGCTATCATTATACTGTTAAACCAACCTCTCTGAATAAGCATAAACCAATTAATGATAAAATATCTTATTTTAACTAAACATTTTCGATCGAAATTGCATGATCTATTCATTTCAATTTCATAGGTTGATACCAAACTATCCTCTGAACCATCTATCATTTTACCAATAATCACACCGCTGTCAAGCAATGAGCGTCCGACGAATTTAAGTGATTTCTTACCTGCAGAGTTCGATATTAATCAAACAAGACGTGTTTCATCTTCGAAAACGGTCCCACCGCCAAAACGTCATGTTCGTTTTCATCCTCATGAATTCGTTCGACGTCGGTCAAGTACATTCACTGAATTTCCTTCCTCGTTGGAATCTGCGCAGAGACAGAACGTTGAACATTTTCAAAAATCTTCCAGTCTTTCAGCACTCACGAATCGCAAACAAATAAAAAAACAACGAATGGACTCAAACACAACGAATCTAAATAAGAATGTGGAACTTCAGCCATCTTCAATTCCTCGAACATCTTCCCGGAAATTTCAACTCGAAAATTTCGACTTTAAACTCAACGTCGCTCCTCATCATGTCTAGCATGATTCATCTTATCAATAAAAAGAAACAATTATCTACTTTTCTCTTCTCTTCTTTTTTTTGTTAGATAAAAGAACGCGTGCTAAGGTCATTCGAAGTATCATAAAACATGCCGGAGAGTCTCGAGCATATTGACAAAAATGCATCAAAAGAGCAGAAATACAAACAGGTTCTTGCTGAAATCAAAAGTTTAGTTCAATATGAAAAGGATTTGATTGCGAATCTTGCGAACATCAGCGCAATACTCAAAGAAATCTTCGCATTTTGGTGGGTCGGATTCTATCTAGTTAAAGATAATCAACTGATCCTTGGCCCATTTCAAGTAAAAATCTTAGGATGAAAAAATTGGTGCTAAGAAAATCTCTTTTTTTCAAAGGGTCCATTAGCATGTACAAGGATTCAAATGAACAAAGGTGTTTGCGGCGCAAGCTGGGCTCAACAACGGACTATTTTAGTACCGAATGTTCATCAATTCCCGGGCCATATCGGTATGAGTAAAGTTACTTTTACTAATTAAACTGAGTTTATTCTTTTTTTAGCTTGTTCGTCAGCTTCCTTGTCGGAAATTGTTGTCCCAATTATTCGCCGAGCATCGTCGAACGATGAACAAGGACAAGTGTTAGGTGTACTAGATGTTGACAGCGAATTTGAAAATCATTTCGATGAAATCGATCAACGTTATCTCGAACAATTGGTTCGCGAGTCCATTGAACCCTGCTTTTGATTCGTAGGAGGAAAAGAATCAATAGAATTCTTTCGTTTTGTTTGTAAACAATTGCCGTTTCATTAATCGTAATTATCCATGCCTATTTGACATGTTCTAGACTATGTGTTTCAATACAAAAAGCAAAAGCTCTTGTCCTTGAATAAATTAACGAATATAATAGAAAAAAAATTATTTTTCTTCCGTTTCTCTTTCGATTGCCGAGAGGAATGTGTGATGTGAGAACACATCTAGCATTTAAAAGAGATCCTGTGTTCATTAAGAGAACATTTTTCCGGATGCTTCAGCATTCGATATAGTTTAATTAACAAGCAAGAATATCCATAAGCGAAAGAATGACTAACCGTAGTCGGACGTGATTACATTTCGATTTCAGGATCCCGTGCGCCAAACTTGTTATAACTACGATCATCTCGTGGATGAAAATGAAAGTAATTCGATCGGTAATCGGCTCGTTGTTATGCTTTGACCTTCGATGGTTTTTTTTCTTATCGAGATATTGTTAATAAACTTACGAGAAATGCACACACGGAAAGAATTGATTTTTACAAATCGGTAGTCGATATGACACGAGCAGAGATGTATTATTTACACTTATTCTTTCTTCTTCTTCTTCTCATTATTCTATTACTTTGATTAAAGTTAGAAAAAAGAAAAGAAAGAGATCGATCTCAAAAACTATTTTGTGATTTTTCTCTTTTCTCTCCTGCGCTCCTTCTTTTCTCAATATTATTCCGAGTCAATCGTTTGCTTTAATACGGTAACGACAACACGTAGAATAATAAAACAGTCCATCATGGATTCTGATTTTCTTCCATAATTGATCAAGTATGTCGTTTTCCTATGCACATCATCAATTCAGTATTTTTCTTTACAGTCAACTAAAAACGATCTTTTGATTGACAGGAAATAAGGTAGGCTTATTGCATTTGCTGATGTTAGTTTACAAGGGAAAGCAGGTTTGTGTAGACGTCAATAGAAATTAGTACTTGTGACAAATGACGATGTCTATAGCAATTCTTTACATACATATAAACATATATATATATATAGAGAGAGAGGGAATAAAGCTGGAAGCTATTCATACTAACACATTAAAATAGGAAATCGACCTTCTCTGCAACTTCTAATCTAAACGATCCGTTGATATTATTTTTTCCTTCCACTTGAGTTAATTTCATTTTTTCAATCATATACACATCAATCGCCCGTTGTGTTATATAAATAAGGTCGCTGGAATTCATCCTATTTGAAGACATAACTTGTTTTCTTCATTCTTTAGTTTTACAAATGATTTATCACATCTTTACCTTCGGTTTGCTTACTCTACCGGTGCTTCTAACAGAACCTATTATTCCTAATTCGTACGGACCCGTTTCACCATCATCATATAATTACTATGCATATCAACCATCTCAACAACAACAGCAGCAGCCACAAACACCTTCACCTTATTTGAATAAGCGCAATCCGAATAATGATCCTTACTCAAACTCTCAACAATCATATTCATCCATAGCAACAGCTTATGGTTCTGCTGGTTCGAAGACATCATCATCCAAGCAGTGTAAATTACATATCAATTGTCCAAGTAGGAAAATAAAGAATAATTTTATGCACTTCTTTAAATATTCTTTTCTTTAGATGCAAGAAATCGAGTGACACTTGATATTCAAGGACCGGCAGGTACGTATGTATTGATTTCAAAAGCGAAAAATTTGAAAAACATTTTCTTGGTTGATGTAGGCCCGCCTGGTCCACCAGGAAAACAAGGCATGCAAGGACCAAGTGGTCCACCCGGATTGCCCGGCCCACCAGGTAAACTCTACATCTATTAACATTCACCATGAATCTCCATTCGTTTTCTTTAGGTCGTGACGGTCACTCAAATATCAAGTCTGCTTTTTTTGTCGCATTGAATAACACCTACTCTTTGCAAGCAGATTCGTCTATAATCGTTTGGGATGATATTTTACTAAACAAGAATTATCATTTGAATAGAACAACAGGTATCTACTATGCTCCAATCAACGGTCTCTATGAATTTAGTTTAACTGTTTGTGTGCCGGCAAATCATATCGTATGTTTCCTTGTTGCTTCTTGTGTTTATTTCCTCTTACGTTAATCGTTTTTCAGGCATCTGTTTCTCTATGTAAAAACACGGAAAATGTTGCCCCACTATGGGTGGAGGGTTATTTAACAGCTGTTAAGAATCAAAGAGTACCCGTTTGGAATACGGCGTCGACAACTGTGGTTTTATTTTTGAATCGAGGCGATCGAATATACATTCGTGCCCAATCCCGTAATGATGCCGACTATAATTTCAAAACATCACTATATGGTTGGCGATATACTACATTTGGTGGATTTCTAATTCACGAAGACAATTAATCGAGCAAATACATTCTTCTTTGTGATATAATCTCTAAATATTCTGCATTGGTTTCTAAGGAAAAGAAAAATAGACATTATAATATTGGTTTGAGTTCAATCGTATAGAAATTTCGTAGTTCATATACACGTCTAGGTAGACAAAGGCACTATTGAAAGAGAATGTGAATTGAGAAATCACCATCACAAAAACTCTTTGAATAATGCTTTCGTTTTTTAATTTAACTTACTGTTTATTTTGTTTCGAACTAAAACATATGTCTGTATTTCAATGTATTCGTGATTGTATTTATAGGTAGTAAGTTCGTTTTTTTTCTCTTCATTTTAACAATTGTCTCATTTTCTCTCTCTCTCTCTCTTTCATTCTTTCTCATAAGTCAAGCAGCTTTTCATATTGAATGCATTCAAGCATGGATTTTTTTTCACCTATTGAAAAGATAATAATGCATAGATAGGTGAAAAGAGGATGGTCATCAGTCAATGAATATGTGCGTATATTTAACATGCACATTAGGATAAAAGCGAGAAAGCAATTGCTCGAAGGGATGTTAAAAACAAACTGACAAGCCGAATGCATACAGGTGATATTATCGTGTCACATCTATTTAGGCTATTGGATATCGTCACATATTCACATTCACCTTTTGCTTCTCTCTCTTTTTCAAATGTGTCGATTTATAGGATGGATTGTTTGATGAAATAGAGAACTGTATAAGTAATGAAAAATCATTCGAAAAAGCCGAGCGAAACTTCGCCGATATTTCGTATGAAAACAAAGCCAAACGAGAGATCAGATTAGATCAAGTAATCGTTTTAAAGTATATGAGCTTAATTGAAGTCACAGCTGTTTTATTTCACAAAATAAACCGATGTTATCTTTTCCTATTGTTATTAACCATCAATAAAAGGTTTTCATTGAACCCGTCGACCAATGTTTGAATTGAATTAACAAACAGACCTTCCTCTTCGTCGAAGAACACTTCTCTTCTCAGAATGTCAATATTGAACTTTTGACGCACCGCACATTCAATGGCAAATTGCTTCTTTTCGAGAAAAAAACTATTGTTAATTACATCTTCGCAAATCATCATAAATATCTTCATTATATTTTCACTTAGAAGAATAAAAAAGCTGTTAAACTTCAAACGGACATTGAAATTGCCGTCAAAACAATTATTTTATTAAAAACTAAGATGAAGAGAAAAAAATGTGTATATAGGAGGAAAACCATCTAGCGCAATGGTCTTTTAACCAATGAAAATCGAGCTACGAGAAACAAGGAAAACCTATAGCGAGCTGAATGCACTATCAAAGACAGGAACAGAGACAATCATGCGTATGGTGAATAGGACTGATAGAGCCTACGCACTTTCAATGTCAAATACGAATTGATTGAAAATCTCTAGAGATTCTTTTGTTTTATAAGATTAAACAAAAATTTCCTTCTTCTTCTTCTTTTCTAGATCAAATAATGTTCTAAAATACAGAGATCTATTTATAAAAAATAACTTAAGGTCAATAATGGCGGCCTTATTCATGCAAAAGAATCATGGTAAGGAAAAGAACTCTTCGGCGAAGTTGAATAAATGATGATTTGCTCTTTGCCGGTAGATATGGCACAAAACAAAGATGTGCAATCTTTGAAATCGCAAGCTTAAATTGTCTTTTTATGGATATGACACCTGATTTAAGTCATCTAACTGCTGATGAGAAAAGAATTATCGAAGCTGTTATTAATCGTGAAAAAGCAGAAGCAAAACGTGATTCTTTCCATAATTCGTGAGTAATTTCGGCAGAAAGTTTCACTGACTATCGATCGATTCGACTTAGATCGCCATGTGATGATTATTCGGCGCCCTCCGTAGCAATAACATCTCGTCGTTATTCTCAATCGAACGAATCAGGTGCATATTGTCAAATCTGCCAACGAACAAAATTTGTCAATGAACAATCATCTCGTCAATGTTCCATATGTCAAAAACGTTTCTGTGTTCGATGTGGTATTCGTGTGAAATCGCATTATTATCTCTGTCAGCAGTGTCGACAAAAGCAAGAACATTATTTTTCTTCAACACGGAATATTTGCAAGCAATATGTTTCGGATTATATTCTGTCTCAAACATCGGATTCCAATGTTTTGAATACGATTGCAATTCATCCACAACGTGTTCTGCCAAAATTGGATACTAATGATGATGCATCATCGCCCGAATCGATCACAACAGCGGATAACAAACAGAGACTATTGCCTGTTGCGAGACAAGATATGCGTTCAATGAATATTTTACGAGATTTTCAGTATCATTCACTCGAAGATAGAGAAATAGGTCATGAATCGACGTTAAAAGATTCGGGAATCGATACAGCCAGTTCAAGCACAATCTTGAACGTCATATCCACCGATCAGTTTCAAAAGGTTTCTATAAATGTCATTGTTTTTTGTCTTGTGTATGTGTTCCATATGAGTATAGAAATATTCTAATTAATAATTCATTGCCGTTTTCTAGCCGATGACATATTGGCGTTTTAATGAAACACGTACTGAGCAAATTGGTTGTATTTATTTGAAAAATAATCTTTCAACTTATGAACGCGAACATGGTAAATTAACCCAAGATGACATATTCAATGCATTTGGTTTCAAAGTTCAACTGAATGACACGAATCTCGTGGAAATTACCGAAGTTATTCCGGGAAGTATTGCTGATACTTATGGACAATTGCGAATGGGTATGTTTCGGAGACAGAGAGAAATTGTTTTCGGCAAAGAATGACTTATTCCAGGTGATCAAATAATCGAATGGAACGGAGACAAACTGAAAAATGTTCAATCTAAGAATGTTAATCGTGTTCTTTCACAAATATCGCTTCAATCGCCACAAATTCATATGATTGTCAAACGATCTCTCAGGTCGGTTATTTTTATCGACACTGATGTATCTTTGGCAAATGATTGTTTAGAACTCCAATCGCATTGAATAATAATGATCATCTATTACAGAATCGATTTATGCAAGGTAAAGAACGAGTGAAAGAGTTGTTTTTTATTGAGTTTATATTCTTGTGCGACACTTGGTTTTTTGTGTCATTTATGGTTCCTTCCTTTAGCCCAAAAGAATAAGACAAATCATAATGAACTGTACGGGAAAAGACGAATGGTAAAGAAAGGAGGAAAGAAAACTGATAATGAAGAAATGCTTGGACAAATACTCACTCTTGAAGAATGAGTTGTACTTCATTCTTTTTTTCTCATCTCTCGATGAATACTAAATCTTTCTCTCTTCCTTCTTTTTCTTCGAAACGACGTCGCGACGTTCTCCATAGAATATTAGAAGAAAAGAAGAAAATACTCAGCGCACACACACATTCTCTTCACAACAAGACATCCATCTCTTTCCTTCTCCAAAATTCATTTCACTGTGCTGTGAATTCACTGACATTAACACCCGAGAGTTTCTTCAGGGAAATATCATGCGTTTTCTAATTATTCAATTGATCAAATAAATGCAAAGATCACTACTCAGACTATTTTCCATTTATGAATTTGTTTATTTTTTTTTTCAGAAGATCAAATCATACCATCAATAATAGAAACCCGTTCGATCCAATTACAGGTACATTTGATCCCGGCTAATCCGATAAAAACCCTCGAAGAGATTTTTTTTCGTCTTATAGCTTTCATTTCAATACAATGAAAATTGTTTACATATTATGATCTATGGTGCTAGAAATATTCCTCTAAATCAAGGTCTTTTGGCATGTCAAGTATCATTGGAATCAGAATATGATATCTCGTAAAATTTCGATTTGATCTTTGTCGTTGCATAAATTGAGAACTTTTTTCTAGATCCAAACAAGACAAATGTACAAAAGGTCAGCCGTGTTCATCAGGAAGTTGTACATGGAATCAACATATAATCTTCTTTGATCTTGATACGCTTGAAAACGTGTTGTTATGGATTAAACTAATCAATCTCGAACATCGACAAGAAATTCTCGGAGAAATGAAATTTCAGCAGTTAAACTTAAGTAGCAACCCACAGTGGTATAAATTAAACAACATAGCAGATGGTTTGTTTACAAAGAAAAAAAACAACCTTTTTTTTCTCACACTAGAATCATTTCCTTTTTACATTCAGGGTCATCGTGCAATCGCGCTCATTTGTCTACAACTGACGTGTAAGATTTAGATGAATCATCTAGAGTATGTTTCAATATTGATACAACTATTTTTAGTCTACCGGTAACACAGAGCCGTAAACGACAGTTACCAGATATTCCAACAGCACGATTGGAAGCTAATCGAGAAAAAGGTTCTTTCGTTGTTCAGACCAAATGATATTTTTTAACCTTTCTAATGTTGATTCATAGTTTCTCAAGATCTATTTCAAAAAGCAGCTGAACTGAAGTTACGTCTTCATATGCAGTCGAAGAACGACCGACCGCTTCTGACTCAACACAGTTTTGATCAAACTGATTCAATTTATAAACAGCTGTACGAAGATCGTCCGCGTCCAAACGATGATACTTCGAGAAAATCAATGATGAACTTAACGTCGAAAGCAACTTCGACGATGAATTTGAAGGAGAAAGTACGTATACCAATCATTCGAGATAAAAGTGTACCGGCGACGATACCGGTTCGACGAACGACAACAACAACTGCAGCAGGACCAACAACGCCTAGCCGAGTTGACATGGAAAAAACAAAAACAAAATCGTTCGAAGAGAAATATCGAAAAACAATCAAAAAACGATGTAAATGTTTTGTTTGTTCTCCATTCTAAAATCTAAGATTAAACCTTTGATTTCTATTAAGATCCCTCTGAAACACAAGCAGATGATGTCGATTCTGATGGATCGGAAATGTCATTTGCATCACGACAGAGTACTACTAGTGCAGTATCTACGCAATCAGAACGACATCGACATTTACGAAAGCAAAAGTAATTAAATTCTATTTTAATCTTGTACTATTTGAATTGGGAAAAATTTTCTGTTTTAGTCTACAAAAACGTAGCAACGAACAGTTCTATCAAAATGATGAAGTGCAATTAAACGAAGAAGAACTTCGACAAATGGCAATGCGAACTCATGACACATCAACAAATTCTGCAACTACAACAGATACCTCAACAGGTAAAACAATAGCAGCAGCACCAGTGCTGACGACAACAACAACAGCAAATGTTTCGAATACAAAAACTGGTAAAGGAGAACAACGTAATGATGGTACCTTGTCTGATTCGGCTCTGAGCACACAATCTGAATCGAATAAAAAACGACAGCCATCTATGTCATCGAAAGCTCTAGTTATACTTGGCCTATCGAAAAAAGCCAATAGTTCATCCAATCTTGGTGGTGGTAAATCAATTACAAACCTTCCACATATACTCGTTTATTGTAATTTCATTTTCTAGGTAAACGATACGGTTTTCAACGAAGTGAAGAAGTTGGTGTTCAACCACATTTACGTAATCGAACATTACAACAACAAACGAGTAAAGAGAATGAAACGCCATCGAGTGCTCCACCTACAACATCATCCCCTCAGTCACTATTCAATTCAGCTACTAATCAGCATCATTCTCTTCCTCCTGACATGGCCAAGTAAGATTTGTATTCACTCGAACGAATCGTTTGTGACACAAGTCGTTTCTTTCAGATTATGGTCCGGTGCCTTAAAATTACCGCACGAACATCAGTTTAGTGACTTTATTGAAGGTTTAGGCAAAGGACAATTAGTTGGTCGACAAGTTCTTGCTTCGCCTTGTCACGGTGAAATTCAAATAGGTCTTCGGAATCAAAATGGCATCCTCGAAGTTGAAATAGTACGAGCAAGAAATCTTATTCAAAAAACCTTCTATAAAGTGCCTCCAGGTTCGTCTTATCATGGTTATAATAACAGTGTTTTTAATTAACATTTAAATAGCGCCGTATGTGAAAGTGTATCTACTCGATGGAAAAACTTGCGTGGAAAAACAACGTACACGAACGACACGTCGAACACTTGATCCGTTAATTCAACAGACACTTCTATTCAAAGAATATTTTCGAGATAAAATCCTACAAGTAAATCGTGTTGCTATCCGAAATATTTTTAGCATTTTAGTCTCGTGAGTAGATTAGCATCTGGGGTGATTATGGTAAATTCGATCGCAAGGTATTTATGGGTGTTTGTCAAATCGGTTTGCACGAAGTGAACTTGAATACTTCTCAACAGACGCTTGATTGGTATAAATTATTTTCAGCTAATTCCTTAATGAATAGTTATACGATTGTTCAACAATCATCCAAAAGAAAAAATACAGTATCATAAAAGAAGTATTGTCTCTTATTACTTATTCATTCATTCATTCATTCATTCATCTAGTTTCTATTATTTAGATTCTTATTGAAAATTCCAGTCTATCTATTTATCTATCGATTTTTTTTTGTTTTTTTTTCTTATCCGATATAATTGTAAGAAAAGAATATTTTTAGTTAAAATTTATTTATATGAATTCGACTTGTTTTTCTCTCTCTGATTTTTCTTTCTTGATTTCTCTGTTAATAAATAAATGTGTATCTAATGATAATTATTACAGAGCATTCAGTCCGATGATTAAAAGTTCAATTCATTATTGTGATTAAGTGTAGTTGTCGATTCGCACTGTTGCATTTTTCAATTAACAATTTCTCTACTCCATGTCGAGTATGCATTAACAATTTTCATTCATGAACTTGTATAGAAATCGATTGATTTTATAGACTCGAAATTTTCTATCGAACTGTTTAGCAAGAGACAGATTGACTTTTTGATAAATTATTCTTTCCAAAGTGCTGACGTGTACGATGACATGCTCTTGTTCTATTGACACTCCAGTGTAAATCATTTTCTAAATGCATTTCCTGATATGAAGTTGACTCAGCTAACGACAGAAAGTACCTGTTTTATTTCTTATTGTTTTCTATTGATTACACGAGATAGGATCGAATGTGTCAGCGTGAGAGATTACTTATCTCTTAAAAAGTATATTCTCTCTCGTTCTCTAGCAGTGCTAGACAAAAAGAAAATAATGACTCGAGGGTCGTCCTTCACAGCATAAACGGCGATGCGCAGAAGATGATCTCATTGGTTGATTTTTATTTGCAAGCATAGTTCGTGTTGATTGAATTTGTCGGTTCATCATACAACTTAGGAATCTATCGATTTAGATATCATGATTCAATTTCAAGGAATTAATTGCCAAGATTTGACCTTCGATGCGTTAGATAGTCAATTGACTGTAAAGAGATGGAAAGTAGAATAGATACGGTTCGAACAATCAAAACTTCTTCATGTCTAATTTCGTCCACCGATCACTATAAATAAATGTATTTGTCAAGTGTAATCAATATTTGGTTTTCGTTTTCATAGGTAAAAGTGTATGTAATTATTTAGTCGTCTCATATGTAGTTGTCTATTGCAAGCATTTGAATGTCAACTAAGAGGAATCATGAAGGAAACGATGACTAGCGCAATAATTGATTTTTTTTCTGATCTAGTCAAAGGCACACGTACTTAAAACAATGGTGAGAACTCGAGAATATAATGACTGAAGATGTCTAGCAGTCGTATATTTTCTGGCACTATGTAGAACGAGTGCAATAAACGAAAGCACTATCAAAATATTTACTTCGGTCCATAATAATGCGCAAATTAATAGATTCCATGATGGCTCACATTCGCCTTATCTTCTTCGATGAAATAGTTACGTACATTCATTTGACACGGAGTGATCTCGGTAGATGCAAACGTATTTTTATAAGAAATACCAAATATACCAAAAAAGCTTATCGCACATAGATAATACATGTTATGCTTAAAAAAGAGAGAGAGAGAAGGAAAATCATTGCACATACAGAAAAAATGACTTTGTGTAATCATCACAAAAGTTTCATTGGAATATGTGTATAAAAAATTACGAAATACAATTAATGCACTAGTTAATTATCTGAAGATTACATTCACATCTCATCACTAAATATCAACAGAAAAATGATCCATTATCTTTTTCTTTGATATATCATCACGTTTTAAAATAGAACAAGAAAAACATACAAAGATTTCCAAACAATGTAAATCCAGCACCGATTACCATACAATAATTTACACCTGTTTGCTCTAATAGTGGACCCAGAGACACAGCTACTACCAGTTCACCGAGAAAATAACAGCTATTCAGTAGAGAACAATCAACGCCTATCCCACGCTTAGAACCATCTCGATTTTTATACTAAAATTGAAAAATGAGGCAATGTCATTTGATTTAGCAAAGCTGTACTGTTTCATCGGCATGAAATTGTGATAACATGTGGTAAGGAAGAGTATTCAATGATACAACTAACATTCCAACTACAATATAATCGTAGAAAGGGCCCGGATTCAAATGAACAACAAATGAGAAACTTACAGGTTATACACATGATAATATTCACAACAATTTGATGGACAAAGAAATTCACTATACATCCAACGGCATACACCAAATAACCAAGAAAATACAACGTTTTCAGAGAAAACTTTTCTGATAACCATCTCTCCAAGCAAACTAAAATAGGTGCACAATTGATTAAATGCTGTAAACGGAGATATTGACTTCGCTTGATTTACAGGCATAAATTGCACTGCTGGCTGAGTATAAAAATAGACCCCAACAGCCCATTGTAACACCGGTTTTATATCGTTCTAAACCAGCATCATCACCATGTTCGAACGTGCCGTTATACACTGTCTTCAAAGACGGAAATTAGCAATTCAAGTCTATTAGAATTATGGTATATACCGTAGCTATGAAATCAGTATAATACAAATGAGTAGCAAAGTAACCAATCCAGCCAATAACTTGACATATCATCAGTTTCCATAATCGAGGGGGCATCTGAGTAATTAAAGTATGAATATATATTTGTACTTGAAAAGCCAAGGGAAAACAAGTTACATACTCGAACCATTGAGATAAGCATTGACTTGATAGTAACATTGTCTTTTTCATCGTAATCATCATTTTCATCTGCCGCTGGACGACGCATTAGACCTACGTTGTTTAATTAAAGAACAGATCTCAAATGCTTATTAAGTGTGGTGATTTAATCAATTCACCTAGTTTGACGAGTTTTGCCTTCTGTTTAAGTTCAGCTTCGAATGCTTGTGTTGGAACGGGTGAAGGATTTGCTGAATCAGCATTGGCTATTGATGCAGCTACAACTTGATGAGAGTTTTCCAAATTTTGTAATAATATAGTTTCGCTTGTTCTTTCTATGTGATCATGAGGAATATGTCTACCTGTGGCAGGATCAATTTCCACAAAGCCTTCTTGATTATTCAAGTCACTTAAGTATATATTAGCTGTTGAACGATCATTTCTATTACTTGTATTATATGATCGAGAGCTGTTTCGTCGAAGAGAAAGTAATGGACGCTTTTCATCAGCTTCGATTTCTGCTTGATCATCGTCATTCGAATTTCCTGTATCACCATTGTCACGCGAAGATGAAGATATAAGAGGTTCTTCACGAACACTTGTTAATGTTGATATAGAACACACGATAAATAAAAGGCTTGCAACATAAAAAATGATACTAAATTCACCACCTAGAATAAAGAAAATCAATTGAGTGTCTGTTTTGGCTACAACCTTTTCTCATCTTTACCATTTTTATAAAACATCGGAATGTACGGCCAATTGATTGCTCCGACAATAAAACCCAAACCACCACCAAAACCTATTGAAAACACAGCAAAATCTCCTCCATGTCATCTAGTTCATTATGATCTACCTCCTAAAAATTAAGTATGAATCAATCAGATTCTCAACTAAGTCGTTGCATCTTACCGAGAATAGCGTGGATATTGAACCCTCGTTCCTGATCCGCTGTATTCGTTGTATCAATCAAATAGGCGCGTATGGGAGCATCAGCACTATCCGCACAAAAGTCTGCATCATACACAATCATTTTTTCATTTGAGATCGTCAAACACAGTTGTCTTACCGAGTAAAGTCACACCTACGGCAGTCAGTGCGATTGCCCTGTATGGAACCTTTAAAAAAATTAGAAACAACATTACAGTTCAATTGGCAAAAATGTTTTAACAGACTGTTCCAGGCGTTGTAGGATCTCCAAGGAGAACGCCCAAATCAGAGCTATTGAGCAACATTGCTACACCAATGTAAGCGCCTAAACAATGTTAGAAGTTAAGTATTTCAATAGAAACTTTTCTGTCAAATTAGATTTTACCGATAGCAAACGCTAGAATGAAAGGTCGTCGTCTTCCCCATCGGCACTTGCATGTATCGCTCCACATGCCAACGATTGGTTGTAGAAAAAATCCCAGAATAGGACTTATTAGCCAAGCCATAGAATAAAACCTCAACAGACGGAGGATTTCAAAAGAAAATTTGCTGCCTTTTAATCAAACGTACGATTCCGGTACACGAAGGGAAGTTAAAATAGGAACGGTGAGTGCTGTTTCAGCAGCATACATAAATTCAATAGCAAAGAAGAAAAGAACCAAACGTAAAATAATCCATAAACTCTTTGACGGCGGTTGATCTACAATGAAAAAAATTAAGGACGATCATTTCATCAACGAGACAGGAGCTAATGTTCTGATAAATGAATTAGGATCAGACACATTGGGATGTCCAGACTCCGAATGTCTCAATACGTTTTCTCCATTAATGTCTGCAACTGCTTGTCAGACGACGAAGCATGATGTCGTCTCACTTTGTTTAATGGAGTAACATCTCTCAAGGAAATAGTATGATTGTTTAGCTCTTGACATAATTACGCTGTATAGATTTAGTCATTTACACCACTAATGTGATTTTTCATGCTCAGTTTGGCAATTAAATTTTCACAAAAGCCACTCCACTTTGCTTTTCATGTATTCTGACCAACAATTTCTTTTCAAGATTCCTTACAGCACTCATTTGAATATGCCCAAGTTTCTCATTCTGACGCACATTCCTACAATAATATAATTAATTTGATGTGTGAAGGTCATAGTGCTACATGTTTTTTTTTCATGTTTGATCTTGAAAACACGTATCCTGTCCTTTCAACTATCGTCATACAAAGACGGAAAATATGTTTTCCTGAACATTGATTGATGATCAGGTGCGGATAGGAATCTATAGAATTAATCGAACAATGGTTAAACATATAATTCACTCGTTCTATGATGAAAATGGATGTTCAACTCGGTGTGCGTGAGAAGCTATGGAACAATAACGTTAGCTCAGATGATTATATGCGCTTCGTTCTATTCAATGCGTGCCCGACCGCTAATTTTTCCTTCCGTTTCCTTACTCACATCTAGACAGAACAAAAGCGTCTTCCAAAAAAAAACTCAAGGAAGAAGATGAAGCAAGGAGAGAGAACGACGAGGGGAGAGAGACAGACAGGAATATATTAACGATAGACATTCACATATTCATGTAACGAGAAACTATCAGCATAAAAAGAATGATAATTTCTCAATCAATAGTATCGCGATATAAATTACCAATCACCGTGATTCTTCAATATATTTAATATGATGACACTTTGCTTTAATCATGTCAACAAATCAAATAGATCAGTTAATACTATTTCAACGTCTACTAATTATATTTGGCTCAATATGTTTTCTTTGGTTAATTATTGGTATTATCTTCCTGTCTATCGAGACATATCGATATTTGAAGAAGAAATCTAGTAAAAAGTTCTCCACTATTCATACTCTACCATTAAATCTACCGTCGACAATATTTTCAAGTTCGAAGCAAACGTCGACTGGAGATTATACATCTGAGAATGAAATCAACGATGACGACGATGGCTTGGATGATCAAACAAGTATTATGACTTCAGTATCCTTTATTTCCGAAAAACCAAGCATGAATCATGAACATCCATATTATATTTCCTCATGTCGACGAATATCGGAAGAGCAACTTGCATTAAAATTTCCATCTCCAACAGGGACTTCTAATTTAGCCTATAGTTCATCAACATTATTGTCATCTGGCGACAATGATCGACCGTTATACTACTACCCAGCCTACCGAAACTTCGCTTATTCTCAGTCGTCATTGGCGTCAACGAACGAGAATTTCGATCAGAAAATGTCAACACGTTCAGTACCCGTTCCCTCAATGAACTCAACGCCTTCAATTCATCAATTGAATTTCGAACGTCAATCATCTACAAATACCATCATGAGTCAACTGACACATGAAACATGTTTATCGCCAGCAAAGTCGCCAATGAAAACGATTCCATTACCAACAGTAATGATTACTGATGTTGATCGATTACAAACTGATATTATTGAACTTGAAGAATTCGAACCAGAAAAAGACTGGTACCGTACTAGATCTCAGTTAAGATGTTTACTTAATGAGCGACTACCAATTGAAATCAAATAATAGATATGGGGAGAATGAATTACCTTCATCGTCGTCATCGTCTTCATTTTCATTATCACCGGTCTCATTTGCTGGTGACACTGTTCTACTTTGTCTGTAGCCAGGAAATAGATGTTTTGGCATGGGTGGAGCTATAAAAAGAACAAAAACGTTTTTGAATAAAATTTTGTAAGATATATAGATTTTTTTCTCTCAAACCTTTGGGTATTCTTTGCCGTCTCAAAGCAAAATATGAACGTCGAAAAGCAGGCCGTTGCTCGTAATAAGGTAAACCTTCGAGACTAGTGCGCGATTCCGATGTGCGATGAAGTCCTTTCGAACTTTGTCTTTGTAAATACGGATAGCGATTCCGATTTTGTGAATGATGTGGAAAATGATGATGGTGATGACTATGTCTTGCAACGGCTGAAGAAGGTGCAGGATGGTCAACATCAATCGCTGCTAATGAGCGTGATAATGGCGGGTCAGTTGTCGTTATTGGTCCTGCAAAAGTGACATTATCGGCTGTATCATTCATTCCCATATTGATATAGACAGGCAATGTCGGCGCAGAAAATCCTTGCAGAAGTTCGAAAGGTGCATCATTTGATGGAAGAACTGGTGCATCAATAAAAATAGATGACGAGGCAGCGGCTACATCATCAGTTGCATGAGGTAAAGTATGTTCGAGTGATGTATCATATGCCGACGCGTATGATAAATTTGGTTCATGAGCGGAATATAAACCTCCTGATGGTTCACTTTTAACGGATGAAGGAGGTGAACTTGCCATAGTGATATTTGACTATTTTGTTGAAATTTATATCTAAAACGATATGAATTTTTTTTTGTTCTCTACCTGTTATCTATCATTTCACTGGAAACGCACATGGTTACATATGACTCAGCTGGTGATATCATTTGCTTATCTGTCAGCCATATTAACAGTGTTCAATGCCTTTATTCGTTTTTTAAACAAAAGATGGTGCTAATGGAAATATGTACGAATGAAGTTTAAATTTTCGTTTCAAAAGTAAATGTCACGGGAAAGTCAGTACTTATTAATGTAAAATGCTCTTTTCTACATTCTTCTTATGCAAATATAAGATTAGTTTCATCTACCTTTGTATGTGTTTTTCAATGATGATAAACTGAAAGTATATATTTTTATCTTTTGACACATGAAGAAATGCGCTATAGTTTTCTTCTACTTTGACCTCATGATTAGCTTCTATGACATATGTGTTAACAAACTCATTTTCATAATCGGCATTAGAATTATTTATTCATTGATTCATGAAAATAATTGATGTGGTAATTCCGACAACATGAATCAAAACGAGATCGATTATCCTAATCCTAAGCATCATTCAGATGACAAAATTCTGCTAGGAGTCGAATGTGTAAGACAAATTATCCTATTTTGGTGATTAATGAATACATCAAATTTCTTCTGTATGTATATTTACTACTACGTAAATAAATATCAAAGGAAATTTTGCTAATGTAACTGTTTAAATATATTCTATTGTTCGTTTCGCATCAATCTTTCCATAGACAAACATGTTTAGTCGATTATTGTACTGCTTGGAATTAAAATACTGTTCTAACCGATGCAGGAACTGATACAACGACTAAGCCAACAGTTGAATGTTTTCATTGTTTTTCTCAGGAAGAATTTAATTACATCTAACATTAGATTATGTAACAGTTTACCTATAGTTATCGACTTTCTTTTCAAAGATCAAACAATCATGAACGACCGTCGAAGGTCTCGAGAAATTCATTTACAAGTTCTACTTTGTAATTTCCGTATGTCATATGTGTAGAGAAAGAAATTGTCATAACTCGTTACTCACTCAATGGCAAATGTTGTTGGAATCAATCGAAGTTTTCTCATGACTTTGTTACACATTGTGGCTTCGCGTAATGCAAAGTCATGCAAAATACTTCATCTTTCATACCACTAGAGTGTGATTTTTTTCTCAAAAAAACAAAATCACATATTTTCTTTATCTAGATCAGGTCCCTGTAGCATTACAGTCATTGATACAAATATATAATTATTTTTGTAGAATAAAAAGATAATTATGCATTTGGTTTTATTATGCTCTTATTGCTTGGTTGTCTAAACAACATTTTTCGACGCTGTGATTAAAAAACACACGGCAAATGTATGTTTCTTACTGTTACCTATGCAAACATTCGAAGAAATACAAAAAAAAGTTACAAACTTCGAAACGAAAAGCTATTTTAATTCTCTTTTCTGTTGTTATATAAACGAAGACAGAATTGTATAGACTACAGCGTAATTCAATAGAGTAAATGCTTGAATTTCTCTGAATTCAATGAAAACAATGAGTTAGTGTACGAATACTCCATTCCAATATGATATTGGCTGAAGAATTGAAGAGTCGAATTCATATTTGTTAGTAAATATAATTGTACTAATCCGCTGAAGCTGAAAGTTTACAAATCGAGTGAATCATAAATTCCTCAAGGTCATGTATGATTTCACTGAAAATTGTATATAAATCAACACGAAACTATTGATTGAGTACGTGATAGTTTATTTTCGCTTTCAGATCTCATTCGTTTACATTCATTTGGCAAAACTCAATGGCACTACAGTCCGGTTCACCGAGCGTTCGTGATGATTATCGTTGTCACACGTGTCGACAACAAAATGTTTTTCGCTGTGAACATGACACTCGGTATCGTGATCAATTCTTAGATAATTTCGGTGAAGAAAATCATTCCACATCGGCGAAAACGTCTCTAGATGCCTACAATGCAGCAAATCAAGATCGTATGAATGATCGACAAAGATCTTCTCAGGCAATATCAATAGCCTCCCATCCCATTGGCGTCAGACCGATAAACACCCGAAAAACGGAAACAAAAAAGAAGTGCTGCACTATCTTATAGATTGAAATTTCTCATATCTTTGATTTTATTTCACGATGTAAGATTGTATTGACGGAAGAGTGTGAACAATTTTTAATAAATGTGATATCTAATATATGAAAATACAATTGTCAGGCAAGGAAAAAGTTCTTTCTACAATTTGTTGTTTTTTCTTTCAACGATTCCCATATGCCTTTGACTAGTCAAGATGAAGGTTATCTAACGTTCATTTCATTTATATACAAAACTTTGAAATATAAATATTGATATGTTCTTGACAAACCACAGAGATTATCTTTCATTCTCGATCTCTAATTACTGTTTTTCTTCGATCAAATCGTTTATTTATTCATAATTTTGAATATTTTCATTGCTTTCATAATAAATTACAACTATCGATCCCAAAAACTTCAATAATACATCAAGATTTTTCATATTTTCAATCAAATCGGTCGAGGAAAACAGAAAAACATGTGTCAAATAACTCGCCGACATTTTCATGGCCCATAGAGATCCAATGATCGAAACAAGATTCTCAATACTTTTCTGGATGCATCGATGATATTTCCGAATGCTGATCATATCGATTACATGCATATTTGACGATAACTATACGCCATACGCATCATTACCACTGAAAACGATTGACAACTTGTTTTGTCTTGATTATTATATGTCATTGACAATCTATATGCGTGTGTATATATATACAAAGAATGACCTAATGGTTCAAATGTCTAAAAGAAAACAAGATGAATCTGTTTATTGAAAGAATTTCCTCTAAAAATCAATAAATAAATGTTGATATTCGACAATTATCGCGAAGTATTTCGACTCGAGATACCTTTTGGCAAGAATAGTCGAAAAATATATCCTTCAAGTCGTCTGATATCACGCAAATTATTTGAAATAGTTGTATTCATAAATGAGAATATACCTCTGGAGTTATTTGTCCGCAAATCATGCGTAAAAAGTGCATTTTTTCAATAAACTACACCACATAATGAATGTTTTACTCCTGTGCTCTAGTCTGAAGATATTCTCTACAGAATTTTACATATTCTATCGTTGACATTCGTTCAGTATTTGTACCAATGCTTTTGATGGCTGAATACGGAAAGATATCTTCTTAAACAAATCATGTGAGTGATGCAATGTAAAGTCTTTGTTGTATTGAACATTTCATGTAGACGATCTTTTCAATTAATTCAACATTAGTTGAAGAGAAATTGAAAAGTAATTTATCATTCTTTCACCGTAAGATTAGTCTCGACAAAGAAAACACAAAACAATACATGAATACATTTCATTATGCTTGTTGATTGTATCATAGTCTTTCGAGAAAGTGTCATCTTCGATAAATCATATGCTTGAACGATTCAGATTATTTATCTCAGCAAGTCAGTCGACTAGATATTTGTGATGTTTTTCTAGAATAGAATAATGTTACATCACAGAACAGCTTGCTATGCGAAGCTTCTTTTCTTGAGCGAAAGTAAAATTGGTCTAATGTGTGAAAGTATACACACAAAAGTGAGATTACAGTTTAATTTTCTCTCACTCACGCGATGTATTTTACATCGAAATATAAAACGAAGAAATTGAATTGGAACTGTTGTTTTCGTTTGTGTTCAATGCAAAGAACAGAATGATGAACACATGTCATTGTGTTCCTATCGGCAATTATTTCATAGAACTTTATGTTTGTGCCTTTCTTCTTCTTTTTTCAACTTATGCATAGAATACATAGTGAACACGTCGTTGAATTCTATAGAAGACAGACATGAATCGATTTTAATGTTATTGACCATCAATACGATTAAATCGTTCATTCTCCTCCCTCGATGATGTTAATATAATTTGATTTTTTCAACCAGAGTTCAGAAAGAGAAATTATTCTTTTGTCCTTTTTTCGTATTCGTCATTCATGTTGGTTAGTCTTATGCTCTCTTTCCGTTCTCATTATTCGTTTTTAAAGCACAGATCAGACGATATTTGACAAGAAGAAACGACGTTGAACAGTGTGTCGATTTGATCGAAAGGTAAAATCTGTTTTTCTTTCATTCATTAAAACATTTAATTATAGTTATTGACTAGTGTATAGAACAAGATCAAGTGTAAATATCGATATTCTTTATCTTAATCTAGATTGTCTCACATAAATCATTCCTGTATCACGTTGAACAAAAAAATTTTATGGTTATAGATTCATTTGATTCAAACAAATGTGTTGGACCATCCGAATTCTGTTCATTAACGTAATCCTGTGTCATGTTCAACAGTATGTGTGCCCATCGGACACGAATGCTGAAGATTCTCATCGTGATAACCAGAATTCCACTATACTCAAGTCGTATAACGACACGTTCGCCACTGGTAAGTTGTTGAGAACATTACTGCGAAGAGTTGCACTAGTAACTCGCATGTATTTTCATTCTGAAGTTCAAGTAGATGATGGAGTGTATGTTCTCGTTGATAATCGTACAATTCTATTCATTGATTACTTCGATTTCCTTTCTATTTAGACAAGTTCTTACCGAAAGATTCAGTGAACCTCAATTATGAAATACCTCGAAGTATTATTGACTATCCGTTAGCAACAAATTCACACATGAAATATATCACCGATGAAGAAGATTACACGAGCGATGAATTGATTACATTTGTCATTCAAACTAACCAACGAAGTTCACAATCGATTACGATTCTTGCTGGTTTTGCTTATGAGAACATCAATTATGTATTCACTATCGAGGTATAAACCATTTTCAGTCCACAGATCGTTGTAAATTTCCTTTTTAGAATCATCAACTGAAAATTATTTTCTCACAAGATAAACTACCTGATTTGATATTGACATCGAAAAACGATTCCGGCCCGATTAATGATGGTCAATGGCATCGACTGCATGTCCAACGACTGAATCATACGGTTTGTCATTTCATACCACGGAATACTAAACTCTCATTTATTTATTTATTTATTTATTCTTAGCTACGATTTATTCTTGACAATATTGAAGAATCTACCCTCAATTTAACTAACGAATGGCAAACAACTCCCAATATATTCATTGGCAGTGAACTAACACCTGTTCCTAATAATGATTACATTGGTAGAATTGGTGATGTAAGTCTAACATACGTTTGGACTAACAAGGTTAACAACTAGACAAATCAAGATATCGATGTAATTAGTACATTAGCTGCCAAAGATCTTTCTACATTCTGTTGACAGGACGACAGACACTGTTTAACACTGAATATTTCAGTAACAGACAATTGACTATTAGAGCTGTTCTCAGATGAATGTCCAAACAAGATTGAGTATGATATAATTAATAGATCAAGGCAATGGCAGATAGAATCTCTTCTAATATATATATCTGCAAGAAAAATAATCAATAGGTACTAAAAGAATCCGATTAAATAAAAATCTTCGTTTTCGAGAAATAGTTTTCTAGTCGATAAACATCTGTATGTGATTATCATTGTTTGTCTGAATTAGATCATCATTAGCAATGCAGGTCGATCACTAATCCTGAGAGAAGAAAACCATTCCGATGAAAATGCGAAAGATTTGTTAACAACTACTCAATCGAATTCATCTCAAACGATTACTTTTCTACCGAATGATAACCAAGAGATTAGCTTATCACTTCCAACCAATTCTTCTCTCCGCAGTTTAGCATTTGCCTTTCAAACTTATTCCAACATCAGTACACTTTTACATTCCGATGATATCGATATAAACATCGATATTGATGGTTACTTAACAGTAGCTGTTCGAAACCATCCTTTACAAAGAATTCTCTCTTCCAACGAACAAAATCCGATCAATGATGGACATCTGCATTTCATACAATTCGAATTCATTAATCAAACTCTTCGTGTATGGTTAAATATCAACAAAACAGTTTCCATTAAACTTTCTTCTCCACTAATCATTGAAAGTTTGATCTTTGGTTGGCACAATGATTTCCTTGGTTGTATACAAAATGTGACTTACAATGATCAACTATTCTCATTTGAACATATTCCATTTCATCGTCAACACTGTTCTTCGAATAACATTCGTTTAAAGTCTCTCCATAATGTTTATACTGATAAGATAATCGCATTTGAAGAATACGATCGGCCAGTTGTGGTTATTCTCGATCAGCCTGATCAATTCTATTCCTTTTCGTTTCCATTTTATACGCAAGAATCTGACGGCATCATCTGTTCATTGACAGATTCAACTTATGAAAATCTGATCTTAATCAGTGTTCGTCAACAACATCTAGTTATAACCTCTATCAATGAATATCATGAGCGAATGGAAATTTCCATGAATCAAACGATTGACGATCGGATTGAACATGAATTAATTATTCGATTAATTCATAGAGACCATCTATTATTTCAATTGGATGATGTTCAAATCGTTCGAAAATTTGTTAGTCTATTTTATATTCACACGATTTACATGGGACAACTGGATGGATTTATTAAGGAAAAATATCATGATTTAGATGGAGAAGATTTTCTCGGTTGTATCAAGGACATCTTGTTAAATGATAAATCAGTAATTAAACTGGAACATGTATATCGGTCAAGTCGGTTGGGAGACACGTGTCGATTAACAAAACGTGGACGTAAGTTGATTGAAAAAAAAATGCGTTTGTTTCATTAATCGTTTCGCAATGAGTCATGAGAGTATTCGATGTGTCAAATAAATTTGTCGAAGAAGTGAGGAGAGAAAATTAATTAGAACGATATCTATGAAATGGAACAATAACTTTCTTCATTTTGTTAGTTATGATAAACAAGAGAGAAAGAGAACATTGTTGAAAATTGTTGATTTAACCTTGATAAAGTTGTGACATAATATGTTCGATATTCATTTTCATACTCAGTCTGTTAGCGACATTTTCACGGTTATTTTCTACCTGTCAAGATCGATAGAGATCAGATTATTTTTTTGTTTCGTTCTAGGCAAAAATTTCATGTCATATATGTCGTCAGAGATCAGTTTTTCTGTACGTGATGATCACGATATAGTTGAAGTTGAAATTCCATTCAATGAAGAATTCTATCACTGTCAACTATCGATCAAAACTCGTTCGCTCGACGGAATTCTCTTGTCGCTTCATTCTGATGATGATTATACATTTGTTTTCTATTTAAATCGTGGCCAATTAGTTTGGAAATATCATTCCTATGATAACACTATCTCGGAGATACTTTTCCAAGATAATCAAACGATTAACGATGGACGACAGCATGATGTTTTCATATCCCGACAGATATCTAAATTAACTTCATATAAGAATATCTACATAGAAATCGATGAACGAGCAAGTCAAATATCACTGCCGTCATCTTCGTTATTATTTTTTGATGTTCTAACCGTTGGCGGTTCACGACGAGGAACATCAACAAGTAATTTACTTGTTGCTTGTTTTGCTAATCTAACGTATAACCATCAACTATTGTTACCTGAAGGAATTGTGAAATACGATCGTTATGATTGTTTTTATGAGCAAGATTCGATCTGTGATAAGCAGACGCCTTGTGAACCAATTCAAAGTTTACAATTTTGTGGTCAGATCGATTGTTCAGTTGTGTGCACACCCTCGACATTTGATATTAATAAAAAAGGACTCGTACGATATTTTTCTGATATTGAATCGGGCGAATATGAACAAATATATTTAACAATATTTACAACGGCAGCCAATTCAACTCTATATTTGACACAGAATGGTTCGATTCAAGTATCAATTATCCTTCAAGTGAACCGATACGCAAATCGAGATTTCTTTTTAATTAAATTTCCGTTACTATTTAGGATTATTATCCACGTTTAATCATTCAAAACGGCGGAATAATTTATACATATGATTTTCCTGGGCGTGTACGGAATGATCAATGGCATATATTGCAATGTCAGAAAACATTGAATACAGTATATTAGTTCCGTTGCTGTCATCATCATTCATATTGCTTTCCTTTTTCTTTTCACTTCAGATTGATTTAACATTTGATGAAGAAACACGGCATTACACGAATCTTACTGAGCACTTTACTCTGTTTGCAGATAATTTAATTCATATATGTGGAAGAAATTTTAATGGATATATTCAAGATGTAAGTGAAGACCTAGAACGACAAATTTCTTGTCGGTTATTGATCGAAAAGATTTTCATTGAAATTGTATAATAGATTATTCTTACAGCTGATAATCATTACGAAAATTTAATACAAAACGCGATTCATAATCCGGGATTAATCGATTATGATCGAAGTGTTACTTGGAATAATCGTGCCAACATACCTGAATGTAAGTTTTATCAATATGTAAAACTAGACATTGATGACTAGAAGCCTTTCGTGTACTCGCCTTTTTTTCCTTTCGATCAACATCTATATATTTGCTCAGGTGATCTAAGATCATTGCTGTTAATAAATTTTTATTCGAGATTGTATGTATGCAAGTGTGGATATTGCCTTGAAGTTTGATTCAATAGAGAGGTGGCGACGACAATGTCAAGAGAGCTGAGGCGACGCTTGATGGTAGTGAAGGAGAGAGAGAGCATAACTGTAGTGAATGTGCATTTTGACAAACTTATCGTTCCTGTTGGCGCATATTCGTAACAAATTTTTTTACACACACCCTTACTTTTATTTTTTTTTGTCGTTTCTACATCAAACAATACTACTAACGGCCCAATTCGTACAACATAAACGTGCGCTCATACATATATACACGATCGTTCTTATGTGTAGTTTTTTTTTTATGTTAATAAGAAGTTTTTTTTCTGTTGCTTTAGTCCTTCTTTTTCCTCTCTCTCTCTCCCTCCCTCCCTCCTTTTCTTTCTTCGTTCCTTTGTACGTGTGCTTGAGCATACATACATGTATAGTCAACATATACAGAAGAGTAAAAGAACAAAAATGTAGGAAGAGAACGACAATGAGGACAACGACTTGTGGTTTCGGTATTAGTATTATTGATAAAGGAAGAGAAAAGAGCGATAAATAGATAGAAAACAGTAGAAATGTTGTTAGTATAGNAGTAGTCATTTTTCTTCGGCTGGTTCAAAGGTGATGCAAGAATAACTAACGATCGAATTCCATTAGTGAATAGAATAAAGAATGAAGAGAAGAAAATTAGGATACATTCTTGACTGGCATATATGTATGAAGACAGACATCAATCATTGTCTTTCGAGTGCGAGTTGTGGTCAGTCGCTTTTCTTCTTATCATTACTTATGTATAAATGTCGCCGTGTGAAGAGAGATTTCAAAAGAATAACATTTGGATAAAAAGATCGGTGACAGCACATCTCGTTCATAATCATAGAATGCAAACAAAGACAGACAGATGTTTGGTCTTTGAATAATAGACTAATAATTACATATTGGATGCCATCAGAAGCTAAACGAGTTCATCCATAGATTATCAGAAAGAGAAGGAAAATTGATCAACACTAGAATAGGATACGATTGTGCAAGGGCTTGCATAATTCTATCCAATTGTTTATCTCTCTATCGAGCGATCAACACTAGTTCGTATTTCTTTCTTTCTCGTTTTCATATACTACCCTGTCATTGCACCTCCTCTTCAAAGATATAATTCAACATTATATTCAAGGTAATAGGTTGTCGTCGTCCATTTTTTACATCACATTGCACCATGCTGTGTATACATATACGAAAAAGTAACATTATGCAAATTTCTCTTGATTGAACATGAGCATGTATAACATACCTATACGTATACCGTTAGCTAGGAATAGGACAAAAAAAAATCATACTCACACACGCTCAGCTAGTCAAATACATACGTATATACAACATGCATATATGTGAACATGTATACTCTCTCCCATTTCTAATTGAACTAGTCTCCACCCTTCAATTTGCATAATGGAAAAGATTTCTGAACATTGATATACTGATATGTAGTCGAATGAAAAACGATCATAATAATTAAAATTAGGAGATAAGCAAACTAATTAAACACAAGAGTTCATCTTGTTTTTACATTATAAAGACACCATGTAAGTTCTGTCTAGATCCTTGTGCCCGAACCAGTTGTAACTATGGACGATGTGAAGTGGTTCGTAGTAGGCCAGTTTGTCGATGTTATCAAGGATATACAGGCCAGGAATGTCTCACAACGATTGGTGAGTTTCGTGTGTTTGTTTTTGGAGTGTTTTCTTTCGATGCAGTTGGATTTGCTTTTGGTAGTCTATAGGAAACCAATTTCGAAAACTAGTACTAGAATCTGTAGAGAAACATGTATTTTTATGTCATCTTTTCTTTTTTCGTTTCTTTATATCTAAAGATGCATGTGCTCGGGTATCATGCAATTATGGCACATGCATCAACGAAGGTTCATCGTACAGATGTGAATGCCATCGAGGTTATGAAGGTTCGGCATGTGATCGGCAAATAGATCCATGCGCAAGCTTTGTTTGTTATAATGGAGGTGTATGTCATACACAAGCAAATAGTCAACCAGTGTGCCAATGTGCACTTGGTTATCGAGGAGCGAATTGTTACGAAGCAGATGGTAGGTGATTCAGCCCAGGAGTAATAAAAAAAAAGAAAATTGTTCGCATGAACCAACGAACAAATGCATGCGGATCTTTTATATCTGCCCGTGATGTCTTCGATTAGGCACCTGTCATAATATTCAACGTAATTATGAGAAGTGTCTTCTCCGTCAGCATGGATGGAACATCAGTTTTGCGAATGTTTGCGTTTCTATGAAGATGCTCAATGTGTTTGGATGAATTCCGAATGTTTGATTGTTATGAATAGACAGTTGACATACGTGTTCTGTAAACAATAAAAAAGAGAGACAAAAGGAATGACACTGTACTAAGGCTTCACTAAACCAGCGCGAATCAGCTTCTATTCAATCTAACAATTGTATGTACTTGAAAAAAATCGTTTCTTTTTTCGATATTCGTCTTGCCATTTGAATGAGAATACTAATCCTAATACAAATGATTGTATTATTTTTAATATTCAAATTGGAGATCAAGTTTGTTTTGATTTTTCCTTCTCCAATGCATGAATGCATTGCTTGGGCTTCTAGATAATAAATTAAAAATAAATTTAACCTTTGAATATCCTTCAGTTTGATAGTCTATAATACGATTGTTGATTTGATTTCTTCTTCTTTTTTTTTAATCATTAGTTGTTGATCCATGTTCGCGTTTCGACTGTTATGGTGGTACTTGCACGAATGATCGAGGTGTAGCTCGTTGTATTTGTCCATTGGGACGTGCTGGCAGCCGTTGTCAAGGTTAATTGAATTAATCAAGTTTCGATGATATAAAAAGAAGATTAATGTTTCTGTTTAAAGATGATATTTGTACATTATATCCATGCGCCAACAGCGGACAATGTATCCCAGAAGGAACTACTCGACGATGTATTTGTTCAACGCCCTACTATGGCGACGATTGTCGAGAAGGTATGAATGAATGAATATGACCAAAACTGACAATCTGTGACGATTTTGTTTAGCTCAACGGCCAAATCCGTGCGATAATGTCTATTGTGGTTATGGTCAATGTCATGAAGGATATTGCGAGTGCCATGGAGGCTACTCTGGTGTACGTTGCGATGTTCCGCGTAAGTTCTATTTCTTTTCCTCTTTTTCGAAAGAAATGACATTTGATTTTCGTTTAGCTGATCTTTGTGCTGGTGTTAACTGTAATCAAGGTACATGCTACGAAGGTCGTTGTACTTGCCTAGAAGGTTATACTGGAACATATTGCGAGACTCAAAGTATGATTAAAAGAAAGATTTCTATGAAAATTCAACCAGCTTTATATGTATCTCGATATTTAGTTACAACACCTTCACCAGCCCCGCAAATTGCCTCAACACCACGGCCAGTTTTAACAGCACAAACTGTTGGTCTCATTGGTGCAAGAAAAGGTCAATTAATTGATTACGGTCGACTATTAGGAGCTCGTGCTGGTCCCATCGGGTGGTTGTTGGCACCATTAGCTGCTCTACTTTTACTTCCATTAGCACTTGCATTTGCAGCACGTAAATGTACTCAAGGTGCTTGCTTGCCAGGCGGAGGACGTTATGTACCAGTCGCTATTGGTACGACAGGTGGATGAGAAACTGATCATTATGTACATGACATAAAAACGATTGAACTTTTAATGTCTCGTTGCAGGAGGAAATCGTGTGACACGTGATCTTCAATTAATCGATCAACGTAACGATAATCTAGCAGCAGCGTCAGGCGAAACAGAAACAACGAGGATTGAACAAACACGTGGTAAGTCCTTGCGTGCCGATTATATTAGAATAGAACATGTTTGACAGTGATCCCATTACAGAAATCGTTAGAGAATACGGTGGTATGGAAGCCATGGGTGGTGTTCTCACTAATAATTATCCGACCATGTCATCACGTTATGGTGACTTTGCGCGAGAGGGTCAACAACAACAAACATCATCAGGCTTCTCACAACGTAGGAACACGCATGAAACTGATTGTCATGTTTTCTCTCTGTCTCTCTCTCTCTCTCCTAATCAGTCGCATGTTTTATCTCATTGTTTTGAACACCTTCAAACTAGTCCAACGCTTGTTTAGAACATATCATCGAAACCGATTATCATCCACCGCCAGTCGCAGACTTCGGTTACGGTCGTGGTGGTGTCACTGAAGGATATCGAGATACATTTGAATCATGGGAGACAACTGGTGCCAGCGGTGGTTACTCAATGAATACCATGTTTGCTGATGGTGGTCTACAGACTGATTATGAAATGAGCAATATCAATTCCGTTAGTATGACACCAAATGGAAAATATGCGATTGTCGGGCAAAGTCAAGGACCTCCTCAAATATGGGATGCTATTGTATGTAAAAGAATATTGGCATCTTCAGTTATGCGATGAACATTCATTTCTTTGATGCTAGAACGGACAATTAGTATCCAGTATGCAAGGAACAAGTACCAATTGTAGTAAAGTAGCCTTAGCATGCAGTGGTACACTTCTTGTTGGCTTAGCAAGCGATGGTATTGATTCTCAAACAAGTATACTACAAGTGAGCTCTCATGCTGACAAGAAAGTGGCAGGAAAAGAATTTGTTTATTTTCATTGACAGATCTGGGATGTCAACACGGGAAAACCAGTCCAATTAACTCATCAAATTAAATGTGCAACATTTACATTAAGTAATAATTCAAGTAATCTCATCATGGCTGGAAATCAAAAGTATGGACGTGGAATATCTGTTGGTATACTTGATCTCAATAATTCCGAGTTGACGAAAGAAATTAAATCAGATACGAATCAATCTTATGGTGGCACACCTTCATTTGTTATTCTTACACCAGATGAACGATACGCTGTCGTCGGTTGTGCAGCAGGATCAGCGACGAATTATGTTGTTTTTGATCTAACGACTCCTCATGAATTAGTCCAGCCAGCAACGATTACTCTGGATTGTGAACCCAAATGTTCACTTGCTTTAAATAACGATCAAATGTTAACTGGTACTCGAAGTGGACAAGTTGTTGTCTGGGATATTCCATCATGTCAACGTATACAGTCGTTAACTGATAATGGTCAAAGTGCGCATCGAGATCGAATAACAGATCTCAAAATTGCACCAGATCGCTTATGTTTTGTGACGACCAGTGCTGATGGAACGGGCAAAGTTTGGGATACGAATTCCAAAGAATTAATCTCGAGACTAATTGGTCATAAGCGAGAAGTAAGAAATGTCTTCTATTCATTTTCCCAAATGAATTTCTCCTTCAATTTTTAGATAACCTGTGCGTGTGTTTCAACGAATCAATTAGTAGCAACTGGTTCCAAAGATCAAAATATTTGTTTATGGCGTATACCAACTGGTCAAACAGCATCGACAATGCCTGTTGGTATGACGCCACTTGATATCCATATGGCTGCACATAATCGAACAATTGTTGCTATTGGCGATAAGGATGGTGAAAGACAATTATTGATGCTACGTGTCGTGTCTATACAACGATAAATTTTTACTGAATCATATTCATCTTCTTCTTCTTCTTCTGATTATTTTCTTGCATGTTTATTTGCACAAGTATTCGAACAAGAGTCCTGTTTCTTTTCTCGTTTTGTATTGGTGCTGATTTCGCTATTTCTTACTCCAATTTTAATCCTGTCCTCTGATCCATTTGCCATCATCGCTTACGAACAGTTATTGTTTATTTTCTTCTCTTCTCTTCTCTTTTTTTACATGTTTGTTTACTTTGTTAGTCACAGTTCGTGTGCATGTTGTGTCTTGCTCTGTTAGTAATTATGTATAATATCTTCCCACCTATATTTCCTTGGTACTAAAAGAAGAAACGAACATGATCTGAATTTTTCATCAATTCTCCTTTTGATTTTCTAGGTAATTCTTTTTTGAAGTCCTCTAACGTCTTCTTTTGACAAAAAAAGCTATCATTCGTTTCGTCGTAAGTGTGTGAAGTTTGTTTTTCTAACTTTGTTCGAGAAATTTTCTTTTATTTATTTTTTTTCTCTTTTTCTTTTTTTCTATACATCATTATATGAAATAGAAAAAGACTTTTTCTTTTCTTTTATTTCAGTGTTGATCTAACGAATCCTGCTGAGTTCGATTACTGAAGCAATCCAAAAAATAATAAACATTTCAAGTGATTTTGAGATGTTCTCCGAATAGACAAGAAAAACATCGACGATGTAAAATATGTTTATTAGTGAGTTTTGCACTGCACTGATTAGAGTAAAAAGAAAACAATAGAAGCTAAAAATAAAATGGTGCGGTTTAAATGTAGAGATCACTTTCGAGCACGATCATAGTTTTTCACAAACCAGTCACAGGTATATTGAATTGCTATGAAAGAGAAATGATGTAAAGCGTGAATAGCAAAATATTTCACAAACCTTCTTCAAACGGTGTAAACTGAAAGTCCGGCAAATAACGACGTAGTTTTGCATTGCTTGCCGTTTTCTTAAATTGTCCATCGGCTCTTGTTGTATCATACTACATCAAGTCTGTTAGATTGATTTGTTTGATGAAGAAATTCTTACCTTGATTTCTCCGGTGAAATTCATTGCTTTTACAACAGCTTCAGCTGCTTGTTTGATCGAAACTTCGTCTTCTTCTCCAACTAGCAAACAAAGATAAATTGAAATACGATTTCAGTTTCAAATGGACTCTACCTGATAGAATGATTGGTTCAATACTATCGTATTCTCTTAATACCCATAAATAGAGTTTTGCCAGATCATATGAGTAGATAAACTGCCGTAACGGTTTTCCTGAACCCCAAATAATTAATGGTGTATTGTTCTCTAGACAGAAAAACGCAAATAAACATGTAAGATTATTGCTTTGTCTCTATCTATCTTACGCTTGGCTAAATAACACTTATGAATGAGGCCAGGAAGAACATGACCATCCTCAATATTAAAGTTATCGTCTGGTCCGTAGACATTTGTCGGAATGATGGATGTATATTGAACGCCATGTTGAACGAAATAACCTCTGGCATATACAAACACATAAGTCAATCATTGCAAACAAGTCTCTCACCGATTAAGAACATCAATCATTCGTTTAGCATATGAATAGCCAAAGTTTGAATCATGTGGTGGACCGCTATGGACCTAATTATATGAAGAATGTGACAGTTTTTGGAAAATGTTAGTTAATTACCATTGTTTCATCGATAGGATAGGTTGTTTTGTCGGGAAAAATGCAAGTGGAAAGACATGATATTACTTTTTTTACGCCTGTTTGATAAGCAACTGATAAGACATTGTCATTAATTTCCATATTTTCTCGCTAAAAATTAATTCATGTTGTTGCTTTCGATAAATCGTCTGAAGTCTTTGTATACATACGAAAAAGTCAAGATTTCGACTTAGATTTCTAAAGAGACCTCCAACAAGTGCAGCTAAATGGATGACATGAGTCGGTTGATGTTTTTTAAATAAGACTTCGGTTTCTTCCCGATTTCTATAACAAGACAACAATGGCTTCTTTCGTCTGTATTGATATAACATTGAAACTGTATACCTTAAGTCACAATCCTTCGATGAAATAAAGAAATATTCTTCGTTGCGTTTATCTCGATCCGGTTCATTTTCAATAACATGTTTTATAGCACTACCTACTAAACCTGTACCACCGGTAACCAAAATACGTTTTGCTTGATCACTTGTTGTCATTCTCAATCTAGAATGAGAGATAAATAGCACTTCGAGGAGAGAGACGAATAGGTCCTCAAAACGAGAAATAATAATCGATAACGGTGAACAGTAAAGGCGCACAATTAACCTTGAAAGAATCGTTGTTTTGGCGGAAGACGTTATGCATATGACATTACCTTGAAAACACGTCCTTTATACGTATTATTAACATGTCATTATGATGTTCTACGTCCGAAAATCTGATCGTGTGATATTTGAAAAGAAAAATGAGCCCGTCGGTGACACGTATATCTATGGATTCGACTCCAGTATTTCTTTGTCTACTAAGTCGATGTAAATTCTGACTAGTTTGTAAAATCTTCAATTTACATATGGACGCCGAATTAATAACTAAAGTATTGATTGGTTTCATGTTTATATATTTGTTGTAATAGATGTCACTCTTCCGTGTTTTGTTTTATTGGTCGAGACGCTTGATTTTTCTCTTCATTTGATTCAGAAAAGTCAAATCATACATACTGACAAGGAAGAGTCGTTTTTCTCCCAAATGTTCGAAAACTTGTTATGCATTTCATTTTGACTTATTCTCCATTTTTCTAGATAAAATGAGCAATCCGACGTCGAGTGAAGAACAAAATCGATTACCGAAAGATGGAATCGTTGTTCAAACAATGCTGCAAGAAATGGGTATCACAAATTACGAGCCAAAATTAATCCCGATGGTGCTTGATTTTATGCATCGTTCGTTGAAATGAAATTAGTGATATTGAACGGCTGCCGTCTTTATTCTATTTTAGAATATACAACGGATGTTCTAGAAGAAGCAAAACTTTTCTCTATCCATGCAGGACGAAAACAAGTTGAACTTGAAGACATAAAACTAGCATGCCAGAATTGGGCGGAAGGACATTCTACAATGCCATCGAAAGATGTAGAATAAAGTTTTATTTCTTTGGATTCGTAGTTGAAATGTGTATAATTACCATTTAGACGCTGACTGAGTTAGCAAAGGGAAAAAATCGTACTCCACTACCAACAATTCGAAACTTTTCTGGTCCGCGTTTACCAGCTGATCGTTTCTGTCTGTTAGCACCCAACTATAAACTAAAAGACACATCCAATGAACATTCAGGAAATCAAGTATTATTTTCTTTGATAAAGTGATGAAACATCGGTGTAATTGTCTTATAGTCAAATCAACAGTATACTACGTCCAATGCACCAACGTCGACAAGGTTTATCACAGACCATTTTAATCCATTAACAGGAACGATTACAACAACAACAGCTAGTGGAAGTTTTGCTTCGAACGATCTCTTTTCATCATCGAATTCGACAAATAAACGAAAGATGACTGATTCCGATGATGAAGATGATAATTATGATACATAGAGAATGAACTCGTCATGTTTGTATATTTATTTGAATAAAAAAAGTACATACGAACTCGATTCTATACGATAGAACCATTCATGTTCCAACGAATCATCATCGATCGGTATTACCGAGGACAAAACAACTTCTAATTCTTACTTGTTCTTCCATCATCTAATGACATATCGTGTGAACGTTTGAATTACTTGATTAATCTCCATATTGGCGAAGAAATAACGTATTTACTCTGCGAAGTAGCTAATAATTCAATAGAGATGCTCATTCAATTCAGATCTAACTCAATTCTATTTGTTGTTTGAAAACAAAAGACAGTTTTATTATTAATCGAATAAGTGTTCGAGTGATAGTGATAGAAATGTTACGACTAATATTCAATAGATCTTCATTGAATCATACAGATGAAATAATTCGATTTGCATCTGATGTTTCTTTTTTACTCATGTTTAACAAGAGAGAGAAAAGTGAACTGATTCGATGTTTCGACAAAGTAGAAAACACAGTTCAATAATCATCGGATATATTTCTATATAATAAAAACCAAGAAAAAAGGAAAATAGACAATAATTTCCCAGCAGAATCCATGATCACCTCTCTGATATTAATATTTATTATTGTTAGCAAGTGACCGAAGCCAATCGTATGTTTCCAGACAAATATCAAACATGTCTTGCGCGATACGTTTATTACAATAAAGTCTTTCATCACTGGTGAACAAATCGATTAATATCACATTTCTTTCCCATAGAAGTAATAAGTTCTTCGGTGGAGCATAAAAACCTTGTTGCTCACGAAGATAAGATATGCCTGATGTATACGAACTGAAACATTTCGCTTTATTACTGGCGTGGGTTGCACATATTTGTAAGCCACGAATTAATAAAACCATAGCAAGACGAGCAAGATCCGTTGTTTGTTTAATAATCTTTAGTGTTTCTTCTTCATTATTATCAACTGCAGATTTATCACATTCTTCTTGGTATATTGACGATTGCTTCTCTCGTCGTTCTATACCGATATCACAAGCCAAAGATTGTAGTTCGCCAATGCCGTTCAAAAGCGAACGAAAGGTCTGATCATCTATAAGATTTGGTGTTTGACTTTCACTCATCTTTGTTGTTTCGTTTACTTGTCTATTATTTTGTATTGAGATTAGAAAATTAAGTTACGCATGGTCGATCATCCATGTTCTTTAGTCCCTATTGAGTCTCTAAAAAGAAGAACAGAAGGAGGATAAGTCACTAACAGATGTCGACAAGAAAATATCAAATTTTTACAAGATATTCTCTTTTTTTGCTCGATCGTTAATTTTCATGGTGTTTATTAACAAATAACTTCTCCCACATGCACATCAATAGACAATGACAGTTCCTATTCATGGAAGCACACATGTATGAGTATGTTGTAGGCACACGCACATCAATTTGTCATACTTGTTTCGATACTCCATCTTCGTAATTTGACACGTTTATTTCCGAATATGAGAAAACGCTCGTATACAGTTATTGTCATCAGCTATATTCTAAACATAATCATCGGCATTGTCATCAGTGGTCTCTCTTGTTTCTTCTTCTTATTGTTCTTTATTTTTGGACAATATGTATATACAATGGGCAAAACTGCAAATTAAATATCCGTCGAAACTCAAGAACAATTGTCCATCTAGCTCAACGAGCATCTCCTCAGATTGAATTGTTCAACATCATACATTCTTATGTGATTAACAATCGTTAATATTCTATTTTCAATTCATTCAACTATAGTATAGACGATCGAACTATCCTCGTTGACAATCCACGCTCAGTGATTTTTCATTACGGTCTTTCGCTCGTTTGCTTTCATCGCTGGTGAGTAAAGTACGACAAGCTAAGAAGGTAACAATTAATGAGTAGAAAAAAATTCCTATCATACAATCGTTTAGTTGAAAACTAATAATAACAGGGATAAACTAACCGTTACAACGTCTTTTCGACAAGCAAGGTCACATGAGAAATATACAGGTTTTGTTTTCCTCACCTATACTCTACTCTGTGCGTGTCGAACAATAATATTATTTGTGTGTGTGTGTGTGTGTGTTTGCTCGTTTTTCATTTACAAACTAATTCAGTCCGTTTGTCGAATCTCTTGGGAAGGGTGCAAATGTCCCATCAATAAAGAAAGTCAATCGCAGCTCTAACAAATTGATAGAATTTTCTTTTAATACACAAAAGAAAAAAAGAAATAAGAAAGAAAATTAGAACGAACGAGCGAACGGAACGATAGATAAGCCATTACAGAGAACAACTTCTCTAAACGTTTTGTCTACTCTCCTGGCTCCATGTCTCTTTTCTACATCTTTCTTCTCTCCTATGAATGAATTGATGACTATTCTCGAGAAGAATAGTGTTTGATGAGGGCGAACAACAGAAATATCTACGAAAAAAAGAAAGGGAGAAACAGGGACAGAGCGAGACAGAAAGTCCACGATGGTTGTCTCTTGACAAATGATCATCATTATAGGCACATAAGCTAAAAGAAAGCAAGTATTGTATTCACTTCTCATTCGTTGTGTTTATATTATGTTTTGTGAGGAAAAGAGAAAACTAGATCAAGTTTAATCAGAAAGATCGAATGAGTAAAGCAAGAAAAACATTCCAAAATGAGGTGAAGAAATATATCTAATACTGCTGACAAATCGTCTTTTCCCTCGATTTAGATGGATAGATCTGTCAAGCGCGTCTATCGTCTTTTGCCACATGAGAATCAACCATGAAGCCAATGAAGATTAATTCCATCAGTGTATATATACATGTTGAAAAAAAACTAATTGGCAAAAATATTTTCTTCCTTCTCTGTTTCCCTCCTTCTCTATCTCTTCTTTTATATAAACTTCTTATTGAGTAATGTCTACGTAGTACAGATCAGGTAAATACGAAAATAATTTGAAGAGAAAACTCCTAGACAAACATCTGATATGCTAGATCTATCTATTTCTAGACAATCCTTCTATCGTTACATGTATGATCGAAGATCTTTCATATTTATTCTTTAACGACTCGGTCACAATTTATAATTTGACCAACTATGGTGTTCAAGAATCACCAACGGCAATCTTTCCGACAGATTCAATCGACTATTCACACCCGTATCCAGTGCAACTTAATGTTATACTTGCTATTATTGGTACATTGATTTCCTTATTAACAATCGGTGGTAATGTACTTGTACTTTTATCGTTTTTTGTCGATCGACAAATACGTCAACCGACAAATTATTTCATATTTTCGTTGGCTGTAAGTGATTTTCTTATTGGATTCGTCTCCATGCCATTTTTGACATTAGCGATATATAAAAATAAATGGGTGCTCGGTTCATTCTTATGCGATATCTGGTTATCATTAGATTATACTATCTGTTTAGCGTCCATTTATACAGTACTTTTGATTACTGTTGATCGTTTTTGTTCAGTTAAAATTCCTGCGAAATATCGTAATTGGAGAACGGAAAAACGAATTATTTCTTTGGTGCTGTTAACATGGCTTGTTCCAGCTGTTATTTTCTTTGCTTCAACTATGGGCTATCCGTTTTTTAGTAAGAAACCAAACTTAAGCAAAATTGATTTACAATGCGAGTAAGACGAACTCGTAAACACAATCGACTGATGAAATCTTTTCGTCTCACTTTAGCGTACAATGGAATAAAAATGCCTATTTCAATCTTGGTTAGGCTTCTGATCAAACTTTGACCTATTCTCCATGAACTCATTATCTTTTAGGTCTCACGATTGGATACTTTTGGGTGACGCTTCTAGTAATGTTTACATTATACTTTTTTATTTATCAAGTTGCCAGTGCACTTGAAAAGCGTTCGCAAGCCAATGCACAGAAAGTATCCAATCTGATCGGTATCTCGTCATCAGCCATGACTAATCTTATGCTCAATATGTCGAAAAATCATCAAGTTGCTCAGACGACACTTTCGTCAATATCATCTGCAACGAAGAAGAAAAAAACACGGCTACAATCGAATTCATCATTATCCAAACGGGCAAGTATTGATGATGATGCCGGAAGTTCACTTGTTAATGAAAATAATAATACAACTATTCACATGAAAGAAAACGGACTTGATCCTACTAATCGTTCGTCATCGAATGAAACAAGCGGTGAACATACACCGACAGCTGTTGTAGCACCAAATATAACGAATTTACTTGCTATGTCAAAAGTCGGAAGTAATTCGACTAAACAAGCCGAAGAAAATCGAACACTTTTATCGAATATGCAAATTAAACCAACATTTACAATAACAACAACAGCAACATCATCAACTATGAAAAAGTCGACTGGGAAAAGTGCTAATGGTAGTAGTAGTAAAGCAAGAAAAGCATTACGTACGATAACAGTTATTATGGGAGCATTTGTTCTTTGTTGGACACCGGTTAGTATGGATACAGATATGAATTATTGACTCTAGTGATTGATTTCGATGTCTCGAAGGAAAGTTTTGAAAGATAATGTAGCAAAAAACAACCAAAGGATAAAACAGAAAATATGATCTCGCAGACGAATATGACTGCCGTGAGCCATTCAGATCTGTTACTAACGATGCACGCAATTCCGTTTTATCAAACTGATTCTTAAGGCTATTTTCATAATTATCTTCACCTTTTTTCCTCAAATCAAATAACATTAGTGGTTAGAAGACATTCATCTCTCGTCAATTTTCTGATTGTCATACTTACGTTTTCCTCTTTGATTTACTCTTGAGACATATTACTTTTACATTGTTATTAATGATATTTACATATATGATTCAATTAACGAAAGAAAATGACTACGCACTAAAAACTTATCTACTCATATCGATTTTCTTTTTTTTCTCTTCTAGTGGCATATCCATACGATAATCCAAACATTTTGTCGGACATGTCGTGAAAGTATCGTGTTTAACACATATTTATTTCATGCTTGTTACTACCTTTGCTACTTAAATAGTCCGATCAATCCGTTTTGTTATGCACTTGCCAATCGACAGTTCAAAAAGACATACAAACGTTTATTGAGATGTGATTTTCGAAAATTGTAGTGTCTTTGTTTCTAGGACAGTGTCTGTGTGTGTGTGTGTGATATTTATTTCGTTCAGTCATTTCATTTTCAGATTGTACACTACTCATTTTTTTTCTCTTCTTGCTTATGCACATGTGGACACGGAAATAAATGTTGATTACACATGCATAATACCTTGCTTACGTTCCTGGGCACATCTTTCTACTGTTTGGTTGTACTCCGTGTCACTAGGAGTATGTTGTAGTTCCACTAAAACTTTAGACGTTGAACATGTCGTTAGTCTGGTTGTACATCCACCTGTGAGTTCGAGTTTATACAATCAAATACGAATGAACTCGAACGCAAAGGTGATTTACTTAACCAAATCAATTTGTACATTTGAATACTAAAGCCGAAAAAGAAATGTTTCTGTTCGAAATAAAATACAAAACTGTTTTGTATATGGAACTATATCTCTATCAAGCACTACTAGCTTGATGAAGTATTCAAGTTTCTTACTGGACTCGATTGTTGTTGAACAAGAAATGATGGATAGATTTTTGAGCGTGTGGAGTGAACTATTTTTTTTTCTTTAGAGAAATAAGAGATAGAAAGAGAGAGAGAGGGAAAGAAAATTTTCAACTGTTTGGTGTTTCGCTAAGTATCAATAGAACTGATTATTGGACGTATACATTCAATCATCCATTCATCTTGTTTGTATTTTCTCTTTTGTCTTTTTCGCATTTCTATTCGTTTCATAAATGATCCCGTATGAGAATACCAACGAACAAAACTATGTCCTCATTTCAAGACGATATCAAATCGATTTTCTTCCTGATCGATTTGCTTGACCGATGAACATTAACGTTTATGTCTTTTTTTGTTTCAATAAATGAGATATACACGTTCTGTGATAATGAACATTGAATTAATCAAAACGATTTAATCGACACCTTGATCTGGAGCGAATATCATATGTGTGTATACAGTTTGTTTTGATCTAGATCACAGACGATTTCTTTCCATGACGTGATCATCACTCTTACTTCGATGTTCTTATTTGAAAAGAATGAATCACTCTTCGTATTTTACTAGCGAATAAAAAAGAAACAACAGCAACAAAATCACGTCTACTCAAAATTGGGTAACTTCTCGATCATTATTTCCAGTATTGTTATTATTATTATTGTTATTAGTGCAGTTTTGTCCTCCGCGAATACTGATCACCACTCGATTATCCATATGTTGTTCAATATCGTATCGATCGACTGGATCATTGGCCGAAACAAAATAACACGGATTCGAAAGTGCATTGAAAGATGATCCATTGGATTGTAATTGAATGATTTCCGGTTGAGAGTGAATAGTCACATTCTTAGCAGCACTTGTTGATTGAGGTTGTTGGGATCGTAAGATTGTCTTTGGTGTTGGCGATAGATTATTCAAAGTTGATGCCATTGCTGTGTTTGTTCGTGATTCATGTGGAAGAGCAATTGTATTCGAATCAATCATATAATGTTGCTGTTGTTTTTGAGATGTTGATGCTAATTGATCATCAGTTTCATTCGATAAAGAACGTTTCATTGATTGTAGATCGGTCAGTGAGTCAGGTAAATCATAAAGAATGGTTTCCGGCAATGGAAATATTAAACAGCAGCTAAAACACAACATTCCGCCAGATAGAAATAAAAGTAATGTACGATCAATATAAAACTAGATAGATCAGAGGAAATAATATTAGGATTATTATTACTTTTTGAAAAGATTACATACGTAAAGGAGAATTTCTATTAGAATTTTCGGCACTACTTCACCTATAAATCCAATTGCTAAGCCGGTTGCTCTGAAAATTGGAAGCAAAACTATTGGAGAATGACTTATTTACAAACTATTACCGAACTGATGTTGGGTAAAGTTCAGTTGTGAATAGAATCAACAGACAACAACACGTACGTAGACAAATTCGAGCAAGTAGAGAGAACATAATTTCTAACCAGAGATGTCCTTTGAAAATAAAATGGAATTTCGCAGAAAGAACTCTTGTTTTTGTTTTCATTTTCACCTGTTCCAAGAAATGTAATTGCTAGAGAAACAGACGAAAGACCACTAACTAACGTCAATACAGCTAATGGAGGTCGACGTCCAAACCTATCGGAGAAGTTTTTCTTCTTCTTCTGAATCTCTATGAAAATTATTGGTTTCACGTACTTGTAAGCAACAATCAAAGCGATGATAAAGGAAAAGAATTCGATTGCGTTCATCAGCACGTAGTTCATTGTTGGATGTGGAAGAATCGATGGAAAGAAAATACATCGATAGCAAAAGGATGAAATAAACCTAGAATTTTCACGTTTCAAAATAAAATATTGAAAATTATATCAAACCAAAGGATAAATAAGCAACAAGTTATGGTCCGTAATTGTTGTTCAGTAACTAAACACAATATTGAACCATTTTGAGAACGAGATGACTCCTGTGATACAACTGGTTTATCATAAATAATAGTTGTTGGAGCAGGTGATCCGACTTTATTTAAACCTATTGATGAAGATTGTTTCGTTGAGCATAGTTGTAAAAGTTTGTTTACGCGCGAGACGCGATGACTATTCAGATACCATCGACGAGATTCGGGTATTAACCTGCAAAATAATCATTATACAAGACAATAATTTTTCGACAGAGAACTATTCTTTATCTATATACCATGGATAACACAGAGTTAGAGTAGTGACCAATGTACCTAAATCGGATAGAATAAAAGGATTATGGAATAAAATGTATATTATCGTACCTAACAGTTGCATGTGACGCCAATCGAGCAGGAAGAAGTAAGCTACACCGATAATAATTCCGAAAATGGGTATAGATGCTAGGAGAAGACAACCGATCTGTGCACGATGCGTATATTCACATGATTCAACAACCATAATGAAACCAAGTAATAATAAACCCTGAATACGATAAATACGGTAAGTAATTCTTGCTACAGGTATAGAAAAATACCTTATTTAGAAATCCAACAGGCCAACGAAGAATTAAAAATAATGAGTAAGTTGTTGTAAATGCAGCTAATGATCCGAAAAGCTAAAGAAGATTGACTTTAAATAAAGCGAGTGTAAGATAAATTCATACCACCGGAATATAAAGGCACATTAAGAGCATGAGTTTTCGACCATATCGGTCTGCAAGAATGCCGACAACGATAACACCAATGATTTCTCCTATATAAAATGAAATTGACCCTAACATTAACTTCTTTTGATTTTCTCTTCCACATGCCAAATGCCACTATTTACAATAGAAAATCTGATGTCCATCTTTTCTGTATGAAAAGCAAATATGCGAAACTTACCTCATCGATAATCGTTGCCTTTCGTGTCTCCTGATCATTTATACTTCCTAACCACTCATTACAAAGTGCTACTAAACGTCTGTCAGTTATCGTTGTTCCATTGAGTATTCCATTGCATGGGCAACAATCTGATTGATCATTAATTTTAGATGAGATCGATAGCGATGACTTGAATATTATATTATTCCATGTTCCCGAAAGAACTGTGTTATTTATTGTTGTACAATTAACAGGTTTGAATGGCTCTGTATAAAGTGACCAAATATTCGAATGAAATGTAAATGGAAGATAAACACCGCATATAAAAGCGATACTTGCAAATTGAAAACGATATATTGTGGAACAATCTTTCGTGATGCAATCGTCCAATTCCATTGTCATTTGTGTGATACTACTTGTCCCCGTCTGCTTGTTGACAAGTAAACAAAACAAGTAACGAATTTCCTTCTTCCTTCTCTCTTCCGTTTTCTTTTTCGTTCATTCATTCGTCCGCTTGTCCCGTCAGCTAATTGCTGTTTGGTCTGATTAACATTTCTCGTTGGTTACTAGTACTTGTACTGCACCCTCCAAATAAAGGATTAATCGTTGACGGCAACATCTCGTCTCAATTCTTCGTTCGATAACAGGTAAATATAACATATAATAGATAATGAGCGACATATATCACTCATTTGGTACATTCTAGTACGATAAATGTTCGAAAGGAGGATCAGCAATCATTAAAAGTCGCGTAGTTTTTTTTTTGTTACGTCGGATGTGTGCGAAAAAGCAAATCTCGTTACATTTTCTAATTAGCATGAAACTTGAACTTGTGAAAACGATGATTTCAGTCAATAAAAATTGAACAAAAAAAGAAACAACGGTAGAATCAACTGATTCTAACTGATTTATTATGAGTTGTTAAAGAGCAATTGTTTCAGTTGCTACAAATGGTTTTACTGTCATTTGTTCTATTTTATCTGTTTCATTGGTAGCTGTATCCAACCATACTGTTCCTTGCACGGTTTTTTTTCGACTGAAAGATCGTGCTAGAACATTCATTGGATTCTCATGTAAGATCTTCTTAGAGATTTCTTCATTAAAACCGAATAATTGCACGATTTCCATCAAATCGTATGGTGATCGAATCTGTAAAGGATTCGCTGCATTCGAACTGAGCACAATTGATTGACCACGTTTGAAAGCGTTTGTAGCAAGAAGACGACCAAATGCCAATAGATTTCTTCGTTCAAATGTATCACGTAGTGCATTACTATAAATTAATTCAAAAGTAATACCACGCTCAGCAGCTGCACGCATTAACCTGGTTGGAAACGGAAGAAGTTCAGGATCACTTGGATCAAGTACAAGTAATTCATGTTGTACAGTTGTCGAATTAAGCAAATAGAGAAGTATATCACGTGAAGCTGGCTGTAATGAAATGATATCGAAGTGTTGTTGAACTTCTGCACGTTTTAAATAGTGTAACGATTGGTTATCATGTACAATAACATTTAAACGAGAGTAAACACGAAAATGACGATTGGTTTGACGACATCGTTGAATAATCAAGTCAGGTATACGAGCGATATATGGTTTTGGACATGTCCAGGATGATGCACTTGGTTTGTCTTCTGTTTCGTTTAACTTCTGTTTCTTCTTTTTCGACGATCCTGATGTTGAATTTGATGTTGGTGCACGTAAATTATCGGTTTGACAAAGAACCACTCGATCATAACGCAGATCAAAACAGGAAATAAGTATTTTCGACAGATTAGCCTCGCTGGTATTTGAATCAACTGGAATATGGAGTTCACAAAAAGGCATTTCGATAAATGTGAAAAGTAATTGATCTACTAATGACTAATGGCTACTTTTACTGGATTGGTGTGTTAAGATCAACCAATGACGTGTCTCATAGGCAAACTTATTATTTGCGAACGAAAACGCGTAATCACATACAATATGAGACGAATATCGTCACATCAAGATTCCGACAAATGTAATTAGAGTCGAAGAGTTCGATTGTAATGATCGTCTCAACGTCATGTGCTAGCATGTAGGATGCCTTCGGCCAAGCATTCGACATTTTCTTGAGCCGATTCGTTTCAGCATATGTTCCAATCAAACCAATACTGGTTTCAAGTACAACTTGATGAGCTCTATCGGTTTCAAAAATAAAATTTCCAAAAAATTTCTTTCTTCACCTTCAAAACCTCTGAAAAAGCTTTCAACGCAATCCCTAACGGGATTAAAAATTTCAACACATAGAATGGTCAATTTATTTCCCAGTGTGCATTCCTATTTATTTAAAATTAAGCTGTTGAAAATAACATATCATTCTCAATAGTGATGTCCGCTGCTTTTTAAAAGATCTTCGTTTCATCGGTCACAATATCTGATGCTTCTTATTGCGATTCCATTAACCGATCACGATCTGTGCTGAGATCTACGTGGGTCGACGTAACGAAGTTACGAGTCACCCTGTCTGTGAGACAATGATATAGAGTTTATTTGCCTTTTCATTTTTTAGGGGCACCTTTTACAGAAAACACTGAATAACAGTCAAGGCCAGTGTAACGTCTGGGGGAGGGGGTCCAAATTTCTGCCCCTACACACTTCAACACTCTCTTTTCCTATCTATTCGTAAGTATGTGTGGGAGTGTATTAGGAATTCGTCACTTACATTATAAGTCAAATTGCGCAGCTACTCACAATTTTTCCATCTTACCTATTTGACGTTCACTGTACGATGTTTGATGCTGTTGATACCATGCCCTTTGTTTCTTCTAACAAAAGGTAATCCTATGTTGGTAAAAGACATTAACGAAGATTTACTGGATCTGCAAAATCGAAAACTGTAATGCAAATATTCATACTGATCTCAACCGTAATTTCATGCAATCAAATGGTAAACATAATCATCTCGTTGAACCAGAAGAAATCGAAGTAAAACTTTTTCGAGAAGCTCTTAATGTACATGTTATCAATGAAACAACACCGATTTCGAAGATATTATATGATGAAGAGATGGTTAAAGCTCATTTATCACCAGAAACTCTTGCAAATGTACCACTGGTTTCCAGTATAAGTAATAATATTTCATTGTGAGAATTTTACGTACTTTTTACTATGATTTTTTTAAAATAGATTCTTCATTGAATCGAACACGACGAAAACGTACACCAGTTCTTCCGACGTGTTGTTCATTTGATATTCCTGATTTATACCAAATTCACGTCTGCTGGAGAAAAGTTTTTATTTTGTCATGCCTTAGTTCGTCGCAAAACAACTCGACGTATCATTTGATAGCTCGGTTATTTTCATGGATGGTACGTTTTTAGCAACGCCGTCGATGTCTGACCAAGTATGATAGATGTTTTTAGTATTTTAGAAAATAATTCTTTTTAATCACAGATCTGTCTCGTTTGTATGGTCTTTCACCAGATCGAAAAAAAATCAACGTACCAACAACTTTTTAAAGAATTAAAAAGTATTGCGGCATTGAAAAATAAATTATTTCAACCTGAAAGAGTTGTTAGTGATTTTGAAATCGGTTTGATATTAGCTGTAGCCGCTGAAGTGAGTCATGATATTCACATTGTGCCAAGCTGTATTTGTTTTCTATTTTAGTTTCCTCAAGCTATTCATCAAGGTTGTTATTTTCATTACAATCAGTGTATTAATCGACGTATTCAAAGTTTAGGCTTAAGCACAACTTATGCTGTCGTAAATTAATGGGACTTTGTCTTTTGCCACTTCAAGAAGTTGAAAATCAATTTTATAATCTACGAGCATCATTAGATTCACGACTAAAGCAGGAACTGCGTCAATTATTTTTATATTTTCAAAAGCATTGGATGATTGATGTACCACTCCAAATGTGGAATTTTCAGGATACTCCACATCGTACGAACAATATTTGTGAGGGTATGTCATTCCATTCTCTTTGAGCATTCGAACATGTTCTGTTTGTTTAGCTTTTCATAGCCGATTGAATAGACGTATTCAACGTTCCCATTCAAACATATGGTCTTTCATCAATTGTCTTATCGGTGAAGAATGCCGGTTTCAACACTTATATAGTCAAATTAATGCTGGTACATAACAACTGCCAAAAGCGAATCGAGACTTTAAATAGTTGATATAACAATCAGAATATCAATAATGAACAATTGTTAAATGCCTTATCATTATTGGTCGGAAGGAAAAAGTAAAAATCGGTGTGAAACTTGTGATTTAGGACTAGACACGTTCTTTCATTTTTTTTTTCTAACTCGTGTATCGTCTTTAATACAAATTTTTAATACAGAATAAAATATTTACTACAACGATAATGCGTCTTTTTTAATTTTCTATAGAAGAATATTCTTCGATATTAATTTTCGACCTTCTGACTTTCGATCCTTTTCAATCATACTAAGTACAACCATTGTTTTAAATTATACTCCTTGTGGAATTAAAACCGGTTTGTTTCTACTCGCCCTCAAATGTGGTTCTTTTAGTAAAAAATCACCCGATTCCTCGAATGAGTGTTGCCTGAAGACTATCGACAAGAAAACGTTCGAAAGAATTTCAACCAAGTTCGTTAATGGCTTCTTACCTGCTGTGCCTGTTTCGAGCATCTTAAAGCGATTTTTATGTTGATGTTTTTTTCTTCCTTGCTTATTTTACTATGAAAAAGCTCTCTCAAGATTCAAACAATAACATAAATATTTTTCGTCTCCGCAAAATTCAAGAAGAGAACGACATCATTTGCTGTCTATATAAAAAGAGAAGCGAATTTCTTCATCTTCACAAAAAAAACAAATACTGTGAATTTCAGTTTATTCAACAGAATGGACGCACAAAAATCAAAATCAAGTTCCACGACAAGGAAGCATGGTAATCAACTGCGACAACGCATGATTCAAAACTACCTCTTAGTTTGGGTGGATGCCAACATCGATGAAAAGGACCAAGGTTGTCAGAACACTTTGACACACTTACGAAGTGTTGTCAATGATGTCAATATATACACTCAACCAGATGCTTGCGCTCAATTCCTCAACAGCATTGGTGACGAAAAAGCTTTCGTCATCACATCGGGATCCTTAGGTCAACACTTAGTTCCCGAGATTCACGACATACCACAAGTGAATGCCATCTACATCTTCTGTGGCAACAAATCCAGACATGAAACCTGGACAAAGAACTGGTCAAAAGTCAAAGGGATTCACACAAATATCAAAGAAATCTGTGAAGCACTGACCACGCGTGTTAAACAACATAATCAAGATTCCATCGCCATGAGTTTTGTCACCGCAAGAGGAGAGAGTTCAAATGCCGATCTCAATCAACTGGAACCCAGTTTCATGTACACGCAAATATTTAAGAAGATCCTCCTCGACATGGAGCATGACAAACAAGCAATCAAAGATCTGGCCAATTACTGTCGTCAGCGTTTTCAAGACAACATAGAAGAGCAAAGGGTTATTGGTGAGTTCGAGCATAACTATCGTCCAGACAAGGCCCTTTGGTGGTATACACGTGAGTGTTTTACTTACAAAATGCTCAATCAAGCGCTTCGCACTTTGGATGGCGAAGTCATTATTAACATGGGATTCTTTCTTCATGATTTACACAAACAAATACAACAACTACACCAAGCACAGGTCAGTAATTATAAACGACAACCTTTCGTAGTCTACCGTGGACAGAGACTATCCAAGACAGATTTTGACCAGTTAACAAAAACTGTAGGTGGTCTTTTATCTTTCAATAACTTTTTATCCACCAGTATCAAACAAGAGAAATCTCTTGTGTTTACCTACAGTGCTCTCGGTGATCCAGACAAGGTGGGCGTTCTGTTCGTGATTACAATTGATCCGAATATTGGTACTACACCATTCGCATCGATTGGGGATCTTAGTTATTTCGAAGACGAAGCAGAGATCCTGTTTTCCATGCACAGCGTGTTTCGAGTCGGTACAATTCGACAAACAGGTGACAAGAATAAGCTTTACCATGAGGTGCAACTTCAGTTGACTGCTGATGATGATCCACAACTGTTTGTGTTAACGGACCGTATTGAAAGTGAAGTTGGCGGGGGTACAGGATGGCAACGTTTGGGCAACTTATTGCTTAGACTCGGACAGTTGGATAAAGCCGAAGAACTGTACACTGTGCTACTTGAACAAACGTCTGATAACGATGACAGAGCACTCTATTATCATTGCCTTGGATACTTAAAAGATCATCAAGGTGATTATAAAATGGCTATAGAATGCTATGAAAAAGCACTTGAAATCTGGGAAAAAACTCTTCCTTCAAATCACCCTGATTTGGCTACTTCGCTTAGCTGCATCGGTTCGGTGTACAAGAACATGGGAGAGTATTCGAAAGCACTTTCATTCTATGAAAAAGCACTTGAAATCTGGGAAAAAACTCTTCCTTCGAATCATCCTTCGTTGGCTACTTCGTACAACAACATGGGTACGGTGCATGACAACATGGGAGAGTATTCGAAAGCACTTTCATTCTATGAAAAAGCACTTGAAATTTGGGAAAAAACTCTTCCTTCGAATCACCCTGATTTGGCTACTTCGTACAACAACATCGGTTTGGTGTACTACAACATGGGAGAGTATTCGAAAGCACTTTCATTCTATGAAAAAGCGCTTGAAATTAAAGAAAAAACTCTTCCTTCGAATCACCCTTCGTTGGCTACTTCGTACAGCAACATGGGTACGGTGCATGACAACATGGGAGAGTATTCGAAAGCACTTTCATTCTATGAAAAAGCACTTGAAATTAGAGAAAAAACTCTTCCTTCGAATCACCCTTCGTTGGCTACTTCGTACGGCAACATCGGTTTGGTGCATGACAACATGGAAGAGTATTCGAAAGCACTTACCTATTTCGAACGCGCTTTGGACATTCTGCAACGTGCATTACCGACGAATCATCCTCATATAAAATCTGTGAAGCAACGTGTCGAAAATTGTAAAAGAGCAATGAAGAGATAAACGATTACTGTACCTTTTTTAATTGAAATAAAAAGTAATGATTTACCCACGCGCGCGCGTACAGAGTAGAACTCTGTGTGGAGACAGTAATGATGAAAGATGGCGGGGACACACCCATCCAAGAAAGGCAATACACATACATACGAACATATGTGTATATAAAATCCAACGGGAATCAGTCATCTATCATTAATATTTAATACCTAACTTTATGCATGAAAATAGACGATATTTTCTCTTTTTTACAAAATGTTACATATGGTTCCGACGCATCGTAAGAACCGCAATACGATGAGCGAGCGATGGTTACAATCTCTTATCATGGCACTTCACTAGCGTATACAAAGTTCGCATTTATGATCATATCTAGGTAGAAAATGTTTGACGACAAAATAGCAAAAATTGATCTGAGCCATAACGGCTGGGATTTCATTGCATCGCAAGAAGTATGATCCCGATGGGTTGACAAGCTGCTTATTTTTACCATAAAGGAAGGGTAACGAGGCCTTCAATTGCTGAAAATTTCAACTTGATCGGAGATACTTTTGTATCAAGTAGGAGAATTCCGGTAGAACTACTCTTACACACATAACTAGTTAAAATGTAGATCGATGAGTAGTCGTGGCTGAAGATCATGACAGAAAAACATCTAATTCACTCCACTGACAATTGCTATGAAAATTTTCGTGATACTTAGATTCATCTCACATAATATGCCAAACAAAGAGTAATTAACAAACTTCAATGATTGTCTCATTTTTTTGCTTTGCTCAGACAGGAAGTAAACAAATGAAGTGAACGCATATTTCACTATGTTGGAAATTTTTTTCCAAGTAAAAAGTCGTGAAAGAATATTTTGAAATGCAGACATTCCTTCTAAAAAAACACGATCCGTGAAAACTATTTTTTAATTATGTATGCGGACGTTTGATTGCGTACAAGACCTTAAGGAACTATTTACATTGTTAAAATGGGAAGAAACAGAAAAAAAACTTGCTTAAATATTTCTGGTATATCATTACTCTTTTTCTTGCTTGACAGCATCAGGCGCATTTAATGGGTTCGCTGTGTAATAAGATTAAAATTTTCTCCAATTAACTTTCATGCCCCTTTCGCTTGAGACGCGTTCGTATTATATATCGAAGATGACCAATAACCGGCGATAATTCTGATACTGATACACAGTCAACTAATTGTACGAAATGTACTTAGAAAATCTTTTAAAAAATCTGTGTTAGCAAGCATAAGATACCTCCGGGCAGGATTCGACATTTTCTTGAGCCAATTCGTTTCAGCGTAGGTTTCGATTAAATCAACACTGGTTCCAGATCAAACTCGACGAGCTCGATCGGTTCCAATCGTAGAAAGTTTTCACCCCACCCACACCCTCACCCATACTATATAAATAGCTCTCGTCTTTTTATGGAAGTTCGTCTGGTTTTGCTATTTTAAAATAAACTAGTTCTATCACACTATACGGACCTAAGACATGGGAACATTATCTTTTCTTTTTCAAGAAACAGTACTGAACTCGAGCACTAGCGTTGCATTATCAACATCAACAAACATCACGATCAATGTCGCAGCCGCACCCAGAAGACGAACCTATTAGTCCTGATTCCATACAAGTAAGTCGGTTTTATGAATCTTTCTTTTTATCGATGTCTCATTCGAGATTGATCCAAGTTTTATCTATCGCGATTTATCACTCCCTTCGAATTTAAGTAAGTAGTTGTCGTGTTCAATTAAAATTGCTACATAATCAGAAAATAAAATCTAGTGGAAGATCTACGTTCTAACGAAGAATTAACAGATGATCGCATTTCTAAGTTGATGCAACAGTTCTTGAGTGGATTTTCTGAACAATATTCAAATTTTGGTCCATCATTGTATATGGGCTCACTCGACAATGCTCTAACAAAGTCTGTTTACAATCAGAGCAGTGTCTGTACTTTTTTGTTGTTGAATGAACATATATAAAATATTTAAATTGATTTTTCTAGGCTCAACCATTGATTCTTTTCCTATATCACGGTCGAACTATGTTTACCAATTTCTTTTGTCGGCAAGTTTTGTGTGCCAATGATATCACAGACTACATCGAGAAGAATTTCATTGTTTGGGCATGGGATCGAACAAATGATGTTAACTACCAGAAGTAAGTACTGTTCATTTTGTGTAATTGATTAAAGACTTCTCTTTTCTAATATTTACCTTCTATGTAGACTCTTGGCAATAGTGAATAGACATTTAGGTGATGAAATCAAGGAGCAAATAGCCTCATTGCCTACTGAGAAGTTTCCAGCGTTGATTTGTCTTGCGTATAACAATGCAGAAATTCAAATCACGAATGTTATCCAAGGTTGTGCATCTCATTGTGATGCACTTGAATCGTTAAAAGAAGCACGTGATCGATTTGACTGTCGTATTGAGACTCCACATTCGCCCGGTCCACTCTGGAAGCTGAGTATAAATGAAGTTTGGCAAATGAAACCAAGCGTCTTACATCCTATTGAAAAATTATCTGAAGAGTTCGAAAGAGTAGCTGGAACATATGCTAGACAGAAAGAACATGTAGTTGAAATTAGTAAAGTCGAAAATCCGCCGTGGCTGTTTCAGTATAACGGTGAGGAAAGATCCATTCGTGAGCGTGGGAACCATGGCCAAATTGAAGAATATCTTCTATACCCATGTTCACAAACATCTGCTCAATATATTCTTACTTATGGATTTAACAATGATCATAAAGGTATGCATATATCAGCTAGTGACTTGATCTAAGTATTTTACATGTAATCGTCATCGTCGGATGTAGTGAATGGTAGTTCGAATCCGAACGCACTGCTTGTATGTCGGGTACTGATTGGTCAAACACGGCATAGGGACGAAACGACTCGAGCAAATCCATTTGCATATGACTCGGTAACAGATGGATCCGGAACTTATATTCTCGATTCGAGTCGAAAGATCTTACCGATCTATTACATCAAATATGGTTTATGATCACCTTTCAATTGAATTGTTTCCCTTAACTCTATGTTAGTGCTGTAGGATGCAAGATGCACATATTTAAAATTGTCTGTTTTGATTTTTCTCTCTGAAAAATAAACTATTTACTGAATGAACATGTTTAGTAGTTCTATGCTGAAGTCAAACCGCAATCGAAAGAATTCATCTTATCTTTTGATGTGTTGGGAAAATTTTTGAATAGTTGAAAATTGCGACAAATAAGAACGGCAACGGACGATTAACTAAAACGAATATTGCAGACTTTTTGGTGCATTTTTATTTCGATTAACACAGAAGATGCCATTTGAATAAAATTATACTGTATCTTGATGAAGTTTTCACAGTAGGTCAAAACATCTTCACAAAGAAGCAATCTCCATTGTGAAGATTAGTGTGTTTCGAGCTGCGGCTGTCGTTGTTTTCTTATGTCTGTCAATGAAAAGAAAAAAAAAGGCACATAACTATGTTATATTCATATTTACAATAGCTGTTAACATCGATGTCTCTTTTTCCATAGACTGTCATGCATATATGTTGCGATTTTTATCTTATTTTGCCAATCATCGGTCTGACTTATACGCTTCTATTTATATCAACGTTTTTTGCGCTTCTCGTCCTGAGCGTATAATTTCTCATAAGTGGCTATATATGTGCTCGAAAATACCAGTAAACGAGAAAATTCGTATCACCTAAGAAAAGAAATGTATATGGCATGAAAAAGGAAAGAACAAATATTCTTCTCCTTTATATAGTGGTCGGTTTAATAAACTCTGAAGATAAAGGCGCCATAGTTAGGGTTTATCATGACACGTATATACTAAAAACGCTGTTTACTATCCGTAGACTTTATTATATATTTTCATTTTTCTAGATAAACACAAATTTATACAGCACTGGTAACAGAATATTCAAGCAAACAATGGCTAATTCTCAAAGCGAAGCAGATCGTCGTAATCAAATAAAAAAACAGCAAAAGATCTTAGTTATTTTAGTAGCAGTTATATTGGTATATTTTTTTAATATAAACTTCTTTAACAAAGTTGTGTTGATTTAATTGTATAGGGAATACGTCTAATGGTCTACGTCGCTGGAAAAAGCCATACTTTAGCCACGATGAGCGCATCATCAACAATGCAGGAGATAGATGAAAGCACAACAGAATCGGTTAGAATTGGTGCGTTCTTTTTCGATTAGATTTGATTTTAGAAATGCTGTACTCTTCGTGATAGTTAACCAAAAATTACCAATTTGCCTGAAATTTCCCTAAATAAAAAGATCAAAAGAAAACAATCGTGTTTCATACCGACCAACAATTGGTTTACTGAATATTTTCTCTCGTTTTAACATTCATCGGATAGGAACCATTTTAAGACCTAGTTTTCATTTAGCTTGGCTTTACATCATTATAGAATTGCTTTCTCTTTACTTTGTACTCAAACTGGAACGCATTGGCATATACATCGTAAGTATACTAGTTTATTTTATATAACATTTTAATATCACATACATCACTTTTTTTTATATTGTTTCATTTCAGTTTGCATGGATCTATGTAGCCCTTTTCCTCCTATCATTCATTTCTATAGTATTTCTTTTCATTTCTGTTGGCATATCACAGTCAGCAAAGAAAGTTGCTGCTGAAGCCGATAATTCTTTCACGGCCTTTGAAATATTTTCTCTTATTATTGTCTTACTTTTGTTAACTGCATATGTATGTATCAATGCTTTGCCTATTCATAATATTCTCGGATTACTTTACATTTAGATTATAAAAACAATATTTTCATTTAAATTAAGCAAATTATTGAAGCAACAAATCGTTCTAGATGTTTCTCAACAAGCACCATTGGTTTGACAGAGACTCTGCACCATGATATGATGATATTTTAGATAGACATATAACTGAAAATGTTTCATTCTTCTCTCTTGTTGTTCTGTCGTATCTTTTAATCGCTCATTTATCGCATATACATTTTTATACTAAATATAAAATTCCAATTGCTTAATCTTTGACATCACCATTCTTCCCAATGAAGAAGCCAGTCAACTCCAGATTTGTAACACAAGATCTAAGACTTTTGAAGTGTGATGGAACACAATCGAATATGTTTAGAGAAATTCAATGTAATGGAGACCGAGGTGGAGTAGGTTCTGCAGTACCGAAGAATCACACAGAGTACGGGAGTATTGTTCTCTTGAAGTAAATGTCCCTTGTAAGCTACGCGCTTGATCTATTTCTCTGATGATTATAAATAAATGTTCCAAATATTTAACAACATCCCTTTCGCCTATATTCACATGTTCTGCTGACGTTCTTTTGTCACTATTAAAATCTACATCTCAGTTTCTGCTGTTTTCAATTTGCATTTCATCCCGCTTCGAAGCATCAAAGACGAAGTTTTACGACTTGTCAAAAAAATGTAACCGTGTGTTGCTGACCATTGTACAGTGCTATACTATTATTGAGTAGAGTTGAGTGTTATTGGCTCTATTCACTAGATATATCTTAAACATTGGCATTAGTGTGAGAAGATCGAAAGTGCTGTGAAATTCGGTCGAGAGGCATTGGTGCAGGCAGTATATAATTCTAAAGCAACGTCTGTAAAAACCATTTATTCGCTCTTTTAATAGTGGCAGATATTAGACAGTAGATGGTCGACATTTAGAAGAAGATCATCCTAAATTTCTCTAGAGCAGTTGAAGTGGTGACTCTCCGTCACTGCTTCGACCTGTGCCGCTACTAGTTCAACTTCCAAAATGAGCGATTTCGATTATTTGGCGAAATCGAGTGTATCTAGATTTAGTGACTTCGTCGTCTATGAGTCTAATGAAATCTTGAAAGTTTTCTTTTCACATTTCTGTAAGTCAACTGTTTCCTCTCGGGTTGTCCAGAATAAAAATTGTCGAATCCTACTAGTGAAACGTATCATTAGATTATTTTTCAATAAATTTCCGCCATATATTCATGTGAAGAAATACGAGCTGTAAGATACAGAGATGCGACGAAGACATGAATTCACTTTGGTTTTGTTCATAGAATTAAATAGATGACAAAATATATCCAATCGATACAAAACTGTTTCAGTTCTTAAAAAAACCGAAATCCATATATGAAATGCAAGAACAAACATTTAGCGACATCTCCCTTCTTCGTTCAAAAGAACACACGTTGATATTAAAGTGTGTGTTCTGTTTCTAGAACCGAATGAACAATCGCTATAAATAGGAAGACGCCAACCGAGGATAAGTAAAATACAAATTTCAATCATTCTTTTTCTCATGTACATAATCTTTTTCAACGAATAGCTCGCTACAGCTGTCTTCTTTTTTTGCCTCTTATTCATTCCTTGAAAAAGAACATCGAGAAACATTAGTTTTATAGAGAAGGTCGACATCGATCGTTGATCTGTTTTTGATGTGTCAGTTGAGACGATGAAATACTTGCCGTCTTGATTTCTTTCGTTTTCTTTCTCCTTCGCTTTTTACTTTTGGATATTGTGTAGTAAACATTGTTCTGTAGACATTAGAACAAATTGAAGAGTAAGTAAGATGAAAATAGTCTGACGTGTAAGTTGACAGATCAGATGATAAAATCTGTTCGTGATCGTGACGCTGTCTGCACTATTTGTCTGAATAGAAAGAGAGGTTCACTCGCTCTTCCTTTTTCTCTTTTTTCTTTCGTTTACCTGAGCCTAGTACAAGAATAATAATAGAAGAAGGAGAAGAAGAAGAAGAAAAAAAACGAGCAAAGAGACAGCATAAAGGCGAGCCCGTGCAACAGCGATTACATTTGGTCAGCTATTGCTCTATGGTCAGACAAAGAACGCAAAACGAACACACATACATATGCAAAAGAAGAGAGAAGATTTTATTCAAATAAAAAAAACATTATAGAGTGTTCGCGAGAAGAACAGAAGAAAAAGAAGAAGAAGAGAACCACTCCTTTCAGTTGGCTACCTTTTTACTGATCGGGCATGAGAGCAGGGACATACCTCTAAGAAAATATTGTAGTCAACTGGCTAGTTCTTCATTTACTAATTCTAGTTTCCTTCGTCATTTTGATTTCTTAATTCATGTGTTACATTTTAGATTTATGCTGAATGGTGAGCGTATCGAAAGTAAGTTAATGATTTGAAATAATTTCGTTTTCCACTTGAATAGTATATCGTATCAATGGTTGTTAATCTCGAAATTATATACAAAATATTCCACCTTGATTTACAATTAAATATATCCCATATTTCATTAGATCTTACATCATTCATCCAGTTGTCTATGTGTAAAGAATTGATCTCTCAGCAAACTATGTGTCGTTGTCGACGACAATGTTCGCTTGCTGACGTGTGCTCATTCTCTAAATTTCTCGTCTTCCTCTTTTTCTCGTACATATGTATATGTATATACATATATATATTGATGTTCAATGTTGATCGAGATTTATTCACACACACACGCGCGTATAGAGATGTGTAAGGAAAAAAATATCTTCCTAGAAAAAAATGAGCATCATTTAACAATAAACATTGGTCAATCTTGATCCTAATATTTGTTTGACGGCGGTTAGTTAAGAGATCAATGAGTAAGATCGAGTCATTTTCTTCTTCGTTTCCTTCTTACTTTTATTATTATTTGTTTCGAATTTGCGTGCTAATGAGTATGTGGTCAAAACTAGTCGAACAAAATAAAGTCTTTCTTCTCAATCATCAATCATAAACGATTATGATGATGGATATAAAATGGGACACGATACGCTCTAGCCAGAGAGAGAGAGAGAATGTCAATAGATGAAGATACGCGTATATCATAATTCAGCTTGAATAATACTCTCCCTCTTTCAATGTATGCATAGTGGGCAGGACCTATGATTTTCAATAAGTATACATATACACGCGTTTGCTTACTTTCGTATATACGATGAGTAAACAAATGAGATTATGATGATGATGATTATCGTTAAATCATATAGATTGATTTTGAACGCATAGAAAAGTCATGCCATCGATACCGATAAACAACTATTTTCTACAGGTCGAATCAATTGAAATTAAATTCGATTTAATTTTCAAAATTCTATTGTTTCTTTTTCAGGGTGACCATGTGTGGGTTGATCAGCGGACCGGCAGTGAGTTCAATGTCGAAATTGGTGCTCGTGTGGTCGCTTCACAAGCCGGACAAATTGTTCTAATCGATGACAATGATCAAGTATTTCTGAATCTTTCATAATTGACTCTTCTAGTCAAATATACTTTTTCTAGGAAATTCATTTTCCCATTCAAACCAAATTTCGTTCAATGCACATCAGTTCAGTCGAAGGTGTAGATGACATGATCTTGCTAGGCGATTTGAAAGAATCTGCCATACTTCATAATCTTCATATGCGTTACAGAGACGATAAAATTTATGTAAGCGAAATACTTTTTTCTCGCCAAGGAAAACCAATTAGCTCATTCGTTATCTATTCTAGACCTACACCGGATCGATTTTGGTTGCCGTGAATCCTTATAAACTGTTAAACATTTATAATATTGATAATATTCGACAATATTCAAACCGAAAAATTGGCGAATTACCACCGCATATCTTTGCTATTGGTGATAGTGCATATTGGAATATGCAACGTTATCAACATGATCAATGTATTATTATCAGTGGTGAGAGTGGAAGTGGTAAAACTGAATCGACGAAGTTAATCTTACAATTTTTGGCCGCTACCAGCGGACAACATTCCTGGATCGAACAACAAATTCTTGATGCAAATCCGATTCTTGAAGGTATGAGAAAGACGAGAGTAGAATTGTAAGAAATACAAATAAATAATTTGTTTTCAGCTTTTGGAAATGCTAAAACTGTTCGAAATGATAATTCATCACGTTTTGGCAAATATATTGATATTCATTTTGATAAACGAGGCGCGATCGAAGGTGCTAAAATTGAACAATATCTATTGGAAAAATCTCGCATCGTCTCACAAGTACGTAGACATTCTGGACCTGACTTTATATGTAAAGAAATTGTATGTTTTAGGCTCGTGATGAACGAAACTATCATGTATTTTATTGCATGTTAGCTGGCATGTCCACTGAAGAAAAACAACCGTTGGATTTAACAAATGCTAGTGACTACATTTATCTCAATCAAGTAAGATAAAACGAATCAATGGAGAGGAGAAGTGCTGATTAATAAAATGTCGCTTTAGCTCGATGGAACTATCTATTGTGACAGTCGAGATGATGGAAAAGAATGGTCAACAATAAAGAGTGCTTGCAAAGTGTTGATGTTTAGTGATGAAGAATTGAATGACATTCTCCGATTATTATCAGCTGTTTTACATTTGGGAAATTTGAAATTTCAAGGTAAATACAAATTGAAAACATTATATGAAATAAATCAATGAACATTTTAGCAACCACCACACAAAATATGGATACATGCACAGTAGCAAATATCACTGTACTTCGAGTTGTTTCGAAATTGTTGAAAGTAAACATTTCTATTGAGTTATTTGTGCGTTCATTCATTTTTCTAGCTTGATGATAATGGCCTTCGAGAAGGTCTATTGAAACGAACGATCTTTGCTCATGGAGAAGCCGTTGTTACTCCTCTTAGTCAACAACAAGCATGCGATGTTCGGTATGATGGATCCTACGATGATAGCATTATACATGTTTTTGATTTTAGTGATGCATTTGTCAAAGGAATCTACGGTAAAATGTTCATTTGGATCGTGGACAAGATCAACTCGGCAATTTTCAAGCCAAAAGATCCATCGACCTATCGAAAGAGGTAATGCTTTCATATGTGTCAATTTACGAAGTGCAGAATCTTGCGTGAGACTAAACAGTTACATATCAAATGACATACATAATCAGCTTTTAGTTGACTATATGAGCTTGGCCCATTGATCTTTTCAAATGATCATAAAATGCATGAAGAGCCGTATAAATCAAGTGTAGACATATCAATTAAATGAACACGTCATAAGAATACAATTGTCATTTTGAAATCAAACTAGACTAGCGATCTTGATTGAGCTGTTCGAATGACATAAAACGAAATTGAAAATAATGATTGATGAAATTCACTTTCTAGTCTTGGCATTTTGGATATCTTCGGCTTTGAAAATTTTCAACGGAATAGCTTTGAACAACTATGTATCAATTATGCCAATGAAAACCTGCAACAGTTCTTTGTTCATCATATATTTAAACTCGAACAAGAAGAATACAATAATGAACATATCAACTGGAAACACATTGCGTTCGAAGATAATCAACGCATACTTGACTTAATCGCAATTAAATCTATGAATGTGATTGCTTTGATTGATGAAGAAAGTCGCTTTCCGAAAGGTACAGATCGATCATTATGCGACAAGCTCCATGCAAACCATGCAAAGAATGAAAATTTTATTCCAAGAAAAACAGATAATATTATTAGTTTTGGTATTCGGCATTTTGCTGGAAACGTTTATTACGATTGTGAAAGTATGTTGGATATCCTCTATTCAAACGTAATGCTAATCCTTCTTCTTTCAAATTATAGATTTCCTTGAGAAAAATCGCGATACCTTCAGTCAAGATCTTATGAAACTGTTACAAGAAACTAAGAGTAAATTTCTTCGGAATTTATTCCTAAATGAATTCCAAATTGGTACCGAAACACGTAAACGTGCACCATCACTTGGAACACAGTTTAAGAAATCTTTGGATTCATTAATGAGTATTTTATCTGCATGTCAACCATTTTTTATCCGTTGTATCAAACCGAATGAATACAAAACACCTGATGTAAGTTGATTTAAATAATCGATAGTTCAGACGCATCGGTTTCTTTCAGACTTTTGATCGAGATCTAGTTTGTCGTCAATTGCGATATTCGGGAATGATGGAAACGATAAGTATTCGACGGAAAGGCTATCCTATTCGACATATCTTTCGAGATTTTGTTGATCGCTACCGATTATTGGCATCGGGCATTGGTCCTTCACACTGTGAAGGTGATTGTCGAGTAGCAGCCGATAAAATTTGCAAAACAGTTCTCGTCAATCAAGATTATCAAATTGGTAAAACGAAAGTTTTTCTCAAGGTAAATTTGACTATTCTTGTCAAATCTTAACTAGAAATGTTATTGTTTAGGATGCACAAGATGTATTTCTTGAACAAGCACGTGAACAAGTTATGGCACGAAAAATCCTCATTTTACAGAATTCGATTCGTCAATGGATTGCTCGTCGACAATTTCTTGTTATGCGTCAAAGCGTTTCTCTTATTCAACGTTACTGCAAAAGTCATCGGGAAGTCAAACGTTTTCAAACCATGTGCAACGGTTTCACACGTTTACAAACGCAATTTCATACTCGTATGTTAACACTCCGTTACTCTGTTTTACGTTCACGTATATTGAATATTCAACGTTATTGTCGTGGTTATCTCGGTAAGGCAAACAACTGAGTTGAGAATCGACGAAGTACGATTGACTTTCATTTAGCTCGACAAAACTATGGTCGAAAAGTCAACGCAATACTAATACTGCAATCGGAAGTTCGTCGACATATCGCTCAGAAACATATGCGTCGTTTTCGTATCGAAGAGAAAATGTATCGCGAAGCTGAACACGAGCGATCGGAAGAAGAAAAACGTTTAATACCGGCGCTAGGTGTTAAACGAGCCAAAGAAGAGGCGGAGAGGAAATATCAAGAACGTTTGAAACTTCTCGAGCGAGAAATTCATGAACAAGAACGTCTTGAACAACAACGTGCGAAAGAAAAACGTCTTCTAATGGAACGAAAACATTACACAGATGAAAACGATCTATTCAATAATATGTTTCCATCAAATAATGATGAACGTATAACGCCAGCACATCGCCCAACAGCAGTAACAACGGGTGGTATGCAATCAACGTTAGGAAATATGCCACAATCAATGGGTAATGTAGAAAGAATTGATAAGCCCTTACCACTGCCTGATCAAGATGAAGATTTACGAGAATATACATTCGCGAAATTTGCTTCGACATACTTTCAAGGCAATGCGACGCCACATTTTACAAAGAAAACTCTCAAACAACCATTATTGGCAATTAAATCCGAACGAGATCAATTGGTACGTTGAACTTTTTTTTTTGGCTAAAATTTCATAAGAGAATAAGTTAGCTGCGAGATTAACGTTCTTAGTTAACGATAGACATGTTGATCAGATAAATCGAACGCTCTAAGTTAATTCCAAGACAAACAAAGATTGTTTGTATCATGTCTTTTTCTGTTAATTAGGCGGCTTTAGCGATCTGGATAACGATTCTTCGGTTTATGTGTGATTTACCTGATGTTCGGACTCCAACAGCGGGCCATCAGAAACAGTCAATAATGACAAAGATTCACTCGACACTCGGAAGAAAATTCAATAAAAAAGATTTAGAAGAAGCACAAAAGTTGAGTGAGTCCATCGATAATCAACCATCAATAACATCGCCAGATAATTCATTATCGTTATTGACAAATAACAATGGTTCATCTCCAACATCGAATAAAACTTCGTCACGATCAGTTAAACAAAAATTAGTTAACATGACATTGAAACGGAAATCGAAATTATCGACTGATGTGGCGATCACACGTTTGAAAGATTTGGATTTGTTGAGTTCAACCCAACAAATCAAAATGACTGGTATGAATCCGTTCTTAGAGGATCGTCCAACATCAAATCTAGAAAAATTACATTTCATCATTGGTCTTGGTATCCACGTTGCCGAATTACGCGATGAAATCTATTGTCAAATATGTAAACAATTAACAACGAATCCTTCCTCACAATCAATCGCTCGCGGTTGGATTTTACTCTCACTATGTGTCGGATGTTTTGCACCTTCGTCGAAATTGATTAAATATTTACAAAACTTTATTCTTAATGGCCCAAGTGGCTTTCCAAGATATTGCTATGAAAGATTATCCAGAACAATGATGAATGGTCTAAGAACACAACCGCCGTCATGGCTTGAATTACAAGTAAGAAAATATGTTTCTCGATCATTTTCGATAACTTTTTCTCGTAGGCTACTAAACATAAGGAACCGTTATTACTTCAAATTACATTTATGGATGGAAGTTCTAAAGCGTTGAAGGCGGATTCAGCTACCACAGCACGTGAATTATGTGATCTATTAGCTGAAAAGATTAATTTAGTCGATAAATTCGGTTTTTCGCTGTATATTGCATTGTTCGATAAGGTTTCATCGCTTGGTTCGGGTATGGATCATGTGATGGATGCTATATCCCAGTGCGAACAATATGCCAAAGAGCAAGGAACATTAGAAAAGATCGCACCATGGAGATTATTCTTCCGAAAAGAAATTTTTGCACCATGGCACAATCCACAAGATGATTCAGTGGCAACAAATTTAATATATCAACAAGTTGTTCGAGGAATCAAATTTGGAGAATATCGTTGTGAAAAAGGTTTATTATATTGTTTTCGATACTTTCTTCTAATCTGTCTATTGTTTTTGCCTCTTAGATGATGATTTAGCTATGATTGCTGCTCAACAATACTATATCGAATACGGACAAGAGATGCATGTGGATCGCTTACGTGAATTACTTCCTCACTATATCCCTGATAATCAACTTGTTCAAAATAAAGCAACCGAACGTTGGCTGCAAATTATTATTCATGCTCATAAACGTCACTTCAGCAACCCGAAAGATTCGATTTCAGTCTTGCGTGTCAAAGAAGATGTGGTTAATTATGCTCGATTTAAATGGCCACTCTTATTCTCGCGTTTCTACGAAGCATATAAATTCTCTGGACCAACTTTACCGAAAAATGAAGTGATCATTGCTGTCAACTGGACAGGCGTCTATGTTATTGATGATCAAGAACAGGTTCTACTCGAATTATCATTTCCAGAAATTACTCAAGTTCTCAGTAGTAAAGCATCCGGAAGACAACAGAGCAATAGTTTTACAATTATTACGATTAAAAACGACGAATATACATTTACATCGAACAATGCTGATGATATACGCGACTTAGTGATCAATTTTCTGGATGGATTAAAACGTAAATCAAAATATGTTGTTGTCATACAAGATTTCGATCCGTCGGGACCAGGTTTAACTATACGACGTGGTGACTTAATAACCATTGAAGAAGATTCGCGTACGAATCAAACAGGTACATATTTTGGTTATAATGAACGCACAGGCTCAACCGGTGAATTTCCGAGTGAATGCGTTTACATTCTACCAACACTATCGAAACCACCACAAGATATTTTGCAAATCTTTGCATTACAATGGACAGATATAAATCAACAACAAGCACAAAATGAGCATTTATTTGCGTTAAATGGAAGTAATAATGGTGAATTTTTGCCTGAACAAGGTTACACATTAGAAAAATATGCCGAAACCAATTTTCGTTTACCGCCCAAACGCACATGGTCAAATACATTTACACGACGTGGCGGAATGAATAATGCTGGTGACCGTCTATGGGCTTTCCAGAAAGAACCCTTGCGACAACCGTTATTGAAAAAACTACAAGAGAAAATCGAATTAAGCGAAGAAGCTTGTTCTTGCTTCATGAATATCCTGAAGTATATGGGTGATTATCAAACTGGTTTACGACGTCGAGCAACAAATGAACTAACAGATGCTATCTTTGATCCAGCATTGAAACACGTAAGTTTTCCATTCGATCTTGAACATATGCTGATATGTTTGATTCGAAATAGCATAACTATTGAAATCATCTTTGCTTTGTGTTTCATAGGAAATTCTTAAAGATGAGATCTTCTGTCAAATTGTTAAACAATTGACTGATAATGGTAATCAAGCAAGTGAATCGCGCGGTTGGGAATTAATGTGGTTAGCAAGTGGATGTTTTGCTCCAAGTGCTGTTCTACTCAAAGAAGTTAACCTTTTTCTTCGTTCACGTAAACATCAACTAGCCGCCGATTGCTTTGCACGATTACAACGAACATTAAAGTAAGTCGTTCTCTCTTTTCCAAGAAGAAATAGCTATTTTTTCTCTCTGACTGTAGAAATGGCCAACGTAAACATCCTCCACATCAAGTTGAAGTCGAAGCTATTCAGCATATGACAACGCAAATCTATCATAAAGTTTACTTTCCTGATGACACATCAGAAGCATTTGAAGTTGATTCATCAACACGCGCGAAAGATTTCTGTCGAAATATAGCTGATCGTCTTAAACTGCAATCGAGTGAAGGTTTCAGTTTATTCGTCAAAATTCTTGATAAAGTTATTAGTGTACCCGAGGGAGACTTCTTCTTCGATTTTGTTCGACATTTAACTGTGAGTAATTCATTTTTATTCCATCGTTCATCAGTGAAAAATGCCGTTTTCTCTAGGAATGGATAAAAAAGACGAAACAACGTGAAGATCCACCTAAGTATACTTACCAAATCTTTTTCATGAGAAAACTATGGACAAATGCTGTCCCAGGAAAAGACAGAATGGCAGATATTATCTTTCATTATCATCAGGTACACTTAAAAATTTATGAAAGCGAAGAAAAAAGATCTTGATCTTTATTCAGGAACTTCCAAAATTAATTCGTGGTTATCATAAATGTTCAATTGACGAAGCTGTTCAACTAGCCGCTTGTATATATCGTGTTCGCTTCGGTGATAGTGCAGCTCAATTTGAAAATCTTCAGTATGTTTCCATGCAAGAGAAATCTTTTTTTTTCATTTCTCTAAATTCAACTGATCTTGTAGATTGAAAGATCTTCTCCCAGCGGATCTCGTCGATAAACTTCCATATGCCGAATGGAAAAAAGTATAGTGCTTTGTTCGTTTTCTCTTTTCTTCTGAACTCTTTACTTTAGAGCATAATAACTGCTCACGGACAATCGCGTAATGTGTCATCTGAAGATGCGAAGATCAAGTTTTTAAAAATCGTTTATCAATGGACAACATTCGGTTCTGCTTTCTTCGAAGTCAAAGTACGAATTAACGAAGAGATAACACATAGAATTACGTATCATTCTTTTTAGCAAACATCCGATCCAGCATTTCCTGAACAGTTATTGATTGCGATTAATAAAAATGGTGTGAATCTAATCCATCCGAAAACAAAAGATTTGCTAATGACATATCCATTTACAAGCATCTCGAATTGGTCAAGTGGAAACACTTACTTCAATATGGTAAGATGAGACATTGTTGAAAATTTTCTTTTGTTTCACCGTTATTTTAGACGGTCGGTGATATTGTTCGTGGTAGTCGTTTATTATGCGAATCACCATTGGTAAGTTTCTTGATAAAGAAAGAAAACCAAATACCTATTGATTTGCTCCTTTCAGGGTTATAAAATGGATGATCTTTTAACGTCTTATATTAGTTTAATGGTTCAGACTATGCATCGTCAGTCGATAAATGGATCGAGCTCACGACAATAAGAGTGTTTCTCTCTGTTCATTAACGTTTATTTTATTTTTTTTCTTTCTTGCTCTCTCATTTTTGGCTCGCTCTGTTCTACTAATGTTGTGCATCTAATTCGACATCTTTTTTCTCTCTTCTCAATTTGATGATAATAACTTATACACATATACATATGCTCTATACATTCTCAATGATGACGACGTTTCTTTTTTGTTTTTGTTGCTTGCTTCTTTGTTCGATTTGCAATACACGCACACCTGTACTACTGTGTGGTTTATATAAGTGAAAAGAAAATTAATAGATACTGTTCTGTTCTTTTGACGTAACTTATTGATGAATATCTGTCTATCATTGTGATAAAGGAATACGCATGTAAATTTGATAGATTGTTAAAGTGTTCAAAATGTGCATTTCATGTGCGTTTTCCAATCGTCATAATGAAGAAGAGTACCCAAAAAACCTCGAGTCGAATATATGATCTTGAGGGCAAGGATGTGGGTGAAAGTTTTTATGACTGAGATCGGTAGAGCTGAGCGATTTGCATCTGGAAGATGTGTTGGAATGGTAGTTGGGTGTGAGGAAAGGAATCCGTTCTTCTTTTTCTCAGGTTTTCATATTCTTTCATCGTTTCTTTTGTAATTTTTGCACTGTCTAGAGGTGACGAATGGGACCAGAATTGGAAAACATCGGTGTACGAATCCGTGTCCAACATATCGAAAACTAACTGTCACTATCAGTTTAAAAATTTTATTGCCTTCGCTAAGTGGTTGAACTTAGGCCGCCCATGATCATATTCTATGACATATTATCTACATATAATACAATAATATACAATCTGCTGCTAATATTCCACTCTCATATTATTTTCCTGAACAACAATTTACAAATGATTCGTCTAATATAACGAAGAAACATTTCAATGTTATTCAATCTGTTCGTATTAGTGATACTGCTGATGCTATATGGAAAGTAGTTGGTGGATTTTTTAATATTCATAAATGGCATCCGCAAATTTCAGCTACTGAAATCGATGATGAAAATACATTTATCAAACGTCGAGTTATCTTTGCTGGTGAAATGATTGATACAATTGAACAATTGCAAATTCTAGACAATGAAAAACGAAACTATCAATACAAGAATGTTGGTGGCAATTGGGGTAAATTGGTAGAAAACTATGAATCAAAACTTGAAGTAATAGAAGATGATAATGGTCGATCAGCTATTGTTAGATGGATCGGCTCATTTGATAGTCATGCTGATCTTGTTACCGATTTTTATCGTATTGGTTTGAATTCACTAGCAGGATTAGTTTCACCTTCGTTACCATGTTCAGGTGGTAATAGTTATTTTAACAAAACATTACCTACAATAAAAGGTCGTCCAAATCTGTCAGTTTATCGGCGACAAGAATACAATATTAACGCAAGTCAATTGTGGAAGTATGTTGGTGTTTGGAAAGGAATACTGAATGGTCAGTTATCATATGAGCCAGGATCAGAATATAGTTTTAAACTACCTGATCCAATGCCAAGAATTTATGAAACTTTACTATCTTATGATCGAACAAATTATGAATTTGTTTATTGTATGAGAGTAACCGTACCACGGTCTCTACCTGTTACAAATTATGTTAGTATGAAAAAAGTTGTATCGACTGGTAACTCATCTTCAGCATGGATAAGAACAGGATATATGATTGTAGATGATGGAACAACGGCTGAGCAAGCAGCTAACCAGGTTTTGACAAATGTCTTCGTTGCTGGTGGAGAACGATTACTTCAACAGCTGCAAAATATCACAAGACATTCTAATGAACATTAATTATTTTCTGCAAACTAGGACATAATACTTTTGTTTTTAACATAACTCCAATACCAAAAACGAATGTTTACTGTTTACATAATCTTGAAATATAATTCTTCTCTTTTATATTTTAATAAACCGAAATTAATCATACAAAACAATGTAAAGAACTACGATAGTCATAACAGATCTCGAAAATAAAAAGATAAGACTTTGCGTAAGTTTATTATAACAAACTATTAGGAGACTTACACAAGAGCGTTTTGAAAATTTAGGGGGATTATTTTCAATCAGTTTGTGCCTTCTCTGCAGGTTTGCTTTCGTTTGTTTTTGTTTTCTGAGGTAAGTATATATTTTATGAAACTTTTTTCGAATTGGGAGACAATGAAATGAGATAAATATCTATACATGATAGATGGATACGTGAGTTTTGATTAAAATTTCAAGCTACTTACGATCGAAATTCTGATCCTTGCTTAATGGATTATTATAAATCTAGGAATATAAACAACGGCACGAAGTTCTTATATCCACGGACTAATAGAGTTATTCTATAGTTAATATATTCCTTGCATTCCGAAATGTCCTACTGATGCAAATATCAATGTGAAAATCGGTGTTAGATGGATGTATTGAATATGAAAAGTACTTTTTTTATACGTAAAAGCGTAAAAATATTCGTGAAAAAACAATACTCCTGTTCTATTCTTTCTTTTGTGCGACCAAAAAAAAGTCATTTTCTCTGTAACTTAGCAATATTAGAACAAAGATTATTGATAAGAATTCCAATGACATAGACTTCGTTTATCAAGGATTATTTGACTTCAAAGAGACTTCCATTAATTTCTTTTCAATGATTAATATACTCAATTTCGACTATTCTGTAAAATAAATTTGATAACAAAAGAATGTCAAGTAAAATGTATGTACACATCCGAATTATTCATCGTTTGCCTCTGGAATCTCGGATCCATTCTTTTATCGACAAATGATGCACTTCAATGTACCAGTTACGACCGAGTTCTTAGTATTCTAGTAAATTCAATAAAAAATTTATAAAACTCTCAATATTAAAGATCAAGAATTATACTATGTAGGAATTTAATAGAATGTTTGATCCAAATTCATTACTATATTCGTCAAAATCTAAAAATAAACATATATTTCCAATTTATTGTCAGCAATACTTTTTATTGAAAGCACACTCATATACTATTTGACATATCTCTTGCAAATCGTGATCAGTACTGTATTACGTATGTAACTGGCGTCTTGTTGAGACACCATATGCTTTGAAGTAAGGGATAATGAAGAGGTACTCTCCAACATACCCAGTAGTTAAGTTCTTAGGTAATTATGAACAGCTGATATACCGTATTCCGTAAATCAATCCCTTATGTAGCATGTCAACAGCATTTTCTCGTTGCGTTCGTATAACTATATTGGTCTGCATATTTCTTCACGTCAACGCTGCGTGTCCATTATGATTACGTTCGTTTAGTTGAGATTATGAACGTATATACTGTGTGGTCTTGTTAAATATCGGTGAATACTTTCGAAATCACACTCATTGCGACACTCACCAACAGCTCCATATTATTTATCATTCGCAGTTCGCCTGTCGCCGACTATATATATAAATGAGATAACCATCACTTCTCTTCAACATTTGATAAAAATACAAACGCTGTGCCGCGAAAAATCCTCAAGATGCTTTGAATAATAATTCGTGGTCGTCACAAATATTCAGTTTCTCATCTTGTACGTGACACATGGTAACAAACAATTCAAACACCCAACGAAATATTCTCTTTCTATTTAGTAAGCGTCCAAACCGACATTTTCTATAAATGATTATCAAGTGTAATTAATAAAGATAGTGTAAATTTTAACGACACAAAATGAATGATCTTATAATAATTCAATGGTTTATTTCCTTATGTATCCGTTACTGTATATCGACTTCGACATATTTTCTCTCTGATCATTTTTTATAATAATAACTTCCATAAACACGCTGTATACATTCCCAATAATGATGACATTTGCTGTTTCCTGATTTGCAAGGTACATTTGTACTAATGTGTGGTCTATGTAAGTGAAAAAAATTAATAGATACTCTTCTGTTATTGTTATTTGACGTATTTATGAATAGCTGGAGGGAAAAATATTCTCTTCAGATTTCCGTCGCTGTACATTATAGATTAACGAAGACATTTGCTTGTAAACTCAATAGATTGTTGAAATAAGAGAATCCTACGTTTGATAATATGCATTTTCCGATCTTCTAAAACGATCGCTATGCAATTCAGTTAGAAGATCATTTCCTTGTTGATTATCATACGCGCAATCTTGAGATGTTCTTTTCGATTATTGTTATCTTTGTCTTTATATTCATGACAAAATATAGCCAATGAAAGGTTTGTACTCAAAAGATAGATCTAATAATAAGAATATAAATATTCATAGTTCATTCGAAGTTAAGATCTGTTTTTTTCCTTCAGCTTCAGGATAATTAAGAAATAGTTCAATGGTAGAGTCAACATATGATATATATATAAGAAACGGAAAGAGAAGAGAAGCAAAATTGGAAAAGATTTGATATATAATGTCGAAAGAACGCTTATTTTCTTTTTTTTTTCTTCGAAGAAAAGAGTTAACCGACTTCTATCTCATCAATAACTACTGCCTGTCAACACATTTTCCCTAATCAAGTCACATTTCCGTATTCTTTCAATGAAATATATTCTTCTCATTTCTTCTTGCCAGTCAACAAGCTGCTGTCTTCAGTCAGTTGAAAACTTTCTTGCAGATTTTAAATGAATAGATGAGTTTACCCGTAAATACATGCTTTGATCTGACTTAGTTACATTTATAACAAAGAAATTTTTCTGCTCAGTAGGTCTTTATCTTCTACAAAGTCTTCCTTCTTAATTTGCTATCGCCTACCAATAGCATGCATTCATCTTTTGTTCTCAATACATCTAGAACATGAAAAAGAAACATTAGTAGTTTATCAATATCAAAAGAAGATTTCGCCAATGCATCAAACTATCTCTTATACACAAAATAAACATTTTCTCGTAATTGTCTATTCATCGATGCAGCTAACTCCCATCTCATATCGATCGACGGAACACTTTCTTTTTTATGTTGAATTATATATATATTGATTATAAGACAAGATTCGATAGAATAAATCTATTTCAACTGAAGATGCACTTGATCCTACTTATCTATGAATGATTAACTAAGTACGCTGTTTTCAGGAAGAAAGTGAATCAGAGTAGAGACACAGGTACGTGCGTATGTGTTTCGATTGATTTTTGAGAAAAAAGAACGATGTTAATCTGATTCATTTCATCTTTCTATTATTAACTTATTCAGTGTCAATCTCTTCATTGCATGTTACATTTACTTAAAAGCTTCTATTTAAGTAAGTCAACTTTTTTTTTTATTGACAGTGGCAGATCACACATAAAATAAAAATGTTTCTGTTGTTTCTCATGATATTTCGAACATACCACTGATAGGAACGGTCTTTTTTTATTGCTGCGACTCACACGAGATGACACATTTAGCAGTACGTAAGCATATCACAGAATAAATCGAACATGAGAAAAAAGAACGTCCAAAACGAAGTCTAATCGATACAGAGTTCGAATGATTTGTAATATAAAAATGACTGTTTGCGAACACGGGACATAAATGACAAGTACTTCAATATAACAGACTCGGTGAGTAGGAAGAGATGAGACAGCACAGACGATGCATTCACTAAGCACTGTTGCTGATTCAATCTAAACCATTAGTTCTTTCTTCCTTTTACTCAAACTTTCTTTCTCTCTCTCTCTGTTGCGCGCGCGCATCTTCTTCTCTCTAACATCTTTTTCGCAGTTCTTCTTCTACAATGTTGTCTCGCTTGTGATCACTCTTAATTGTATTTTGCTTCTTCCTTCAGGTCGACGAATTGTCTCAGCTTTCACATACATTTAGAAACACGAGAAAATCATCAATATAGTCGTTTAATACTTCATTACACCTTAAAACGTTTCTTTGTTATTCTTATCTATCACAATCATCCATACATCTATTCATCATACTATCAATTATGGCAAATGGCTACTGTAATAACGCTTCATGTGCTGATCGAGAAACACAATTACGTTTAGCACGACTTCGTGAAGAATTATTAACTAATTTCAATAGTTTACTATTAGATCGTATCCGTTTTCTTGAACAAACAATTAGTCAATTGTCATCATCAGTGATACTGTCATCAACAGCAACTGTACCTCCAGCAACAACAACATCATCAGTGTTTACAAGTGCGACTCGAGCACCTTCAGGCACAGATCGTGTTTCTACGCCATCAGTTCTTCGACGTAGTTCGTCAACGACTACTTATTTTCTTCAAAGTCCTTTCAGTCAAATCCTATCAGGAAATGTTGCTGGCGCACGTTCATGTCCTTCAAGTGTTGATTTGTCAACAAGTGAAGAACGACGATCAAGATTCTTTTCATCGAAGAAAACTTCTCGATCACAAACGCGAACATCATCTGAAAGTAATGGTAATTATCTATCAATACCAATGGATGGGCAAGTATCAACAGTGACGAATGATTCGATTTCGACTCCTACTAATACGAGTGAAAGAGGACGACTTGAATCTCGACGTTTCGCTTGTGATGTCGATGACAATGAAGTACGTGCATTCAAAGCCATGGTGTATATGGAACAAGCTCGAAAACAGCACGCACGGCCGCTAACTCGTTTACGACAAGCTTTGGGTATATCAAGTAATTCACATACGGGAAACTATTCATTTCATGGTTCGAAAAAGCATTCGAATGCATAAACTAAGCACAAAAATTTCTTTCCTAAGTTCATGTACATTTATTTTGATGTTTTGTTCAAAAGAAAAAGAAAACGAATGATAAAGGCAAGATATAGTATTCTATATTCGAGTTAAGCGAAGGTAACATCTCTTTCTCTTAACATTTTTTCGATTTTCTATTATATGAAATCAATTATTGATCAATATAGAGAATAATATATAGTCTAACAAAGTTATTTCTAGTCCAATTGCTTACAAGTTGTTTACAATCATTTTCCACGTTATCAACAAGGATTCTTGCACATTGTTCGTGAGAAGAGTATAGCTCATTTCGCTGAGAAAAGGCGAGATTTACTTGCTAGAAGTAATTATTATCAAATATCATTATTTTCTGACAAATAATCATCCCTCGAATACAATGTAAATCATGTCCTATTTACAATGTTAAATAGAAGATTGAATAAACTAAGCAATATTGATATAAGTCTTGTTAAAATTAACAAATAGTTGTTGTTCAAGTGTATGAGAAGAGTACTCGCGAAGAACGGCAAGTGTTATGTGCAAATCGTTTTGTCACCGTTCATTTATGGGTGAAATAACTCATGTAAATTTTCTCTAAAGAGAATTATTTTCAAGCCTCTTTTTCGGAATATTTGTATTTCAATTGATTAAACTCAAACAATCTTGAGAAGATTAGTCATGTTAATTAATTTAACATCATCTATACATTCAATAGATTCAGTCAAGGCTTAAAAAGGAAATTAAAGGCAAATACTCATCCTATAAATAGTTCTGATCAGTTTTAAAAATAGACGGTAGATTCGATCTTTGGATCGTCTCTTCTTCAATGGGCACATATATATTAAGCAAGTGTAGGACACAAGCGACCTCTATGAATCAGAAACTTTTATGAATGCGGTTCTTCACCAATGTGAAAGTAGATGATCATGATTCGGTCGATCAGATGCTTCTTTTTACAATTCTACATTTCTAGGATATTTCAGCATATTTTTCAGCAATAAATGAAAACAACTTATTGTAATTGCATAAATTCTGTATGATGCAAGGACATCGGGTTTGAATTGAAAAGAATCATTCTACTAACACATTTTGATCATTCATTTAAAAAAAAAGTATTTCAGATGGCAAGCATATCTTTCAAAACAATACCAATTAATAATTCAACTGTGACGAGTGCAGCTCGTCTCGGTGAATTAGCGATTTCGTCGATCCCAAAAATTATCGAAACACCAGCAGCTATGCTTTATGTACGTTCCGGCGTCGTACCCGACGTTACTTATGACTTCGTGCCTGATAATGTCACTCGTTTACTTGAAATTCCACTTGGTAGTTTGGTAGAATCAATGAATAATCTTGAGAATGCTGAATCCTATGCAAACTTCGCTCGATTGGTCGATCCAATCTACTGTCCATTTCATGATTCGTTAGTGGAAGTACGTCCAGGTGGAAATGGTAATCTTTTCTCAAGTCTCTGGACGAAGTCCGGTCGAAAAGAATTGAATATTGATCGATTCAAAAAACTAATTCAACTTGTTCAGCCAACAATGTATGAAACCATGTTCGACGGTGACACACCATTTGACAAAACAACCGATAAACGTTTCACGAAAGATCGTGAAAGAAGTCGACGTTTTCTCGAGCATTCGCTCGAAAATCAAGCCATATCGTCAAATCTGATCATTCCACTTGTTGGTGGACATGATAAACGCCATAGACAATTGTATTTAACTGAAATTCTTCGACTTTTACCAACGTATGAGAAGAACATCTTTGGCATTAGCTTCGAAGGTATTCATGCATATGGACCATCTACTGAGCACATCAATCTCGACGCCATTAAATTTATTATTGAAGAAACAAAATCTAAGTTGGACGAACATCCAAATCTCCTCTATACAATGCCACTTCTTTGGCGGCCGGATAACGTCATTCGTGGAATAGATTTAGGTTTGGATCTCTTTTCAGGTGCTTATATTCCTTATATCCCCGATCGATTTGTGATATTGACATTTCAATACAACAAGGACATGCCGTCAACTTCTACTGGAACAGATTATAATATAAATGTCAAAGAATATTTCAATGGTAAACAAGCTTTNCGTCATTCGTGGAATAGATTTAGGTTTGGATCTCTTTTCAGGTGCTTATATTCCTTATATCTCCGATCGATTTGTGATATTGACATTTCAATACAACAAGGACATGCCGTCAACTTCTACTGGAACAGATTATAATATAAATGTCAAAGAATATTTCAATGGTAAACAAGCTTTGTTAACAAACTGTGAATGTTATGCTTGTAAGAACTATACACAATCATATGTGTATCATTTAATTCAAACGAAAGAGTTACTTGGACGAACATTGATTACAATTCATAATCTTTATCATTATCATGGATTTTTTCAAGAAATTCGCAAGAATTTAAGAAATAATACTTGGAATGAATATCGGACAATGATATTGGAACAATATGCGCCTTCTCAACAAAAATGATCAATCTTTGTAACCATTTTTGTAGTAAAATTTCTTCTTCTTTTTGTGAAGAAAAAGTTTCGCTTGAACGACAGAGAAAAAGAATGCAATAAAATATGTCGAAGTTGAATTGATTATGCTCATACGAAAACTTCCCGTCAGAGCAGAGAAACGCTTTTCCTTTATAATCTCGATTCTTATTGAATTGTGTTTATCTTGTCGTTTTAGTGAACGATCTATTCCATCGAAGAGAATGGATAATCAACTAAAAAATGCCTTCGAACAGCTTACATCGGCTATCTCTCCTTCCAGATTTAGTTTAATTAATCTTCTTGCCTGAATGAACCTCGATATATCTGTTTGAATACTGGTTTATTATTTCAGATAAAAGTGCACCTGCTTTTGTGATATTGTTTCTCCCATTCAGGAAGTTCAATTAAGTCACACACAAATTTATCTGGTATATGTGTTCTTTCAATGAGAAGAAGAATTTAAAGTATGTCCTTCTAGAACGGAAATGTTTCTATTTTCGTTTTTCTCGAATCACTTCGGTTTGTCATTGAATTATCTTGGAGAAATCATGCGTTAAGAAGAATCGAGAAGGAGGATACAAAAATAATTTTGCTATTTTTAGTCTCATTTCAGATGTTCTTTAATAATTAATTAAAATCAAATAATCGTAATCAAAAATGGATACAAGAAGGTGACTGTTTTGACTTGAATTTCTATCTAAGCGATGCACCTGATAGGTAGAAGCCGATTGCGATGTTTTTCGTTTCTTTCTATGCATTAACCATACGACTGATGATATTTTAGTAACAAAAGATCGAAACCTGATAGGTAAACAAAAAAAAACGTGTGATAGTAGGAGAAAACATGCGCATAAATGTGTGAATAAGACCGAGCTTCACTCAGTTTTTCTTCGTAACTCAGTCTTTTCGTGTTATAGTCATAACGGTATCGATCATTCCACTGGAAATCAAATAAAAAACTCGAAAATGTCTACAAATAGTGCATCATCAACCGTTAATTCTCAGCTATCATCTGAACACCGAAATATTCCTGGTTTGTTTTATATTTATCATAATTCCCTACGTTTTCCTTCTACTAAATTTAAGTTTTTCCATGGTTTGCAATTGACATCGGTGGAACGTTAGTTAAACTCGTTTACTTTGAACCACTTGACTTGACACCTGATGAAATTCTAACTGAAGGAGACATTCTCATGAACATTCGACATTATCTAACATCAAATCGTGCCTACGGTGCAGAGGGATTTCGCGATGATGCACTCGAGTTAACGAACATCAAACTAGGCGGGCGTCGTGGTAACTTACATTTCATTCGATTTCCGACTTCGCAGATGCACAATTTTATTGACTTGTGTGTGATGAAAAACTTACATACGTTGACTTTTCAAGTGTTCGCAACAGGTGGCGGTGCTTATAAATTCGAACAAGACGCAGTTGAGGTATGTTATTCTAGTTTGTTTGAAAGGAGCAAGTCAATGAATCATTTTGGTTTCTTAGAAATTGAAGTTAACCTGGCGTAAATGCGATGAAATTGAAACATTGATCAAGGGTTTAAGCTACTTGAGTAAATTAAATCCCAACGAATGTTTCTACTATGAAGAACCAGAAAATAATGCCAATTTAAATAAACATTCACTGAAATTCGATATGAACAAGCCGTTTTTGTTAGTTAACATCGGAAGTGGAATTAGTATTTTACATGTCGAATCGGAAACGAAAGTTCGTCGCATAAGTGGAACAAGGTTAGTTAAATAAAGCATTTCGGTTTATTCGCTTACGATTTCAATGAACATTTTAGTATTGGTGGTGCTACGTTTCTAGGTTTATCTTGTTTGTTAACCGATTGCTCAAGTTATGAAGAAGCTATCAAACTGGCATCCGAAGGTGATAGTACAAAAGTATGATGGGATTTCTTTGAGACTGTCTTCGTATTGATTTTATTGAATTCAATTAGGTTGATAAATTAGTCAGGGATATCTATGGCGGGGATTACGATCGATTTGGTTTACCAGGACATATTGTTGCAAGCAGGTAAGTTTAGGGAATGTGTAACGGATGAATAGTGATAGTTGTTTCCTCTAGCTTTGGTCATATGAACGCACCGGATAAACGTGAACAAGCATCCAAAGCTGATTTAGCTCGAGCAACATTAGTAACCGTTTTGAATAATATTGGATCAATTTCTATGATGTGTGCACGAACTGAAGTCTGTAGAATACTTTGGCGACATCCATCGTGTCATGCTTTTGAGTTTTAGAATGTGGACCGAATCTTATTTAGCGGTAGTTTCCTACGTATTAATGATTTATCCATGCGCATTCTAGCTTATGCAATGGATTATTGGTCGAATAATGAGATCAAAGCTATTTTTCTCGAACACGAAGTAAACGAACGTGATGCATAACGGTTCAGTTTGAATTCTTGTTTCGATGCATTTAGGGTTATTTCAGTGCTGTTGGTTGTCTACGAGAATTTATAATGGATGAAAATGATTTGATTGCTGCTTCTCAACACTAATTCATATTCCATTGAAGTTCTTTCAACTCAGATTTTGTTTTGTGATATTCATCGAAGATCTTTTGTATCTGTTTTTGAACTTGATAAAGTTTTTGGGGAATCTGTGAACAGTGCTGTTTTGTACTTAAGCGAAACACTGATTTGTTTTGTTTTGCTCGTTTGTTTTTCTTCCTGAAAATTCAAATCTCTTTCATTTCGATTAAACTGTGTGGATCTATGATTGCTTTCCGTTTCCATTTCAAGATCGAAAGTAACGCAAATGGTGTATACGAATGGTTTTTTACATCTATTTTGTATATTCGAATGTTGTTCAAAATATTGGATACCAAACAATATCGAAGGTAGCTGTGTGAATATTTCTGATATCGAAGTGCTAGTTTTCTCTTTAGAACTTGATACACGTTTACGAAATCAACTTATCGGTCAACCGCTTGCATATGATTTAATACTCAGATCAATCAGTTCACATGTATCTAATCCTAATCCGTCGAAATCACTAGTTCTCTCCTTGCATGGCAGCACAGGAACTGGTATGACTATCGAAATCAAATATAAGATTGTTATTTGTTCGTCTAGGAAAAAATTTCGTCGCCAAACATATTGTCGAAAGTCTTTATCATGAAGGTTACAGAAGTAAATACGTTCGACTGTACGTGGCCTCACGTGATTTCATGCATAACGATACTCAACATATCAGTCAATATAAGGTACGATATCTGTAAGTAAATATAATTGAAGTATTTCGGAATTAAATGAGATTTTCATCAAGATTTTGTATATGTAATAGCTTTTATGCGTTTAGGAACATTTAACAAAAGATATTGAAAAAGTAACAAGTGAATGTTCTCAAGCGATATTTATTTTTGATGAGATTGACCAGATACCTACCGAATTATTAAATGTTATTTTGTATTATGTTGATTTTCATTCACCAATCGCGTCTCGATCAATTGATTTTCGTAAGACAATTTTCATTTTCCTAAGGTAGGAAACATGATGCATTCAATTAGAGATAGACTTACAATTTCTAGCAACGTCGCTGGAACAGTAATAACTAAATTAGCCGGTGATAAGAAACGATTATCTATCAAACGCGAAGACTATGACATCTTAGAGTTTGAAAAGCTAATCACCAATGCCGCAGCTCAAGAAGAAGGTATTGACTTATGGAGGAAAGAATAACACTTGTTGAATTGTTTTAGGTGGACTCAAGCAGGCATCATTGATTGATCGGCACCTAGTGACATTTTTTGTTCCATTTCTTCCTCTTGAACGTGAACATATTCGTGATTGCATTCGACAGGAGCTTCAGCGAATTCTTGACAACGATATTTATGAGTATAAATTATCCGAAAAGCAAATTATCGACGATGTTTTGAATCTCATCGATTTTTCGGATACATCTCCGGAATATTCGATCTCAGGTTGTAAAATAGTTTCCCAAAAATTAGATTTTACTTTCGAACGTATGCGTCCAAAGTTGAAGAAAACAAGAAAAGAATTTTCTGATATATTATGATGTACTTGTTTTTGTCACATTTTGTTAAATAAAATTGTACCGAAAGTCTTATCCTTTGACTGTAATCATTATTTTCAATTTCAGATGCAATGAGTAGCAAACAGCAACAGATCGATGCATTGAACAGTGAAGTATGTGGAAATGAACTATTCTAAATGCTATGTCATACTCGATTTCTAGGTGCAAATATTACAGAAGAAATTAGATAGTAAAACGAAAGCATTTGCAATATTGATTAATGAATTAGAAACAGCTAAGCATGATCGTGATCAATTCAAATCGATCGCTGATAGTTTACAAGAAAAATGTGTACAATTAAAACGACGATTGCAATCCAAAGTAAATCCTAATAGTTCTGCATCAAGTCATGATGGTAGTTTTTCTAGAATGAAGCTATCATTCCATTTCATCATACTCAAACTGTCTACGAACATCCGAATGACGTAAGTCTCTAGTAACTTTGTCTTTTGTCAACATAGTTTCGAATATTTCTCACCTATTCAGAATGTAAAGTATCTCTTTGGAGATGATAAGGTTCGTGATAGATTGCAATGCACTAATTCATGCATGATAAATGCAGATTGTACTGTTACTAATCGAGATATTCTGTGAAAGTACATGTGAATATGTTTTGTCCTTCTCGTTAACCTAGTCTACGGTTCATCTATTGAAATCTGCTTTGAAAACTATTCAAGATGAAAAAGAAGTATTACAAACAAAAGTCGATGAGCTGACACGCGAACTCAGCGATGTCAAAGGCGATTTAATGGTAAGGATTAGTTTGTTAAAAGCGTTTAGAAATTAACTCTATTCAGATTTTTCGTCAAAAACGTCATCGTAATCGTATAAGCAGTAATCCAAATTCCAAGGAAGATTCGTCAATGCCTTCCACGACTAAAGAATCGAACGTTAATCATGATCAACAGGCTGCTCTTTTGAAACGTTTGGAAGAATCAAATGAACGTGTAAGGTCATTGTTAATAGGTATTTGCTAATATGATTGCTCGGGTTACATTTAGATTGTTCAACTCGACAATGAGCTGAAAATCGTTGTTTGCGAAAGAGAAGAATTAGAGATCGAACGTGACTCGTTCAAAAGTAAATATTGTAAATTAAATCAAGAATTGAATAAAATGTTGAATGGCGACGAAAACCGTGTCATCGATATCGAACTCATCTTCTCGGAAAATCGGTATATAAGCTACACACGAAATTACATTGGATGAAAACGAATCTCCTTTCTCGTTAGATATTTGAAACAGAAAATCAATGAAGCCGTTGAAGAGAAAAATCGTGCCTTAGCAAATGCATCGAAATACAAAGTGAATTTGCCATTCGACTTTTGTCTCTTTCAGTGTTGTTTGTTTTTCCTAGGAACTCTTACAGACTCATCGATCAGCGTATAACCGTTTGGGCAAAGTTCAATCGACGGGAACCGTACTTACTCATAAACAAGGTACGAAAACTTGACACTCAGTTCGGTTTGAAAAACGATTCTTTGATCTTTTTAGTACAACAGCTTCTTAAACAGAGTTACCTTGTTCCAGGCACTCCGGAAACCGATAATGATATTCGATCGATAGCTGAAGCATTGTACGAGAATCTCAAAGATAAGAATATGACAATAACACATCAACGAAAAACAAATAAGTAACTGGAAGCTAAACAAATCGCTTTTATTCCTATTTTCCGATTAGAATATTGGCAAATCGTGTTACAGAACTAGAAAAATTATTGGCCGATACAAGTCTAACTGCCAAATCTGGTAAGACATTCAATATCTTCGTAATGAAACATTCCGTTCGAGAGAAATCCAAGGTTAACCTGTCTGTAAAAACATATTTTCTCTCTTCCATTGTGATTGATGGTGTATTGATTAAAAATTGAAAACTTTCTTTGATAGAACTGACATTGAGTTGCCCGATCCCTTGAGGTTGACTCATTGTCTGCCAGAATGAAATGCATCTACTTATGCACGCTTTTATGAACAAACGATTATTCACTTGACAGATTTCAAAGTCAACAGTTGAGTTTTTCTCTTTAATATATTAGATCAAACAAATACTTTAATTAATCTCCTTGACCGAACCCCACCAATTCCAGATAGTGCAACATCACAATTCGTCAATAGTATCGATGATCAACAAGCTCAAACATCTCCGACTCAAATATTCAGTTTCTCTTCTCCATGGATGTCAACTGCATCTCTGACCAATCGAATATCTGATGAAGATGCTTCGAATAAAAGCAAAGGTATTAAACATCAGCCGACAGCATCAATAAAAAACATTCTCGAATGTCATCAATCGAGAAAGACAAGCAATAGATCGGACAGCGTGGATTTAGAAATGGATGATCCATTACAATCGCCGACATTGACAACATCTATTGCATATTTGGAAGAAAGAGATTTACTTCCGGTACCCAATCGACAAACATCAGATCCTGACCGTATGTACCTTCTTGACAATCTCATTTGGTAATCAAATCATTCGATTTAGATACGACAACAAATCTCAATCTCAACGAAGCCGAGGCGGAAGAAGAAGAAGAAGATAATAATAATGATGCTCATGTTGAACATCTTCATAAACTCCTCAATTCTGTTACATCTGCTTTTACAAATCAAGCCGCGGGACATTCGTCCGAATCGACAAATGCAACCGACGCAAGTTCAGCTACAACTAATCTCACGTGTTGAAATTAATTAATTGACCGTTTTATTGAAAGTCTTCATTCGTTTTTTTTTGTCTCGTCTCTTTTATCTTGTTCGTTCGAGCATGTCAGTGTAAAAAGTGATTATTCAGTTAGTCACCTTCGGCTAAGGACCTCATCGATATAATAAATAGCAAACATGTTAAATGTCCTTGGTCTCATCATTTCTATCGATCTATGTTCATATAATTAATATATATTTTTATTAAAAGTGAAGGATAAACATCGAATCAATCATAGCAGGAAAATAAAAAAACAGATTTTGAATATTAAAAAAAACTTGGAAGCAAAGAGAAAACTGTACATTGATAGTCTGTCCTTGTTAAAATACACGTAATATTAGGTTGACTAGGTATTACCGAAGAAAGAAGAAAAGAAAGAGAACCGATCGAACAGATGGAGTTATCAAGGCTTACATCTTAGTTAAATATGTTTTTATTTCTCTTCTTTTATTCGGGGGTCGTTGCTTGTATAACTTCCGTAACTAAATCTGGAATGCATGCAACATATTTATGCCAACCTTCAGTTTGTGTGATCGCTTTCAGATTTCCTCCAACGATGAACTGTATGACACGAGATTTCAAATCCTTTGAATGATGTTGATCAGCAAGTAATAAGATTTCGGCACTTGTGTCAATTGATATCGAACTCATCAAGGCCATTTCAGCTTGGAGACGTAAATCTTCTAATTGATATTTATCCGCGCAACGATATAATTCCACAGTCGACTTTTTGATATCATTAACTTTACCCGTGTAGATATATTCGAGCATGGATTGAATAGTTTCAGAACGTAGATCATTGATTTCAATCGTGTTCGTTGTATTTTCGAGTGTTCGATTTGAAAACATGGCAGCGAAAACAGGCGATCGCGCAGCGAGAATTAATTTATGAGCATTGAATGTAACTGTCGATGGGCTGGAATCTTCGTCAATGCCGGATATATCTGAATGGTGTACTGGTGAAACATTAACCTTTATTTTGATGTCACTCATTTTAGCCGATGGCTGAAGTAATAATTGACTGAAATCACGAACAAGTCCTTCGAGACCACGTGTACTAAAATTAATGCTATCAGCATCGTCGAATTCTTGATATTTTGTTTCTTCTGTAATAGCATCATCCATAATCGTGATTCGAACATAGATTTTCAGTTTGTCATCATCGAGTGTATCATTCTCGAGTAATGTTAGTGTATCATATTTAACATAGTTGATAAAACCACGTGAATTGCCACATTTATAAACAGAGAATTGAGCATCCTTACGCATTTCTGTTAATTCACATTTACGATTTACCAATGAATATTCCGCTTTGGCTTTAATGTCACGTTCACCTTTGATATATTCCAAAAAGATTGACATATAATTCGATGATGCCCCATAATTGCCTTTCGGGTAGCAAACAAGACGCCATTGTGTCGCTGCACTCACACCCGATACAGGACTGAACGGCGATGATGACAAACATATGATCGGTTCAGGATCTTCGAGATAGGATGAAAAGTTTTCTACAATCCACATGTGTGAAAACGAGTGTAGAGTACGTTTCGTACAACAAACGCTGTCGAGACTATAATCATTACGCATTGTTGGTAAAAAATTCGAATTGTTGGTTCCACCCGATGCCGATTCATTGGAAGCCAATGAAAGACTTGAGGAAGATTTTATGACTGTATTGTACATGCTATAGAGAAAGAAATCAAATCAAATCTTTATAAAATCAATTTTGAGCGGAATGTCATTTTCAATAGTGATTAAAAATGTGGATTTCAGCTATGGTTGCTTACGTGACTCTTTTTTGCCTGGTGCGCATTGGCATTCGTTTTCTTGTTCAGAACGCGTGCGAGAAAAAAAACTGAGAATTACAGAAAACAACACAGACAAAGTAGCAAACGAGCTTTTCTTTTTTTTATTCCTGTATCTATTGCTTATATATAGAGAGAGAGAGGACGCAGCGATCGAACGCTCGAGTGAGCGCATGCGCTTTTTTTGTAACATTACTTTCTTTCTTCTCTCTTGTGACTTTCGTTCTCTGCTGCTTTTTTTGAACCTACCAAGAAAAATGAAAGAGAAAAAAAGCCGCAAATGAAAGCGAGAAAGGAAAAGAGGGACACAGACAGACAGACAGAAAAAATATATGCAAGACGGCAGATGACACTGGGATTGTGAGTTGAGCATAGATACGAGCATGTCTATGTACATATATAATACAAACACATAATTAGCTCCATAAACGTGTACCTATCAAAGGAATATTGATCGAAAGACTAATCAATTTTACATGTTGTACTCAATCGTCCTATATCTTTAGAGAATAAATCCCAACTAACACATATGTCAATTCTTCACGTTCAATCAATTGGTTGGAATCACTCAATATCGTGATCAATCTAATAGTAATAAAAATAAAGCTAATATTTTTTATCGACGGATATGATCTTCTATGGGGGGAAAAATGTAACCTACGGAATGTTAGGAAATGCCGATAATGTACAGACGCATAGCAACGAGAGTGAGAAGGAATAGAATCTTGTGATCGACTATTTCGATACGCGTGCTGTATTATACACAGCTACACCCGCCAACTCGCAAAACACAGTCGCGTCGTCGATATTAGCCTAGAATCTATTACTTTCGTTCTCTTCTCTTGCTCGTCTTACGCGTTTTTCTTTCATTATAAGACGTCTTACGCCTGTCTGTCTGTGTCCCATTGCATTCCTTTCCGATTAATAATACTAAACTAACGGATCATATGAGAACGAAAGAGAAAAAGGAGGAAAAAAAGAGAAATATCATGCTGTGCAGCTGATATGTTTTATCATTTTCTTACAAGAGATTCTTAGCATGTTTTGTTTTCTTTACATACAAAATACGTCAAGTACTTTCAGTCATTTGAAATTGTTTACAATATTTCGCATGACAAAGCAAAGAGAAATCTTTTTCTTCATAATATTTTCATAGACAGCAGACTATTTACTTGGACTATCAATTACTCGACAAGTAAGAGATCACATTCAAAATCTATCGATCAGATCTTTTGACACGTCCAAAAGATTTAATAAAACAAAATTGTACGAAACGTAAATCAAGACTAAATATATTTCGATATCGCCTTTCAATTAAACATTATGTTTTATTAATCTCACTAAGATCTCAAATCGTGTCAATCAACCATCGATGCATATCTTGACATAGAAAATGTACATCACTTCTTATTTTCGATGTTGTATTTCATCTAACAAGAAAGGATTCTTTCATCGATTTCAATCATCTCTTATCGATTTCTTTTGTATAAGACTTCGATCAATCAAGTCGTTTCTTTTCATCTCTAAAGACACAATCTGAACGAGTATCAAGTAAATACGTACGTAAAGAAGGTAGATCATTAATCTAATCCAGTAACTGACGAGACTCCACAAAGACAATAAAAGAAGTAAAGATGAAATGAAAATAAATGACATCATCAGCAGCACGAGTGATGCTTACACGACGTTGTTATCGAATTCAATCGATAACGTATGTATTTCGGCACCATCTGTAATTGATCAAGTCAATTACTTGAATAAAACTTAATGAAAGAATAGCGTTCCTATACAGTTCTCTGTCTCTCTCTCTCTATTCTCGTTCAGAGTAAAGAATCATTGTGTTTGAAATAATTATATAATATTGAACAATGAGAACACCGAGCAGCTGACTTACATCCATGATGACATGTCAAGATTTTGTTCCTATCTCGTTATCTTTTCTTGCCTCAGCGTCCAATTATTAAAGTCCTATTATGTTTTTCTCGTTACATATCTATGCATCGAACTTATCTGAAGAAGAAGAGTAAAGTCTCGTTTGTCTCTCATTCATATGAATGACGTGCCAATCTATATCGTTTTGACATTTTACAAACGATTGTTGTCGTAGTTTAAATATTTGACAAACGCGTTACTTTTCCTCCTTGGTCTCTTTAGTCAAGGTAGATCTGTCTTTTCTTCAATGACAAATATTCATTCACACGTTAGATGCTTACAAAACGTAACAGTCCATCGACATGTCCTATCAAATGATAATACTAATCATTACTTTGTCACTTTTTTTTGTATCGTTTTGTTATATGACACACAACTTAAACATTGTCGTATAACGATGGCTTGTATGTACGAGTGTTAAGGTTGAATTGTGTGACGAAAAGAATGACAACCTTTTTTTGCGATAAAAGATTAAGCAAAAAAGACGAGTCGATGTTTCTCTCTCCCTCTTTTCTTCATCTTGTCTATGCACAATTCAACATGCAACCTTTCACTATTACATCACATTTCAAGTGCCCGTCAGCATTATCCTCGTTTCTGTCGTTGCCGTCGCACACTAGTTCAAGGTCTTTCTCTTCATTACCATCCAATATGTATTGTTCATCCAAGTGCCAATGAGACAATTTTAATATTTCACGAACTGATCATAATACTTTTATGATCGATGGAAAGATAATAAAATTTTTCGGAAGGACAACGTCACGTAATCGATACATACCAGTTCTATTTGATAGTGTCAAATAATTTTTATCAATACATTCGATTTATAGTTAATCAATAATGTCACAAACGTTCTTTTCTCATTCATGCGTTTTGTTATGATGACAACGCACCGCATATTGACCTTATAAGAGAATATTAATATCTAATAGTGCAATTAAAGTACGATAGATCATATATAACATTTCCTCTGATTTCGAAATAGAATTTCACGTAATCATTTGCTTCTTTTGATGGAAGAATGTCACGCAAGAAGAGGAATTCATCTTACCTATATGAAAATGCTGCGCACACATTCATCGTATCTTGCAATCGTATTCAAATAAATGTTTGAAAGGAGAATTCGTTCTATTTGATCAGTTGATCGTATGCACAAATAAAGTTTACTTTCAAAGATAATCATCGTGTAGTGTTACCTTTCTCCACCTGTTCTTCAATACTTCTAAGATAATTTATTCTTTCAAATATTGAAACGAAAATCAACTTGCACTATCAAAGACGGCAGCCTCTTTTTCTGTCAACATGTACTGTGAAAACTTTGGCTCTAATTGTAATAATAATTGTCGGAAAATACACATGTTTTTTTTTCTGTCAGGGACAGTATACCGATGGTATTTGACACATAAAGACAACAATATTTTTCTCACTAGTAGTTCTCTTGTGTTGGATATTCAGTTTTAGGTTGCAATGTCTTGACAATTGTTCAATGATTTATTCAATGTCACAACTACCTCTTTTCTCGTCTAATTGCCGCTATGTTTCCGCTGATCGCTGTTCCGTCAAACTTAAGTTTTGGTACGACAGTCAAAACTATGCTGTGAGATTTACCAGTAAAACGTTGTTAATGAATTAACTTGATTATAATAATAGGCAAATTCTAACAATTGAAACAGCAAACAGACGATTTCTCACTTATGACATCCATCATATGTGTAAAACTACGAATAATTGTGCTCGACATTTTGTTGAACAAAAGATTTCCCAAATGCAAAATCGATCGTACAATCGCACCGATATCTATTCTAGTTTACAACGACTGTTGTTCAATCAATCGACATTATCCGAAAATCTTGCTTGTTGTAATATGAGCAATGATATTCGGCAATGTTCTATTCTAGATCCATCTGTTTCTTGTCATGTTATCGATGATCTTATAAGACTTTTAGGTTTTATCGGCGTTTATGTCTACATAATCGGCGAATATCTGCTAGTATTAATATTTATTATTCAAATAACTTCGTAATAATGATTGCCACATGTAATCAGATGTTTTACAATGGGCCTGTAATAATTACTGTACTGAAGCAAGTATTACAACATCATCGTATCATCGATGCCAATTGTCGTCTGACAGGAAACAGTTTACAAATACATTTATCTCGGTGTTTATTCTTAGCGATGGCTTTTCTGTTGATCCAGACGAGAACAAATATGTGAAGAAAATGTTTTAGTTGTTAAAAAAACGTAGAAAGGCAACGCTGAGCTTTCTGTAGATCTTCATCGCGTGATAATCGATAGTCACCGTCATGCACCAGACGAACTTCTATTGCATCTTGTTTTGTATTGATCTGTAAATAGCTCACAAAGCCAATAACTCGCTGATAAGACGCATCGATATCGTTCATACCATATGCATAAAAATCAGTACACAATTAGTCGATTCTATCTTGACCATATCATCATCAACTGGCAACAGACATTGTTTTGAATCGAGTAGCATAGGGACAGACATATCGTGATAGTCAGAAGGCAAATAAGAGAACTGGGACGACGGTAGATATATGTACGATCTGAACGGTGTTGTACTGGTTGTATTTCGTTTAACCATAGCTATGTGCCATTGATACTTGTGGTCAACACTAAGATACGACGTATGCGAAATTTCACTGATAGATCAGCTTCTAGTCGAATATGAACTAGAAGAACAAGCCACGCACCAAATAAAATAAGATCATCGGTGGCTGTTTCGCGTCGAAGAATAGATAAGAAGTGATGAAACCAAGTTCGTACGAATACAACACCTGAAGACACAAAGTCATGATTGAACATGACAAAACGATGCTGATGTTTGTTGCACCAAGACTGAAGGAACGTCGACTTTCTGAAAAGTACTACTGATTGATATCCAGGAATGAAAACAATGGCCCACGGCATTTATCACCTATATTTCAACAGCATTGATCAATCAATCTACAATACAAAAAAGGAATTGCATTCGTGATAAGAATAAGATTCAAATGTAATCCAGTCCTCACCATGTCGACTTTCTTTATGTACATAATTGAAAGTTTTCATGTATCCTTATGTAATTTATATCCATAAATTACCTACTCTATCTTTGTTCTACATAACACGTAACTTCTTCAATGACATCTCATGCTTCATATAATGTAGTTCAATTAAACACAAATCTGAACAGAATATATAAATGTACATGTGAATATAGTAGACGATTAGCTATCAAAAGAGATTTATATCTTCGACAATCATCATTCACGAGTATGACCTTTATTAAATTACTAATACATAGATATCAGTTCATCAGATGCAAAGAATAGCATATCTTCGGAAAACAACATCAATGAAGACGAAATGATTGTTAAGAATTGTGCATGATAACGAAGAACGAAACCTACATTTGCATATCTCATATCAAAAGTAACAGTAGGAAGCAAATCCGCCCTCATACTAAGTTATGTAATCTGGATTATTAAAAAAATCGTTTCATCTAAATGTTTCAATTCGCGTCTCATATTTCTCGAGAGAGGAAACAGTTCGTGATTCTTATTCTTGTTTAGACGCATTCAGTTATGTCACATTTATCGTTATCAGTCAAAATATTCCAGTTTTTCTTTTGTTTTCATATTCACACTAACATATCGTTTCTTCACATGTTTATGTCATTCCTCTCTCTCCCCCTTCCTCTACCGTGGCATGTTCGCGCCATCGCACTATTTTACCGCCGTTTCGACAGTTGATCTGAGGCCAGTTAGAGAAGATAGATATATTTGCATATATGTATACAATACGTCCATCTATTTTTCTTGTTCTTCCTTCGGGTCATTCGAGAAATGAAGAAAAGAGAAGAACGAACGAATGACTGACTGTGTGTGCGAACAGTTGACTCGTCCATCCGTCCGACCATTCTGTTCACTCGATCCCTTCTCTTTCTCCATAGGGACAGACATACCACAAAAAAGAAAAAGAAACGAAGAGGAAGAGAACTGCTGACCTGTGCTTTATACATGTGAATATTTTTCATTTGAATGCACTGCCATTGTAGACAACTTTAGTTTGTTGTTATTTTCTATTGCAGATAGATAAAAACCTGTCATGTTATACGACTTAGTAAGTTGATTGATTTTATATAAATCGGAGATGATTGATCTTTCTTCTTCTTTAGATCGGTGTTTACGGGAAGGTCGGCCAGAGTGGACGAAATGTAAGTGCGGAAAGAAATCGCATGCACCCATCTTATTTCGAATCAATTATTTTAGGATGATGACGTCTACGATCGATATAGTCATCGTTGGACAATAATTTTACTCGGTGTATTTATCATTGCTATTAGTGCAAAACAATTTGTCGGTATGTGCACATATTTCATTAGTATTTTCACTGTTATGCAATGTTTTCTATTAGGCACACCAATTGAATGCATTCCACCAGCTGATTTTGCCGGAAATCATAAAACTTATGTGGAAAATTTCTGTTGGATTCATTACACTTATTCCGGTAATCATTCTTTTCGCTCCATGTCCTTTACGAAATTTCTTGTTTTTTTTCCCGATTATTAGTGGACGAGAATACGGCTTTAACACGCGACTTTATTCGTGGTGCTAATGGTTCTCATAAAACTCCGTATTATATTTGGATTCCGTATATATTCATTGCTGCTGCTCTGTGTACGTATCTACCAGCATGGTTATGGCACGTGGTTGGCCATCGAGCGACATTCGATGTTCCAGCAATGATTAATCAATTATCGAAAATGAAGTTAACGGTTCCAGAAGATCGACGATCGAATTTAACAGTCATGGCTAAACATTACGAGAAAGTGGAACAATATTCTCGATCGAATATACGCGTCACGGATAATATGTTTAAACGATGTATATCTGCGTGTATGTTTTTTGCGGGTGGAGGAGTATTAACAGGTAATCGTACGTGAAACGACTTAGTTAATTCGAATGAAATATTTTAGGAATTTATTTTCTCATTAAAATTTGCTATTTAATCAATGCTATCGGCCAATTCTTCCTTATGAACCATTTCCTTAATATTGATTATTGGTCATATGGACAAAAAGTTCTCCGTGGAGTATTCACTGGCCGTGACTGGATGGAAAATAAAATATATTTTCCGCGTATTGTCTACTGTGACTTTGCCATTCGATATTTAGGAGATAACAATCTTAACTACACAGTATGTATCCAAATACCATAGCCATTTCAAATCGTGTTCGTTTCCGGTTTAGGTTCAGTGTACATTACCTGTTAATCTTTATAACGAACGAATCTTTGCATTCTATTGGTTTTGGTTGATATTCTTAACATGTGCAACATTCTATGGCATTGTTGTCTGGCTTGGACAAATGAGTTATCGTGGTCGTCGTAGTTTCTTAAAGAAACACTTACGTATCAATCGTGAATTAGCAATGACTCAACATGAACGCCGTTTATTTGAATCCTTTTCTGATCGTTATCTTGGTGGCGATGGCATCCTTTTCCTTCGTCTGGTTGCCAAAAATACAAATCCCGTTGTTGCAGGTAAGAAACCGACGCTTGATGGACACATTTTCCGAACTGATTCGGTATTTAGGTGAACTATTGGGAATTATGTGGGATCGATTTGTTGCGCGTGAGAATGCGGTGGTTATTGTAGCTTCATTAGCAAGTGCTGATCCGAATGGTAAAACATTAGATGCTGATACATATCTGAATGGTGGCGGGCATGGGAAGTTTATCGATGATCGTACCCTGCCATTCAATCAACCATTGAAACAAGATTAAATATGAAATATATACTACTAAACAAAAAGGAAAGAGGGAGAACATTGTCCTACTCTAGATATTAGTTGTCATTAGCATTTTCTCTGTCATCTTTATCTGAAATTTGTCATTTTTTCTTCTCATATCTAATTTCTGTTTTGGAAGACGATGCATGTGAATTTTGTCCAGCGAAGAGCGTCATCTATATTGTGAAACGTTTGTTTTCTTTCTCGTTTTTTTTTCTTTGCTAAAGATGAAAAAATACGGCAAAAAATGTTCTTGTTGATTTTTTGTCTTCTCTTCTGTGTGATCGTAATAGAACCTCTGATCGAGAAAGAGACTTTCTACCTTGAATGAATATGAATGATGGCTGAGACATGTATATACATACACATTCAGTTCATTATTTCCTTCTCTTTTCAGATCGAAGTATGAGTCAACCAATATATGATCCAAAACAAGGTTAAAAAGAATTATTCGACATTTTCTCGTTATTAACAACAATTGTTTATAGGAGGCTTTCGTGTCTTTATCGGAAATTTGGGTGCACGAACCAATATATCGGAACTGCAACATGAATGCGAACGATATGGACCATTAGTAGATTGCTGGGTTGCTCGGTAAGTAAATAACACGGATAGGAATGAAAGTTTCTAAAATTCGATTTCATTGCATTTTTGTTCATTGAAGTAGGTAATTGAAACCTCTGCGAAAACTTCTCTTGAGACAATATAAATAATGAACTTTAATCATCCGTCTTTCAGTTGCTGCTATTGGTCTTTGCTTGGTTATCAAAAAAAGGCAGCATGATTCTACACTACACAGTTGTCAAATCGTCTATCATTTATACATAAAATATCACGCGCCTTTTTACCTACTTGTGAGCGTCACAACAACCGCTCGCAGCGAATTAAACCTACACCCGTCGTCTTCCTACGACATCTCATCTCATCTCATCTCTTCTCTTCTCGTGCGCTCCTTCTCTCCTATATCTTCCTCTCGTGTACTTGCAACAACATCTTCATTTCTGATATATAAACAAATAAAACTTCGTAACTAGAAATTCCAAGGTAAGTGATCTATGTCAGCTATATGAATAAACAATAGTAGGGAAGAGAGCGAGAATACAATAGTGCAGTTATTGACATGATCAAAATGAAAGCTATTGTATTCGTGATAGTTTTGTCATATTTTTGTTGAATTTCGAGTTTTGTACTAGAATATAACTGTCATTTTTATATTCTTCTAGCAATCCACCAGGATTTGCATTTATACTTTACAAATACGGAGAAGATGCAGATGGAGCTGTACGAAGTAAGTTTCTTTTTTTTGATCTATGCTAATACATAAATATATTCAATTTGTCTTGTTTAGACATGGATGGACGGTATGACAATCATTTGTAGGCGATATTCTTACGTATGAAATGTGTTTATATTTAGTGTAATATGTGGACAACGCGTACGAGTTGAACATGCCAAAGCTCGTTCAGCAAATTATCGTGGTGGACCGTCGCACGGTGGCCATAAGTCAGGAAGGTTAGCATCGATTAATTGGCACGAGAAAACGAAATGTAATGTTGATTTCTTTTAGCAAAGACTATGATAGTTTTGGAAACGGTCGAGATGATGGTCGAAGGTAAAATCAGATAGATGTGAAACTAAATCTATTTCTATTTTCTAGACGTCGTCGCTCACGCTCTCGTAGCAGTAGTCGGGAACGTACAAAGAAGAAGTATGCTTTGAAAGAATTATTTATTTGAACATATGAGAATTACTTGTTCGTTTAGATCTTCCCGTCGTCGTCGCAGTCGAAGTGATTCTAGTCGAGAAAGTAGTCGTGAACGATCATCTAGACGAAAGAATCGGTATACTCCTTCGTATAAAAAAAAGAAACGAAAGATTTTCTCGTTTTTAGTCGTTCACGTGATCGAAGTAATTCTGAGGGATCAAGCGATGAGAGTGATAAGAAACGATCTCGTGGTGGCTCTAGTAGCAAACATCGTCGATCTAAATCGAAATCACCTACTGATAAGAAGGCAGGCCGTTCAAAACGTCGTTCGTCACGTTCTGAATCGAAGAATCATGAAAATGGAGATGATCGAACATCTAATCAGTCAAAGGACGGTTCCGTATCACCATCGAAACGAGAGCGACAAAATAGTAGTGATCGTAACAATGATGGCGAAGTAGACAATGAAAACGATCGACGAGTAAGACCGAAAGAACTTACTTTATGAAAACAATATCGTTCAATTTTAGAAACCTTCACGTCGCAAGTCTCCCGATGCTCGTAGTGATGGAAGTGATAATGAGAGCAATGCTAGTGAGAAGAAAAGTCGTAACCGTCACAATTCAGGCGATGAAGACATGGATGATAAAGCTGGTAACGGATCTGATCATTCAAATGATGAAAGTGGTGATCAAAATTAATAATACAAACAAATCATTGCTTGTTCTGCTCGTTTGCTGTTCTGATTCGCATCCTAGTAAACTTGGTTTTTTCACTCTTTTGACATCAAAATCAAATGTATACAGTTGCGTTTTCGTCGATTGCTTATCATTCTCCCAGCCCAACCCAGTTTTTTCTCTTTCGTGTTAACTATCAATTTCACATTTCTCTCTTTCGTGTGTGTGTGTGTGTGTGTATGTGTATTTGCTTCACTTGAAGAACAAAACAAGCTCGAAGAAACTAAAAGAAACAAGCAGTAGATTGGTTATTTGATCTTGTACCTGTTTGTTTCCGTCTGTAGATGACTACCACATTGGAAACGTTTCAATCTTTGTTTAATGGAAATACGAAAAATAAAAGTTATCGAACAGATAGTGGCAAAGTTCATTCGATAGACTGGAATGTTGATGGAAGTCGACTAGCCAGTGGATCGATAGATAAAAGTGTGGCCATCTTTTCATATGATGGCAAAGGTTCAATGGTGGGTAAGGAATGTCGAGAATGATTAACGATATGAGATCGATGTGTTTATTTGATAGGTTAAGGAGCGTACTTATCGTGAACATGGAGAAGAAATCAACCAAGTTGCATGGCATCCATGTATTTCACACAGTGTGGCAACAGCAAGTTCAGATCAACTGGTGAAAATCTTCGACACGAGAACGGATCGATCGAATGCAACGATTGAAACAAAAGGTTAGTTGTTTCTCTGCGAAAGTATTGTGTTCATTTGTGATCTTTCAGGAGATAATATCAATCTTGCCTGGTCGCCTGATGGTACAACGATTGCTGTTGGAAATAAAGATGATCTTATAACATTTATCGACGTGAAAAGTTCGAAGTTAGTTTTGTTTATTTAAAGTTATCAGTGAAGATAGAACTTACGATTTAGAATTATACACGAAGAGCAATTTCACTACGAAGTCAATGAGATATCTTGGGATCGAACGGGAAATCTATTTGCTGTTACGACTGCACATGGTACAGTAGTATTCTTCGAGTAAATGCGTAGCTTGTTCCAAGTTTGAAATGAAATCATTTCTATCATTCATTCTAGTGCACTTGGCATACAAAAAGACAAAGATAAGCGTTTGGAAGAATTACATTGTCTAACGGCACATACAGGCAACTGTATTTGTCTTGAATTCGATCCAACAGGAAGATATTTTGCAGTGGGTGCTGCAGACGCATCTGCATCGATTTGGGATGTGTCTCAACTTGTCTGTTTGACTGTTCTTACAAGGTTAACTACGCAGATTATTCCTAACAATAGATTGAATTATCGTTTTCTTTTAGAACTGAATGGGTTGTTCGTGGTCTCAGTTTCGGCTATCAATCGCAATTACTTGCACTAGCATCGGAAGATCCGTACATAGAAATTGCCAAAGTTGATACAGGTTCGTACAAAAAAACAACTAATGTTTGATGAATTAAAACTGATGAATGGGATTTGTTCTAGGTGAACGTGTCTTTGCATTGAAATGTGATGCTCAAACATTAACAGTCGCATGGCATCCGAAGGCACCGGTTCTTGCCTATACTCTAGATGATGACTTGGGAAGTGTGCGTCTATTTGGTGTGCTTGATTGATATGTTATTTTGTTATATAGTGTGATAAGATACAAAAATAAACACCTTCTGTTCAATGTCTAAATCTTCTAAAAAAAGATGTTTAAAATAAAACGTGCATTCGATTAAAGACAAATCTCATTTATTGCTAATTAATAAACATCTCTCATTTCAATGTACGATCCAACACGACTTAGATTAGCAGGCCTTTTTACTTTTCTGTACTGCAAAATAAAAATATTGATAAACAAAGCTTCAGTTAATGTCAGTAAAATAATTGTCATAAACGATATGTTTAACTGCATCGCTAATACAATGATTTCGACGATTACCATCACAATAAATAGTAATATCATACATATACGTCCATGCCGTAAACGTGCAAATTTGTAAGCAAGCGGATACAGGGAATCGATTAGCGATAGTATACCTGTGCAAACACCGAGTTGATTGAGTATATCAATTGTTGATTGGTCAGGAAGAACGAAACCGTAACATACGGCATAACTCGCTGACATATTGCTGGGTATAATTGGTTTATCGGCTTCGCAAACAAATTCGTACATTGGTGTGAATGATGTGAATCGCGATTTGAATAGATAACAATTTGGTATTCGATCAGAGCATAACTTTTTCGAATAGACGTGCCGTGTAGAAAACACACAACCTTCGATAAATACTAGAATGATTACTAAGAGGCACATTCCGACTGCAGATACGAAAGGAAAACGACTCGAAAATGTTTTCAATATTTCGAATTTGTCACCACAGACGTCGATAACAACGTAATCATCACCAATATTTCGTACTTCCTTAAAATGAAAGATGGAGTCCAGCAACATAGCCAGCCGTCGAAGAGGTAACGCGAATAAAATAGCAAAACTAATGATAACGATAAGAGAAATTGAACCAAACAATATCGCACTATAAGCTCCAAATGATAACATGATTGTGCTAACTACAAGATTGAGAGATAAAATATTTAATAAAAAGATTTCAAATCAGAATGATACTGAAAACGAATTCCTCTCACTATGAGAATATACAGTCCTACACGAAAATTATATATATTTCTTCCTTGCCGGATTGAGTGCGAACCTGTTCTTTGAGTAACATCTTTCGCTTTCCAAAAATCGACAAAGATAGTGTTTAAATCACGACATATTCTGTCATAAATAAACATGGTGACATCAGTTTTACCATTTTTCTTATCTACTATGATGACTAATAGAAACGTGAAGGACAAGAAGATTTTATAATCGACAGTTGTTGTAGGTAGATTGTAAAACCATCGCAGAAGGTCAAATGTTGAATCTGATATTTTTTCTCTGATTTGTTTATTTTTTTTCAAAACACAAACTGTTCACTGAAACGAACAAAGAAAAACGCACACAAGGACTAATAAACGGATGACAATGTATAAAAACAAACGAAGAATAGGCACGTGAAACATGACATAAGGTGCGAGAAGATAATTTTTCAGTCATGGTCGCTAGAAAGAGGAAGTGTTCGTCGACTTATATACAAAATCGAAGGGATATTTGGAAAAAGAAATGTCGTATTTATACAGTTAGTTAAGCGCAATCACCATAGATAGAAGAACAAGAAAAAAAGGAACGAACCAAGTCGTATTGCTCTGAATTAAAGGAAAACACTCTCGCGTACACACAAACAGGCAAAAATGAATACAGTTGATTATGCTTTTTCATCATAATCATTAAGAAAATCAAAGCTTGTTAAGTCCGGATCATTACTCGACTGATTTGCTGCTGTATTAGTAAGTGTCGAAGACGATGAGTTTGGACCAGGCGATTGAAAGTACTGGGCATCCATTAGCTTCGGTCGTTGTTTATTCGAACGGCCTTTGACTTTCAACTCATCATTTTTCATTCGAATTCGATGTTTACCGTCTATATGACCACCAGCATTTGCGTACAATTCACTCAAACGATTTGTTTCATCATCAGCAGTTGATGAGGATGAATCACTAAGCATGTCAAAGCTTGATTCGCCCATACTAGTTTGTTTTGGAACAAAAGTTGAATCATTGACGATCGGTTCATTTTGGAAACGGTGACGAAAATTTAAGATTGTCTCACTTTGATCATTCGTAGATATTAAGTTCTCTTCTGTTTCCTCCTCTTCCCTTTCATCATCACTTATAGTCAATCGCTGCCGTTGCTGTTGTTTATTCGTAAGTGCTTCTTGTTGTAAAATCTTACGTTGCTCTTCCAATCGACGAACATCGTCATCATCATTATTCGAAGTAGCTCGGTCCAGTTTCACCAATAATTCTCTCTGATCAAGTAATGAACGCCGTTGGTATTGCCTAAAACGAAGTATTGCATTCAGAAATCCCTACAAATCTTTTCACATACATCGATTGATCAAGTTGTTCGATAACCGGTGCCAAACGGCGAAGTAACTTCGGTATTAATTTATGATAAACAACAGCTGGTAACGTAAATAAGATTAACATCGTTATATATGATACATAGAAACCATTAATTTTCACACCGATCACTGCTAATGTTAAACAAATAGCAATAATTATAATTGAGTATTTCACTCGATTCTCAGTTTTCAATGTATTCAGTTTTTCATGTGTTTGACATAAATAACGATATGAGCGTAGAACTAATTGTGTCAGTTCACAGAGATTTTTATCTTCATTATCGATCAGATGTGCTCGTTTTTGTTTTAAACTGTCCAGGATATGAAAGATCAAGATGACAAGGGTGATCGCACAGAATGGACGTAGGCCAGCTCGAGCAATTGCATAGAAAATCGCATGGGCGAGAGCAAATGCCAATAAACTAGCATAACGATTTTTCCAAAGAATGAATCGTTCCACACGATGAAATGCTGGTTCTAGTGAAACAATAATATCTTCCATGAAGTTTGTCTGCTAACAGAAATCTGAAATGGAAAATAAGATTTCATATGTCTGTGTATTTTTCAATAACTACAGTCAACAAAAAGAAGAGGAGAAAAGAGAAAAATTTGATAATTTTACATTGATAATAAAGCATAGTTAATTTCAAGTGTATTAACTAACAACGACAACATCATTAGAGTTTGATCGATTCGAATTAATGTCATTATTAGCTGTGGATGTTTGTTTGCGTTGAGAATTTGTTATAGGTTTGGAATTGATTTCAATAACTGAGTCAAGCTGATAACGCTCTCGGTATTCAAGAAAAAATGATTCGACATCAGCAACTGTTTTTGTCGGACCGACGATGCGTGCAACAGCATCGAAATCTTTACCATATTTGCCAAAGCCTTGAATTGCAAGTAGAGTTTCATCTGTTGACCACGTTGATGTGGGTGTGATATCGGCATTGTCTGTTATCAATGTTGCTGGCGGAGTGACTGGTGGAGCAATCATTGATTCTCTCTGATTGTCAGTTTGATTTGTTAAAATTTCAATCGATTGATTATATTTCTGGATGGTTTCTAACTCACGATGAATATCTTCTTCTAATTTATCGATAGGATCAAGAATTTCGTTGACATCTGAATTCGATATCGACATGTTATCATAGGAATTCATCGCAATCAAACTGTCCAAATCCAAGGACATATTCTTCGGTGGTCGTTTGATTTTTCTAAATGTGGATTTACTTGGATATAGCTCTGGTCTCATCAAACCCGATTCATGCCAGTAGAGATAGCAAGCATCACAGAGCACACCTTTAGGAGTTGAATGCATAGGTCCAATATTACCATTGATGTTTGTCACTTCACAGTTACAACATTCCTGTTCATCGAAACCAGATTGATCTGCAGATGGCTTTCCTCGATGATCTAAATCCCTAAACAGTTAAGAAATTCTTTTGTTTTTATTTTAGTTAGGATAAAGAAGACAAACGCACTTCGTTGGTAATGGTATTGATGGTGTATCTCGATCGTCTTCATCACTTTCATCGTCACGAGACATTAGTTGACTTTGCTTTTCATGTTTATCCATTAAACTCTTATGTGAACGTGTCTTTTTCCATGAATAATAATATCGTACGAGATCACCGACGCTTTTATCAGGCAACATTTGTCGAATGCGAGAAAACATTTTACCATAGAATTTATACGCTTGTTCGAATAGACATTTTTCTTCTGCAGTCCATTCATCGATTTCGGGAGTATACTGTTGCATAAGTAGCTTGCTAGTTGAGATTTTGTATTTACATATTTGTAAGATTGCCAGAGCTTGTTCTTCACTCATACGGTGCTTACGACGTGCAAAGTCAATATAATCGAGCAGATCAGAATCCGTTATCATATCTGTTGGCCGCCAAAATAGAATAGATTCATGATCAGTTGCTAATTCTGCTGGTTCTAACGGTGGAATGTTGGCTTGGTACGATGTACCTTCTCGAATACGAACATCACAATCGGATGTTGACGATGAATCGACGTCGGCTGTTGTCGACGAGTTCGATTTCTTCGACGGGGTTAATGTTAATTTCATTTCGTTGTTTTTCTCTAGAATAATTGACTTCAAGTTTAGTTCTCTGGGTGAAACAAATGAAAAGTAGCAGAGTCGCACACAAAGGATCAAAGTTGATATAGAAACGCAAGAAGAAAAAAAAGGGGTATCACAAAAAATAAGGATAGATGAACGTAGATTTCGATTTTAAAGATGTGAACACCGTACACGTTAATTGAACGAAGAATAGGCAGAAAGCATCAACGAAGACTGTTTGTCGATTTATTAGATTAGTTATTAATTACTGAGATGGATAAAGCGCGCCTTCAGGTGGTTGTGGCAATTTGACATTCTCTTTCGATGACATGCTTGATCGAATTTCATTCAAGACTTGATGAATCGACAAATCTCGATTCCAGTTTCGAAGTGTAGATATGTGTTTTGCATCAACCTAGAAAAGAATATTCCGATTCACAATATATTTGTGTTGTTCTTTTTTTCTTGAACGGAAAAACTACTTACTGAACCATTCGCTGAAACACCAGTGAGATTGATGCGTGTCTGAAAACGAACTACCGGTGGTTCTTCTGGATAACGATCACCACAGTACACTTTTAAAGTATAGATCCGGCCTTCAAAAGGTGTCTAAAACAAAAGCGCGACCGTAGCCACTATATGTTCGTTCAAATTAGCTGTAGCCTACTCGTGATGGTCCAATAATCATACATACCCACCGGGAAAGAGACATATCATCGTTCGCTTCAAGACCCCATGATACCGAACTAAATATACAGATATAAGACGAGAAATGATATACGAAACCTCGAGTTTTTCTTGCTGTTATTTACCCTTCGTGGTGGCCTTTCTGAGCCGCTTCAAGTTCTTCCAATAGTTTAAAATTACGTGGAACAACTAAAAGAAAAAAAAGCACATACTTCTTCATTTTTACTGCAATCGTTCAATCGAATCAATCATGCAAAACAAAAACCATTGATTCTCATCTGCACACAATGATTGATGACTGTGAGTATAATCATACCTGTTCGCGACTGACAACTGCTACTCATTGGTTGGCACTACACAAAAATCTAAAGATATATAGAAAGAAAAGAATAGCTCTTGAGACGGATAGGATATTTTCTTGTTTTTATTTAGTAACTGTTATTCTCTTAAATATCTCAACTATCGAAATCATCAGTAAATAAACAATAATCAGTAGTAGATATAGTGTGCGTGTGTGTGTCTGTATCCGTATATGTGCACATGCCTATCCTATTTTTTTCGTTCTGTGGGTATCTTAGCCAATCGAGAGATCCGACCATGTGGCGACAAAATAGAGGCAGCCAGTTTCAATAATGGCAATCGAGAGAAGACAGAGAGAGCGTCGCGAGGAGAACCCGCATTTTTCAAAGATTATCTCAAATAAACATATAATCTGACTTATTTTTTTAAAGAAAAAGATATAAAACAATGGAAGAGTTCGTCATTGACGCCAACTCGGGGTTGCACGATGTGCCACATGTAAAATACTTGACGGAGTTGAAACATTTTTCGATTCGTTTCGAGGAGTTTTCCCACGTGCCGTCCATGCTTGCGTTGGTTCGTATAGATGATGAGGATCATAATCAATGTCTACTTGATATTTTGATGCTTCCAACCGTTCTTGTCGAGCTTGTTCCTCTTGCTTTTGTAATTTTTCACGGATCAATCTATCTTCCAAATGATTCATATCCTAGAATAACAATGACTTCACTGTTCCCATACAATACAAGACTTTTACTCGTTCACGAAACTTCCGTATAGCAGCAGTAGCTGTTCGTTGCCGAACTTCTTGTTCAAGACGTCGTTGTCTAACCTCTTGTTCATGTTCTATTCGTTCCGTTTCTTCACGTTCGCGTCGGATTTGTTCAACCAGTTTTCTTTGCTCTTCTTTTTCAGCAAAACGTTTTTCTTCTTCTGCTCGTTTGTTTCTTTCAATTCGTTCTTGCTCTTCATCTACTTCTCGTTTCCGTAATTCCCGTTCTTGTTTCCACGCAGCGAGTAAGGCTAGTTTTTCTGCACGTTTTCGTTCCTGCTCTTTGATTTGTGTTTTTTGAATCGTTTCATCAATTTCTTTCAGAGTATTGTGAGCTTGTTCAGCTTCCTGTAAAATCGTTTCTTTCGCTTGCTAAACATAGAAAGTCGCTAATCGTCAAGTTCATAAGAGAAAAGCAAATTACATCACGTTCTTCTCGCCAACGTTTCAATGCTAAACGACGTTTGTTACTGATGGCTAAAAATTCTTGATACCAGTCTTCGTGTTCTTCGATTTGATCTCGAGTTTTAGTCGGAAGAAAACCAATACAATCATCAATGAATTTGTCTTGACCCTATTGACAATGAAATCTAGTTGAGAAGGTTTGAAAGTATGAACGAAACCTTGTATTTATTTCGAATTCGAAGAAATGTTCCATGATCATAATCATCCCAATTACCGGTTGTTCCACCGTGTTCGAGAAGGAAACGCTTGAAATAGAAACAAGATTAGATTGATATTATACTCAGATATGAATGATTTACATCATAAGCGATGATTTCTGGTAAAAGATTGGAGTTCGAAGCATCGAATTTTCTTGCAGAACCGGGTGGTGGAACTGAGTCACTTCGTTGTTGACCAGGTCGTTGATTAGACCATATTTCGATTTTATCAGTTAATGCTTGCACTTCATTAGAAAGTAGACGTTCTTCTGCAATCAGCTCTTCATATCTGATTAACAAATTAAACTCTTTAAATTACTCAGTCGAAGACCATTTTGAAAGAATTACTTCAATCTCGATGCTTCTTTGGATGTATAGATTGTCTGTTCGATCTCTTCGATTGTATGTCGGATTTTATTCACCACTGGTAATGAGAATATAATGATGCAGAGATCGAAAAGAGCGAAAAGGGAGTTTACTTGCTAAATCCGGTTTTAAATGACGAACGTCTTTGGAAAATGACCGAATATTTTGACTAACACGCTGTAAATGTTGTTGAATTCGACGTTCTAATAAGATGCAAGAGTGTTTTTTTCGTAGAAAGAAGTTGTACTACTTTCAGCATTGAATGCTTGTTCATGAGCATTTTTGTCGATGACAAGATCATTATACAGCTCACTGAATTCGTTATGACGAGAGACGAATGGCGCATCGACTTCTCGTACTATTTGATGAAATCTAATTGAAGACAGATATGTAGTTTTTCAAGCTTAGCGAAAGCTCATTTACCGTTTTTGCAATTGACGAGTTGTCACCAGAGCTTCGCGCTCACGTTCTGTGTTTGGTAGAAGACTTCGTCCTACCGTTTGGTGATTAGTGGCCATTTATTCAGTATAATTGTAGAAAATTTCTTTCACAATTGATTCAGTTCCGAAGTGTTGACATGGTGACCACTGACATGTGTGTCTGATTGTATGATGAATAAGGAATGATATTCAATGAATGAAGAGAAATAGGATCAATAGATGTCGGTGAGTGATGAAAGATTTGGTGTGCTGAACGATAGGAAACATAAGAAAAAGTATTTTATCAATTCGAAATAATCTATCAGTCTACTTTTTAAGTAGCTATTGGCGTGCCGATTAATATATTTGGATGCGTTTCTCCAAATGTATTGTTAGCTTATTCAATGAAAAAGCTAGAGAACCAACTCAAACACTACAGTAGGACTGGACTGTCTACCTTTTGCGGCGACGAAATATCGGCTGTAGGGAGCTAATTGAAAAAGATATCCTTAATACTGAGAAGAAAGCTAGCGCATCACAACGAACAGCTCGATTTGTCCCAACAGTTCATACTATGTGCTACATGACCCTCCTAAAGAAACGTTTTTTGGTGTAATCGTTCTATGATCTACCAGTTGAATATACCGGGCTCCTCAATACTAAGCTGGACATTGATGAAGAGTCTTAGAAAATGTGTGCAAAAAATTTTTGCGAGCGTAAATACACAAACAATAGGTGGAGATTCGGAATGTCATGGCAACACAGATGTAACTTTGTAACATTTATTTATCTGGTGAAGTCTTGATTTCTCATTTCTACTTTACTTATGTGTCTGAAGAAAGTTTAGTTGTGATTCATACGCTCACTCGTGCTATGCATGAAGTTCTATATTAACTCCGTTTACTTTTGATCATCAATTCAGATTTTTCAGTTTTAGATCGGAACATCAGATACAGACACGATTGAACATATCGGCACTATTTACTCGAAGCATCTGTTATGCACTTCTCATATATCTGCGTTCCAGCTTAGCCCGTATAGTCTTCCTTTCTCATGGAGACTTCTGTTCATTCTTCACATATTTGAATTCTGTTGAAGTATTGGCATTCATATCCTTTCGAAACGATCAGTAGTGATTACTGAGAAAAATTTGAGTAAGAAATGAAACATCTCTGCTGTAGTTTTTCTTTCTTTCTTTCTCTTGTACTTGATTCGTTAGTTCGTTTGACTTATACGAGTTAAAACAAGTAAGGGCTCGACCTCGGCTAAAATCCAATCAATACTGATTCTTATTTTCTTTCATTGCTCGAGCAGCTGTTCATATTTTGTATAAGAATGTCTGTCGTAGAATTCGAATACAAATCTGGCTTTCCAGGGCTTCGTTTAACACATTCAAATGGCGATGCATCCATAGAACTATTGCTGTATGGTGCACATGTCCTATCTTGGACTGTGCAAAATAAACAACTATTGTTTCTCAGGTCAGTTAGCTGTTTTTTCCTTCTAAGCCATTCATTATAGTAATTGTCTACTTCTTCTCATAGTGACAGAGCGGTTTTTGAACAGGGAAAAGCAATCCGTGGTGGTGTACCTGTTGTATGGCCACAATTTGGGCCAGGTCCCTTGCCTCAACATGGTTTTGCCCGGGTAAAAACATGGCGTGTTGGAAAAACGAACATCGATGGTGATGTCAGCGTGGACTTAAATCTTGAACATGATGAAGAAACTTTAAAATTATGGCCGCACAAATTTCATTTGACTATGACTCTCCGTTTGAGTGAAAAATCCTTCGTTCAAGAGCTAACTGTTAATAATGAAGACAGTGAAGCATTTGAATTTACCACGTTATTTCATACTTATTTTACTGTTGACGATATAAAAACCACTAAAGTGTAAGCTTATTAAACATAATATCTTATGTGACGTTAATATTTAGATTCGGTTTAAACAATGTTACTTATTTGGATAAGGTCGATGGAGGTAAAACGAAAACTGAAACCAATCAATCAATTGAATTCACCGGTGAAACTGATCGTGTCTACAAAGACGGTGGTAAAAATGGTAATCCACTTTCGATTGATGGTAGAATTCAAATAATCGCCTCGAGTACTATGCCCGATGTTGTCGTATGGAATCCTGGACAAGAAAAAGCCAAAGGAATGGCTGATGTTGGCGAACATAACTTTCCGAAATACGTTTGTGTCGAAGTTGGTCATGTAAGTGATGCCGTCAAAGTGGGACCAAATCAATCGTGGAAAGGAGCACAAGAGATAAAATTACTCCAATAAGATCCTGTTTACTACATTTTTATGATTTGGCACTGACTTTCAAGATTAGTAACATAGTAGAACTATCATTTTCAATAAAAAAAAGCTTTTAATTAAGATATAAGATTCCTTTTTTTATTTCGTAACAGTTATAATAGCCAAGATTTGAAAAAGAAAAAAAAAACACTTGAAAGACACTTCACTCTACCACCTATTCATCATCATCATCTTCTTCTTCTTCATCGTCGTCATCATCGTCATCGTCAGATGATTCCCGTTGAACTTTTCGACGTTTTGAAATCACTGAAACATAATCGGAGACATCTCATATAAACGGGCAGACGCTGGATAACTTACCTTTACCAGTTTCATCATCGTCATCATCTTCGTTACTATCCGGTTCATCCTCTCCTTCATCATCCGAATGTTCCAATTCATATTCAGTTCGAACCAAGCCTTTTTCGTACAAAGTTGATACAAATGTTATCCTATCTTCGATCGTTGCCAGTGGTAAACTATCAATGCTGACAAAACCTGGATAAGTTGTTGAAAGCATTTCCAATGCAGGTAAAGTTTCTCTATCGACTCCGAGCGTTGACAATGGTCGGTCATGATAACTTCGTGCATTATCGGTCGTGTAAAAAGCAAGAAGATTGTCTTCGTCGTCTTCAACTTCAGCATTATCTTGTTCAACAACACGTAAACAATGACGACGTAACAAACGAACACGTGTGTCAGGTTGAAGTTCGACAACATTACTAACACGATTGAACTCACTATTCCATCGTTCACCTTGTTCTTGAATTGTTGTTAATTGTTCTTCAGCAGTTAACATCGGTGGAAGAGCATCGTGTATAAACTTTTGTGCCATACTATCAACGCTACTATCCATTTGAATAGGAACACTTTCGCGAAGTAATTCATCAAGTAATCGATGACATGTAGAATGAAATTTAGCACGTTTTTTCATGGATAGTTTTTTTGTACTATGAATAAGACCAAAATGATTAAGATAACCAACAGGTAATCCTTGACGAAATTTGACATTCGTCTTCATTGCTGATCGTATATAGAAATAAGATCACGAGAGGTTATAGATGAAATAGATTTCTTGGAATATCTTACCGTAATCTACTGCTTTTGGTAAAAGTATTTTGAATAAATCACCCCATGTATGTTGTTGATAACAGCTAACAGTTAAGTGTAATGAATGAGCATCATCAAGAGTATTTCCTTGATGAATATAACCACGTGGCATATAGAGAAGATCGCCTGCTTCGAGAACAACATCGATACATGGTTTGATGCCATTGAGAATATTCTTATCTAAATCACCACTGGATTTTAATGGTAAAACTTCATCGTCATTCAATGGCTTGTAAACGCGCCAATGCTTTTTCCCTTCCAATTGCAAAATAAATGCATCGATGTCATCTACATAGCGAACAATAAGAGAATTTATTTGATGAAGTAAAATATATTTCATTGGACATACCGTAATGCGGCGCAAAGCCTTGGGAACCTGGAGGTGTCAAATATGTGTTTGCACCAACAAGTGAACCGAAATATTCTTGAAGACATGATAATAATTTCCAAACAGAAACTGAGTAGGTATGCGGATTCAAAATACGAACAGAACATCCTTCGTTGTATGAATCCCAGACAACAGCTGGACGAGCACGACCTAGTTTAACGCAAAAGCCATGCATTAAGGATATCATCAATCATTACGATAGTTTCAAACAAACCTTCTGGATTATGGCGTTCTTTTTTGGCTGTTGCTGGATTGTAAAAAGTCAGATCAATATTTTCTCCATATTCCAATGTATTTTCTCGAAGAATGTCATCAATATCACTGGTTGAAAATAGTCCACTGTAATAATTGGGCTGTTTGCGTGAAATCAGCAATGGTTCTTTTTGCCATGTCCGTTTCATAAATTGTTTCACCGGTATTGGGTCAATTATTAAACCGAAGAGATGTTGACCAAGAAGAGTACTATCGTCGATAGGGACATGATCGCGAAGCCAAGCAGAAAATGGTAAATCATCTTCATTCTAAAAAGAAAAGCTATGCACATCGATAGACATCTGAACTGTGTGGTACTTCATCGTCATCATTATCGTCGTCGTCATCATCATCGTCTTCTTCTTCTTCCTCTTCCATTTCATTTGCTTCTTGTAACGCTGCTTTGTTTTTTCGTGTTTGAGAAGATTCAGTGAGAATCACACGACGTTGAGGATGTGGTGTTGGATATGCTGGAGATAAAAACTTCTTTTCGATATTTCGTGATTTTTTCATTGTATTTGGATGTTCTACAGATAAATGTGATTTACCATTTGCGTGAGAAGTTGGCATAGTAGGTAGAAGTGATGTCGATCGATTTTTATTCGGCTGCTTATCTTTTGAATGGCCATTTGTATCGATCGCTGATACGCGCTTGCGTTTACGTGAGGCCGGTAACACAGAATTTGTTTGAGGAGGTGAGGGTGGAGCCTCTTGAGAATATCGTGCGAACGCTGATAGTGGACCGGACATCTGAAAAGAGAAATGTTCAAATAATCCGTCTGATATTTATCTGATACATGGTGTTTCTGATTTATTAATAACGTTCTCTATACACAAATCCGTACGAAAAGAAAAAAGGAAATATTTGTTTGCTCTAAATCATTAACTAACAAAGACAACTGGATCGACCTGAATGATACGTTTATAAAGTTTCCATATCGACGTGCACACATCTTTCAAATAAGTTGAATTGTTATACTCCGATGCACCAGAGCAGGTGACATTTGTGCCAACAGAAAATGGTGTATAAGCTTCGCGTGTAACAGATCCAGTTGGATGAGACATATTTGAAACACTCATGACAAGTGATTTGTGACTTCCTGGACCACCAACGGTCGCTGGTGTTGGAACATTGACGGATGTTCGCTGAGAATTCGGATCACTACCGCCTCCACTTGCACTGGATGTCCGTTCAGTTAAATTCAAATTTGAAAATATGTAATCCTGAAATGTAGAGAAAACATAACGTACATAGAGTCATTATGAACAATCGTTGTCAACAAACCAGTTCTAATGATAACGTTTGTTTCATCATGTTTTTTTGTGTTTCGGTTAACAGTGTAGATCGCATGAATAATGGTACTTGTGAAAGAATTAAACTGAGTAGATGTTCAAGTGCAAGCACAAGAAAAGGTCTACAACAAGAAAAAGTTTTCGTCTCGAAATTATCCCTATCAACATACTAACCTATGTTGTACTAATCGTTCAAGGTCGCTTTCCTTGATGCGAGCTGGTCGTGGCGAATTACTTTTGATTAGACTGAACTAAAATGTTAATCGAATGCTTAGAGATCTATTGTTCATTCTAAACATACTCGCTCCATTTGAGTGACAATATATTGAGCACCTGTCAGCCAAGTACCAAATGACGGCGCTGTTCGTCGTTCTAATGTTGGGGTGTTGAATAATGGTTCGACAAGATATTTGAATGAATCATAATCAATGGTTTGTTTATAGAGAAGCGATTCGTTCAAATCATTCAATGGAATTGTACACGGACGAAGTGCCCAACAGCACGTGCATAGAAGTCGCAATAATCTAAGGAGATCATGACGAATTGGGAATAGAAAAGGTGGATTGAAAGTCTTACCCGACTTGGATTTGTTCAAATTCAGGTGTTTGAGAACTTGCTGGTTGGGCAGAGGCAGCTGCGACTTGTTGACGAACATTAACTAAACGTGGTTTCGGTGTACCCTCACCGGGTGTTACCGGAAGAACACTAGCAGGCGAAGATGATGTTGATTGATTGAAGAGTGCCGAGCTTGGTCGTAACAATGAACGTTGAGACAAATGAGAATGATCAATAATTGTCGATTGAGAGAGAGAATAGTCCGGAACAATATTTTCTTGATTTTCTAATTCGGATCGATATGCACAACGAACTTTTTTCTAATCAAATGCATTTCTATATATCGAAAGGTCAGTTTATATCAGTAACTCACTGTTAACATGTTATGTACAAGAGCAGAATGAAGGAGAAGATTGATCGAATCATGAAGAAGATAATTGACTGCAGCCTAAACAACAATTATAGTTCTTTTTGATTGTGAAATGCAAAATTATTTTACAATGCAAATAGACGCTTCTTTGTGATGTTTACTCATTAACTGGTTATAAAATTGAGTTAAACATGCAAAAAATTGGCAGCATACATCGGCGTTATCCAATGATGGTAATGAAAACTCTCTTGTTACATTATGGAAACTCTATAAATAAAGAGAGGAGTCGATGGAATCAAAGATATCTCTAGAATTTACCTCAACAATATATTCACTACATGCTGCAAAGACATCAGACGCATTGTTAAAATGTCGATTATCTCCATGAACAGATTCCTCATGAATCAAACGGATATTCAATAAAAGATATAGACGAATGACTTTCGACCAGTTTGTTTGAGAGGTTGGCTAGAAAAATTCGATATTTAACTTCAATGGCATCGAGGTTTATATTTACATCTTCGTTTGCACTACTGATTTGTTGTTGAATTATAAACCGAAATGTATGTAGAGTTCGTGGAATGATATTCATTGTATGAAACCATTCAACACTATCGTCCTTTTTGGTTAAATCATATAGAAAACTGACGATGGTGTAACAAACACGAAAATTATCTCGTTCCTAAGAAAAGAATACGATGGATTCTTTTTAAGAATAAGACAACAGTCTTACTTGGGAAACTTTATGAAATAGATCGATGACATTCGAGACTGTCCGTTCCTGTTTGATATTAACAGATAAGGTCTTTGATTCTTCTCTTGATGTAAAAATCGATAAGAGATGAAATGTATGTACAAGTGCCTAAGGAAACAAAATTGAACAATGATTCTACCGTGAAAATCGAATATTAACGTACTTTGACAGCACATTTATATTGAGGTGTGGTCGATGGATGTACATCGATAATATCATTGCAATAATCGACGAAATCTAGTAGATGACTTAACACAGTTGAATATCGGGTTAAGTCGTCCTGTTGTTGATCAATATCTACGTAAGGCAAATTGTCGAAATCGAAATGAATGATGAACTGCTATTCTACCTGGTGTATGCTCGAGAAATATCTGAATTAAAAGAACTAGTGCATCCAAATAACAATATTTCACATAGATCGAAACATATTCTGGTGCGAGAATACAAGTAGCCAATTTAATATAAGTCGGTAGAATAGTTAATGGTGGTTGAGCTTTCTCACTACGAATGACAACCGATGAATTATGAATGTACTGAAAACAGATTTACTTTTTCCATTTGATATTTGCATTGATTGTTAAGTTTAAACACATCACAGCGATTTTCATACATGTCGAATCATTCCGAGTGAGAACGAGTTGAACAATCGATGCCAATTCTTCGAGCCATGTTTCACCACCTGGAAGAATCTTGCGAATACGATCATTCTATTAGATAAGAGAAACAAATGAGAGGTTCATTGACATCGATTATACGTACGTTCAAACAAAGTAATGCTTTGGTAAAATAAATGATCGAAGAGAAGAAAGCAAATGATAACGATTGTTCGTTTAACACTTCGTCTTCGATGTTTGATTGAAAAAATGTTCGACAAGCTTTTATCCAATGAAGAAGGCAATTATTGGTAATTAATTGATTCAATATGTCGTAAAAATCATTTCCTGTTTGATCTCTAAACCCGAAAATTATTCTTTTTATTTACTTCGCGAACAGGTCGAATCTTACGTTGTGTAATTTAATAGATGTTGAGTTAGTAAACGAAATGATGTGGAAACAGCTCGTTTGTCTCCCGTGTCCATTAACTTTATTGATACACTTGTATTCGTAATCGGAGCAGAGATATTCTTCCAAAAATCATTTCTATGAAAAGAAGACATTGAACTTCAGATCAAAATCGAGCTCATCTTTTACATTTTAACAAAGTAATCTACAAGTAATTGAGTATGTTGTTCCCAGAATTGTGTAATGAATGTGACAGTTAATATAAATAGATCAGTCGCAGCTACCTCACTAGTATTCTAAACGATAGATAAACAAAGCGAATGTTTTTCTAAATCTTCGTATGCTTACTTGTGCACTCCATCGAAGTAATTCAACAATGGGCTGTAAGATTGTTGAATTACCAAACGTAGCGGTTGCGGACGTGTTCAAATCACATAGATATCCAAGTAATGCTGGTTGAGAGTTGACACAAACGATTAAAAAGTCCAAAATAGCCATCGTCAGATCTGGAGACTAATATTCAAACGAAAAAAAAACACCGTTAAATACTGTTTGTGTCTGTTTTTAGTCTTTACTTTTCGATCTTTAATGTTCTGTATGATAAATGTTCGAAATCGTTCAATGTTTGTTTCTAACAAGATCGAAAGTCCAGGTGTGATCTAAATCGACAACGATCTCGTCAATAGATCTGATTTAAAAGTTGGAACTTACTTTTGCTAAACTTGTCAAACATCGAAGGCAGATTGGCGCTTTGACGTCGTTGATATGTTGAAGTAGAAAATCAATGCACACTTTGATTAGAACCTTCGATGCGAATGGATTAGTTGTTGAGTGTAAATTGTGATTGAAATTCTCGACCTGATAATCAATCAATGAAGAAATAATTGACATCGCATTTTGTAAACAGGATTGATACGATGCTCGATTGGTTGGATCGGACAACCTAGAACACGAAATTTATGCACAAATAGCGAATTTGATTGTGGAAGTTACGAAGTATCATTGTCAGATGGCATTGCACATTGAATTAATGCTTGACTAACAGATGGATGTTGTAACCAACCGAAAATAAAGATTGGTGATCTAGAAAACAATCGAATTCGTTTTCAATACGAGAAAAGGTAAAGATGTACCTGTTTGATTCGTTATCATTGGATGGTTTTATTGTTGAAGCTAAGCATCGGATGATAACTTTCCAGATTATTTTCAAACATTGCTCTCGAATCGGCAACCATCGTTTGATTTTGATTGATTTGGACAAGGTAGAAAAAAGTATATGGAAAAGAATCGCACGGAAACGTTCCGTTGTTTCACAAACCTATTTTCATCGAAACAAAACAATTCATGGCTGGAAATCAGTGTGAAAACATACATGAATAGTTTCTCTTGTTACATCAAGTAACGCAAGAAAAACTGGGATCCATTCATCGGCGTATTGATTTTCACTGCACAAGATTTCTAATCGACCCCAGTATGCACTATCAAGTTCCGGTAGTCTATTTAGAAAGAGTGATTAACTAGTATTTTCAACCATTGGTTGAAATTTACCGTGCGGAAGGATCGAGTTCGCTAGGTACGATGGCAGTTTTATCGACAAATGATGGAAATAAGTCCGAGTCAAGAAATAGAATAGTTAGACCTAAACGAAACAAAATGATGAAGAGCAAACGTACAGTTTTGGATTTACTTTGAACATGTTTCATTGTTTTAAATGCTTCGATTAACACATGAGATGGAATGACATTCATTTTACATAAGCTACAAGAAAGAGTTTACACAAATAAATATCATCTCTTGTCAAATACCCTGGTAGAAGATAGACTATTCTTAATAGAATATCATTAAATCGATCGTAATATTCAGGACGAATGAGGATCAATGTTGATATACAATCGATAATCGCCAAAGTTTTGGTAAACATTGTCAAAACGTTTGGATTTGTTTCGTCGACTATTGAAAAGTATTTTTCATAGTCAAATAAACGAGAGTCTCCAGTGAAATGCTCACCTCGATCTTGTTTTCGGACATAGGCAAGTGCTTGGTCGAGTACAAGCAAAAGTAATGCTTGAGGATCATACTTTGTTGGCCAAACGATGAATTGTTGATTGAAATTAGTTCGAATAAATCCTCTTGTATCTTCCTGTATAGTAACTAGTCCTACAAATGTTCAAATGAGAAAGCGCTTTTCAACTCGGAATTTGTTTTTTCTCAAACATTTCTATTCATATTAAGAACAAACAAGATAGACGCTTTTTTGCTTATCACATTGGTGATGATCGTATAAATGATACAAGTGCCAGCGCACAATAATAATGGATTGTTTCGAAGAAAGAACTACTCGAAATCTCATGTAAGTTGACATCAAATTACTCTCGTTTTTTTTTGTAAGATATGAGCATTCAAGAGAAAACCACACGGGCGTTTGTTCATTCGTCGTTCGAAGATCTATCATTCTTTAACGAATAATAGTGAACTTTATACTTCTCCTTATTATGATAATTTTACCATAAATTACCGTCCGCCAACAACGCAATTGAGGCCAAAATATCTTAGAGAAAATCGAGTGCAAGGTGCAGGCGATGAACAGATCATTTTGCCATCGTCAAACGAACAGAAACAGATTGATTTCACTGAACTCGAACAAATCTTTGACAATGCCATTCGTAAACGTATCCCACTTGAATTATACAAAACTAAATCACCTATTCAAATGAGTCACTATTCTGAACCTCCACCAAAGCCAACTCAAAATCCACTCGAAACTCGAATAGAATTGATGAATCCATCAGCAACTGTTCGCCCATTTGAAGAAAATAGACCGGGTCTTAGCCACAGAAGACAATATCGCAAAATAGCTCTAGGAATTACCATTGTTTTCTTGTCAGCTCTCATCGGTTTTACTATTGTTTTCATTTTTGTTAAATAATAAAGCGCCAAATCTCTCACTTATTTTTCATATCTTCCAAACTAAAATCCAGTTTCATACATATCACTAAGAGTTTCCTCCTGCTCTAAGCTATTCCATTTGTCTTCTCAATGAAAAATATATATATGTATATTTATTCTCATTTATTCCGAATGAAATTGTGATATAATCGATCATTAATAATTTCTCGCGTTTATCCATGTCTCGAACGAATGTCTCGAATAACAATGTAAACATCGCAGATGAAGTTTATGAAAAAGTTCGCCCATTACAAAAAGCTTCCAATAACGATCAAGGACACGGAGATGATATACCTGTTAAATCACCTAGCAAATTCATAGAGTTATTTTCACATGAATATCAACCACCTCTACAATCAACAAGTATCGAATTTCGTCTTGAAAATAAAACTAAAGACAACTAACTTATCTGATAGGCCTCTCAGTAAAATCTTCATCATCCAATGAGTTTTCTCTCGAAGCGGCAATGCGAGTGACTGACACATCTAACGAAGCAATACGAACGGATGATGAAAATGGAATGGTTAAATCCTATACTCTACCGAATTATAATTCGAAAGCAGTTCTAGAACGAGATATCATCTTAAGTGATCTTTCCATACAGCAACAACAACAATTAACTGATAACGATTGTGAATATGAGATCGATCTAGGAAATGGTTGGTTAACAAAATCGATATCTTCGTACGAATCTGGCAGTAGGAAACACAAACGAACGACAATCGGTCATTCTGCTGATTCGAGTCAACTGACAGATAGTCTCAAAATTCCATTTACAAGTACATTTTATAATCAGCATGTGCAAGCCAAGAAAAATATTGAACCATGGAATGGACTATTCAGTTCACATATACAACGACCATGTTCAAGAATCTCTCCTCGAACAGTTTCGATTTTTATAATGGGAACAACAGTTCTCGTCTTCATGAGTGTTATCATATTTCTTGTCGTTTAAGTCTTTCTCGAATAAATTCTATGATTGTTGCCATGCAAATCAATTCGCTTGCAACTCTCTTTTTTCGCTCATTTTTGGACATTTCGTGTTTTCAATGCCCAGGTATGGGCGCTTTCGAACTTCATCGTTCCGTCGATGTGCTAAGCATAAACTTTTCCGGCACTTGTCTTCCATTTCATCACGAAGCGATCACCATCAAAACAAACAACATGTTTCTTTCTTACTATCAACAATTGATGAGAAAACTTTGAATTTCAATTCGTCCGCATTCGCAGACTTATCGCCAAAGCCATTCCTTCGATCGAGTACAATGCTTCCAACATTCAATCGAAATCAGGACTTCTCTCCAACGACAAAAATACCTCACGCACCGCCGCTACCTGCGAATTTTTCGGAAAAACTGTCTACTGAAACATTGAAATCAACTGATTTCACTAAAGCTATCAAAAGCCGAACTAGTTCAATCACACCTTCCGGTACAGACCTTTCTCAATCAATGTTAATTCGACCAAGTCAAATAACTGAACCACCACCTATCATTCAAATGGGAAAGTCGAAAACGTATTGTAATCCGATTATAAAGCCGAGTCTACGCAATCGACGTCGAACACCGTTAACACCAGATGTACTAGCTTTGACAAAACTTCGTCGTCCTGAACATATTAAATCGAGCATTGCCCAACGAATCGAAGAATTAAAGCAAGCTTCACTGGTTCACTCTCAGTCATTTGATGAAAACTCGGACAAGCAAACGGATGTTCTGATAACATGCGAATACAAAAATAATAACCAAGAACGTAAGTGGCTCGAAGAACAATCACAGAAACAATCGACTATTCGATTTTTAAACACAAAGAACTCTGTGGAATTAAACAACCGTCTCTTTCAAATACGTAGTGTTGAATTTCTCGATCATGTCAACGTTCGTTTTCATGCACAAGAGAAGCTTTTCGAAGACAATTTCTTAAACAAATACTTGAAACAAATCAGCATCATCACGATACTAATTCTCAGCATCCTCCGACTAATTGAAAACACACTATCCAATCTAGCGATACCAGGTATACAAATTATTCTCAATTTGATCTACGTTTTCATACTGACCACTGTTGCAAGTATCCTCATTACAAATCAAAAATGAAAAAAACGACGAGACATACCAGGACCGTACGGATGGATATGAGATATCGCAACACATTCGTCGTTGTTACCGCCGAGTAATGCTATGTTGCAATTTTGAAATATATGAACGGCATCAACAAGCATGTCTCGATCAGAGAGACGATCAGCCTAAAGGGGATGACAGTTGAATACATACAGGAATAGCGTTTGTAATTTCCATCTGACTGCCCACACATGATTACTTACAACAGTATCGACTTGATCTTCATTATCTTTCATTCGTAGTGCATACAATTGAAGAGTTTGTTCAAATAGGAGAGGGAAATAATCATCAACAGATTGTAATTGACTAAGTGCTGGAACATCATTAACCTTGAAATAGAGGGAAAAACTTGATATAGAGATATCAAAATCTGTTTGATGACTTACTCTTCGTTGCATTGTTATTAAATGTTTTGAATCAAAGAAATCGAATAAAAAACTTCTAATGTAGTAGGTACAATAACTTTCTTAACTGTCCAATGATATGATTCGTTCTGTAACTAACCAATGAAAAATCGTGTTCTCTCGCCTCTCAAATGTACAAGAAAAAAAGAACGCATCATCATATAGATTCTTTATCTCATTTGTGAATTCAACACTTATTTGATGGGCCAAAAAATTCTCCTGATAGTCGGTTTACTCGCTCTTGCACACGCTGGTTACTCAGCTGCTCAACATCGTGTTTACGTTCGTCTCACAGAACAACGATTTGAACGTCTGCCAACCGATATTATCGTTCAAACTTTAATTGCGTTTCTTGCTTGTTGCATCGGTACAGTTCAATTTTTTGGTAAATTCAAACCGATTCTTATTACAGCCGAATGGCAAAATAAATCGTGGGATACTATCGGCAATCGTCCATCGTTTATGACGTTTAACCATCGTGGTAAAAAACTATTTCATTAATTGAAACTCAACAACAAAGAACTTTTTTTTATTTCAAAGCTTTTTTCCTTCTTTGCCTCATTTCTTTCGTTTCTATTTTCTTTGTGTTTGATATATTCCATAAGTAAACGTTTGTCGTGCAATGGAAGTTTGTGTTGATAGTTTCGAATCAGCTTTAGCAGCCGTACAAGGTGGAGCTCAACGTATTGAATTATGCAGTTCACTCGATCAAGGCGGTTTAACTCCTTCAATTGGTTTATTACGATTAATTCGTCAACGTTTACCTGCCGAATTAATTGTCTTCGTTATGATTCGTTGCCGTGGAGGCGATTTCGTTTATGATGAAAATGAATTGAATGTTATGAAAGAAGAAATTCAATCATTTTTGCAGTCAAACCAACGCGTCGATGGTTTCGTATTTGGTGCCCTTCATCCAGACGGAACTATTGATATTCAAAGTTTAAAAACATTAATTTCCCATATTCCGAAAGATATCTCATTAACATTTCATCGCGCTTTTGATTTCATTGCCAAATGGGAGACCGGCATTGATCAATTAATTCAACTTGGCTTTCATCGTATTCTGACAAGCGGTCAAGAAACAAATGCTTATTATGGAAGAAAATGTATACGTCAGATGATCACTCATGCTCAAAATCGAATTATAATCCTTCCCGGATGCGGCATTAATATGACTAATCTGGAATCTATATTACGTGAAACAGGTGCGAAAGAGTTTCATGCGTCTGCACGTGTGCGTCGGCCATCAAAAATGATTTATAAAAATTTCCAAAAGAGAATTTGTCTGAATGGTCAAAATACAGATGAGGAAGACAATTCCATTCAAGTAACAGACAAAGAAAAAGTAAAACTCATGATGGATATCTACCGCAAAGTTTTTTTTAAGTAAAACCTCCTCTGTTTTGTTCTTCTGTCTCTTCCGTTGTGTTGTCACGTGAAAATAAGGCGATATTTGTACGATCGTTTGTTCTTTTTATTAAAGATGAAATGTTCCGTCGTGTTTCATTAAATAATATCCCTTTCTATTCGAAACAATCATCTCATCTATTATCATTATGTAACAATCGTATAGTTTCTATTGGATGGTATCATAGCGACTCCATCGAAGAAAATCTACCTGAAGAGCAAGCTTATGAAGAACAACGACTCTCATCACACGAGGCAACTAAAATCTTACGAACGCATGAAGCGAGTGTTACGTTGGAAGCCAGTTGCCCAGTGAAATATTATCAAGTAAACTATCTTGGTGCGAATAATCCACCGGGTATGTCAATGAGAACACTTTCTTAGCAGCAAGAATAAAAAACACATTGCAGTTTTATTCGTTTTTCAAGAAACATCTTGCATGATAATTTCTTCTAAGTAAATATGATTGACACATGACTATAACACAACGCATGTTTTCGAATCTTGTCTTTCTATTCACATGACATAGTCTCGCTTTTTCGTCCATTTTCCTAGAGGATCGCCAGGCTCAAGCTCGCATACAATCGAGTAATTCCAACACGTATCTGTTCGGCGTTTTCGATGGACACGGCGGTCCTTGGTGTTCGGATGCTATTGGTCATCGATTGTTTGAATACATAGCGGTGTCTTTACACTCGCCGAATGATCTAGAAACTATTATGCAAAAAGGCAAAACCATCATTAGTAGCAATCGTCAAAATCCACGCAATCTTTCTTCATTACTTTTACATTCATACTATAGTCCATACAAAGATGTACGCAGTTCGAAAACGAAAGAACTTCATCAAATTAACTTATTAAAACACATCGAAGAAGTCTATACATCCTTCGATGCCGATAATACCGATATCAACAGCGCGCTTGAAAGTGCATTTGTCAAACTAGATCGTGATATATGTGCTGAAGCAATACCAACTCCCCCGCAACAGGTCAACGAGGACCTTTTACATATAAGTACTGCTGGCTCGTGTGCTTGTGTAGCACTGGTGAAAGACACGGATCTTTATATTGCAAATTGTGGTGATGCACGGGCGGTTCTCGGTAAAGCTTTTCAAAACACAAATAGGAATTTCTCATGTACATCTTCATCGTAGGTACAACTGATAATCATGGTAATTCAATTGCTGTTTCTCTATCCAATGATCATAATATACGTAATCAAAATGAGGTTCGACGAGTGCTATCTGAACACCCGCCAAACGAATCTCACTCAGTCATTCGTAGTGATCGATTACTTGGCTTATTGATGCCGTTTCGAGCATTCGGTGATATACGTTTAAAATGGCCAATAAATACTCTTCGAGAATATCTACAGCCTTACTATAAAAAAGGTGATGCCATACCACATTTCTACATCACGCCGCCATACCTGACAGCTCGACCAGAAATCATGAAATATAAACTAACGAAGAAAGATAAATTTCTTGTTTTAGCAACTGATGGTCTTTGGGATTTACTGACACCTGAAAAAGTGGTCGAATTAATATCGAATCACCAGAAAGGGGTGCAAAGTTTCGATCGATTTGTTTTAAATAAAAGCGACGGCAAAATTGCCTCGTTGAAATTGAAGGATATCAATGAATTATTATCGGCACGGCAACAAGCCATCAAAAACCAACCAATGGATCAAAATTCTGCCACCGATTTAATTCGTCATGCACTTGCTTATACATCTAAAGGTAAATTTGATAGTAAACTCTTATCGGATGTTTTGACTTTCCCTAATCCACGTTCAATACGTGACGATATCACAGTAACTATTGTTTATTTTAATCAAGCAATGTTTGATCAATACGAAGGCAAAGCGAAATAATGCTCAAATAAAGAATTCTTATTTTTGTTTCAATAACAATAATATGCATCTAATTTCTTTTCTGTAAAATATGTCTTAGTTATGCTAGTCCAAAAAATAAAATCGAATTTAAGCGCTTATGTATTTGATTTTTTTGTAAATTTACTTATTAAAAGAAGAGAATTAAAAAGATTTCAAATGCGAAAACGAGTTCCTTTTGTACGTTGATCTTTGCGTTTCAAATTTTAACCATGGCACAACGATACATATTGACAACAGATGAGAGTGCCGTGGAGAAAGACGAATCACACGGAAGTGACCTTTTAAGTGGAATACATCCGATTAAAGTCATGGCATATAAAGCAAATACACCAGTAACAACATCAACAGAAGCAAGTGCAAATAGTCTATCAAATTCAGCGGTGGAATTGCATATCGGTGAACGAGAAAAAGTTGGACAGGGCACTTTCGGGTATTTGATATTTTGGTTTTTCTACAATCGATTCATACCATTGAAATCAGATGAGATCTCTTGACAAATTTTGTTTTTTGTCTTGATAGAAAAGTTTATAAAGCGAAATTGCTTACTACGCAAGAAATTATCGCGATCAAAGAAGTTGAACTGGAAGAAAAATTCAAATCTCGAGAATTAGAGATACTGAAAAGCATGATACATCCGAACATCGTCCGATTAAAATACTTCTTTCATACCACCTCCGCCTCGAAACAGATTCTATGTTTAATTATGGAATATATGCCAATGAGTGCTCATCATTTGATATCCGAATATCGACGCAATCATAAAATTATGCCGTTGTTTTATATAAAGTTGTTCGTTTATCAAATGTTACGCGGTCTCGGATATCTTCATACACAAGGCGTTGTAAGTAGGTATTGTTATAGAGAGATTTGTGAGTTAAATGCAGCTGATGTTCACAGGCACATCGCGATGTGAAACCGGCAAACATGATTGTTGATCATGAAGCAGGAATATTGAAAATATGTGACCTTGGCAGTGCCAAGAAGTTAAATAGAAATGAAAAATCAGTTTCCTATGTAAAATAGAAAAAACAATCCTTCAAAAGATTCAGTTCATTTCGATAGATTTATTTTAGGTTTGCACTCGTTACTATCGGTAGGTAGATGTTCGATTATCTTCAAATGTTAGAAACGAAATCTATGATACAGAGCTCCCGAACTTCTGCTTGGTCATACGGAATACACGACAGCCGTTGATATTTGGTCTGCGGGTTGTTGCATGGCCGAATTTCTGAATGGTTATCCAATTTTTCGTGGCACTGATTCCAGTGATCAGATGTATCAGATTATCAAAATGATCGGAATTCCAACTCGAGAAGAACTACAGGAAATGAATCCACGTTATACTGGTTCGATTGATTTGACGGTGGTTTCGTATACTCCCCGTACCGTTCGTGGCTATCTTCCTGAACATACACAAGAAGCAGCGTTGGTCTTGCTTGATCGATTATTGAAATATAAACCTAGTGAACGTATGACATGTCAAAGAGCACTTGCAACAGATTTTTTTGCTGAATTAAAACAACGTTCTTTGGCTTTACCAAACAACCGTCCATTACCACCATTATTTAATTTTCACGAAAATGAGTTGTCAAGACATTGCTATTTATATTCAACAATTGTTCCTGATTTTGTCCGAACTAGTCCATCAGACGACAAAGAAAGTGAGTAGTCGAATTTAATCTAAAAAATAAAAAAGCACCGCCGGTGTCTCCTTTTTTTTGTTCTTTTTCGTTTCTCTTTCTCTCTCCCTTCTCTCATGGTTGTTATTCATCACATGATGTATATATATTTATTGACATAATCATTATGCTTCATACGATGAAGGTACGTCGACGACATCGAGTAGCAAAAAGCGAAAGCGATCGTGAATGCTTGGTTGAAAACGAATCCGCTCAGCATGAGCCATCGAAAGTTGTATACTTCTTATTTTTCCCTGCATCTCTAATCATGTTTTTCGTTGCTTTCAGGTACGTCGAGCACTGTGGAAAGTTGTAAAAGGGACGTGGAAAGCATTTAAAGTCGGCTTGAAAACAACTGTCGCTAGTCAACCATTTTCTGTGGCCCTCGAACCGACAGCGATAGCAACGACTATAGTCGATTATCGAGTGTACAAGAGAAATCATCAATAGTGTCATGAATGAACATTTAGCAATTTATCTGATATAAAAACGGTTTATTATCATGTTTATGTAGGATAAAAATAAAACTATCGTTTACCATATTATGTTCTGTAACATAAAATATCTGACAAAAACAACTCCTTTTCGTTTAAGAACAAGTACTTCGCGTGGAAATACCGAGTGTAGAAGCCGATTTACACAAATAATCCTCGTAGAATGTTTCTTCGTCCTGAGGTGTGTAAATTTCAATTGTAGATAACGTTGCTGTATCATTTATAACACGATGATCCATTGATGTGTCGAAACCAAATGAAGCAAATGGTTTTGAAGACCGTCCGCTACTTTGATCGGATGATGGAGTAGTTGATGATGGAGCAATATTAGATAGTAGATTATGAGAAGGTCGCTTGCTAGAAATAGGTGTCATTATGTCTTCAAATTCATGGTCTTTTTTTGTTGAAGACGAATGAGAAGGGAATCGAAATGTTGGAATGACATGAGCTCGTTCTGCACGGTAGGTTGAACGATCAGAATGAGGAGAAAGCGATTCCTTGATGATAGAAGCCAGCCGTTGGGAATAAGGTGTTTTCTCAGTATTGGAAAGTGAATGATTCTCAATAGCAGGAGTCTTTTGTGCGATTGTATTGTGTTGTACTGATGGTTTATCTAGTTCATCGTGATATTTTAGAATTGAATGTTTGGATGTAACTATACAGCTGGTGATAGGTGTTATTGGTAGTGGAGATGCTTGCGGAGATGAATTTGACTAAAATAGAGATGGAAAATGTAAAGCTAGACAGGAAATGTGTTGCTTAGAACGTACTTTTGGTGAGATTTGTCTACCTCTATCGTCGATCTCAACATAATATCCATTGGTTGTTGCAGTCGTTGGCTGTTTTGATAATCTCTCATGATCGATCAATGATGTTCGTGGAGTCATGCTCATTGGTGTTACATTTGATAAAGGTAAAGATATTCTGTCATCATGACGTTGTCGGCTAATTTTCTCAGTATTTCTTAAAGTCGCCAATAATCGAGTCGATGAACTAGAAAAGATCTCGCGGAAGTAACAATTGATTGTTTGATTTTCATTTCGCCTTACATAGGGTGATCAACTTTTGTTGACTGCAGCTCATTAACCCATGGATGGGTTCTAGCCCATGAATCAAACCAAGTTATGTTGTATCGACTATCAAGTACACCAGGCATTCGCTTATCAAGATAAGCAAAAATCTTTTGTCGTTTTGTAACAGATTCTTGCGTTGCTGCCCAGTGTATTGGTGTTAGATTAGCATGATCTTTGATTCGTAAGCATTCATATAAAAACTTGTCTTCTCGACGCTGTTGGTCTTCATCGTTGCTCTCAACTTTTCTTATGGATAGTAATAGATGTAACATAGGGATACTTGCAAATCGACAAGCGATATGGATGGCTGTATGACCGGCTGAAAGACATCTATTGTAATCGTTGTAGGTAGGAAAAGAGCATACATTAGAATTTTTATTGACACTCACAACTTTGGATCTGCTTTATTGGCTAGAAGGTATTCAACAGTTGGCATTTGATTGTGATACGTAGCTGTCGAAAGTGCCGATTCGCCATAGAGATTCAACGCATTAATATCAACATCTATGCAAATGATTTTTGTGAGACAATACATAGTCGAATGTTAAGTTGTACTTGTCGCAGTCCATTACTCACTATGCACTTGTAGACACTTTTGAATTTTAGATATTTGACCTAATCGTGCATACTGACACAATTCGTCGGCATTAGCCATGATCTGAAAATACAAACCTTTCCAAAAGCATTTCCCGCACTGACTGTTTCTATTCAATTAGTTGTCGAGGCTTTTTTAAAAATTAGATACTCGATTGTATTTTTTTGTAAACAAATATCAATTATGTTTTCTTTTTTGTATAAAGATCAACATACAACTAGCTCTATTTTGTACACAAACGATTGAACTGTTTCGAGTATAAATACAAGACAAGGAAAGAAACAAACAAACAAACACACAGGACATAAGTCACTATCTTATGTTGTGGTATACGGATGTGGTCGTCGTAGTCTGCTTATCGATGGTAATTGTTTGTACGCTCGGTTCTTCTCAAATGTTGAACTAGTCGTAGAAGAATTTGACGAAATCGATCGTATTGTTGTTGCTGTTGATGACGATGAAGTCTTTTTCTCACTACGTCGTTTCGTTCGTTCAACAATCAACGGCCATAAAACATCAGACGCGAGCGAATTGACTGCTCGATCATGATCTGCTTGAGATTCGATCGGTGCTGATTCTTTAGTGCTTGAATGTAGCAATGTTAGATAGATATCACTGACAGGATCATTCGTTATTGATAGATCTTCACTGATTGTTGTCGCTGACTGCTCACTGACAGGATCATTCATTATTGATAGATCTTCACTGATTGTTGTCGCTGACTGCTCACTCACAGAATTCCAAAACTGAACTTCGTCTTCATTACCAACATCGGCATTGAGTGGTGGATGTGATGCGAAAAAATCATCAAAATTGTTGACATTTGTATTTTGATCTGGTATCGATGTTTCTGTGGTTGTCTGTGAGTTAGATGCCAACTGTGATGACGACGACGCGGATTGTGGCGGAGATAAGTATGTGTGAGTCTGAAGTGTGTTTGTTGGTTGTGAAGATTCTACCACTGATGCTGCTGATCGAGTGATCAACCACAATGTGAGAAATTTTCCTTGACTATTGATTGTTGTCGACCGACTTGATACATCAGATCCATCGACTTTAACGAATTCGTTATCTGAAAAAAAATCAACAGTAAGTTGAATGAATAATTGCTTGACGCTTTTTGCACATACCTTTCCGTAGATACACATTGATAATTGTACGTGATGCGGAATCTAGTTCAATGATATAGACTAATTCATAAACAGCTCCTTGAGCATTTGTTAATTGCTCAGTTGGAGTGATATTTAGACGGTTGACTGTCAGCGCTAGACATGGACTAGATCTAAAATAAGTAAGACAAGAAACAGATTTACGTTCTTTTGTGCTATTGTCAATTGACTTACTGTTTGAATGTGATCGTTTTTAGTTGGTTTTGATCTCCACATCGAAAACACGCGCATGATGTTTGACACGGTTGAATCAATAATGTTGGTTTTATTTCACCGACATCATGAATAAAATCAGTTATACTAAATGAGAATTGAAAGATTGAGATTATGCTTGTTTGCTCGAAATTGATCTTACCTATTTGAAATAGTACAGTCACATTCTTGACATTGGCAATGTTCGTTTAGTTCGGTAGTAAATAGTTCTTTCAGACATGCATCAGATCGAAAAAGACGGCGAACATTCTGAATAACATTCGTATGTAAAGAATTTTGTCTACAATAATCAATCAGACGTATTTTTAAAGATCTTATTTCAACATCAATCATTCAATACTACCAATGAACTAGCGGCACAGAATCGACGGCTTTTTACCCGAAAGCCGGACTCCGTACACGCAATGACATGTGGGCGTCATCAGACAGAGCACGAAGCCTGATTTATTCAAGCTTATGGCCACCGTCCGACGTCAAGCCACACACATCCTGCTGACACTCTGCCTTACCTATAATAATAAAAATAGAATATTTATTGTGAAAAGAAAAAGAAAGAAGAATTTTGTTTCCTGCCGCCCTCCTCAAAATGAAATTTAGGTTGTTGAACATCAACGTGAGGGTAAGAGAACAAACATTGAGTTTAGTGTTTACTTACTTCAAGGTATTCTGTAAAATGTTCGAATATTCATCGAAGAGTTTCGATGAATTACTAGATGTGGAAAATAATGTTTGATCAAGATTGTGCAATAACGCTGAAGACAATGTCTTGTTGGCTTGTGATAATGCACTTTCATTATAACGATGTAAGAGATCGGTTAGACAAGTAGAAAGTGTATAAAATGTCACTGAAAGCTGACGAGCAGCAATCATAGATGACCAGATGGATTCGTTTGGCGTCGTACTCATCTGTAGTGTTCTTTCGCAAGTTGTGTTGTGCTTGGGCAGAAATAAAATACGTCTTTGTTTATGAAAGGAGTCATGAGACTCTTCATCGTAGAGGTACGATTTGGTTGGAAAATGGCTAATTAATTGACTGGGAACTAAAAATGAAAATGAGAATTTTGTCACATGAAATTGCGCTTACAAAGACTGGAAAATTTTTTTCTCACTTTTTTGGGAGAAACTTTTAGTAAAACGTTGTATTGTCAATAAGCGACATCTGTCGATCACTTAGGATATATAGATCGTCTTCATTTAGTCGCTCGTTTGTTAATAGATTAAAATGAATGAAAGTAAATACGTGAGACACAAATTGAAAGGTGAGATGTCTCGATCGCTTGTTACACAAATAAAAGTGCCTAAGAAGAAAGGCTTATCGTTCATCATGTTGCTTGCTCTTGTTCTTTGTGATCGATTACAATTTTAGCATCTGAACACGTTTCGATCAACAATTAGTAAATGATCGTAAGCTTATGTTTTATCGACGAATATATAACAATCTATTCATCATAAATACGTTCGATCAGTTTTTATATGAATAAGAATAGGACAAGGCCGGACATTTTGAAAATATGTTGGCGAAGGTTGAACAAAAACGACAGAACGTGAGTGTATGCCAAATGAAAACCTATATCCGCTCTTGAATGCGATATTTATTACCAATGTCCTCTTTATGATCTATCTGCAGGCATATATCATTCGATAAGAATGACTGTCAATCAACGGCGTCTATTAAAAGTTCTTTTCATTAGTTTTCTTTTAACACCATCAACAATTCTTGTTGAAGCGATCGCTGGCCGGTGTTATCTATGTTCACAGAAGACACTAGCTGAATGTGCTGGAAATGCTCAACCGGATTCACCACTCTATCATACGATTCTTCAATACTATACAGAACCATGCAACGGACAGTGTGTACTTTTTCGAAGTGAAGATCTATCAACTATACGTGGATGTTCATGGACATACGGACATATGACAGCGAAATCAACCGGTTGGCATGAGTTGACTCCCGGCATACGGGCTTACTTTTGTGATAGTTATCTTTGCAATAATGGTACGTTTGATCAACCAGAAAAGGCGATATTCAGTGAAGAAGCAGTGAACAATGAATTTCACCTACCACAACAATTACCAATCCTATCTGGAAATGCTCTTTCTCTATTACCAAATGGTAAGTTCAATTCACGTCTCTTTTTCGTCGATTACTCCATTATCGATATGTAATAATGGATTAATGCAAATAGACACCAACGTTGTCGTATACGTAATCCATAATGACGAAACGTAAATTTAGGCCAACATGTACCACCTATCGACAATCTACATCATCAATTACGTCAGTGTTACTCATGTACAGCTCATCAAAAGGGTTGCAACGAATATCTCGATCCACATTATGTGTCAACATATATTCGTCCATGTCCGGCAAGTTGTATTCTCTTTCGAAACCCCAACGATCATAATAGTATGTGTTTGTCTATCAATAGTAAATACTCTATAGACAAAATTCATTGTTGTAGTATTGACACGAGATTGTTCAATAGCTTGGCCACAAGTACATGCAAAGAATGGTCTTCATAAATTACTCGGCTCAGACGCATTCTTTTGTCAAGAATCTTTGTATGAAAACTTATAGTTCTATTTAATTACTTTTCTTTCGTTCCATTCTTTTAGATGCAATGGAATCGGCTTTGATTTGATTATGGGTTTGTATAGAAACTTGCTGTTTTTTTTCCTCACAACATATTGAAAAAATGTTATTGCATGTTTAGGAATTTTTCATAATCAAATGCCCGCGATCGTAACTTTTCCGCCATCCCCTCCAATCGATATTCCTTCCACAACAACGACAACGACAACAGTTGAATCTTTTCCTTCTGAAGTCGTCACAGATACGATCTCAATCGATCCTACTATGAATACTGTCGATGTTGATGTTCATTGGGAAGATCCTGATCTAGATTTTGTTCTTGTTGAACCAACAGTAAAACCAACACCAGCTATCCCATTTGCGACCACTCCTCTTCCATTAGCAAGCGACATACCAGATGATGTCGAATTTGTAGCCGAAACATCCACAGTCTTACTTCCATCAATCGAACATTTTGATTTACTTGATGAAATCTTTCCGAGTAGCACAATCGTCGGCGGCATCGCTGTTGCTCAGCAAGATCAAGATTCTCAAATCAATTGGTGGGATGTGGATGAAGCTTCTTTACCGTCCGTATCACAATCAAATCAAATTCCTTTAGCAACAACAACAACTGCTTCAAACATATTCACAATCATTCCTTCAACCAATAAACTAACCGAATCCAATGACGATTATGAATGGAATATATTCAATACTACATCTGTTTCATTAGTTACACCTTTGAATCATCAATCTGACTCGAATTCTGAGATTGAATTTGATATGAATGATTATTTCACTTTTCCAACATCGTCCACAACCGCGATCCTGAATTTTATCAAGAATCAAACTCAACCGTTGCTTCCGTTTTATTTTTCTGACGATAACACAAAAGAGCAATTAGCTGGATTGAATAAGCCTGCGTCAACACTGGCTGTACCACCATTTTCTTGGATGTTGCAATTGGCAAATCAACCGAAAAACGTACTACGAAGTCGACAAAGTATACTCAGTAAAACTCTAACAACGATTTCAACGGCGACTATTAGTAAAAGAAAGAATAAGAAAACAACACTAACATTAAGGGGCAAATCGAATAATCAATTCGATCATTTCTATGAATTATGCCAGAACAAACAATGCAAGAACGGTGGTCGTTTAAACTCCGATTGTTTATGTATCTGTTTACCGGCATTCAGTGGAAATCATTGTGAAATTGGTATGAAAATTTACCTACTTATGACGTATATATTTAGCTTGTTTTCTTTTCTAGTTCATTGTGATCAAGAACCAACACATATTTGTGATTTTGTACTTGATCATGAGTGTAAAAGTGATTATGTTCGTTATCTATGTCCGAAATTTTGTCAGATGAATATCTGTTCTACGAATAAATCCTCGTGAGTGCCTCTATTTCTTCATAAACAAGGCCAAACTTCATTCGCTTGCCAATTCTCTTCTCCTATATATATTATGAAAATGACGTGAAAGTGTTTATTGAAAAGTACATATGCCCTGATTGATTGTAAATGAATTAATGTCTGCATTGATATGCACTCTATCTCTATCCTCGACCTATTCTCGCATTTTTGTGCGTGTGTTATCATTATTATCAGTAACGTGATCATATGATGAAAATAGCAAGGGTGATTATAAAACGTAAGAAGTGTATAATTTTGTTGCATCATTTTTCGTCCCATCGTACTTCATACTGAGCCTTCGGTTATATTTCTGCTGTTGAGATACAAGAGAGAACAAAAAAGAATAAGACATCATTGAATACAATCGTGAAACTTCAATTCCGTTTTCTTCATCATTTTGTCGTGTGCATATCGACTATTCTCTATGGTAGTTCTTTTTTCTCTTTCGTTCTATATGCTCTTTGAAAAAAAGCAAAAGAGAGAAAGAAGGACAATATGGTATGTCTGTCGACGAGCTGTCGAGCATTCGCACACCTTAAACTTCTGTATACTTTCATTCTAGACATAAGCATCGATCAGAGTAAACGTCAATATCATGACTAACCAGCAACTATCGCCACCACCCCGTGATTTTCTTTGTCCGATAACCCGAGAGATTATGCAAAATCCTGTGTTACTTATCGAAGACGTAAGTCGTTTATCCATTAGTTAAGCTTTAATTTAGTCTGATTTGAATTTTCCATCAGGGTCGTTCCTATGAATTGTATGCCTTGCAACATTGGTTACGCGATCATAATTCCTCTCCAATGACTAATAAACCTTTACGTGATCGTCGTTTTGTACATAATTTCAATTTGAAGAGTGCTATCGAAGAATATTGTACTCAACAAGAGAAACTCTCATTTGCTAATCGTTTTCTTTCGTTTAATATACGTTCTGGTCGAATCCCGTCAGAATGGAATACTAAACCAACATTAAAGATTCGTCTGAGCCTTCTTGGCGGTTCCAATGTCGGCAAAACGACACTGGCACGTTGCCTTCAATATGGTGTTCAATCCTCATTTGTACATTTAAATACTGCAGCAACAGTTGGACCTGATCTTATCTTTTTCTATTTGGATCAATTGTATGAAAACAAATATGTTATTATTATTCAACTTGCTGATATACCTGGGATGGAACGATATGAATCATGTTGTGACAATCATTTTCGTAATTGTCATGGTGCACTCTTACTTGCAGATTCCACAGATATTGATTCGTTAGAACGTGCAGAACTCTATTGGTATAAGCAATTACAAACCAAAGGAAAAGATCATGTCGAAGCTATACTTGTATGTAATAAAATCGATCTGTTCGAAACAAACTGTGATGCGAAATATCGACGTATTTTCTTTCAACGTGCTGAACATTTCTCTTCGTCGCACAATATGTCTATCTACCATATCTCTGCCATACGTGGTGACAATATACAATCGATGTTCAAACAACTAATATTACGTATTCTCCAAAGCGATTCATTGTTACAACAAATCAAAGAAAGTAGTATTGCTTATGACCAATCAACGAATCAGAAAGATTCAGCACGACGTGCATCGTCAATTCAACTTTCAATTCAACCGGCAACATCATTGTCATCGGTACATGATGATGATCAAGAAAGAAGTTCATCAGGGGCTTGCTGTAAATTTGCTTAGTTCCTTATTTTTTCTCTCTGTTTGTTTGTTTGAATTAGAAATCTTATGGGGCACGTATCAGTTTTGATTTATGTATATAAAATAAATATGAAGATTTTAAATTTTTACATAGAGAGAGCATGCTATATTAGTCACAGTCTATGATGTATCAGTATCAACATGTCTGTGACGGTCTATGAAGTTAATTGTGTCTAATTAGTATTGTCTGTCACGGTCTAGGACATCCAATAGTTCAACGCGATAGTTTTCTATGTATTTTGATAGTAATTATGAAAAGTATTGAGAAGTGTATGGGGCAATATCAATTATGATTGCGTAGGATACACATTGGCAACGTTCCTAGCAAGTAATTTCTTAAAGATCGTGTTTAATTCGTCGATATATAGGTTTATTTCAAATGATGATCATTATATTCGTCAAGTATACAATGAATCATATTGTGAAAACGATGTATTTATTCCAATAAACCTGAGGAGGATGATGGTGAAGCACAATAGGCGCACATTGGGCATTTATTACCACCGATAGTCATATAACTCATTTGGATATTGTCGCATGGTTGTTGAATTTGCATACACATTGGAATTGGACAGATATTAAGCTAGAGATGAAGAAGATGGGATTAGACCAGATCATACGGATACGAAATGCATTACTGATGACACTTACGGAAATGACGCTGATTTCTGTAGGAGGAGCACCTGGTTTAATCGAAGCTAGAAATGATCCAGCTAACAATGCAATTGATTAATAGAGTTTAATAACTTACTTGGCTTAGCCCATGCACATACGAGCATATAGATAATGCATAAAAATGTTAGGATTGCTTTCATATTGCTTACTACTGTTTTATTCCAATCGAAAAACGAAAACTATGAGCGACAGTTTTCGAAGCCATTCGTATATATGGACGCTTGATGAGAATTACTTCAGCTGCAACGATCAATAATATTTTCATGTGGGAGTGTTGTTTTTCATTTGACTTGTCTTTGTATTTTTAGCACATTTTTTTATGACTGGCTTGAAAATCTTCTTCGTGGGTACAAACCTATTTGGTTATTTAATACTCGATGCTCTTCATCATGAATAGTGGCTTCGTAAAAAGCGCTCCTTTCATGATTGACAAATACGTTGCACTTACCGCCACAATTTGTTTTGTTGTCAACAGCCGGATCACTTAGACAGTATCAGAATTACATCAATATTGTGAAATTTATTTTCAAGGCGAACACTTTTATGATGTAGGTAAGAGTGCCTGTCTCACTTATTGTTATATTATACTGCAAAATGCTAAAAAGATACGAAGATCACGATTTAGGAGAATCCGCAAGTCGGCGAGTGAGTTATCATTGTACAACAGATTATGCCAAATCTTCCAAATCAAAATGTCGACAATGCAATCGAACTATTGATCAAAATGAGCTGCGTCTAGCTCTGATGCTTCAAGACGACGAAGGCTATAAAAATACGGCTTGGATGCACTTCGATTGCTTTTGGAAACATCCTGAAACAGAAAAACTCGATGGTATTCACGAAATTCACGCTTTCTCTAAGCTCAAACCTGAAGATCAAGAGAGGTAAAAATTGAATAATTAATACACGTGCAATAGATCGATAGAAGTGTTTTCGTATTTTTCTTAGAATATCAACGTCATTTGAAAAGTTGAAGACAGATGGGAAGATAGGAAAAAGAAGAAGGACGACAAAGAAGAAAAATAATGATGATGACGATGATAATGAGTATGACGACGAAGATTTCGTACCAAAAAGTATATCGAAAGCGAAAAAAGGAACAAAGAAGAGTACGACAACAACAACAACAAATAAAAGAAAACGTCAAGCAGACGATGATTGACTTTTATCATTGTGAATAGTGTAAACATTTCTTAATTATTTTTTGTAAAAATCTTCCACTGCGAAGCCTTTCGAGGTGCTGTATATCTCACCTTCAAATTATGTTCCTCAAGATAAAAAATCCCAAGGAGAATCTGTTGCTATCAGTATCTTGAATACATGCTTGGTATATAAAACGAAAGAGATAAAAATTCTATTTTTACTGGTTTTATAAAGTCTTAAACACTTGATTCCTGCATCTAAGTATAACTAACTATATACGATGCGCTTAAATTCGATACTGTTGTTCATTGTGATCCTATTCTATTGTACGCATGGCCTTCAACTTGAATTCTATCCAGGAGCAGAATCTTTCCATCAAACTGGATCCCAGTTTAACGGCACTGCTTGGTCAGTTACTTCTCAAGACCCTTCTGAGAGATATCTTACTTACGGACCGTATACAGTTGCATGGAATACGACTGTACCGTCGCGCGTCGATTTTTATATAGGTACTGATGATAATTTAGGTGATCCATGGAACGTCTTGACTGTTGATGTCAATGATGCAACTATGGATCATATCATAACGAGTCGAAATATATCACGTCTTGACTTTGGCTACCGAAATATACAGCCACAAATATTCTCTCTGTATTTCAATAGCACGATCGGACGTCAACTGGAATTTCGTGTTTTCTACCATTGTTGCGGTCAATTTGTTCATTATAAAACAGTCGTCAGTCAATTAGATGGCGGTCCATTAGCCGATTTCTTTGCTGGACAAGCAGGATTAGAATTAGTTAGTTCATCAGTATTCCCTACGCCTCATGGCGATCCAAGTTCAACTATGTGGAATGTCGGTACATATGTAAAGCCTATTGATGGTCGATGGTATGTTTTCTACAGAGAAGGTTTCTATGCACCGACTCCTGATTTTTGTAACGGTATCGTGCCATTAACGCGTATTGCTGTTCGAAATTCAACAGATTATGGTAAAACTTGGTCGGAACCCGCTCCTGTTGCACTTCCAGGCAATTCGACATTCGATAATTGTGCTGCGCTCGACGGTGCACCTTTCTATGATAATGATACAGACACATGGCACTATCTAGCACAATGTATTGGAAATAATCGGCGTTGGTCTCTTTGCCACTATTCAAGACCTGGATCTAATCCAATGGCAGGTATATTCACACCCAATCCGAAAAATCCTGTTGTTCAAGGTGGACAATTGTGGAGTCGAATTTGTTCTGGCACAGGAAAACACTGTACGCTAACTATGTATGATGAAGGTACGCCTGAAATCGTACAAAAACTGAACGGTTGGTTCTACATTACTTTCCATGGTTGGGATGCACCGAATAATAGAGCAGCTCGTGGTATTGCGCGCACACGTGATTTCGTTATCTATGACGTCGCTGGCTACGATCTTCCTGATGATGCCATATTCTCTCCTCTGGATTGCAATGACTGGAATATCACGTGGAATCCGAAAAGTTTGTGTGTAGGTGGAGGAGAAGGCAGTATGGTTCGATCAGGAGATTATTTCTATCATTTAATCGAAGCACCCGATGGAACACTAAATTGTGATACGACATTAGGTGAACAAAATTGGGTGCTTGGTTTCCTGCGATCACCCACATTGGCTGCTCGATCAGGTGAATGGGAACAAATTCACTATAATCCAGCATTCAAACCTGAGAAAAAGTATGGCTGCGGTTTACAATACCATCGAGTTTTCCGTGATGGTAATGATTACTTCTTCTCGATGTTTGTTCTCGATTTCGGTGTTAACAATTTGACAATGAAGATATGGAAAGTGGTGCCTGGAAAGACATCTTTTCCTGTGATTGTTAGTTTTCCATAGAATCCACGCTAAATCATTTAACTAATCATGTCAGTTCTTCTTACGCTCTACGATCGTTCAGTTTCGGAGAAAGGAGACGTTTTGTATTACGCGAGCTTTTATTTTGTGGCATCACATCACACAAAAATTGTCTTAAAAAAAAACAAATAAACAAAACCAATCGAACCCAATGTTTATCATCTATTGTCTCTTTGATTGAAACCATCTAGCAATGAGTACATAAAATGCAAACAAACAAAGGAGTAAATATCGAGAAAGAAGAAGAGAAGAAAAGTAAAGTCAATAATATACATAAACAAATAAACCAAGCACCGGACAGAGAATAGTGCGGTAGAAAACGGTATTATGTGAAATAATCGATCGGTAGATGATCACTGTTTAAAAATCGAAAATTAAAGTAAATAAAAAATAAAAGTCGATTCTAATATGTTTCATCGCCTTCGTTACAGTCATGATCGAATTCTTCGCACTTTTCACAATAGACTCGTGCTGGAGGAAGAACTCGTTCACGATCACCATGAGATTGCTCATCGACGAGTGAACTTTGTTTCGGACAGTCATCTGTATCATGTTGATCAAACACTTCGCACATGTCACCTAAAATAAGCATGATCAAGCAAGAGAAATGAAATTGATTGCATTTTTTTACAGTAAAGTCGAGGGGCAGATGATCGTATATGAGTAGTAGTTGATTGAACGTATTCCTCATCGCCAACATATGGATTTCTTTGAAATTCAAGTTCCTTTTTCAAACTTTCATTCGTATTTCGTAGATCGACAATGACATCGTTGAGAAAATTGATTTGACTTTCTAACGTTGATCGATCGTCTTTTGTCGAATTCGCTTCAATTTGTTTTTGTAACTTTTCGATTTGATATCGCGCTTCTGTTAGCTCATATTCGAGCTGTTTCGCATGACTATTCGTTGTAGGAGATGTTGCGTTACCCGAATCTTCAAACACAAAATCGATTCCTTAGGAAAGTGTTATTTAAATCTCAAAAACGACTCACTGGCTTGTATTGCTTGTTGAAGTTGAGTTTTCAAACGAAGTTTTTCTTGTTCATGATCGAGATTGCTATTTTCTGTTTCTACTCGAAATTGACCTAGGAAAAGTCGTTTGTGAGAATCGATTCAATTGGGAATATTGACATACTTTTTATTAACACGATTTGATTTTCGTATTCTTCTGCTTTTTCTTTCAAAATTTTCTCGAAATTGTGACTCTCTTCCGTTCGTTGCCGTTCGAATTCTGCGTGTTGTTTCATTTGTTTTTCAATTAATTCCGATTGAACTTGTTGCATCTCGTTCAGTTGCTTTGTCAATTGATCAATCAAAGCTTGTTTCTCATTAACGATATTATCGCTGGTGTTTTTCAATTGTTCATTTGAAGTTAAATGTTTCTGATATTCAGTTTGCAGATCATGATATTTGCTTTGTAACTCTTGTAAATCTTTCTTCAATGTTTCGTTAGAGTTTCTGCTTTGTTCATATTCTTTTGTGATGCTTTCCATCGAGGAATTTGCTTGTTGATTCTGCGTTTGAACTTTGTTATCGAACTCGTTTTGTAATTGATTGAGTTTAGTTTCATATTCGTGTTGTTTGTGCTCAATTTGTTGGTGAAGCTCTGTGTTGTCTTTTGAGATTTGTTCCAGTCGAGATTGAAGGTTGTTAATTTGCTGATCTTTCTCATGGAATTCATTCGTTTTGACATTATCTATGAAAAAAGAAGGATGGAAGTTAGTTTTTGAGGAAGTGAAAAGAACGAACTTTGACTTTCTAATTCGCTGATTTGTGTTTTAAACGATTGTATCTGCTTTTCAAAATCTTGTTTTAATGCTTTGATTTCATCATTGAACTTCTGTTCAATCGATGTTTTGTCTTCTTGCAATTTTGTAAGTTCATTTCGTAAATCTTGACCTTCACGAACAGCTTGGTCACGTTTTGTTTGATATTCTTTTATCTGAGCTTCATAATGAGTTTCTCGTTCGTTTAACGCCATGTTCTGAGTGCGATCTATTCAAAATCAAGGATAACGAAAGAACATGTCGATAGGAGAAACAAACCTCGATCTTGTAATTCTGTTAATTCAGTTTTGAGTGACGCGTATTGTCTTTCGTGATCTTGTTTTAATGTATTTATAGTATCAGTGTATTTCTTCTCGTTGGAAAGTTTCTCTTCTTGCAACTTTGACAATTCGGATTGCATAGTTTGAATCTGATCGGTTGACTGATTTAGTTTACTTTGGTATTCTTTTATCTGAGCATCGAATTGAGATTCACGGTCGGCCAGTTTCGCAGTTGACTGGTGTTCTAAACAGCCAAGCGTTTCTTATATTGAATAGAAACGTTTTTTACCTTGTTTTTGAAGTTTTTCGTGATCTTGTTTTAATGAATCGATTAACTCGTTCATTTGTTTTTCTTTTGCAGCACTTTCTTCTTGAATTTGTTTTAGTTCGTTTCGCATCTTCTCAGTTTCATTTGTCGCTTGAGTAAGATTAGTTTGATATTCTTTAATTTGTTGCTCGTAGTGTGACTCACGTTCATTGACAGCCAGATTTGCTGTACGGTCTAGAAAAAAAAACGGTTAAGAGAACCAACGAAAGAAAGAAGAAAGTGAACGCTTACCTCGGTTTTCTAATTCTAATTTCAATGTTTGACATTCCTTTTGTAAGTCAGGAACAATATTCTCCTGATGTCGTTTTAATTCATTCAATAACTCGTTAATTTGCTTTTCATTTGCGTCTTTTGCTTGTTGTAATGTCGTTAGTTGAGATTGTAACTACAAGAGAGAGATGTTAAGGAGATTTAATGGCACTTTGAAAACCTACCTGCTTAATTTCTTTCGACGTTTGTTCGTAGAGAGTTTCTTTTTCCGAAAGAGTAGATTTTTGGCTTTGTTCTATGAAGATCGAAAATGAATTTATGAAAACTGAAGCTTCTTCATCATACCATTTGTTTGAAGAGCAGTGATTTGTGACTTCAAGTGATCGATTTCTTCTTGTTTTTCTCTTCGTACTTGTTCAAGAAGATTCTTCATTTCTTGATCTTTTTCGTTAAGCTTTGTTTCAAAATCCAATTTATCATTCTGTTTGGTTTGTAATTCTTCAGTAAATTTCTTTTCTAAATCATGAAAACGAGTTTTATAATCGTTTTCATTCGATTCATTCAAGCGTTTCAGTTCTTGTCGATGTTCATCTTGTATAGTTTGTTTTTCCAACACTAGTTTTTGATTCACGGTTTCCAGTTCTAAGACTTTCTCTTTGATTTGTTCGTATATTTCAATGTCCTTTGGTGAAAACACTCGATGACCCTCAGGAACTGTTGCACTACTCGATTGCTCTTTATTTGCATCTGTTAATTTATATTCTTCTAATTGGAATTCTAAATCTTCAATGCGCTGCTGTGTTTGGTATTGTTCTTTTTTCAATTGTTCATTTTCCAATTCTTTCGCATCGTATTGTTGTTTGAATGATAACATACGACTTTCCATTTCGTCGACTTGTTGAGCTGCACGAGAAAATTCTAGTCGATCTTGTTCACGTTGTGATTGAAGTTTTTCGATAAAGACATCTTTGTCTTTGATTGTTTGAACTAAATTTGTTAACTGATTCGACGATGGTGTCACAGCGGCTAGTGTTGCGGCTGCTTGCGTTAATAACGATTTTGTATTTGGTGTTGTGTAAAGATTAGTGTTGGTTGGCACTTTTTGTTGTTGAGGTCTAGCAGGCGTTCGAGTAGGAATTCGACTTATGCTGTTTGATGATGTGGAAAACTCGGATAGATTTGATTGGAGAGATTCTTGGCTTGTGGAGCGATGTAATGGACGATTATTGTTTGTGCTGGAAGCAATGGAGTCTTTTCGTTTATTAATTTGAGATTGAGTCATTTCTCCTGTGACTTTTTCTACGCGTGCCAATGGAGAAAAAAGTCCATAACGCTGTTGACAAGTGAAATATCGTTTTCCACTAACGCTCCCGTCGTTTTTACCCGAAGGTTCGTCAAGTTGAATACCGCACCACATACCTTCAGCGACGTGAATTTTTCCAAGATATTTCAGCGTACCAAATTTCGTTCCACTCACAACTACTCGATCGCCTACATGTAGTTCTTTCGGAAGAATTGGCTCAGTCAATGCTGCTTGATTGTTTGTAGTAGTATCGGCAGCTGATGTGTTTGTTAAGGTAGTGTCAGCATCAGATGCTACACTTTTTTCTTGACTAGTCGATGAAGTAGAAGACTCTATCGGTTCAGTTGCTGGCGTCTCTTGAGGTTTAACGGGAGTCGATAATTCTCCACTAGCACCATTTTGAGCAAGACGTTGCACTTTCGCTGGCCGACAGAATAGCCCACGATTTGGTTCAGTTTCAAAGTAACGAGTGCCCTCATACGAACCATCTGAAAACCGAAATCATCATACCTACATAGAATTCTATTTATGCGTCTATCTACTCACCATTTTTGCCTTGAGCTTCATCAAGAATCACACCAATCCATTCGCCTAAATATTTAAAAGAGAGAAAACTGATTCTTCCATGACTATTTTGCTACAAATCAGTCATACCTTCTGCAAATTTGGTTGAACCAATAAACGCAACAGTACCAGATTTACCATTTGCGGTAACTCGATCACCAATAGCGAATGAATTCGCAGAGGAATCTCCACCGGTCGGACTGACTTGTTGAGTCGAACTCGCGTTTGCTGACGATGCTTGAGGAGGTCGAAGACCAGACTTCGCAGTAGCTGTAGTTTTAGATGGTGTAATTGGTAAACGACTAGTTGGTAATTTACTCATTCTAAAATATCCGCGTTTACTATCTACAACAGTAGTTTTGTTTTTAAGTAACGTTTATCATACATGTCGAAGTTACAAGAAGAAAAATGTATTTACACACACACACACACAGAAACATACACGTGAAGAAGAAAGAAATTTAGCTGATTATTTTATCTTTTTTCTAGTTTGAATTCTATTCGTTCTGTGTTTAGAGTGATGACGTCTAGAACGTCAAAATCCTGAGTAAATGAAAAGACAAAAAATATATTTTTGTAAAAAAGTTTTAAGTTGCTATACAAAGTATTCAGTTGCAGTTTTGTACAATTTCTATTTTGATCGATGAATCACACTTCGAATTTCCTTGTCTGTCAATGGTATGCCAGCAAGAACTTTTTCAATAATATCTGAATGCTGCCTTTCGCTTTTTGGAGCTGTATTAGTTCGGGCATTGCTCGACGCACTTGGCTGTTTGCTTTGAGTGGTAGTATGAGCATTTTGGTGCGAGGTTTTATTGTAATAATCATTGGTGACTTTGGGCGGTTGTGGTTGTGCAGTTGACATTGGCGCGTGACTTCTTGTTGGTCGTTCGATACGTGTTGAACTTAGTTTTGGATTGAGAATTGCACTCATGTCAATATCGTTTTCATCGTCTTCGTCATCATGATGATAACGAGACGGTTTGTTTCTTGATCGAACTGCAATGGGATCAAATGTTTTCAACGTTGGCGTGCCTAAAACAGACAAGAACTAATTTATGCGAAAGACGAAAGAAATGAACGCAGATTAGAGGAACTTATTGTGTCGAGCAAACGTATACAAAATCTTTCTCAAGTAGACTATGTATGTGAAAGAATCTCTCATGGTGTTTTCATCAATTCTGACATTTCGATTAATGTGTATATTTATTGAAAACACTTAAAACAAAATGATCACTTGTGAATCCGCCTTTTTTTAATAGATCGGGATTTCTTCTGAGAGCGAGCACGCTTACGTGCAGAAAGTATTTGGATTGGTGGTGATGGTGAGCGTGTTTCATTGCGACTTTTTCTTTGATCACGATTGCGCGAGACGCTTCGTGCTCGAGTCATCGACGTTCCTGCTGCTGTTGCTGCCACCGCTGCTGCCGCTGTTGTTGTTGTTGTTGTTGTTGTAGAACGACGTGAAGTTCGCTTCTTCAGTATCTCTGGTTCCTTTTTATTATTGTATTCTTCGTCATTGTCTTCATCTTTATCATCATTTTCTAAATCCATTAATGGTTTTCTTGAAGAAACAGCACCGAATGATGAACGACGTTGACGAGTCTTTCCAGTTATGATTTCTCTCAAACGTTGATAATCACCTTTATCCGTATAATTCATTTGTATGCATTCGCGGAAAAATTGTGTCAACGTATCTAACATTTTCGACGAAACTGTACTTTTAGTGGTAAAAACGCTTCGTATAAAGCCAGCTGGGTCACTACGTGCCGTCATTTTTGCTTGTTGCACACGTGCGCCATCGGTGACTGTCATCCATGGTAAATGAGCACCGAGCCAATGTAACATATTATAGAACATGATTTCCAAATCACCACGAAACGATGGCATAGCACCTCGATGAACATCCAGAGATGTAAATTCTAGAGTACCTTCATGTCTTCGCTGAGCTCGCTCTTCATATTGCGACGAAACTTTTCGAGTAAGACCATAATCAAGTAGATAAATATGTTCACTATCATTCATAAGAATATTTTCAGCTTTGATATCTGCATGTACGTAGCCATGGGAATGAATATATTCCAGAATATCTAACAATTGTTTGCCAATTGATTGAACACGTTTGTCGTCGAGGCAGTGTCCGACATTTGTACTTGTTAGCTGAAGTTCAGCAGCAAGTGTCTGCTTATAACGTGGAAGAATTAAGAATCGGTAACGACGTTTTGTTGTTAGACTATCGTGCATTCCATGAGCAACCAATTGTGGTACACCGAGATGATCAAGCTGATTGAGTTTCATAAAAGTATCTTGCAACGTTTTCTTTCCTAATTGTAAGTAAAAGTGCATTTCACAAAAAAGTGGACCATTGGACTCTGGTTCGACTTTCACAACATAAACGGGAGTTTTCGACGATGTACTTCGACATTCATATATACAACCAAAGCCACCTTGCCCAATGGGTTGTCCAATAGACCAGGTCTTTCGACATAGATCAGTAAGAACGGTACCAGATGAAAATGGTTCAGCTAATTCGTATAAGGCAGCAGCTGCTTTTTTTCGACCGCCACCTGACGCAGCATTTGCCGTTCGTTTCGGTGGCATAATCTTAAAATACAAATAAACAAACACAAAGAAAAGAAGTTTTTTTATCGTTCATTCTTGGTTTTCCACTAAAGATATATGTATATGTATATATATATATATATATGTAAAAAGAAAGGTAAACAAATTTCTTTTGGACTAATAAGCTTTTCTCTCTACGAATGTTTGTTTTTATGAAATACACATTCTACGGAAAAGAAAACCAAAGTACCAACACATACAAAGAAGAGTAAACAGAGAGAGAGAGAGAGAGAAAGAGAGTATAACATATACTGTTTTATAAAAACAAACAGACATTTTATATACAATGCGCGTGTGTGAAAGAGAGAGGTGCATGTTAAAGTGCTTTTTCCATTCGTCTAGATTAACTTTGTAATCGGCTTGTTTCTTTCTTTGTTGTAGTTGTTTCACTGTAATGCAATTGATCTATCTCTCGTGTTTTTTTCTATCACATTGAATACACAAAAAAAAGAGACAAGGCGAAGATTTATCACAAGATTTTAGTTAAGTTAATGGCTTTGTTGTTGATTCAGTTGGTGGGATGAAGACACCAAACCCAAGTAATAAATTACGACGAGTGAAATGTATCAATGTAGTTGACGTACGTTTCGTGCGATATGTCACAAGTTCATATTTCGCTGATGGAGTGACACGTTGAACAGTTTCTAGTTTACCATCATCTTTATCCTTGATTAATTGACTGAAATTCCATATTCGAATGGAAAAATCCGCACTACCCGTACATAAGATAGAACCATCCCGTGAAAGATCCTAAATGTGAGAAATGAACGCTGCCATTTTGCACAATGTTCGCTGCTTACCATAGAAAAAATTGCATCTGAATGTCCAAGTAAACAAGTTACTAGTGATCCATTACTACAGTCCCAAATCATAATTTGTCTATCATAGCCGGTTGATATTAAATATCGTCCATCTCGAGAAAATTTCATTATACAAACATTCAATTTGTGTCCAGACATTTGCCTAAGCGGCTTCAATGGCTGTCCATCTTTACTTTCTAGTAAATCCCAAATCTTCACAATACGATCTGACGATGATGTTGCAATGTAATTCGAATTCGGATGAAAACACAACGCTTCCATGTCATTGCATCCATCGGTATAAATTCTTAGTGTTTGAGCGTGTTCTATGCACCATAAACGTGCTGTTTTATCCAGTGAACACGAAGCAAAATAATGGCCAAATGGTCCGAATTGAACATCAAAGACAGGTTGAGTATGTCCACGGAATGTAATCAAACATGACCAAGTTAGCAAACTCCATAGACGAATAGTTGAGTCTTCTGAACATGAAAGTAGAAACCATTTTTCACGTGACATGGATAAGCCGTAAATAGGTCCTGTGTGACCACACAGAGTTCGTTGATTATAGAGTATATCGGAATCTTGATTCGAGTTTGTATTATCTTTGCTATCGTCATTCGTCATCATTTGTTCATAAATATGTTCGTTTGATTTATCCAATCTTTCGAGTTCTGATGGTAGTTTCATTGTAACTAACTTTTTACGATTCAAGGAGTATACGTAAATACTGGAGTTTTTACCACCGATGGCGAGTAAAGTTGAATCTTCGGATATTTCTGTTTCAAAACGAAGGAGTGAATAGTTCAGCTGTTCAATACATCGAGGTCACTTACCAAGACAATTGATTTCGAGATAACCATTTAACAGAGTATAATAACAACAGGATGGTAAATTATCAGGCGTAATTTTTAACATCCGAGAATAATCCTCTGCAAATAGAAGAAATCGTGATGATCAAAAACGGAATTTCAGTGTCGATTGTATCGTTACAACTCTTCTTTAAGAGCAATAGAAAACTACTTTGAGATTGATCGATCCTTACCTTGAAATGTGTTGATTAAATCCGTTCGTTCATGTTCTCGTAATTCAGGAATCGGTATTCGAGTTAATGCTGGTGCATTCTGATCCACTTTTAACGAAGCTTTACTTTGTCGCTGATTGAAAAAATCCTTTTTTAACTTCTTTCGATTCTTGGATGTTGACGGTTGATCATCGCCACCACCGTCTTCATTATCTCCACCTGCCGACGATGCAAGAAGTGCTTTATGCTGTAAGATCCGTGTTAGATCATGGTCGCGTAATAGACCATAATACATTCGATTTGTATTGTCTTCCGTTTTGATTTCTCCAAGACGACCGCCACTTAATAACCGTTGAGTTTCAGCATTTCGTGCACTACCATCATTAATCTCCAGCTGAAAGAAGAACAATTTTTCGTCAGAAAAAAAGAGGATTGTAGGAGAAAAATGATTTACTTGAAAATATGCTTGAACGATCTTGGTTAATAACGGATACTTTTGTTGTTTAATCAAGAATTGATCAAGTAATTCGAGTGAAGCATTACATAATTTAATCCAATATCGTCCATTATGACGAAAGGATTTGACATAATCACTCTGTGCTATTTGTTCTTTGGTGACCAAAGATTTAATACGAAAAAGATCATCTTTATGTGCAGCGAAGACCGTCGCTTGGAGATTCGTATTTTTCACATAGTTCATAAAAAATCGCTGAGCTTCTTCGGAATGATCTTTTTCTACTAAATCTAAATACATATGAACGAATAACGGGTAGATTAATTGAGAAAATTCGTGTCGACTGGTGTCCGGTTGGTCTTGAACATAGGCGATATAACCATCAAGAGCTGTGAAGTAGGGTTCACTATACGAGGAAATGGGTTTGTTGAACAAGGATTGGTATTCTTTTTTGAAGGTTTCCATCGATTCTGTCATGTTATTTTCTTGCAATACGCGAAGAATTTTGGCATAGTCTTCTTGAGGAATTTGCGACGAGTGAGATGTTGTTCGAGGAGGAATAGATACTCGTTGTTGAGATGTTTGATTCAAAGGATTGGAAGGAGAAGAATTAGTACCATTCAAGTTAACTGATGTTGCCATGCCCGAATTGAGTGTTGATGAAAGTATATTGGCTGAGGAAACCATAGGTTGTTGACTAGAATTCGTATTATTAGTATTGTTATTATTATTTGGAATTATAAATGACATTTTGGATGTGTTTGATGGAAGAAATAAAACATTGTTTGATGGTGACGAATTAGTTGAACTTGATATTGGGTTCTGTGGTGATGAAGAAGGAAATTGCATGATCAACGATACCTTCTTTAACTACTATCCATTCATGGAATAGAAAATTTATCTAAAATTCAGGAATATCAATTAAGTTCGTCTTGATTTTTCATCGAAAAATATATCTGATCTTTTTCATCTCCAATTCTGCATGGAAAATGTTTTTCTTTTTTCGTTTTTAACAACAAAAATAACAAATCGTTTTCAATGTTTTTATACTGCACCACTGGAAGTACTTGGTCCTTCGCCACCGGGTACAAGCATGGCAACATGATTGCCATTTAACAGAATTTGATCGAGTTTAGTTATACGACTACCACCATCCGGTAATGTTTCGAATTCAGTGACCTAGAAAACATGCAGAGACACCAGATATTACACCGTCATTCAAGAAGGTTATGGCGTTTGACATTGACATGAAAAAGAATGACAAAAATAATATGTGTAATGAGACTATCTCGTTTCTCAAGGTGATTTTTAATAGCTTATGTTTTTGTCGGCATAGTAAGAACTTAAGCGTAGACAAGCAAGAGAAAATTCCTGAAGGCTCTTTATAGAACACGATGGCATGTGTACGCTCTTCGTTGGCAGTTGAAAAAGAGTTCATGTGGGAACTTCTGCATGCCTCTAGAGTGAAAACAAAGCAACTTACGTCTTCAAGTACCATATTAACATAATCGTCAAATCCTAACAAAGTACCAACAATTTCTTTATCTGATTTCATAATCACATGAATTCTTGAACCAATACATTTATCGACAAGTTCTAATGGCAATAATTGCACGACGGTGGTCGATGCTGTGACTGTTGGCGGTGCACTGACAGTTGCTTGAGTTGTTGAGATGTTATTGCTATCACCTGTTGCTGCTGTCATTTGTGACGTTGACATCTTTATCCAAATAGAACAAATTCGGACAATACTGAAACAAAGGTTATTATAATTAGACGAATAACAAAAGAATTTTATTTAGTTTTTATTTGTTTTCAACATACAGAAAACCACTCGTAGATGCCACTTTGATTAGCACGGGCTGTTGGTTTAATGACAATAAAATGAATACAATAGACATACACACGCACACACATATATTTATATATATATACGTCAAATACCGACGAAATTAGGAGCAAAAGAAAAGAAACCAAAATCAAAGAATGCGCACGCTTCATATCTTATTTTTGGCAGTCAATTCGGGGCATCTGACAACTAAACATTTTTTTTTCTTTCCGTTTAGAACACAATGGTACATTTAGTTTGTAAGACAAAACGGACGTACATATGAAAAATGGCCAATAAACAGTGTCAGAACTGTTCAGAAAACTAGAGGGAAGAAAGAGAAAGAAACAGAATTTTGAGATGAGAAAGAGAGAAAAACAAAACAAAAAACAAGAAGCGAAAATATCTACATAAAAACAAAATCTCGAGATAACTAAGCAGTCCACGGACCATCATTTGGCATCGCTTGTTGCTGGGATTCGATATTGATATTCGACAAATCACTCTCTAATGATTCTAATTTGGCTTTCAGTTGTCTTTTAATGTTTAAACTTTGTAAGCGACATGCCGGATCTGCGATCCATAGTTCTTCACAGAGTTGAAATAACGGAGAAAGGACCTTGAAAAGAAACAAAAGATGCTCAGCTTTCGATCTTGAACGAGTCGTCTCCTACCGAATGTGTTTGCCATCGTGCTGATGGTGGTGGCCGAATCTTTTTCGTACACACAACCTCACGCATTTGTTCTGTTGTCGGATTATTTGGTAGAATATCTTCATAAGGTACTTGATAGCTGTCCGCATCATTTTCTACACGCGATAAATCGTAGATAATAACAAAGATAATCATAAAATCTGTTTACCTGTCGCACTTAATCGACATCGACGTAACATTTCCCAGTAAACAAGACCCAGTGCATAGATATCTGCCGCTTTGAATGATTCAAAGCTTTGTTCATTCAAAGTTCCCTCGAGAACTTCTGGTGCCATGTAACCTTTACAAAAGAGAACAGATGGAAAGCTCCAATAAGTCATTACTCGACTTACGTAATGTTCCCACTCGACTATTTGCTTGAATATCGATAACAACCTGCTCTTGTTTTGACGGATCAGCAAGTAATAAATCTTTGCGAGATTTTGGCTTCGATCGCACTTCCTTTACTGCAAGACCTAAATCCGCAATGCAGCACGATAGGTCCTTTTTCACTAAGATATTTTTGGTTTTCAGATCTCGATGAGCCAGAGCAACTTTTCCTAAAGAAGCAAATATGAAAAACAGATAATCGCAAATCAAATCGCTATGTTTACTTACCATTGGTCGAATCAATAGGTAAATGTAAATGACACAGACCACTTGCAATGCTTAACATCATTTTCAATAAAATTGGTATGGATATTGTATGGTTCATTAGATAGTCATAAACCGAACCGTTTTCGTGATATTCCGTGACAAGCCAAAGCTGTGTATAGGTCGATGCGTCCTACAAACAAACAGCTTCTTGTGTGAATTAAGAAAAATGTCTTTCTAGTTTCTTTTACCATATTATCGGCAGCAATGTATCCAAGAATATTTTCATGTCTTAAGCAAACAGTTTGATAAATATCAATTTCTCGAAACCATGAACGCTCATCATTGGTAGAAAAGATCTTAACAGCAACGTGATCTTCACGCCATTTTCCTTGATAAACATCTCCGTAACGACCTGCACCGATTCGATCGCCTAGAGCTATTTGCCTGGCAAGTGTTCGCTGCATCAATACTGGTAAAGCTAGAAATCAAGTTGAAAATTATTCAGCAAAGACTGGAAGCTGCGTCCGCTACCTTGTCCTGTTGTACTTGTCGAATATTCTTCTAGTAAACCAGTAAATTCTGGATTCTTTGGAATCGTTTCATCGGTATTTTCTCGTATTTGTCCCAAGCATTTGAAATATTTCAAGGAGCGGTAGAAGATATTTTGTTTATCATGCTCATTAGGATAACAATTTGTTTTCGGATAATCCGGTCGTCGTTTTTGCCAGTTCTTGTGCTTTATATAAATGAATATGCCAGCAAAGACGATAGTCAATGCGACAATAGCAAAAACCACGATAATGACAATTAATATCGAAATTGGACTTTTCGGTTTATGCGGCGCTAGAAAATATTGAAAATATATCATTCATACTGATTTGAAAACTAAACAAATTACGTTCAGACAATGGTAGTGACAATCGTCGAAGTAGATCTGGCGAATTCGGATCGCGATCATTGCAGAAATTTCTGTCTGCACAACAAATCACAAAGCGATTCGTTTCATTCGTTCCGCATATCACTCGAAGAAAGAAATAATCATTCAGTAAACAACTAAAAACGAAAGTCGCGAAATCGATTCATAAATTAGGAAAAATCCATACCCAGCAGTATGTTGCACCGAACGACCATCGGAATTGACTTCCCATCTTTGATAGCATTGATGATGTGGCTGAGAAAGTTGACAAGTGCGAGTGTTTCCATCGCATAGTTCATCTTCGCTACATACACATTTGATATTTGTTTTATTCGGTTGATTGTCATTCACTATTAGAGCATCTGGATTCTCCTCATATTTATCTTGACTAATGACGATAGTTGTCGTCGTTAGCAAAGTGAAAAGAACTTGAATAAAAATAAATTTCCACATCTAAAGACGATTATTGATAAATGAAATGAGTTTGGTAATTAAAAGAAATCATTCATGTTGCCTTTTCATAAACAATCACAACTGTGAAAGAATATGCAAGAAGATGGAGAAAAAGAAGTTTTCTTTTTTGACTGGTCAAAGTGGCCCTGTCTAAAATACAAGCCAATCAATAATTTCCTTTTTTCCTCTCTGTGTACATAAGAAATAACAAACAGATCTCCGCGAAAAAAAAACTACCAAAAGAATTTACCAAAAAGAATTTTTTCAAATCACTTTATTCTTCGTTTCGAAATAGATGTCGCTTGAGGTCAACAAGCAATTATAGTGATTGTTTTAATTGCACCTTCCGTACGCAAAAACAAAGAAAATGGTGTGTTCAATCGAATAAACCGTTCTCCTGGAAATTTTCTATTGCTCAATTATGCTTATTCAAAACTTACGCGTGATGACTAACAGATGATGTCGCTAGAGAAGTTGTTTTTCTCATCTAAATCCGACATTAACGTACATGATAATATCAGCGGAAAAGAACTCTATTTCTATCCTTTTCAATCTTGCTCGAAGACTCTTCATAAGTAAAACAACAACGTAATTAAAATATTAGCTACTGTACAAGGCAGCATAATATTAAATAGTAAAATAAATGTCAGAAAACTTGGTCGAGAAGAATTTAACGAGAAACGCAGGAAAACATGCGGGCGGTGTTATTACTATCTATTCATTTCTGCTTTCGAGAATATATCTGGTATTAAAACCGTCATAATTCAAGAGTATTACTCAGTATATATGAGAAGATATAAATAGTGGATTGATGTGACATGGATAATATCGCAAAAGATTCTCTTGAGGAGATGCTGATGCTGTAAATCATCGAGGTATTAATGAAATCTCTTCGTAATATACTGAAAAACTTTATTCGAGAAAAACTAGCAGACTTTTTTGACAAAAGGGAAAAGTATGGTGCGTTTTTATCCGAAGTGAACGTGTTATGATGAGCTGGAAGAAAAAGAAAGGAAGAAAGAGAAGAACTTGGCAAGTTTTGTTTTTGCTTTGCCAAACTAAATAAAAAAAAATAACGAACAAGGTCAAAAGTACTTCCTATATCGTACTTACTTTATCTAAACGTTGAAAGAAATGTAGAGTTATTCTTATCACTGCGGGATAGCCGGAAGAATATGATTTACGACGGAGAGTTAAAAGAATACGAACCGTTTTGTTGACTTCCAGAGTCTTATGTCACGTTCAAGTCAAGAAAACATTCTCGTCATTGTAAAACCATGATTATGAAGACGTTTGTGTCTATACACTGTGACGTGTGAAAATCAATCGTGGAATCGTTTTTTTATGTATACAAACACACGAATATATACTATTTCTGAAAAGAATGATTCACATTCAACTATTTTCGTATTGATAACATATCAAATCAATGAGGTAATTAGTGATTCTAACGCATTCCGTTAATGAAAATTACGTTTTTCAAGATTACATCGAACTTTTCTCCGCACGACCAGTTACCCGGCACACAAGGACGCGTTTTCCGATTTATTTTTCTGAACATCTGGTGTTTCTCTTGCCTCATATCTAATCATTGAAACAATAATCGCAGAGAATCTCCACAGCTTGTGTACTGCTGCACACCTTCCTCTTCTTCTTCTTTGTGCTAAAATAATTGCGCGTAATTATTTTCTAATATTTTTTTCTCGCTTCGATGAATCACTATTCGATTTCACGTTAAAAATGTTGTTTATCAATAATACCGAATCTGCTATGATCATTTCATCAAGTGTAATTGCAACGCGTATCGATCCGTGTTACAATCACCTTTTGGTAAATCATACATACGCGCCCTCGCGGTCCTTGACTTCTCAATTCTTCGAGCTTAGCACGATGAAGTCATTTTGCACCTGATTTTTCAAAGTAAATATTAAATTTTCATTTTTCGTTTCTTTCATCACTTAAATGAAAGTCACTCGTTGGAGTCAAAGAATCTATAATCATATATATTTGCTGTTCTGTTGCTCTATTTCCTCTTTATTTTTTTTTTTGTTAAAGTGAATTTGTGCATTTTTCTTTCGCTTCTCCATTTATTTTACAAGGTAAGTTCTATACAGCAGTCTTAGTTATAAATAGGATCATGTCAGAAGTTATTACTTGTGAGTCTCTGTGTATGATGCAAATGAATTATATAGGGCAGAAAATGATTACTAGTTGTATGCGATCAGACAGCTGGAGAGAGATTTGCATGTTAGGAGGATTCATAGTCGAGGGACAGTTGGTAAGTCAATGTGATTTGATTATCGATCGTTTTTGGTTTCAATGAAAGATTATACGTGGAGAAGAACGTGTCACCTAGAAGATCATCCGAGTCAAACGAAATGTACTTGTTTCTACTTTCGTCTACTTCTTTTCCTCTCTTCTTTACGATAATTATGACTAAGCCACGCGATGATTCGAGAGATATAGACGTTCGATTCATCTATATTCACTTTTCTTTTCCATGGAACGACAGATAGAAATTGAGAAAAACTTGAGACGTGAATCGTCGTCTTCATCACCACGTTTTTCCCGTACCTTTGATAGACTTTTAAGACAAGTAAGAGAAATCGATACTATTGAACGAAAGATCTTTAGGTTTGATCGATTTCTATTTTAGTTTCCCGAATCAGCTCAGATATCAACGACATCACCAGTAAGTTTCAGTTTATTCCGTTAAAAAACGAGTCAATAAACGAGTAACTAATCATCTCGAATTTTCTTCTTTTTTTTCCTTCTCTGAGTTCGTTTAAAGCCGAAGAAAAAGGAGAAAATGTTTTTTATCACGCCAATACATTCATTAATTTTTTCCTTTTGACTTCGATGATATTTACGCTTGGCATTACCGTGAACAACACAAGCACGCACATTATCTATTTTGTTATTTTCTTCTGAAGATTAAAAATATACGTAGTACAAATTTCTCCTACTATTCCTTTTCTTTTTATAGAGCATGGCATCAAACAAAGCTGGCTATCAATCTTCCACATGGGACGAGCAGAGTGCTTACAAGCCATCTTCATGGCGATCTACCGTTTCTGCACCCTCATGTGCACTTTGTCACAAATCGGTTTTTCCAGCCGAAGAAGTCATCGGCGCTGGTCAAAAATATCACAAACTATGTCTCAAGTGTTGTATGTTCATCACTCTTCTCCATCTCTATCCTATTCTATTCTCTTGTGTGCATAGCCTCATGTAGCACTCTGCTGAACTCAGGCAATGTGAGTGAGCATGACAAGAAGATCTATTGCGGTGGATGTTATCGTCGACAGTTCGGTCCACACGGAGGTAAGTGATGATTTGAATATACACATCGATATAAGGTAGATGTATTGCATAGTTGGTCGAGGTCTTGGAACAACACTATCAAGTTTGGAAACACCACCAAGCAGTCCTCGTTCGAGTCAAATGGAATCAGAATCTAATGAAGAATTAACGAACATCAACAATGACTGTTCAACAAATTCGTCACAGTCTCGAGTGTCACCAGAGAATGAATCACGTCTCAGTAATTCACAAATGAACAGTGTCACATACATCGGTGGAGTAACGACCAGGCAAACGATCTCCACACCTCCACGCTCAGTGACGAATAATATAACAAATGGAGCTGCATTCAAAATGATGTCTATATCAGGCAATATATGTCCGCGATGTTCAAAAGCCGTCTATTCAGCAGAAGAAGTCAAAGCTGCTGGAAAAGTAATTACATCTAGCTTTCGTCTTCGATCTCACCTATCTCATTCTTCTAGTCCTTTCACAAACGATGCTACACTTGTGCTCAGTGTAAAAAGAGTATCAATGCTGCTCGATATTCAGAACACGAAGGAGAACTCTATGATAACAGTAAGTTCGATGTCTGATATTGATGATGATGTTTCACTTGATGGTCACTTGTAGATTGTTATCAACGATTATTTGGTCCGAAAGGTGTGGGATACGGTGTAGGATCTGGAACATTATCAACAGGAACTTGACATCATTTCCTTAGCTTAACTTGCAAAATATCTTCACGAATGCACTAGAAAATTTCCTGATATCTTTGCTACGTTTATTTTGCTTACACATCGTTATATACGTTTGGTTTCTTGTTTATATCTACTAGATTTAGTTCTTTTTTTTTCGCTACTATCTAAGGCATTTGTATTTATGTCTATTGATGATATGTTTTCTATAGAAACAAAACATTTCTCGAACAAAAACTAGTTGAAATTTTTCGTTGGATTGTATTTCAAATCATAAACTGCTTTGAGGGCGATGCCAATTGTCGAAATAACTAAACAAAAGATAAGGAATCCAAACCATTTACCGCCAGTTCTTCTAGAATCTTCTAATCGCGCTACTAATCGACATGGTGCCCCAGTACCGCCCTCAATTTTCATTGGAAGCACATCGAATGCAAAGAATGTTTGCGGTTGATTCTTGAGGTGTTCTAAAACCAAATTCAATGCAGCCACATTTTCCAAAACATAGATATTCTTTTCGAATAACGTTCGATGAGCTTGAAAATGTTTGGATGAACCAGGATCAACTACATTTAATAAGAAAAAGAACATGGTTAACGAATCAATTGATCACAAAAATAGGTCTACTACTTGATAAAGTATCGATGCCAACTCCAACAAGTTTTCCCGAATATTTCGTTGTTAAATACGAAGCTAATTGCGGACTAAGCCCTGGAAAGGCAAGTTCTTCTCTAGTATGACCTCCAGCAAAGTCTTTTTGATTAGGCCAAAATCTCGACTTTCCCGTATAAAACAAAAGAACGAAATATCCAGTTGCTCCTTTCATAGCTTCTTCATTAAGATCTTCGATTTCAATGGGATAATTTGCATTTCGTTCACTCTTTTCGGATACGTCGACAATTAATGCTTGAATAGATACTAAACGTTCGAATGGAATCTGCTCGATTGTCCATGATGTATTTGACCCATGATATGGCGCATCGATGTGAGTACCAAAGTGCTCATCAGTTATGAAAGTATTCTTTGCTTTGAAATAATACATCTTTGAATCATCTTGACTCCAGCTTGTTCGAGTTTCGGTGAAATTAAAAGGAGTTAAACCGGGAAAAACAGGATTTGTAGATTTGATCGTGTGAGTCAAATCGACGCTGATCAAACCGATAGCCAACTCAACATGAAAAAATATGAACAGAAGATAAAATATCTGCATCGATATGAAAAGAAACTAGTTGATAATATAGTGCTTTACACTGGCAGTTATTTTCAATGATATTTCATACAATCAGCATAGAGTATAAAGCCTTTTGTTCTATTCTCTTATCGATACGTAGAACCGAATATTTTATCATGATAAACCTAATAGTTTCTGCTTTTATTTTTGTTTCATCCTTTCAGAGCTATTCAAATGGCTATAGGTTTGTATGTTACTGTCGTATTCCATTGAAAACAACGCCTCTTTTTTTATTGGAATCTGATCATGACTTCTACAGTATTTTGATGAAAGAATACGCCTGCCGGCTAACATTTGATTAAAACTTGCGTTTATATCGTAAGTTCGGTTAAGATTACTTCAACTTTCATTTATAGCTCGTCGTATACGAACATCTCTAGAAGTGTACAAAAACATCATTCGATTGTCAATCATTAAAGTAGATTCAACTATATTTGTCTTACTCATATATTTAAGTTTGTTAAAATAGTAGACAATGAATGAAGGCTGTTTCATCGACACAAATGTCATCGATGAGTGTAGACATTGCAGCTTATCTTTCGTTTCTTGATTATGGCGTCTACAACACAATGACACTGACTACTGTAAATACGTCATTAGGAAAGCTAAATCGTTAACAAAACAATTAACATTCTCCTCGATTGTGGATACATTTGATAATCACATCTAAGAGACAGAAGTATATGATTTTTAGCCAGATAATATTCACATTTTATTCGTTGAAGAAGAAATTCAAACACTATGATCAGTTTTTTCTATAGAATAACCCAGCGTTTTTGCTACATGATGACTACATCACACAAACAACGAAGTACATTCTGAGTAACATAGAAACAAGCAAGACATAAGCCATATCTTATACACATGCACATCTGATAACAGTCAGTCAAGAGAGCAAGAAAAAATAGCTACGAAATAAAAGAATGTTATATTCAGTTCACTCAACATAATACCGGAGAGAGATAGAGCTTAATGGTCGATTTTAAATTGCAGTTGATAATGTTCCAGATCCTACACCGTATCCCATACCTTTCGGACCAAATAATCGTTGATAACAATCTACAAGTGACCATCAAGTGAAACATCATCAATATCAGACATCGAACTTACTGTTGTCATAGAGTTCTCCTTCGTGTTCTGAATATCGAGCAGCATTGATACTCTTTTTACACTGAGCACAAGTGTAGCATCGTTTGTGAAAAGACTAGAAGAATAAGATAGGTGAGATCGAAGACGAAAGCTAGATGTAATTACTTTTCCAGCAGCTTTGACTTCTTCTGCTGAATAGACAGGCTTTGAGCACCGTGGACACAGATGCCCAGTTCCTGACTTCATTCGGAATGATGATCCAGTGGTTAAATTGACTGATGATGGACGTTGGACAGTTAAAGGTGCTTGTCTTGTCGTTACTCCACCGATGTATGTGACACTGTTCATTTGTGAATTACTATGACGTGAATCATCATCAGACGATGTGCGAGATGGCGATGATCCTGTCGATGTTTTTCGTTGATGACGAGGCCCATCAACGTCCGTCGCTCCTGACTCTAAATTGATTCCCATACGACTTAAGCTTGGACTGCTTGGTGGTGTTTCCAAACTTGATAGTGTTGTTCCAAGACCTCGACCAACTATGCAATACATCTACCTTATATCGATGTGTATATTCAAATCATCACTTACCTCCGTGTGGACCGAACTGTCGACGATAACATCCACCGCAATAGATCTTCTTGTCATGCTCACTCACATTGCCTGAGTTCAGCAGAGTGCTACATGAGGCTATGCACACAAGAGAATAGAATAGGATAGAGATGGAGAAGAGTGATGAACATACAACACTTGAGACATAGTTTGTGATATTTTTGACCAGCGCCGATGACTTCTTCGGCTGGAAAAACCGATTTGTGACAAAGGGCACATGAGGGTGCAGAAACGGTAGATCGCCATGTGGCTGGCTTATAGCCACCCTTAAAGTCCCAATTAAGTGTTCTCAAACCGCTCTTGTTTAAGCTCATGATCTAAAAAAACAATGTAAATTGCTGGATTTAAACAAAGAAACGACTTTTGTATTTTGATCACTCACTTCACGTCAAAGAAGAAACAAAAGAAATTGTGTATGTTTATGTTGCTTTAGACTGAATAGACTGACCGTTGCGACTAGTGCAAAGCAGGGAGAAAAAGTGTGAATGTGGATCTATCGTTAGAGAACATATTCTTTTCTCTCTTCTTTTCTTCCGTTTCTGTTCAATGTCATCGATTTCTTCCTTTCTCTCTCTCTCTTGCTTTGTTTGCGCGTTTCTGGGCGAATATCTAGGGAAAAAATGACTGAGAAGAAGAAAAACGGAAGAATGCAACATATAAGAAGCGTACAAGATAATCAAGAAGGAAAATTATAGTCGACATGTCATCATTCAACCATAACAAATAGATCGTTAATGACCTGAGGACACTGCTGAATGCAAGAATACTTTTAGATGAACAAAAATGATCAATCAATGATTGGAAACTTGTAGAAGATAATCAGATTACCTTACATACTTGAAAAGAAATATACAATTGCATCTGAAGAGGATGTTATAGAAAAGGCAGATGCAATTGTTTTGGTATTCGTACACAGCTGACACTTTCTTTTTGAAAATATCACTTTATGAGATAACGTGCTTTTCTTCCATTTGACACATTCTACAAGTTAAACTCATTTCTCATTCTATGCACACATATTCAAAGAGAAGAAGCTCTCAATAAATAGTCATCTTTATAGCGAGATAGAGATTAAGGATTCATCACTCACTTCACGTTTCTCTTTGCTTTGTTAAAAGCAACAGAAGAAACAAGAAAGACTAAAAGCCATACGATAACTATGAAAATTGACAATAGAGCAATGTGGACTCCTCTTTATCTATACTTAATCCAGTTAAGATCAATAATCATCCTACCTGGAAGAGAGAAGCCCTTCAACCTGTAGTTAATACAGCATACAAAGAAGAACATTTGTTTCATGCTCATGAATGAACGAGATAGAAAAGAAGACAATCGTTCGTATTATGTTTCGTTTATCAACAAAAACAATAAAAAAGAAAGTACGATCATAATCATACTTAGAGAATCATTTCAATATGTCATATCATACAAAACTCTCTTTTGCATTTCATTCCATAACTATTCAAGTTTACTTGTTCTCATCTGTAGATGACGCAGTAGATACGAGATAACGAAACAAAATCTTACTTTGGTCGTTGTATATTTTTCTCATGTGTAAGCGAATGGCTTCGAGTTTGAGCTTATTTCGAAGAGTTATGATGTATGACTAGCTGACACATTCTGGTGAACCATTAGTGATTCGCAGCATCTCGAAAGGATTAACATTCAAGTCATTTTTTAGTGTTATTGATCTCTAATATAGATTGTGTCGAGTAACAAGATATAAAGTAGACAAACATCTGTAAAAAATGTTTCTATTTACGTACATCATTGTTATTCTCGGAATTACTTTCGCTGATGATCCATTACGACCACAATACCATTTAATGCCACCACAAAATTGGCTCAATGATCCAAACGGACCTGTATACTACAATGGATACTTTCATATGTTCTACCAGTACTATCCAAATACGACTCCGGCCAATCAAAAGCAATGGGTAAGGCAAAGCATGTCTAACAATGTCCTCATCAGTCACTACTGTTCTAATCAAAGGGCCACTGTTATAGTAAGGATATGGTTCATTGGATCCATTTGCCAGTTGCTCTTGTTCCTGATCAACCTTACGATATCAATGGCGTATGGACTGGAAGTATAACACTTGTCAATGAGATTCCAATCATTACATATACTGGAATAACAAATACTAATAAACAAGTTCAATGTCAAGCGCGACCAGCTAATTTATCCGATCCAACTTTGACAAATTGGACAAAGTCTCTATTGAATCCAGTTATTACTAATCCCGATGGACGTGATCCGTCGACAGCATTTCAAGATGATCAGAATAACCATTATTTAATCTATGGGTATGGAACAGCTGACTTGGGCGGACAAGCTGTGCTATTCACTTCAACAGATTTTCTAAATTGGACATATCTGCATCCAATACACAGCAATCATTACGATACGTTTTGGGAATGTCCAGATATATTTAATGTTTCTCAACATGTTGTTTTAAAGGCATCATTGAACGGTCGTGATTTCTGGACAATTGGCAACGTTGATCCAAACAAACTTATTTTTACACCACTAAATCATGATCTTGGCGAATACATTCAATTGATTGATAATGGAAAATTTTATGCTTCGAAGACATTTTATGATCCTGCGAATGATCAACAGATTGTCGTCGGTTGGGTAGCAGAAGATGACAATCAAGGTGAACAACGTGGTTGGCAAGGTTTACTAACACTTCCGAGAACAGTTTTCGTTTCTGATGATAGTTTAGAATTACGTACACGTCCAATTGAAGCATTAAAATCATTACGTGATCCAAATAGTCATCAACAATATCTAGATGTTCGACTAGGAATAGAGACTTCTTTTGAATTGATACCAAATCTGATTGGAAATCAAATTGAAGTACTTATCAATTGGCAATTTCCAACGAAACAAGTATGAATCGACTTGTTCTTTTTACCTGTCTCTGTATTCTCTTCATAGAACTTAGATTTCGGTTTTACTGTTCTTTCGACGTTGGATGGTGCACAACGAACGAGTATCGGTATTTCGACATTGACCAACGCAAGTCTTATGCTCAATTGGGATTTACCTGGATGGGATTATTTCAGCGTTCCACATGTAAATTTCTGGCTCGATTGTCAAACTGCTTGTAATCGAGATAATCGATGCCAAGCATGGACATACGATGCCAGTCGAAAATTGAACGATAATTGCTTCCTTAAATCTGGTATACCATTAAAAACTGGCAACTGGCTATGCATATCAGGTGTGAAACAACAAGAAAAAGATCAACAACCTGTTTGGATTTATATAGACCGTGTTTTATCTCAAAGAAACCCTGACGCTGCACATTCTCCGTATCATGATGTCATTTGGATGGAATCATCTGCAGAGAATGCTCTATCTTCGTTGGAACTCGATATATTCGTCGATCATTCTGTGATTGAAATATTCGAACCACGAAATGGACGTGTTGCTATAACGGGCCGTGTTTATCCCGAGGAAGAAACAGCAAAATACCTGAGTGTTTATGCACGTCATATTCCAACTAATAATGAGAGTATTGTCATTAAGACATTAGATTTCTGGACTTTAGATTCTATTTGGAATTGAACATATCGAAAGAAGAAAATTCGACCCTTCCTTTTTTATATAGAAAGTTGACGAATAAATGAATTTCTCTGATTAAATTGTATTATTCATCATATGTCGATTACTAACGAGTATTTGCCTTTAAATGATTCATAACCACATAGTTTTTCGTGCTTTTATCTTTTTATGCAGTCGTTCAATAAATTTTACACAATATTTTTCGCTTTTTTCGCCGCACACCCCCACTCATTCGATCCACGTGCAAATAATAAATATTGTCTTATGACTAAATGCAAGAAGGCATGCAAAAAGAAAAAAAAAGAGTATTCGTACGATGTTTTTCTTCGATTTGGATATTGTTTCTCGATAAATTATTTGATAATCGCATATTTAGACGAGTTACCTGTAAGAAATAGGTCAAAGTACGTTTTGAAATTCAGCTGAACTGAATATGTTTGTATTGATGTCTTCATAGGAAAATCTCAGTTCAATGGCATCAAATTACAACTCTCACGATGAATTCCTCGATGACTTTCACAAAGAATTTGGTAGAGAAGGCAAAATTAATGCGGAGCAAGCATGGAACTTGCTGCAAAAATATCACCAAAGAAAAAAGGAAAAAAATGACAGAAAAAGTGAAGAAAGTAGTGAAGGTGATCGCCATGATCGTAGACGAAGGGACAAGAAGAAAGATCGCCGCAGTAACGACAAAAAAAGTGAAGAAAGTGGTGAAGATGGACGCCATGATCGTAGACGAAAGGACAAAAAGAAAGATCATCACAGTGACGACGAAAAAAAAGACAAGAAGAGCCACAGTCCCGAGCGTAAACATAGTCGTGGCCGTGGACATAGCCACGAGCGTAAGCATAGTCATGGGCATAGCCACGAACGTAAGCATAGCCGTGGCCGTGGGCATAGTCACGAGCGTAAGCACAGTCATGATCGCAAACATAGTCCTGATCATGGCCATAGAAAACACAGACATGGTAAAAAGCATCACAGACATTCATCTGGATCAAATTCATCTAGATCAAATTCATCGGGTTCTTAAGAACGATTTTCATTCAACATTTATCAAAAAACCATCCTTTTATTGTGTCTTGGAAAATATCTCTCGATCGATACTTCAGAACATTTTTGAATATATTAAATTCAAATTCTAACATTACTAACATAGCACGTTCAATAAATAATTGCTTGAAGATCTGAAAAGTATTCAAAAGACGTTTATCAAGATCAAGTATTGTACAATTATTTTCAATGAACTCCTGAATGGGATTACCGTTTGTTGTATCAGCAAAATCGGATATCTTTTGAGAAATACTGTAAGTTGCACATACACCATATTCGTTCTCGAAGAGTTAAGATGAAAAACCAAACTGAAAGTATTCCGACTTGCATTCAACTATTATCAATCAATACATACAAGAAATGCGTGCTTTCGATAGAACTGAACTAGCGTTAGAAATTAGTGGAAAAAAAACGAGTACGATCATATCTGTCTGCTTTGAGCGACATCTTATGTAATCGAGCTCTGGTTGTCCTATTCCTTTCTTATTTTCTGTCAATGAAATGACAACCCAAAACACCTGATCTTATTTTCTGTTCCTTTCTACATATACAGAAAAGAAATGGTTTGAAGAACTTTTTCTAACATGTATCACCATCTTCTCTTTCATTTCATCCAACAATTTTCCTTGCTCCAACAGTATCTCATTATTTTATCATTGTCTTTCATTATCCTCCTAGTCTTTCGTTACTGGTGGTGTATTTTCCTCTTACCTCTGAGCACAATTTGCGCCAGTTTTGCTATTAAACATCTGCGACAATCAGGCCGACGACCGTTCAAAATATCAGGTTACATCTACAATCTTCTTTTCAAAGCAAACCAAAATGCCGATCATTCATCTCAAGGCTATGAAATTTCGATACAGAAAGAATGCGATACTTACATTCGAACAATCGTTGCTCGATACATATGCGTTTGGTATTACCCATTAGTATCCACCGATCAAGAATTTCCCGAAGATTTAATGATTTTATTTAATATAATACTGAATCGACTGAATGATCGTTTGAAATCGTTAAATTCTTATGATTTAACTCGTCTGTTAGTCAACTTAGAACAAAAACATCTCGAACAGTATTTACACGCACTTGATTCATATGAAAAACAACGAAAGCATAATCCAAGCAGCAGATCAATTGTCGAAGAGTATTCTCATTTGATTGGTTTTCATCGATCAATGATTAACAATGACACTCATGCGTATTTAAAAGCTCTAGTCGAATTATTTCTAACAGATTTAGTACCTGAATCGTTTCATATGTATTCAGGTAGTCATACTGGTCGAGAATTTCTCACACAACTTGTGGTTCATTGTGTATTTTTACCTTTGTTGAATGAATTTTCTAATCCGCAAATGCTCTACTATCTGATTGTTCGTTTATTCGAAACTGAAGAGTCAAAGTTGAATGAGAAAACCGATGAACATACATTTTCCGTCCAAACAAATCCAACATCCGGTCAACATGACGAGATTCAACCAGCAGTCTCAAAAGAAAATCTCGACGAACATGTAAATCTAAATGACGAGCGTCGAATGTCACGTTTAGAACGTATTATTTATTCAGTAACAATCATTTCGTGTGACATAGCATACAATGCACGAACCGGTGGTGCCTATACTGTTTATATAATGCAAGTAAGGGTGTAGCCAAAGGCAATACTGGAGAAGAATTGTTCGTTTTAGTGTGAAACGAAATCACCATTTGCATCAGATACGATTCATCGGTATGTTATTCGACGGCGTTTTCGAGAATTTATGAATTTACACAAACGCTTGCATCAAAATTTGCTCACTAGTCGATATTGGCATGGTAAAACCTGACTTCTTTCAAAGAAAACGTGGATATTAGTTTCTTGATTAATAGATATGAACGAAGTCTTCCAAAATTTGCCTCTTCCAATTGATAATATGAATGTCGAAGTCATTCGTCGACGAAAAGACATCCTTGAACAATACATTCAGGTACGTCTAATGTACCTTTCAGGTACTTTCATGAACAAGTTTTCGTTTAGAAACTAATTTCCAATGAAGTTCTTAATTGTTCGCATGATGTTTTGGAGTTTTTTGCTTATAATTCCGATTCTAATGTACAATTTGAACCGTTGCCACCAAGTAAACTACCAGTACCACGTGTAGATAAGGTTCTTCTCCGAACTCTCTCTGATGTTGGAACTAAATTGAATAATTTATTACCGACAAAGCGCGAATTAACTCCGGTTCGTGAAACTTTCCAATTAAATATTTCAACAACGTACGAAGATGTATAGTGAAACCAAACACTTCATTTTAAAACGATTTTCGTATATAATTTGTCTTTCAGACATCTCCTATTATGGAACAAATGAAATTCTTCATTCAACAATCATCATTACGATACTCATCGTATTCATTATCATTAAATTCCATTGATTCTGTGTTTTTACAATCGCTATTAACACGACCATCGATTGTCACATCACAACGAAAAGCAAAATCACGTAAGATATAGAGAAAGTTGCTTGTTTGAGAAGAATTCGTTTCGATTAGATTCAAATATTCCATTAACTGACGCAATTTTGAAATTAATTCACACATGTTTGCATTCTCGAGATGATATTATCAGTTACGAATCTACACACCAAATTTTTCGAACGCTATTTGGCCATTTCACGGAAGAGTTAGTAGCTATTCATCGGAAACTTTGAACTGAATAGTTATTCTTTAGATTCTTCAAAGATTATATCGATAAGCTCTTGTCTCAAGAGAAAATCCTTGAATATCTTTATGATATTCGTACTAAAGTCCTTTGGCCGGATGAGAGTAAACCAATTGCTCCAATGAAAGACATAAAAAACCGTGCATTTACAGCGTTGATGAAGAAAATTCCAAGTAAAATCCTGTAAATATCTTCAAATTGATTTGATTACCTTCGTTTTTATTTCAAGATTGGCTTCAATATATTGTCGGCATCGAAAATACTCGTCGAATTATCAAAAATTTCCTTGATTCTCTGAATTATACAGAACTCAATCGGTTCGTCTTTTCCTTTGCGAATGAAATAAACAGCGTTTCTCATATTCATACTTTTAGCCATCTGATTTGTAATTTATTCGATTTGCTACTCGAACAACTGATACCTCACATCGCCACGAAAGATTTCCTAACCAAATACGTTCATTTACATGCAGGTGTTCGATCATGATGATACTAATCTCGAAATCGTACTAGTCGTTAGCTGTAATTGTCTTCGTAATTTCATAGGAAAATGTGTGATTAATGTATCTATTGGTATATTCATATGATTGATTGTTTTTGTTGATAAAAAAAATAAAATTAATTTTGACAGAAGAAAGATTCAAATCTTGACGTGAATTAAACATCGGCCAGGTGAGCAGACGCAGCATGCATACGACAGGATACTGTCTTCGGAAATCTGTCATCGCTAAGTATGTTTTTTTCGAGCAATCAGTTTAGCAAACCTTGGTTTAACGACATACAAGGGTAAACTAATGCGTATATTTTTCTTTGTGTGCATACGCATTACTGATCTGTTATTTCTATCTATTAAAACAAAAGCTTACCTCAAGACACTGATTTATAGTCACATATGTATTCATGAATGTCGCATTTTATCGTATAAGTTAATTCTGATTCTTTGATATACGTTTGTAAAGAGTGATTAATTCTGATTATCGCTTATATAACATACATCGATATTTTCATTCTAGTTTCACTATAAAAGTTCTCCCATGGCACATCGTCATCATCATCAACAGCAGCAGCTTAATAGTAATTCTAATGGTCGTCGACTGTCGATGTTAGGCACGATGGAAAATAATCCGATTGGTGATGAAGAATATGATTATGAATATGATTTGATGAAATTGCTCGAGCAAGAACGACATTTTATGATTAATCAAGTGTGAATCTTCTATTTTCGTATTTTAGTTTCTTTTTGTATATAGTTCTTCTTTTTAGCAGCAAGCATCTCGAGAAAATGGCACGACTCGATCGCAACAAACTCAGTACATTACACCGCTTGAACATATCTACACGAATATTCAACAGTCACAAGGTACACCACAAGTCAGTCGACGTGTACTACCTAAGGTAAATACAACTACACCTGGTCGATTGTCCTCAGTGAAACCACTTCGAATTATTATTATTCGCCATGGTGAACGAGCTGATGCTGTTCTAGGATCTGAATGGTCAAAGAAGAGTTTCGATCGTCATGGACACTACATACGATTTAGTGAACATCTCCCAGATGCGTATGTCTTCTTTTGAAAATCTATTTGCCCTTAGTTATACGTTCCTACAGATTACCAGCTCGATCGTACTTGCACCATTATGTTATTGATGTACCTTTAACAAACCGTGGTCGTTTACATGCTTACCGAACAGGTAAAACTTTACTAGCAAATGGATATGCAGCTGATCTGTGTTACACAAGTCCATCGTTGCGATGCGTACAAAGTGCCGATAAGATTTTATCGGGTATGGGGAGAAAACATATTGCGATGCAATTAGTAAGTAATATTTTAAAAACTTGTCAATGTTGTTTGATTGAATCATGGTCGATATAGGAACCAGGCTTATTTGAATGTTATCTCAATGATTTCAAAAGAACATTGTGTTTCATGACAAAAGATGAACTATCAGCAAATGGTTACAACATTGACAGACGTTACAAGGCTCATATGCCATTCATGCGACCATATGATAGTCAAGCTGATTATTATGAGCGGTGTCATATGATTATGGATATTATTATCAAACGACACGAAGCAACCGGCGGAACTATCTTGATCGTAGCTCGTTAGTTCGTTATATCTATATAATTCCTTTATTGAGTACAATCTTCATTGTAGATGCACCAAGTCTCGAAGGATTGACACGACACTTTGCCGGTGGAAAATTTCTTCCAGGTTTGTTTTTCTTTTTCATTGATCATCAGTTTTGAAATTTATTGATGGGTCGGACACGTTTTCATATCTTAACTCATATTCTTTATTTTCATAGAGAAACTATTTGACATTGCTCGTCGGGTACCATTTCTTGCTATGACTATATTGGAAAGAAATGGTATCGATAGTCCATGGCTTTTTCGTACCAAACCGTTAGATACAGACGAAGCGGAAGTCATGAGAAAAGGTGAATACGAAATGTCTCTGCCAGCGTCAGTATTACCTACCACCAACCATAAACAAAATATTGGTTACCAAGGATCAGAGTCATCACAACCTTTCAATTCACAACAATATTTATCACAAATTCAAGGAGCTCCTTTATACCACCATCATCACCACCACCACCACCAACAACAACAGCAGCAACAGCAACAACAACAACAACGTTTTCAACAAATCGAGAATGGTCGGCATCCGTCAGCTAATGATGTCCTCCAAGCTGATCTAAAAAAAGTTCTGAAAAGTTCGACTGTTCCTAATTTATCAACGAATAATTCGTTCGATAATATGTTCCGTGTTATTTAATCGATTGCATCTGCCAATTTCGTATGTCCGTTTTTCTGTACTGAAATTTCACAACAATAAATTGTTGAGCGCTCGATCTGTTCGAAAACAAATTCATTTTTCTTTGTCTATATATAATTTATAATGAATTGGAGAATCCGAATGAGCATCATTCCATCATCGTTTAAACGCAAACAACATTCGAAACGTATATCACTCCCAACCTATCTATGCCTAAGGACAAATTCAAAAATCCAGTACCAAGTGACCAGTGAGATTCCAGCTGTTCGAAATGTGAAACTGAATAAACAAACGATGATTGTTCGTCGTCAAGATTCGAATTCTAACCAGTCTCTTTCGCTACAAACGGAATCAGCAAGCAAATTTGAAGAAATACAAAACAACTCACAACAAGCAGTAAATCTTGTTCTTGTTTGTGGTCAAAATGTATGTGGCCAACTCGGTCTATCTACCAATATTATCGAACGACGTAAACCACAGCATTTGAAAATTGCCAGTGAATCAAAGTCTGACGAACAAATTCAGTACATATGTGCAGGTGCTATGCATTCGTGTGTTCTGACTCGTTCGGGTCATGTTTACACATGGGGTTGTAACGATGACGGAGCCTTAGGTCGAATAACGAATGATATCGATGATGAATACGCACCTGCATTATGTGTGATGCCTGAACAGATAGAAAGTCTTCATGCCGGTGATTCATTTACCGTTGCTATCAGTAAATCTCGTCGTGCGTATATTAGTGGTTGTTTTCGAAGTAGCGAAGGCATTCTCGGCTTGTTTGAATATAAACAAATAGCTGAACAACCTGTTGTTGTACCGGTCAATCAGCCAATTACACAAGTGGCATGTGGTGCTGATTTTTGCTTGTTGTTAACAGAAACTGGTAACCTTCGCTGTCTTTTTCTATTAAGAAAAGAATTTCAAAGAAAATTATTGTTTGTCTTTTGAACTAGGCGATCTTTACTCTTTTGGAAATAATGAAACTGGTCAATTGGGTCGTCACAGCGATTCAAGTCTTCGCTCGATTTATGCTACATGGCTACAACCTTTACCAATCTCTTATTTCCAAGGTCATCATATACTAAAAATATGGGCAGGTGGCCATGGTTTCTTTGTGCTAACACAAGCGTCGACTCGTCGATTGTTCTCTTGCGGTGCCAATAGTTTTAGTCAATTAGGTCATTCAGTTAAACAACCCATACATTGCCCACTCGAAGTCACAGATTTTCTTTCAACAGACAAAATCGTCAAAATAGCTTGCGGCCTTCAACATACACTCATACTTGATTGCATGGGAAATGTGTATGGTCTTGGAAGAAGCGACGATGGTCGTTTAGGTAGTGACCAAACTCATGACGTGACTAGTCCGAAACAAATAGATCAACTGACCAATATTGTTGATATTGCTGCCGGTGGCAGTGTTTCGTATGCAATTAACAATTGCGGACAAATCTATTCGTTCGGTATGGGAAACACATGTCAGACAGGACATGGAAATGCTGATATTTTCATTCCTACTCAAGTCAATGGTAAACAATTAGAAAACCGGTTGATTCAACAAATATCCGTTGGAGCTCAACATACTCTTTTCCTAGTTAAAGAAAAGCAACTGTCGAGATCAAATATATGACGTCATGATTGGTTATTTCAAAAGACATATCACATCAAACTATATTGATTCTCTGTATCTTTCATGATTGGTCTAACAATCTTCTATTTGTTTAAATTAAAATGAAATGCCATTAGCTTTGAAAAAAACGCTCTGCCTGAATAATTTCTTCTTTTTCTCAAGTATATTCTCTTTTTTAACTTCTTATTCAATGTAAAACAACGTCGGAAATTTTCTTTTCTCTATTGCTTTCTAAATAATCGGCCGACTGCCATCATAACACTCCAGTAACAAATAGGACACACGTCGTGCACATATTGTTTCAGATACTGTTACAAGCAATAGTGCGTTTATTTAGTTTCATAAACACATTTTTCTTCTCCTTTTCTTTTGCTGTGTCCTTTGTCGTCTGTGTTACAACAAAGCGTATAGCAATTGAAAAAAAAAAGAAACTTCTATTTGATTTGCGCTGAATTCTACTTCTACCGATATAACAAACATAAAATATTCCGGAAGACTCTTCATTTTGTAGCTATAAGCATGCCATTGATCGTCAACTCAGCGAACCGCTTCGTCTTTGTTCTCATCGCGTTTTTTGCATTCAACAGCGCTTTTTATCTGCCTGGCTTAGCACCAAATGTATATTGTCGACAGTCTGTTGCAGATTCGAAATGCAAAGTCAGTGGGATGGAAACGAGATGCTCTTCATATTCTTCTGGTCTTTATTTAGACACGAGTGGATGTGTTCGTTAATCGGTTGGATTCAGTCGAGTCAATTCTTCCCTATGAATATTCTTAGTTAGTTGCATCAGCTTTTCTGTCGAAGATGTCGAGCTGTCCTTTTGTTTTCGTATTAGTTTTGATTTTTGTACGGTTGATGATGAACCCTCACCTGTTGAAAATCTTGGTCAAGTGCTATTCGGTGAACGAATTCGGCCATCACCTTACAAGGTTTGTTCGATCTCCTTTGCAACTTCAACGAATTGCTTCTTTTTAGTTTGATTTCCTTAAACCCATTGAATGTAAACTGGCGTGTAAAAAGAAATATTCCACTAATGATGAGCAATCACAAAAGCTGCTCAAACGTTTAATGAAAGGAATGACTTTGAATTATCAACAACATTGGATTGTCGATAATATGCCGGTGACATTATGTTATAAAAATGCAGAGGAGAAAGAATTCTGCTCACGAGGATTTCCTATTGGCTGTTATGTAACGAAAAGAGGACAATCGAAAGAATCGTGTAGTATTCGTGATGGGAAAAATGATACCTTTTACGTATTCAATCATTTGGATTTTGAAATCAGTTATCATAGTGGACAAGGTATAAAACTCGTTTATAAAAATGAATGAAGAGACAGAGAAGGCTTTTTTCATAGGTGAATCGTGGGGTACGACATTCGGAGATGAAGGTGGTCGAATCATTGCAGCGAAAGTTCAAGTTAGCAGGTTAGTTGAAGAATACTATGAAGATATTTCCATACTGATCTTTAGTTTGAATTCTGATACTTGTACACGTGGCATTGACCCAGTTATATTCCAATCGACAACTACGAACATCGAAATTCCGTATACATACAGTGTGAAATTCAAGAGAAATAATGATATACGTTGGGCTAGTCGATGGGATTATATTCTTAAATCATTACCACAAACACGCATTCAATGGTTTTCGATTTTTAATTCACTTGTGATTGTTCTATTTCTGTCGGGAATGGTGGCAATGATTCTTCTACGTACGTTATTTAAGGATATCGCACGCTATAATCAAATGATAGAAACTATCAATGAAGTAAAATCGAATTCATTATAAATAGTGGTCCTATATTCTTTGCTTTAGGATGATGCTCAAGAAGAATTCGGCTGGAAATTGTAAATCTCACGTTGACTCTTAGTGATTACAATGAAATCATACTTTGTTTACTGTTTTAGAGTTCATGGGGATATTTTTCGATCACCACCGCATGGATTACTCTTAGCAGTTCTTATTGGTAATGGTATGCAAATTGCTATTATGTCCTTGATAACCTTAGGTAGATTCTTTGTGATAGTGAAAAATTTTTGTTCCCTATAGGACCTGTTTAGTTTTCGCCTGCCTTGGATTTCTTTCTCCGGCACGGCGTGGTGCATTGATGACTTGTAAGTAAATCTTCCCGAATGACTGCTTTAAAATCGCCCGTTATATATTTGTATAGGTGCAATTGTCTGCTATGTTCTTTTGGGCACACCAGCTGGTTACACGTCAGCTCGATTATATAGATGTAAATGTTTAATAGTCTTTTAAGTACAAAATCAAGGAATTTTCGTGTTTTTAGTATTCGGCGGAGAGAACCGAAAGAAGAATGTCGTTATGACAGCAGTGGCATGTCCTGGGTAATCAAGAATTACTCGATGGAAATAGAAGTCTATGTTTAAGTTTACTTTAGTGTTATTTTTGGAATATTCTTTGTTTTAAATCTTGTCCTCTGGGCGAATGGCAGCTCGGCAGCGATTCCATTCACGACATTTCTTGCACTGTTAGCTCTTTGGTTCTGTGTATCAACTCCATTAGTATTTTTCGGAGCTTTTCTCGGTTTTCGAAGTCCAGTAAAATAATTCTAAATCAATCAATTCAATCTCCTTGTATTTCACTTATTTAGACATTGAGACATCCCATTAGAACAAATCAAATACCTCGACAAATACCTGAACAAACGTTATACACAAAACCTTTAACAGGTAAATCTCATTTCATTGTTGAAAATCAATCATAATTTGAATGTGATTAGGTATTCTCATGGGTGGTGTACTTCCATTTGGCTGTATTTTCATCCAATTATTTTTCATTCTGAACAGTATCTGGTACATCTTGTACGACAGTTGAATACATAGCATCATTTGATTTGATTTAGGGCTCATCAATACTATTATTTCTTTGGCTTTTTACTTGTCGTTTATATCATCATGATTTTAACATGTTCAGAAACAACTATTCTTCTCTGTTATTTTCATTTATGTGCCGAAGTAATTCGATTCATCATACGAAATCTCTGGGCTATCATGTCGTTTTAGGATTATAATTGGTGGTGGCGTTCGTTTTTTACATCGGGTTTCACGGCTGTCTATTTTTTTCTCTATTCAATTTACTATTTCACGACTAAATTAGAAATATCCGAAGGTACATCAACGTTTCTTTATTTTGGGTATACACTCATGTTAACATTTATTATGTTCTTATTTACTGGTAAGCTTAACGAAATTACTTCCAAAGACAAATACCGTTTTCTTTGCATTCGAAGGTACGATCGGTTTCCTCGCTTGCTTCTGGTTTGTTCGTACGATTTACTCTGTAATCAGAGTAGATTAAACTAGAAAATTATGTACAATCGTTTATTTATTATTCTTTTCTTCGTTCGATCAAAATTCATCAGTATTCTTCGCCAGTCCTTCTTTGCGTTCTACTTAAATATAACGTTGATTTTTTATTGCCTTCACTTTCTATTATCGACCGACGGGTACATATCGAACATGCTCTGCACAAACGGTCGATAAACTGAGCACTCTCTTACAATATTAATATACATGTCTCTTTTTCGTTTTATGTCTTTCGTTGTTGTCATTTTTTGTGTGATTTCACCTTAAGCGTATGATTTCTCAGCCTTAAATCTTTCAATAGTTATGATAAAAATAAACAAATGAATGAAATGTGAAGTATCGAAGAACTGATTCGCACCTCAGCAAACAAGCGAAGAGAAGAGAATGTGCAATTAAAAAGAAAAAAACTAGTCAAGCATACAACTACAATTTATCAACGGTTGTTTTTTATCTCGAATATAAATAGATTTCGTTTTTTTTCTCGTTCTCCAGCTCGACAAAAAGACCTAATTTATATACTAACACTTTTACGCATTTTTGCCTATATCGACATATTTATATGCATGCGAGCGAGTACAATAGTCAACATTTTGTTACGTAAAGCATTCCAATTTTAGATTTCATGCTTCCAACTGTACCAACACTGACAAGTATCTGCGAAGATGCGCTTATATCGGCAAAAATCGAAAAACATGACTTAAAACCAATGAACTGTCAATTGATCAATGAAGAATATTTAAATAGGACTTCGTCGAATTGCGATCAGACCTTTGATACTTCAGCATTGTACTGTCCAACGGCAAATTTGAAAAACTTGTTTCGTATATCACATCTAAATGTTTCACATCCATCACGAGCTTCGTTATGGTTTCATCTTCTTCGACAAGATCAAGCACGAAATCGGAACAAATTTCAACAAGCAGTCGAACGATATCCAGAAGACGTACGGTAGGTTCGTTGTTTTTCTCTAACAAAACACGCTGAATTACCAAATGTAGTTCGTAGACATACCTTCTCCCCCGCGGCATGACATAAAAACGAGTCTTGCCGTACATTTTTTTCGTTCCGAAGATTTTTACCCAGGTATCTAGCTTCAAGGTAGAAAAAAACTGGTTTTCGAGCAAAATAATACAAAACGATGCAGAGGTGTGAAAGGAGCAGTTTGCTATTAGCGAATTACAACGTACGATTTTCCGCATTTCTGATGGCGTGTAATTAAAATTAAAAGCTAAGTTTTGTTTTAATTGTCATAGGATGTCAACAGTCTACTGAGAACAGTACCTGTGAGGATGTAGGAGGTGTGTGCACGATGGGAATAATTGCCTCTAATGAATGATACATGACGAAAGCGTCAAGCAGTACCATATGCTTGAATGAACTTGTATACAACTTTGCTAATTCTTGTTTAGCAATATGTTTGGCCGTCGAAATGATATTTCGGTTCGTACTCCACCGTGCGTTGATCCAAACCATTTACCTTATTATCATTTAAATCGTCGTGGTCAACATGCTGTTACTCGAATTCTATGTGTCTTTGCATATTATCATCCTGATATAACATGGGCACCATTACTTGCACCGATGACAGCTTTGTTTCTACATTACATGACCGAAATCGATGCCTACGAATCATTACTGATTCTTAGTAGCACCGATTACAAGATAATAACACAAACGGAAATACAATTTCAATCGTTCACATTATCATTTCGAAGTATATTACGCCGCCATTGTCGTACAACTTATGAAACGCTTACCAAACAATCTCAAGATCCATCAATATTTGATGAATGGCTCTGGATTATATTTGAATATTTACCATTTCAATATCTCATACCGGTTATCGATTGTCTTCTAATTGAAGACGTGAAAATCCTCATGCGAATTGGCATGGCATTATTCCATTTTTATGCAAAATATGGTCTGAATCAACAAATAACATCAGCAAAACCACGCCGACGAGAATCATTATTTCGTCGATCAAAGTTTGGTCGGGCATCTGGGCGATTACAAAATCAAACTTCGCCGTCATCCACTAGATCAACTGCAACCATGTTCGATAACTTGACTGCTTATGTACAACATTTCGATGTTCCATTGGAGAAATTTTTCAAGCATGCCTTTGCCATTCATCATTTACAACGTAAAGAAGTGTTTCGAGCTATTGAGGTAAGGTTCTATCGATACACTAAAAGGATATGTCGACGACGTCAGTTTCGTCGTGAACTTTTCGCACTCGGCTGTATTTTTTGTTTAATCATCCATATCGTATGTATAATATGAGTGTTGGATTGGGCGTTACCTTTTCCCACCGAAAGTAAACATTCCTTTCGAAATCATCAGTCGCCTTGCTGACATGAGTGAAAAGCCCAACTCCCATCGTTTGAGAATATCTGCATCGAATTTGATTAAAAAAATTGCGATGTCGCCTGCGGTCATTAAAAAAAAACTGCATATCGTAAGTTCGAAGTACGGATTATTCGAAAAATAAAGATTTCTCTTGCTAATCACTTCTTATCGTTGCTTGCTTTTCTTTTCGTTTTCGTCAGGTCGAAGAAGAAAAAATCAAATTAGATCGCCGTCGTGTAATGCCGAATTTACGTCGCTCATCATCAGCTGGTAATAATCTAACTGTAACAACCACACTCATGGCGAAACCAATAATAACCCGTCCAGTACATCATCAAAATTCCATGCCGATTATTATGGTTCGTGAATTTGATACGACGACAGCAAGCCATTCTGATTTTGCTTATCTTTGGTCATTAATACCAAAGAGATTGTCGGATTTTCAACCTGAACGAATCTATTCATCGAATATTCATGGTCGCCGTCTACGAACATTGTATGATCATGTTGAATACCATGAATGTTGTCTTATCATAATTCGTAATGAAAAGCAAGAAGTGTTCGGAGGCTTCTGTTCAGGTCAATTAGCAAATCGTGCGAAAACACGCGCATGGTTTGGTACTGGTGAATCATTTCTATTCACAATTAAACCTGAACGACAAACTTTCAAATGGATCGGCTATTCAGCAGCAAGCAAGGGCAATACACAACCTTACGAAGATTATTTTATCTATGCTGACGACGAACGTTTACAAATGGGTGGAAGCAAAGAACCATTGAATATTGGCTTGTCGATTCGACAGGATTTAAATGAAGGTACCACGAAAGCTTGTGATACATATGCCAGTAAACCGTTATCAAGCGTCGAAAACTTTCAAATTATGGAAATTGAAGTTTTTGGGTTTGCGCGATGAGGTGCTCAGCAAAACGTTTGTTTCGAATATTCGATTTTTAGACAAGACATATATAGCTATATATACGTCTCCGAGTGATGATGCTGATGATGATGTTATATACATAGTATAGATACGAGGCAAGGATTTCAAAGAGAAATGTCTCGTTTTGTGTTCATTTTCTTTTTTTTTCGAACTTTTTTACTGTGAATTACTTGACTCATTTTAAAGAATGACTCAAGTAACATGCGAAACATTAATCATGAAAGAATTTTTTTGTACATAATGAATATGAAAATATATCAATGAAATCTATCTGAATGTCATCGAATCCGTCAGTCTATTGCGAACGTTAATCATCGACAGAGAAATATTGATAGAACACGATGGAAGCGTCTTGATGTGCAAAATGCATTAAGAACAATAGCTATATCACTTGTTATTTGTCACGTCGGGTGAAGTGGTTAAACAAAAAGTAAAGCGTGGATGCGATCGAATTACAACTAATGTCTTCAAGAATGAACAGTCAATGTTCATCTCATTTATCGAACGAAACAACATGTCGAAGGTTGATTGTCATGTTTGCATTTTCTTGATGTTAGTTTCTTTGACAAACTCTGCGAAATTTACTTCATGTATTCCAAATCGATCGTGTAAATGTTATTTAACAGAACAATCGTTCGCGCTGATGAATTGCTCGTATTCATTACATGATTTACCTGTCTTTAACTCGAATTCATCGATGACGATAACGACGATCGTTGCTCGACACGCACTTTTTCGTTGGCCATTGAATTTATGTAAATATTCGCATCTTCAAATACTTGATTTAAGCGGATCTGATCTTCGTCGTCCATCAATGGATCTATCCTGTTTATCGCAATTGATTTATTTGAACTTAAGTCAAACGCATTTAAACCAACTGCCGAATTTTTCGAACGTGTCGTTACAGTTTTTAGAATTTCTCGATTTATCCTCCAATCAAATTGAATACATCAACGGCAGTTGGTTTCGTTCATTGAATCACCTCACGACTTTACATCTGCACCACAATCCACTGAAGCGAATCGATTCTTTCGAGCAATTTCTTCTGTTGCCATCTCTTCAATACATAAATTTCATTTCATCAACTTCAGTTCTTCCAATGAAAAAACCGCTGTCAATCAGTCAGTGGATTGATCTGGCAAATAAATGGAACAACACTAATAAAGTCTTACAAATTCATACGAATACTATTCCACTGCAATCGATTTTTCCTCCATCGAATCAATTCTACATGATTCCACTAGAATCAATGAAGATCATCTTGAATATCCTATCAAATTCAACATTTACAACGTTAGTTTCTGAACCGCCATGTCATTGCAATGAATTGCAAAACTATCAACGGATATTTTCATTTGTTAATAATGAAAAGAATCTTTCGACATTATTTCAATCTTCTACTTGTCTAATGCCCATTGGATTTATTCATACATCTCTGTTCGATCGGCGAACGTTGTTGGATTTGAATTGCACAGCCATTGGCCGAATGTCCGGTCGTTTAAATCATCGAAACTCATGTTCTTTGAAACGCTTTTATTCGTTTATTTATATAGCAACATTTTATACAATTTTCTTCTATCAAAAATAGGGATTCTGATAATTATTGAATGGAGGAGAATAACCATAGCTTAAACCGTATTGTTCATAACCGGGATACGATGCAGGTGGCACTGCACCGACAGTGAACTGATTCGCGTTGGGGAAAGCGTCAGGAAAGTTGACTAAACGGAAAAAATCCATCGAAAGAATCTTGATATGCATCGAAATACTTACATGTATTGTTATTTGACTGAAATTGATTCGAAGACGCGAATGGAGGATTGTCTAAGCAGAAATGTTGAAATTAAAAGAAAGAAATTCAAGTAAATGTCAGCCTACTTTCAAATGAATTATAATACGAATTTTTTTTGTAGCTTCCTGAGAAATGATTTCCTAATAATCAATTGAATTGTATCTCTTACGAAAGACGTATTGCAAAACATACCTCGGTACGATTGGTATGGACTCCAATTATATTCAAAGCTATCTTTACGGCTACTATTGTTATATCCACCAGTTGAAAAGGTATCATCTAAAAAAACCGAGCTTGATTTGAAGCACAAGAAAGAATGAAGAATCGAACTTCGATAGGCGTGGTATGAATTCCATGATTCACTGAAGCTATTCTCTTGATCATAATTATTGTTTTCATCTGTTCCCGGAGAAATATTATCTAAATATAAGAATTCAAATTAGAAATTTATCGAAGCAGTTCGAAATTAGAATTACTTCCGTATGAATACCATGATTGATCATAATCATTACCTTGGTTGTTGTTACTATTGTCCGCATCGTCGTCGACATCATATTTTACCATTCGACCACTTTCATTGGGAATATGTTTGGCATGTCGATTGTTTATCTTCTTGCGGACCAAGTTGATTACATCAAAAATATCCCAATTATCTTGACTAAAATTATCCGCCGCTACTTTGCGAACAGCCCATACGTCGAAACATTGATTCGCATCGGTGATATAATCATATGGAATATAGCAGTACCCTTTGTCTCCCTACAAAAAAATTCATTGATGTTTAACACATGTCGAATCATTTCATCCTTACCCATTGTTCTCCCCAAGAATTTCGAACAATGAACGCTCTCGATTGATCACTATAGCCAACAGCTAACAGTGCATGACTAAAACGTAACAATTTGTAGCTCTTCTGTAGAACGTATTCAGTACAAACCTTCCATGCGCCTGTCGACCAATATCACCATAATTTGGCATTGGTACAACACCTGTGCTTCTTGCTTGATCAAATGAAGTATATAACTTCAAGCCGAACGCGAATGGAAAGCCTTGTGCAAGACAAGATTTCATTTCATAGAGATTAATATTCACTCGAAGTGCTTCCGTGATCTTATGACGTTTCGCTTCGTCGTAAGATTGTGCATTTGGCCGAGTATTAACACGAGAGATATCGTACGGCCACACTGATTCAAGACATGTACCTAGTTCTTCTAGTGCTTCAATGGCACTTGTCATCGTGCAACCAGAATCGACAACCACATGCGATCTTTGATCTTTAACACGAGCATTATAATAGATGAACAAACGGCTAACATCTATATTTCGCCCATGGGCCTTCTTTGTTAAATATTCGTATGCACCTAGAAAATAAATCAGGTCGATATCGATGTTATTTGATGCTCAGATTCTCCTACCAGCAAGACAGTTCGCAGCACTAAAACGAAGAAACCCTACGGTTGATGATTTACATATTCTATAGGAATGAACTTACCAACTACCAATTTGTGATTGATCCTCGACAGGTGTCATATCGGCTCGAAGATCGACTTTAGGCGGAAGTTGTTCAGGTGCGTAAACAAGATGTTCACGAAATGATTGGCACAATTGTCTTTTCTCTGGTAAACGTGGTGACGGTATCAAGCCATTGACACGAAATTTCGAATTACTGGCTTGGCTGGTCAAAAATGTTTTTACTGGCATTGTATTGTAAAGTAAAACGAACTGGTAGAACTATAGTTGATTGAATATTAAACGCACTACCGACAAAGGGTTGTTGATATGTAGATACTGTGATTGAGATTGTCGATCTGTTGTGTTAACCATGATCGAACCGTGCGTTAAAATACATTTTCTGCTAATGATTCACCGATGTGGAGATATGCGTAGAAGTATGCTCTCTTTTTTCTCAACTGATAGAGTATTATTCATATTTCTCATCAAGGTGAGGTCAAACCTACCTTTTCCCGTTCCGATGGAATATCGATGGTTGGAAAATGAAAGTAATGAATCATTAATTAATATGTTGATCGCCTACTTTGATTTGAAAAGACGAAAATGAGTAAAGAAGTCGAGTACAAAATTATGTTTACTCATCGAAAAGGAAATATTTTTGTGTGGTAAATCATCAAGTAGACCAGCTTAGTAAGATAGTACGCTAAATTAAAAATGAATAACAGAATATATCTGCGAAATTCGAATTGATTCGATCATATTTGATGAATTCTGTTTAATAATCATATTTCACTGCAAATGAGTCAGCTGATCGGTATCAGGTTAGTTTGGAAAAGATAGAAGATCGTCTCTAGTCATCTAACATATCATTTTTATTGAGCAAATATACGAAAATAAGTTTTATACAATTGTTAATCGAACAGTTACACAGATAACGCAACAAAGAGAATAAAGTGGATAGAAAAATAACATCTGATTTTATCATCGGGTTGAACAAAGAAAAGAGAAATAGGTCATATCTGACAAGAAAAATAGTGTTGTGTATACAAAAATAGTATCTGATTGTTTATCTTCGTTAAACATTCGATTTATCTGACCCGAATGAGAACTTTACGTTGCATACGATATTGTACATCGCCACGGCGTACCATTGCATGGAGAACTTTGTAGATAGTGCGTTCAGAATAGTTCTAAAGATTTCAAGAGAACATGTGATGAATGGATTGAGGAAATTCGAACGTACTTGTCGAATGAAATCTTGAACGATAGCATGTTCGGATACCTGAGAACCAACAACAAAGCGACGTCGAATTTGTTTTTCAACACGAGCAATTTCTTCTTGATCTTCTCGTGTTGTGAAACCTTCGATGCCTAGAAATGTGACAAAAATAGTTCAACTTCGTTTCCATTTGTCCAGTTTCAAATTACGAACCAGCTAGATTTCCTGATCCTGCCGATGAGAGAGTCGAAACGTGAAATAATCGAAGTGCTTCATCAACATCGGTTTCATTGGCGAAGGGAGCCAAACGCATTTTAGCCAAACTTTCAGCGATACGAACCAATGCTTCGAGTTGTCTAAGAGGAGACGGAAATCACTGCATAGTTTCGATTTTGAGATATCAATGCAACTTACCGGACCGTTATTGGAATTGCTGTTTTCTTACCAACTTCGCGTTCATAAATGCTCGTACCATTGCGCATAACAACGTATTGATTTCGTAATTTTTCCGATGCAGTTTCCGATAAACGTGGCCCACATTTGCTAAACAAGAAGACGAACTCGTTGAATTCATTCGATTACTCGTGAAAAGTCAGTCTTACCTTCGACAGTAAGCAATGTATTTTTTCAACTTTTGAATGCTCATATCACCACCGGTATCATCCGTATTCAAAGTATTCATATGAATTTTCAGAACATGCTTAGCTAACGTCTAAATCAGCCAAAACAAACATGCAAGTTACTGCCTTTCCATATGTTCATCACATACTGTATCACGTTTTTCATCGTGTTCATCTTTGATGATAAAAATCATGTCGAAACGCGAAAGAATAGTTGGCATAAAATCCAAATTGTCATCGCCTTTCAAATCATCCCATCGGCCGTAGATGGAGTTGGCCGCTGCCAAAATACTACAACGAGAGTTCAACGTTGTCGTGATACCAGCCTAAACAAGAAATCATCATTGTATTGACACGACCGGTTCTTCTCTTACTTTAGCAATGGAGATCGTTTGTTGTTCCATAGCTTCGTGAATAGCAACACGATCATCTTCACGCATTTTATCAAACTCATCAATACAGACAACGCCTCCATCAGCTAAAACCATTGCACCGCCTAAATCAGTAGAATGTATTATTATTCAAAACGGCGACTTCAATTTGAAAATTACCTTCGATAACAAAATTTTTCGAGCTTGGATCACGAATGACACTAGCTGTAAGACCAGCTGCACTACTGCCTTTGCCACTGGTATAGACGCCAGTTGGCGAGACTTTTTCAGCAAATTTTAACAATTGAGACTTAGCAGTACCAGGATCGCCAACTAACAGAACGTTCACATCACCACGACGAAATAAGCCATCCGGTAAACGTTTTCGTGAACCACCAAACAATAAACAAGCGACAGCTTTCTTCACATCACTTGCGCCATAGATCGATGGTGCGATACTATTTGCAATAGTCTCGTAAACATCAGACGAATGAGAAAATCGCACGAATTCCTCTTCTTCAGCTGTAGTCAGAGTTTGAGCTGATGAACGACCAACACCATCGGTATCGATACGAATACCAAGAACTCGAACATACGGTTGACGAGTGCCAACACTTGACTTTTCTTTTCCATTCGTCTATTAATAAAAACGTCAACGATAAAGTCAATTGAAAATGTCTTCCAACTAATAAATTTACTTTGCCCATGGCGACATTTCGTTTGATACAATAAATGCCAACAAGTGTTATTTTATTACCAGGCATAGCACGATCGACAAGGTTACTAAAGGAAGAAAATGAATACTTTCGAATGCACAATAAATTCATATAGAAATGTACCGATCACAGTAAAGTTGAATGTGCTTGGGCATTTCACCATGCGGTACGAATTCAGGTGCTTCTTGTAATTTAAGAATTTGAAAGTCGATACATTGACATTTATCAGGCATGACAAAGTATGGATCAAGTGGACATGGCGGTTGACCAGGTTGAGTTCTAAACATAAAGCCACGAGCGTCAACAACTATCTTAACAAATTTTCACTATGCAATTCCATAGTCTCACATATATTTACATCACGTTCAACGCATTCTATCAGGTATCCTTGATATGCTATACTCATTCAGTGCATTTCAATCTATTCAAAATCATCAGACCAAAGCATAGGTTTTCCCTAATAATCGAGACGTATAGTTCATTGATAGCTTCTAATAACTGTCATTTATCAATCCACCCTCACTCTCAATCAAATGTTCGTAGCACATGATTTGATCTATTTCGAGTCGAGTGCAACGAACGACGTTTGTAAAAATAGATATGCATACATACACGCTGTTGCATTTTCTCGGCATAGCATAACCTTCCAAACCAGGTTTTACTTTGATATTCGAAATAACATTCCGACATGATCGACATTGCACAGCAATATGTGATGCCTTTGTTCGTACACTGCTAGCAGCAATGACAATACCAACTGTTTTCACCAGTTTTGAGACGTATTCCGACTATGAAGGGAGATATTGATCAATGTTTTGCTCTAAAACTTTCAACTCACTTTTAAATGTCGAAGATGTAATGGATGAGCATCGTTCATCAACATAATTTGAATATCATGCATATCGACATCATCATCCGGACGGGGACGTGTGATTTCATCAGCTACTTCCTTGGCTGCTTCTTCGAACTAAAACATGAAAAACTAAATATGCAAAAAACTTTCTTCCTCATCTTCGTACTAATGGTAAAAGTTCAGCCGGCTGTTTTTTCAAATGATCACAAAGATTGTCATCATAATCACTTAAATGTCTTAATTCGATATCGATCCAATATCTTCGACTATTATAATTTCGTCGTAACATTTCCCTAGAAAAAAAAACAAAAGCGTTGTTTTCAATCTGATCCGAACAAACATCTTTACACTTACCGATAGATGAAAAGATTATTAATGTGAAATTCTCTGATGAACATCTTAAATTTCTTCTTAATCGATGCTCGATTAAGATCATTTTCATTATCGAATTCGTTATTATTATCCGCACCGAAATTATCGGAAAAAAACACTCCCACATCATCAAATCCCGCCATCTAGAAACAAAAAAAAAACAAATTCTTAGCTAATTGAATATTTTTTTTCTGTTTTTCTCTTGCATTCTTTTGCCTACAAAAAATGTTCATACACACCTCTCTCCCACTCACTCACGCTTTGTACACACACAAAACAAACAAACAAACGAAAACTGTACGAGTGCGTGTATGGTTTAGGTAAATCCAACGCGGAATATAAGCACAAAAAAAACGAGAACAAAGAAATATGAATAGGATTGAACAAAAAAAACTGCTTTCAATAATATATAATAAATAATAATTATACAAATGTTCTATTGAATTTCTCTTAAATTCTTCGAACACGTTCAGCTTGAACAACAGGCATGTTTTTACGTATTTCATTTTGTCCGTGTTCTTTGTAATCAAATGTACAATTGTGTTCATTAGCGTAGCGGTGTAACGAGCAGAATTGACCACCGCACCGACAATCAAAACCTAAACACACGAAAACAATTCAATGAGCGATAGTTAGTTTTTCCCCACGAGGAAGTACTTACCAGTTAAACCGAGTTTCTTGTTACAACTTTCCCAAGTGCATCGATTACGTTTTTTCTTTTCTACATTTGATGAATTTAGAGGAGAAGCGCCTATTGACAAACAGAATAGTTCCTGAGTTGGAAAAGTTTTGTTGGTCTTACTTAGTGAACTACTTTCGACAATATCTGTGTCATTTTTTGTAGGCGAATCGAAAGTAGTTGATATAGTTGGCGCGGATGCGACATGGAGAAGAGGACTAGTAAGATTTTCTTGTTTTAATTCTTCTTTACTGTTATCATTTTCAATGGGGCTAATTACACTATCTGTGCCAACTTCATCTTCGAGAATATTAGGAGAAGTCACAGAAAGATTGGAAGATGAGTAGAAACCTGTAAAAGGGGAAATGTTGGATTGAATTTTCTTCGGTCTTTTGATAAAACTTACTGGTACATGAATTCGTACGGCCAGTGCTGTATGAGCGATTAACCTGTTCGCGAAAACATTTTGAACACATTCCTTCGAACTGCGACGAACCATAAAATCCGCAATTGTTAGTACAAAAAGTTGGGTTCGACTCGGGTTGTTCCATTGAATTAGGTTGTTGCAAGAAAACTATACACGACCTTACAATACTGTGATGCAATGAGGAAATCTAGAAAAAAGCCAAACTTTTATAAATGAGAAGATAGGTGACGTAGTGTCGAATCATGTGTGAGTCACGGGGAAATAGTAGAGCGTCATATGAATGACAACGTACGAGTGCAGAAAGGAAGAAAGAATTTTTTTCCCTGTTCTTTGTCTAGACACCAATCGGTGATACTGAGATAGAAAATAGAAAGACCGTCAATAACGTTATTGATCGATGATAACAGATCCGAAATCAAGGTTATTCCAGCATTTTCTGCAAATTATTTAAACGAAAGAATGAAAAGTCAAAATGGGATTAAAGTCAAAGAGAATCTCTTTCTCTCAAGGTCTTTTTCCTTCTGATTGCATAAGAAGAAAACCTTGATAGAGACATCGCGTAGAATCTAACCTCATTCAAATACTTCAAAGACAGATTTACCTAAAACGGAAAACTAACTCACGTACATTCAACAAAATGGAATACAAGGCACAATCGAGGCTAATGAACGATGCTCTATGTATAAATGAGAAGAAACGTATACAGAGAGAAATAGACAGAGAACAAAAAAACAATGAAATCACATGTGATCAACCATTGGATAGAAACTTGTGCCTTCATCATGATGTTAATTTAAAGAAAGAAAAACGATTGTAAAGAGTCGCTAGGCGCAAATGTTTTCTTAAATCAATAGAAACAATATTTTATCTTTGGAATTACTCATCTCGCTTTCGAAGCTCAGACTCTCTTCGATAACTTTCTCCAATTTTCTTTCCACACTGAATAACTCATTCTAATCCGATCGCTTTTTCGATAACCTACTCGAATAATTTATTGTGCTTTTAACTCCTTTCGATGCATGTGATACTTGAAAATATTACCACGAAAAAGAATTCCTTTCAACAATAACAGCATATCTTTTTCTCCTCAAGTCAACGAAACCGTCCTTGGACATGTACTATTATTTGTTTTTATCATTAAGCATCGACGGTCAAGGTTAAAAACCAGGGAGAAAAGAATAACATTCTATACTGCACGGATTCATGAGAACATGGTGAGATAGACCGTAGAATTTATTTTCAAAAGCCAAGAAAAAATACATAGACAAGCGAAGATTCAGCGATGTGCTCGTTCAATAGATCAATACTATGAACAGTCCAACTGATCCATTTCATCACAGTCATCTAGAGGAAAACAAGTTTCGATGAAAAACAAAACAAAACTAGATTCGGTTACATTCAGGAAAGAGTGATGAACGACACGACGAATTGGCCGAATCAGCTGATAAACGTTTTTGAGTCTAAACAAGAGAAAAATCAAGGATAGAAAGCATGTATTGCGAAGATCTTCTTACTGGATGATTGCTTGAATGTAAATGATCGATTAGAAGATTAACTTCTCGATGAATTTCTCCTGGGTAATTCTTCTTAAGCAATCGTTCTAAAGTCTGAAATGAAAGCGAACTAACTCAACGATTGAGTGATTCGAATGTATCTTACTGATAATAGTTTCGTGGAATTGAACATTGGCAATAAGATTTCTGTGTCTTTTTCATTGAAAAGATTCCGTAACAATGATAATAAGCAGATGAGAAATTGTTTATCTGTACATTGTTCAAGGAGTGAGTAGATCCGTTCGATTGTTAAACCTTTCAATGAGACAAAATTTATCAAGATCGACAAGTTTAGATATTTACCATTGAGAATATCTTGCTTGATTTTAAGTGTTGATAAATATGAAAGATTTCGTAGAGCCCAAATACTATTGATTGATAATTCCTGATCTGAATGTGTGAGAAATGTCAAAAGTATATCAAGAATACCACCAGACAGTAATCTCTAGATGAAAAGTTTCCTTTTCTATTTCAAAGATTTCGAACGAAGAATCTTTACTGTGCGACAAATGGAAAATTCCAAAACACTATTACTAACAACCGATGAGACGATCTTAACTAGAGCTAAATCACTTGATTTGATAGCATCGAGTAAAATATCACAAATAGTATCATTGAATGTTGTGCGAAGTTGATGAACACTACGTGATAAGCCATGAAATAATCGAAGTGACGCGATTTGTAATGATACATTTGACGAACGATAACATTCAATTGCTGTCGTAATCAAATCTAAACGAAAATTTTGTTTGCAAATCCACGATTCATCAACGCACGACCGTGATGTCCTTACTTTCTTGTTCTGCAATTCGTTTCTTAATATCCTCATGATGTGATGATAGAACTGCTAATAGTGTTAAAGCTGACGATCGGACTTGCACAATAGCCGCCTCATCGAGATTCTCACCAAAGATTTTGCTTGGAGTGAATAAGTAATTGAACAGTTGACTTAACAACTGTTCTGTGTAGATAGCTGTATGGTGTAAGGAGCTATTTCCATTCAATAGATAAATCAATGTATCGAGACATTCAACATACAAGTAAATACATTGATTTTGATTGGATTTTGCACATAAATGAATCAATGATGCAAGTGATTGATGTGAGACGTATGGGTCATCGCATGAGAGCACCTTGGTTTTACACAGATTAACGAAGAATTTCGATGCATAATAGGAAATGATCATGGAACGATTGATTTTCTTCAGTAAACTCGCGATAATTTCGCATAAACTTTGATTGGTTTCTGAAGAAATCGTTGAATACAGTTGTTGAGCGATCGATGGATTTTCATAAGATATTGAGCAGAGAAATTTCAGACAAACTTCGATAAGATATTCATTAGCAAGACTAAATTATCAAAAGTGAGATTTCGAATGATTTGATCGTCGAGTGAACCTACGTGACTAGATGAATTCGTTTGTGATAAAAAATATTCTCGATGAGCAAGTGCATGATCATCGGTATGAAATCTTTGCCCATAATCTCCTGCTGTCGTTGATTATCAACACACGCGCAACAGAGAATCTCTAGTACTGAGATTTGTGTTGATTTTGAAATGGATAACAATCGATGAAGAATAGCGAGCGATTGCGAATTTGAAAAGAGAATCTCCACTGGAGATAATTTGTCAGATGAAGGAGATTTGTCAACAATGATCGAAGACGACTTCGGTTCGAATTTATTTTGATCGCAGAGAAGTATAAATGGTATCGGACTTAGATAAGGATTGGCGAACTTTTTTGAGAGAAAAAATGAACGAAGACATCGAAGCGCCGATTTGTAAAAGAGTTTTGATTGTTGATCGTCGACTAAGACGAGTAAAATTTGTTCAATAAATCCTAATTCGACTAAACGTTGAATTAAATTTTTATTTGTTGATTTGGCAAATGACGAGATACAATCAAAGATTTGAATGAGAATATCGCTATCAATGGGTAAAGAATATTCTTTCAATAGGTTATAAAGCATGTCTAATGTTCCAACGCGAAAGAACGCTGCTTTGCATCGTTTTGAGCCGAGAATCAAGTTTTTGAACTAAAGATTAAAATATGAACCGATTTTTTGTGAAATTTCAAAGTTCAGATTACTTCAATCAATGCACGAAGTCGTTCTTCTCGTTCGGTGTTATCAGTTAATCGTCGAAGTAGAACTTCTTCCCCATCAGTGGGCAAATCATCATCATATGCAGGCATGGCTGATTTATTTTGATATTATTATGAAAATAAACCGAATATATCAATGATAGAAAAAGGTCGAAGCTGACGATTGGTTGTTGTCGATGACCAATGAGAATTTATTGACTCAGTCTCTCTTGAGAATTGATGAATTGTTTATATTGATTATTCGTTTCATTTTGAAGAAAAAATAAACAGACAAAGAAGAACAAATTTGAATGAAATTTGATGAAACTTTTCTTTCACGCGGATTTCAATGCATTGATGAGCTATAGCTCTTCCAATTAGTTACAGATACAATATTGATTTGTTAATTGATCGTATCAAAGAAATATATTCGTTATCTGTTCATTTGCTTTAGTAAGTTTTTTTTTTCTTCTTCTAGTTAGAACAGTCGTTCAGCGTCACTATTGAGAAGATTCGTTGCTTGGACACAAACTGTCTATCACTGGAGGGTAACAAAAGAAAGAAAGAAATGGAAAGGGAGAGAGAAGAGAAAGAGAAAGTAGAAGAAGAAATAGAAATGCCTAAAGGAAGCTCGATTCGCATTTGTTCTTTCACTCTCTCTGTGTCTTCTTACTAACCCTTTTCTTTCTCGTCGTTGTTGTGCACATTGTACTGTGCCCTGTATGATGTAGACGACATGCATTACTCATCGTGTGCACACATCCATCTAACCGGTTTTTTCTCTCTCTCTCTCTCTATTGTTTATTCTCACATACATATAGACATTCTAGTTACAGTAACAACGAGTTGAATGTTGTTAGTTTATTTTCTTGTTCTCTTTCTTGTTTCATAGAACTATCCATTCAGTGATAGTAGACTCCATTTTTGATGAATCATACCTTTCAAGGTTAAAGGCAGAAAAAATTTATCATTCCTTTTTTTTCTTTTCTTATAGGTCACAATTGTGCTATCTTTTTATGTATCGGGCATGTTTGGCAGCTGGTGTGACGTTGACCAATCGAGCTCAACTGTTATTGTCGTTGTCTATTAACAGGTTATTCTTCACATTCGAATCTTTTTTCATGTACTCGCCAATATGTTTCAACTATCATTTTCCTCCTTTCTTTTTTAGATTCGTTATCAATTCTTGTTGTTAAAAACATATTAAACGTGCTCGAATATTTGATCATGTGTGCTGTCGTCTACATTCCTTTTTGATACCGTCTCCTGTTGTATTTTCTCATCCTCCACGTAAGAATTTCTTGAAGATCATATTCCGGATCACCTTGTCGTTTGTATTTAGAAAAGGCAAAACTCTTCTTCAAAATTCTTCTCAATTGATTCGTTTCTCTCGTTTAAAATTATTCTAATAATCCACGTGTTTTGTTTTTTGTTCATTTTTGCAACGCATTTGTTCAATCACATCTAGACAATTCATCTTGTTATCTTCATCATATACATATTATTCACACACATATCTATAGACAGTAGTTCAATTTTGTTTCTTTTTTATCAAAATGACGCAAGCAACAGTAAGTCAAACGTTTCTTCATTTATTCTTCTCGTTTTCCACTAGTTAGATATCGAAAGATTGGCAGAAAAATGCAAACTTTATATGAGATTTCTCGTCGATGTATATCCGTGTATAAGCGCATGTATTCTCTCAAATTTTTGTGCCACATTTCGGATGAGAATAGCGGGCAACGCGCCTTTTTTGTCAACACGATCGATAGATTTATTGCTGGTGACGATGATACCGGTGTTATCGTCGATATTGTTGACAATGAAGGTTTCCTTCTAAGTAGTACTGATATTTTCACAGATAGATTCCTCTCCTCGATTATTTCATTATCAATGGATAAAGCAGCAGTTAAAATTCATTTCTGTGACTATCGTACATATGTTACATAAGATTTAAATACGAAAGAAATTGTATTTTGCATACAAAATGCCAATATCATTGATGATTCGGAGAGTTATGGCCGATTCGACCTTGTTTAACAGCGACGATATCTCTCCTCCACCATTGTTTCTAGTTGATCAAGAAGACACTGTTGTCTGCCATCCGTATAATCATCATGTGAGAAGACGAAAGAAACGAGAAGATAAAGCTCTTGGCCTTCGAATAAGAGCATAGTTAGAGTAGGAGATGGCTGCTAAGACAGCAGACAAACAAAAAAAAAGGAACGAGAACAAGAAAATAGACAGAAACGATAGAGTACTATGAAAAAAGGCGAAGAAGAAGCAAAAGTAGAAGAAAAAGGAAAAGAGTAAAAGGCAACAAGAAAATATTTGTTTGTTTTACATAATTTTCTTTTTGTTCAAGGTAAATGTCGGCAGTAGTGTCGTCAAAAATCTCAATCCTAATGCTCAACTTTTTTCGACGAGCGATTACAACAACGGAACAGTACTAGCCGGACCGACAGTACCCAGTGGTATGTTTTTCATTCCTGTGATAATTATTATTATCATTATTGGAAAACAAAGAATGCTTTGACACGAATCTTTTTTTTCAATAGATGAGTTATACCGAGAGTTTATTGATAATGGAACGGGATCTTATCTTCGACATCATCAACCTCCTATGTATCCAGGTAAATGAATTACTTGTAATTGTACTTCATGTATATCTGTATGTATCTCTATTGATATTCATTCAGGTTTTTATTATGAGGGTAAGAGATTATATACAATATATCAATCGACATCCCTATACATATGTGTGTGGAAGCATTGCAAAAGAGGATAAATGCAACAGAGAGCAGTCATTCAGTTACTTTTTCTTCTTTACCATGCTTCTTTTTCTCGGTTATGTGTCCCGCTACTCATTTCTCAATCTTTCTCTCTCCCTCGCGTTCTCCACACACGAGTGCGCGAGAATACGTTGCTTCTTCTCCTTCTGATTACCAACACACATACACACTATTTGCTTTGAACAACACATATATACATACTTATTTTCTTTTCCTCTCTCTCTCTGATTCATTCAATACATTTATGATGTGTATATTCATCTAACTATCTTATTTTCATCTTTATCATTGTTCTAGTCGATCCATCGTCAATTGACGTTCTTCAACAACAACAACAACATCATCAACAGCAACAGCAAGCAACAGAATCGAACTTCGCC